AGTACCAAACCCCCCCCCCCCCCCCCCAATCTCGAGGCCCTTCCTTCCATACTGGGCAAATTTCGGAGATCAACCTGACTGACAGTCTTCTAGCATGGCCATTTGCATTCTGGGTGACCAGCACGATATCGACCGTGCCAAGCACGGCGGTGTCGACGCCATGTCGGCCGACGACCTCAAGAAGCTGAACAAGAACAAGAAGCTCATCAAGAAGCTCGCCCGCAAGTACGACGCCTTTGTCGCCTCCGACTCCCTCATCAAGCAGATCCCCCGTCTCCTCGGCCCCGGTCTGTCCAAGGCCGGCAAGTTCCCCACGCCCGTCTCGCACGCCGACGACCTCACCGGCAAGATCACCGAGGTCAAGTCGACCATCAAGTTCCAGCTGAAGAAGGTTCTCTGCATGGGTGTCGCCGTCGGCAACGTCGGCATGGAGCAGGAGCAGCTGATCGCCAACATCATGCTGGCCATCAACTACCTCGTCTCCCTGCTGAAGAAGGGCTGGCAGAACGTCGGCAGCCTGACCATCAAGGCCACCATGTCTCCCCCCAAGAGGCTGTACTAGATGGTTTCGCTGTCGTCGGGCATGGCAGAGATGCAGAACATCGCATGGGGTCACATAGTGCTTGTTTTCGGACACATTGGCTTGTGAACCGACCAATCCGTATCAAGGAGACAAAATGAATACGAACTGCGTGGTCCTCAGAATCTGGTGTACTTGTAGCATTTCGATGTTGAATACGTGACGCGACCCATGCCTGTAACTATGTTTTGCATGGAAATTGCCTGGTCATATGTCCCAAGGACAGGGAGACATATCGCCCCGTAGGACAGAACGCATGCCACCGTGGTTCATGGACGGCAACCCCTCTCGGCTCGTCTGGCGCAGACTGACGATTCGACATCTGCAGAAACCGTACTCGTCATTTACTTGGGCTCACCATTCGTAGCACTGGCCGACGGCTTACGACAGACATATCATCTCCACGCCTCTCGATTCGAACGACTCTTTTCATTACTAGAGTCATCAGATGCCTGAGATGGTGCGCGAAGATATGTCGAGACCACCCCACCGTCAGGGACCGATGACGACGTCCCTGGCATGTTTTTAAGGGAAGAGGTGATTACATTTTACTCGTGGAGGCCGGGAACGGAAGGAGACCCATGGTGAACAATGATAACCCTCAGCAAGCCGCCGTAGCGGAGCCCCCGTGTTAGAATTATCTCTTCACTTGACGGTGTAGAGTTAACCCATACTGATGTGAGGAAAAAAAAGAGAGAAGAGAAGAAGCAGAGAGGGAAAATTATTTCTGGCGGATTTTAAAGGGCAGAGGCAGGGACGGGGAATTATGGGGCGCCTTGCCTCTTGCCTTGATTTGGATTAGCGTGTTTCTGTACCAGGCAGGCAGGCAGGGGAGGACCATAACTATTATCAATTGCAAGTCGGTCCTACCTGACATGGGATGGGTGACATGGAACTTGACCAGACATCAACAAAATTGCAGAATCGTACACTCTCGTTAACTCATGACTCTTCACTCGGTTCTCATTCATCATGGCGTGCGTATTCTCTCCTTGTTCAAAACCCTCTTCTCATGCATTCTAATGTCTAGACATCAACAGTGATTGCCGCCTCCTCTTCCACATGCAACCGAATGTCTAACCACCTGACACCAGCTCTAGTCGAATCGCTAACCTCTCCGGCTGTTCATCCAATCCAGCATGTGCTCGGAAGTCTTCTACTACATCTGCTCATCTATCAACCCGACAGGAATTTTGTAACTAGATGACATTTCTGCCCGTTTCATATCTTTGGAATACCAGACAGGTAGCCGTTCAGGACCGCCAAGATCAGCTGGTGCGCAATGGCCGTCTTGGGCGGCAGCCGGATGCCGCCCTCGACGTAGGTGGGCGGCGGCGGCTGGCCCAGGGGCCCCGCGGACGTCTCGAGGGCGTGCCGCACCTCGTCGAGCGGGAACCACCGGGCGTCGTCGAGCTCCGGGTCGTTGCCGAGGAAGATGCGCTCGCCGTCGCCGGGGGCGGCCTGGCTGATGGCGCCGATCATGAGGCTGTTGGGGAAGGGCCAGGGCTGCGAGGCGTAGATGACGACGCGGGCCGCCGTGACGCCGCTCTCCTCGTAGATCTCGCGCCGCACGGCCTCCTCGATGGACTCGCCGGGCTCGAGGAAGCCGGCGAGCACGCTGTACATGTTGGGGGGGAAACGCTTGTTGCGGCCGAGCAGCATCTTGGTGCCGTCGGCGCTGACGCAGGCCATGATGACGGTCGGGTCGGTGCGCGGGAAGGACAGGTTCGAGACGCCCTGGCGGGTCGGGCAGTCGGGCCGCCGCGCGGGCTTGCCGCCGCCGCCGCCGCCGGCCAGGTCGGTGGGCGGGCAGGCGCGCTTCATCCCCGCGTTGACGGAGAGGGTGCGCGAGCCGCAGCCCGCGCAGAAGGGGTTGCGGGCGTTCCAGTCTAGGATGGAGCGGGCCTGGGCGTAGGTGCCGGCTGGGAGAGAGAGAGAGAGAGGTGAGCATAGATGTCTTCTTTGGGCGGGGGTGAAGGTGATTTGTTTCAGAGTGCATACCTTCGGGTGCGACGAGGCCCATGGACCGGGCGTCGGTGTAGAAGGTGAGCCCTTTCGCCTTGGCCGCCTCGATGACCTGGTTCGCCTTGTCGGCGAGCTTGCCCTTGGGGGTGACGTCGACGGCGAAGTACGGGCTGCCCTTCCACTCCTTGTAGTGGAAGGCGTCGTCCGAGGCGGCCAGCTTGTGGTGCTCGTCGATGCCCAGCAGGAGGATGAGCGGGTGGTCGACGTCCGAGTTGAACTCGGCGAGCATCTCCTCCTCCGTCTTGGCGAACGGCTCCGGGCCCGTCAGCGGGACCACGTCGGCCGTCCGGGCAAAGGCGAGCTTGGGCCGGCCGCCGGCCGGGCCCTCTTCCCGGGAGATGGCGGGCGCCAGGTTGTCGAGCAGCATGAAGCGCGTCGAGGGGTGCGAGAAGGCCTGCTGCAGGAAGGCGTGGTCGTGGCGCAGGAAGGCGACGCGGTTCAGGGGCCCTCCGGACCAGTAGTTTGCGATCTCGCGGCCGAAGCGCCTCGACAGCATCGAGTCCTCCACCGGCAGGACGGGCAGGTCTGGGAGCGCGGAAGCCATGGTCCCCTCGTCGGGCCTCGATGTGTCTTGTCGGCCTCGCGGTCTCTTTTTTTTTTTTCTTCGACCCAACAAGCAAGCACGAATCTGCACACAAAGCCTAAGTACAATACAGTGATGAAGAGAGGCTATCTGTTGATTTGTAAGCTGGTCTCTGAAGCTTGACACGGAATCTTGAGAAATGCGACAGAGAATGGGATCGCAGCAGGACAGAGGCGCGAGAAGATGGAGAGGTGAAGTTTCCCGGTCCCCCTTCGGCGAAGAATCGGAAATAACTCCGCCGGACGTAGATTTCCCTCCCTACGCTGGGCCCGTCGGGAGCGACGGTCGCTGGCGTGCTCTCATCGTCATGGAGCGAAGGGTGGGGTTCAATGACTAGAGCTGATGCGGGGAGCGTTTTTGGATTGATAATGTCGGTTGCGGCATTTGGCCTGTCTTCTACTAGGTAGGTAACTACATGGTGAGTGAAGGAGGGATCTAAGTGTGTACATAGTGAAGGAGTCTTCATTGCAGATAAGGACATCTCATCTCACCAGACGTCTTGAACCTTTACAGCAGTTATCAGGCCTGTATCGAACACAAGCCTGAGGTAGACCGTTCATTCTGTTACACTCAGTACTTGAGTGAGTTTGGATGACAGCTTGTTTGATAGGAACACCCAGACTAATAGATACAGGTAAAAGCCCTGAGCCCATCTCTGTTTCATCATTCAATATTCCGTGTATGAGAGTTGTAGTTGGAATTGACCGGAACGCGGCTCGAGACTTGCATTGCAATCGAGTCTCTGAGACCTGACAAGAAAGAATGAAGCATTCCAAGGCCTTCCCCACAGATCTGGACAACCCAACCACCACCCCTTCCATCAAAGATCCAATCTCATCACAGCCGAGGCTGCAACCCCACCTGGAACTACCGCTATCTGCCGCTAAACCAGCTCGCGTGTCCAGGGCCTGTCTCGGCTGGCAGCGGCGCATTCTAGTGCTTAATTTTAGTGCAAGACACACTGAAAGTGACTCCATGACTTGACTCAATTGAAGGATTGATGGGGTTGGAAGGCGAAAAAAAGAAAAAAAAAGACTGAAGCCTTCTCCGGATCCGGGCTTCACTGACATCACCCCATCCCTCCGCACCCTTTCAACAGAGGTGAGAGCATTGCATTGGACTGCCTGGTCGGTGCCGCTCTCGCTGATAGGATCCGAAGCATTCATTTGCTTGGTCAAGTCTCTTTTTTCGCTTCGACCTTGAGGACCAGGCCCTTCCCAAGATTGAGGAGGTTGAGCCGGCTGTAAGTCCCGACAGGCATCATGGTTCCCCCAACCGGACCCTTGAACCTCGACGTCGAGGCCATCTCTGGGATCTGTGGGTAAGTCTTCATTCTTCTCTCTTCTTCAGTTACCATCCGGTGGGCCCAGTTGTAAGTCTAACTAACTCTACCGGCACGCAGCTCCATCTCAATCGCTTGCTGGGTCGTCGTATTCTCCCCGCAGATCATCGAGAACTTCCGTCGAAGCAGCGCCGATGGCCTCTCCCTCCAGTTCATCATCGTCTGGCTCCTCGGCGATGTCTTTAACATTATCGGAGCCGTCCTCCAGGGCGTGTTGCCGACAATGGTAAGTACAGGCCAGGCAATGAGTCCTTCTAGTCCGGTCAGCCTACATTTCAGAGACGGAAATGCTCACCATGCCCGCCCCTCCTCACCAGATCATCCTCGCCATCTACTACACCATCGCCGACATAGTCCTCCTCGGACAATGCTTCTACTACCGCGGCTTCACATGGAGGGACGAGGTCATCCCTCCCTCTCCGCCGAAACCCACCTCCCGCAACGGCCGATCCGATCGCGACCACCACAACGGTGACGCCAACGAGCGCACCAGCCTCCTCTCCCAGTCCGACTTCCCCCCCTACCCTCACGAGCGCCGCGGCTCCGACTGGTCCGACTGGTCCGCCAACCTGACGCACCTCTCCCCCGCCGTGCCGCTCGTAGGCGACGACGTGCCGCCGCCGCCGCCCTCCCCGCCGCCGACGAGGCTGCAGACGGCCGCCTTCAACGTCCTGGCCATGCTGATGGTGTGCGCCGCGGGCGTGGCCGGCTGGGCCCTCTCCCGCGGCTACCACCCCGGAGACGGCCAGTCTCCGCCGCCGCCGTCGCCGCCGTCGGAGGACGGCGACCTGCTCGTCTTCAACGCCTGGGGCCAGGTGTTTGGCTGGCTCTGCGCCGCCTTCTACCTCGGCTCGCGCCTGCCGCAGCTGCTGCTCAACTGGCGCCGCAAGTCGACCGAGGGCGTCAGCATGCTCTTCTTCCTCTTCGCCTGCCTCGGCAACCTGACCTACGTGCTGTCCATCTTGGCCTTTGAGCCGCGCTGCGCCGGCAAGTCGGGCTCGTGCGCGCCCGGGGAGGCGGGACGGATCTACGGGCGATATATACTCGTGAACCTGTCGTGGCTGGCCGGCAGCCTGGGCACGCTGCTGCTCGACATGGGCATCTTTGCGCAGTTTTTCATCTACAGCAAGGGGGCGGCCGGGGACGACGAGGAGGAAGGGTACGACGCCGGGGACGAGGACAGCGGGGACGAGGAGCGCAGCATCGACGGGGAGAGGTGGGACCAGAGGCCGGTGCTCGAGAGGAATGCCTCCGAGGCTGGCTCGAGGTAGCTAGAGACTGACTGGGTTTGTCGCTTTGGAGTCTTCACCGGAGATCAGGGCAGCATTGGGAATGGGGACACACACTGGCGTTATTTTTGCACTTTTTCGAGAAACAAAAAGAAAAAGGAGAAGGAAGCATCGGATGCTTTTTTTTTTATCACTCCCTCCGACAGGGACGGCGCGAATATTCTTGGTTCATCAAAAATGGGTTCTGGAAAAAAAAGGGGTTTGGAAAAAACTTTTATATCGTTGTATATTTTACACACACATACACACTTGCTTTCTCTAGTCTCCTTTGTTCTACTTTATATCAGATGTCAAGCGTGCTCACGCACCGACTTTTCTTTTTGTTTCTCTTCTCAAAGCCCCTCCCCCCTGAGCAAACTATGACCTAACTTAAACCCTAACATTCAAAACCTTTGCATCCTTCACAACCATCCGAGCCTCTGCCACAGGAAGCTCGTCCCGCCGACCACGGCCGTGACGCCGGTAAACACGACCAGCGAGCCGTACCCGCTGCCGTAGGCCCCGGCCGCGCGCCCCAGCCACGGCGAGCCCCGGAGCAAGGCCTCGCTCAGCGGGCCCGCGAGGACGTTGCCGACGCCCCGCCCCGCGGCGAGGAAGCCAAACACCATGGCCGGGTCGGCGGCCGCCGTCTCGCGGCGGCTCCGGCTACTGGTGGTGACCTGCCGCATGATGCCCGGCCAGGCGGACGTGTAGCTGCCCGCGAAGAGGCCGTAGAGGACGGAGAAGGCGTAGAGCAGCGGCAGGTTGACGGCGAGGCCCCACAGGAGAAAAGTGGCGGCGGCGGTGCCGGCGGCGGACAGCAGCAGGCAGGTCGTCACGTGCAGGCGGCCGTCGACCAGGGAGCCCATGGCGACGCAGCCGAAGACGCTCGAGACGTTGAGCAGGAGCAGGGTCAGCGCGGCGGGGAAGGGAGCCGCGCCGAGGGCGGCGCGGGCGTACGAGGGGAGGTAGACGCCCGGCAGGAAGAAGCCCAGGGCCTCGGCGACGTTGGCGAGCTGGTGCAGCAGGAAGGTCCGGCGCAGGGCGAAGCGCAGGTCGAAGGGCCGGGCGGCCGAGGCGGCGGCGGCGGGCAGCCGCGGCCTGATGAAGCGGGCGAGGGGCGCGGTGAGGACGAAGAGGGCGACGGCCCAGACGCGCAGGGCGGTGCGGAAGCCCCACCGGCTCAGGAAGTGCTGCAGCAGCAGCGGCAGGGCGAAGCCGGCGAGCCCGGTGCCGGACCACATGATGCCGTAGGCGAGGCCCTTGCGGCGGACGAACCACTCGTCGATGTAGAGGATGCAGGGCCCGTAGGCGACGGACCCGCCGACGGCGTACAAGACGCCCTGCGAGACGACGAGGTGGGCGACGCTGGTGGACAGGGAGCTCAGGGCGAGCGAGGCGCACATGACGAGCAGGCCGATCATGGGGGACCACTGGGCGGGCTTCGGGTAGAGGCGCTGGACGCCCATGATCAGCGGGATGTCGAGATACATGATGCCCTTTGAAATTACAGGACCTGGCGTGTTAGTTCACATTCTGCAGAGGCGCACGCATCTACTACCTCTTTTTGTGTCGCGGGGAGAACGACACACAAAGACTGACCATGGCGCACGTGCCGACGAGGGCGATGTTGGGCTGTCCCTTGAAGGGCTCGTGTTCGCTATAGTAGTCCTGGAAGACGCCAAAGGAGAAGGGGAAGCCCCAGACGAGGGCCTCGACCATGAAGCATGCGGCCAAGAAAAGATAGGCGTCCTTGCCCGAGTCGACGGGCGGCAGGGAGGACTCGTGCCGTCTTCCTTCTTCCTCGCCCGACGCCAGGCTGTTACCGGGGCCGCTGCTCCCATTTCGCCCTAGAACTAGAGGGTCGTCTCTGGCCTCGGCCCCGACGACGATGGGCTGAAGGGCGATCTGTGACTCGGCGATGGTGGTGGTGTTGGACATGGCTTCTCAACAGCAGCGCTGTTCTGTTTCTGAAAACCCGGGGTTCGCCTTTGAATGGAGAAGAGGTCGAAAGAGAGATGCCAACCTATGAGACATATGAACTCAATTAAAAAGACCCGGCAGCGTGGATGATTTGATGGATGTAAGCCGCATCAAGAAAATGAGTGTGCCGGGGGCCATTGGACTTCGGGCCCCACAGGTTGCGCCCTTCTAGATGTCCAAGATGGAGCATGCATTGCACCATACGAGTCGGTCAGCATTGCGGACCATGGTCCCATCAAGAGCAGCAACGGCTTGGATGATGGATGGGAGGGGCGGGAACAGCACCGGCGTCGGCGATAATGGAGAGCCGTCCCAAGCCGCCGTCTCTGCCGTCCGCAACATGCACCGACTAGGCGGTGTAGATCGACCTCTGAGACACGGTCCATTCTGAATGGTCTCTGGATGTTTGCTTTTTTTTTCTTTGGAAATGAGCGATGAAGAACAACGTCAACTCGACGGGCCTCGAGTTGTACAAGGGAACGTCGTGGACCGCTTGGCCGCGGGAGCTACGGTACGGTGTATGAATACCTACCTAACAGTGGACATGTCCGTCCGGTTCAGGCTTGACTAGAGCAGGGCCCTTGCCGTGTTCAAATGCGCCTGGCAGGCAGGGGAAAGCAACGCCATGGATGGCAGTGCGGAACTCGACGAGATTCGATTCCTTTTGGCCGGAAAACAGCCATAGCACTCGGCACGGGCCTGCCTCGACGAAAGGTTGTCTTCGAGCCAGCTCAACAATTCATGTCTTGATCGATGCGCTGGACAGACATACCGTCATGCTGCGGCACAACTCGATGCCGAATAAGCCGGGGGCAGACTGGACGGCTAGTGCTGTCCAAGGTAAGTGGGAGGCAGGACGGGTTCGTGATCTCTTATGTCAATGGCAATCAAGACACAGGATCAAGACACAGGACCAATTCCCTGCCCTGATACTGCGTAGATTGATCACTGTATCTTTGTTTGTGGGGATGAGTTAACTTGGGTACACTGTACAGTAAGTAGGTAGTGTGGGGTCGAGTTGGGGAAAGGTGAAGAGCCGAGGCATCGCGGTTCTCTCTAGCCTTGGGTGTTCAGGATGAATGAAGAAGTGTGGGGTAGCAATGCTACTCTGTCTAAAGCCAAGGGAAACGGTTATCCCAGTCGATGGAGGCTTTTACTTTTTTGTCTACCGTCTCTCAATCACGAGGATTGAACACAGCAGCCGTCCCCAGCTTCTGAAACTCTTCCCTCCTGCTTCTGCCCGAGTTGCACTGCACATATATGACTAGCCGCTACTGATTCATTGGACCCCTTCTGGCCCATCAGCTTACCGCCGCCCCCAAGTCAAGCTCCATAGTTTCAGCCTCGGGACATTGCCATTGCTTCAAATCATTCAAGAGCGGCGGCTCTCATATACTTTCTATTCTCACTTGCTCTCAAGTTAGGCGCAGCCTTCCCTTGTCCATTGATACCCCAGACAGACGAGGCTCTGATATCGTTGTTCATTGTATCAACTCTCTCTTTTCATATATATAGTCCCTATCTCTTACAACAGCAACCATGTCCGACTCCATCATCTCGGTCGAGTACTCCGGCCGCCTGGCCACCATCACCATCGACAACGACAAGAAGCTCAACGCCCTCGACCAGATGGGCTACTACGAGATCGCCCGCCTGCTGCGCGAGATCGCCACCCACGACGAGGTCTACATCACCCTCCTGACGGCCAAGGGCCGCTACTTCTCGGCGTAAGCTCCCCCTTCCCCACCCCCACGCACAAGACACACAGCCGTGTGTGTGTGTGTGTGTGTGTGAAAACCTGACCGTGCTAAACCCCGGCCCCCTTTCCTTTCTCCCTCCAGCGGCGCCGACGTCTCGTCCATCAACAACAACCCCCCGGCCGGCCTCGGCAAGGACACCCACCTCCACTGGCTCCGCTCCTTCGTCGCCCTCAACCTCAACGTCACCCAGGCCTTCTACAGCCACCCCAAGATCCTCGTCGCGGGGCTCAACGGGCCCGCCATCGGCCTGTCGGCCGCCCTCGTCGCCTTCGCCGACTTTGTCTACTGCACGCCCCAGACCTTCCTGCTGACGCCCTTCTCCTCGCTCGGCCTCGTCGCCGAGGGCGGCGCCTCGCGCGCGCTCGTCCAGCGCCTCGGCATCTCCAAGGCCAACGAGGCCCTCATCATGAGCAAGCGCATCTCGGCCGACGAGCTGGTGCAGACGGGCTTCGTCAACAGGTGCTTCGCCGAGTGCGGCCGCGGCGAGGACGAGAAATTCCGCCGGCTCGTGCGCCGCGAGATCGACGAGCGCCTCGGCGAGCACCTCATCGGCGACAGCCTGACCGGCATCAAGAAGCTCATCCGCCGGCCCGAGATGGACACCATGGACCTGCAGAACGTCAACGAGGTCTTTGCCGGCCTCGGCCGCTTCATGAGCGGCGTGCCGCAGGAGGAGTTCCGCAAGATTGCCTCGGGGGAGAAGAGGCATAAGCTGTAAGAGGGGGAAGGAAGGAAGGAAGGGGAAGAAACCGAAACAGAAAGGGGGGGGGGAGGGGGGCGGCAGTATGCGATTTATTTTCCATAGAGAGAGTGGCGATATAAGCCAAGCAGATATAGCCAGGTTTCGATCTCAGAGCAATAGGCGCTCGTGCGTGTTGTGTGTACATTGTATCGAATATGAACGAAATATATGACGTGCATTTGGGGCCTGGCCTGACTATGCCAGGAGCCCGAAGAGCAGGCTCGTTCGCTTCCAGTAGTCTTGCGATGCTTTGACTAGCCGTTGGCGTGCAGCTGCGTCCTCCAGCCCCGATTTTGCGGCGATTTGCTGCTCCAGATCCTTGAACTGGTCGTTGGCTGTTGCACCAGGCACCGCAAGGCAGTTTTCGAGGTAGAGAATGTCAAAGAGCCACTGTATCAACAGATCTTTCTGAAGATCCCGTTCTTCTGTAGCCGGCTGGGACTTCGTGGCCGCAGCGGACTCTTCCCCCGCGGCATCCTCGTCGCCATCTTGCTCCTCGCCATCTGTCTTCTCGGGTTCTTCCTCGTCGCCTTCCTTTGGCTTTTCCTCCTCGGCACCTTGCGCGGACTTGTCACCATTCTGCGCCGGCTCCTTCTCGATCGCCTGCAGGGCCTCGAGCCACGCCTCGCTCAGCAGCTTCCGCAGCTGCCTCCTGAGCACGAGGAGGGCCGCGGGGCTCCAGAGGTCGATGCCCGCGTCGCCCAGCGAGGCGCAGAGGTCGCGCAGGAACTTGAACGCGCCCGGGGACGGGGAGGCCGGCAGCGCCGGCTCGCCCTCCCACAGCGCCCGGCCCACGACGGCCCTGCGCGCCAGCGCGGACGTGGCGAACTCGTCCACGGGGGAGATGATGACCGCGGCCGCGATCGTCTCGTGCAGCGAGGGCACGGCGGCCAGGCCGAAGGGCCTGACGGCGTCCAGCTGCGGCAGCCTGCTCCTGATGTCCCGCAGGACGCGCAGGAAGTACATGGCGATGTGGCCGCGCGAGGCGTGGTCCTTGTGCGCGCCCCATCGCTCGGACAGCTGCTCCTCGAGCTCCGAGAACGCCTTGACGAGAGACTCGTCGAGGCGCGTGTGCAGCGTCTGAGGGTCGTCCCTGCTGAGCAGCTGCTGCCGCTGCTCGATCGTTTCCTCGTCCTCGATCTCGTCCACGTCGTTCTCCCACCGCTGCCGCCTCAGCTGCGCCACGACCTCGCCTACGTCGTCAATGACGCGGTACCAGGACTTGTAGCTCGAGACCGCCTTCGACACGGCGTCGCTGCGGCCGTGGAGGCGAGCGATGACGTCCTGCGCGAAGTGTGCCGCGCCGTTGGCCAGGTCCATGTCCAGGCCGGTGTCGTCCCACAGAGAATCGTGCTTGTCCGTGATGTCCTCCCGCCAAGCTTCCAGCGTCGCGGCGACTTCCGAGCCCACGAGGCGGAGCTTGTTGACTTTGGTGCTCAGGACCTTGAGCATGTGGCTGTTGATGGCTTCTCGCAGCCCGTCCAACATGACCGATGGGTCGAAGCCGCGCGCCCGTCCGCCGTCCCGGATCCAGAGCTGGAGGACATTGGTGCGCAGTTCCACGACGGCCTTGAACTCGGACAGCTTCTCCAACGCCTTCCCCAGGCCCTGCATGAGCACTTGGCTGTTCTCCGCGGCCCAGTCGGTCAGCATTTTCTTCGCCTGGCTGCCGTCCAGATCGTCGTGCCGGATGTACGGCTTGAAGTACTGGATCTCGTCGCCGCACCAGCGCTCGTAGATGTCGAGTCTCAGGGCCTCCACGTCTCGCAGCGCGTGGTCGTTGAGCAGATCGTCTTTCTTCAAGCCCAGGAGTGCATCGCTCAATTTGCTTGGGACCAGCGCCTGGACGTCGAGAAGGGTCCGCGTGTAGAGCTCGAGGCCTCTGAAGACGTCCTGGGGAGTGCTCTGCCTCTCGCCGTCGGCGTCCTGGAAGGCATAGGCCATGGCCTGCTTCCTGACCTGCAGAAAGTGCCTCAGCACATCGCGGGCCCCAGAGCTGTTGGCCAGGCTGTAGGCGCACAGGGCCTTGAGCACGTCTCCGCGATCGGCGGCGCCCTCTCCGGCCCTCTCCAGCACCTTGTCGATGCTCCTCAGCACTCTCCTCCGCAGGCTCGCCATCCTCTTCAGCGACGCCTCGACCGACGCCGCAACCTCCCTCGCCATGGCGTCGCCCTCCTTGCCGAGGCTGCTCCCCAGAAGGCGGCTCAGGACCACCAACTTCGCCGCAAGGACAAGCCTATCGCCTCGACTCAGCTCCGCGCCGCCGCCGCCGTTGTTGCCCCCCCTCAGCGCCCTCTCCACGACGAGCACGCACGCCTCGAGGAGCCTCGCCCGGGCAACGAGCCCCGCATCCTTCAGGGGTGGCCTACCGCCGCCGCCGCCGCCACCCGCCCTCCCGCTATTCGTCCTCGTGCCCGCGTCCTCCGCCACGAAGCTCGCCAGCGCGCCGACCTTGCCGCCCACGACGGCGCGCCCGCACCGGCCGCCCGCGCGCGCCAGCCCGGCCTGCACGGCCTCCATGTCCCTGCGCATGGCGACTATCGAGTCCGCCGTGCCGAGGAGCTCGCGGTAGGAGCCGCCCACCTGCGTGCGCAGGCGGGCGGCCTTGTCGTCGACCTGCAGGTGCAGGGCCTTGTGGATGGCGCGGATCTGGGGCAGGGTGTGGTTCGAGGAGAAGATCTGGGCCGAGGAGGCGAAGAGGCTTGTGTCGGGGGCTGAGGACGCCATCTTTGGGGGAGAGGGCTCTAGTCGAGGCTGAACGCAGTAGGATGAACGCAGTAGGATGAGCACAGTCCGAGAAGTTGGTGATGGTGGCAGAGTGAGAGATGCTGTCCCGACAGCGATTGCGAATGGTGTCTTGATCAATGGCCTCTCACCAAGATGTGACTTGGTGTCTGCCACTGCCAGCTGCGATCAACAGATCGACTTTTCTGCTGGTGATCAGAAATACATTGGTTGTGGAGGTTGTGTCTGGGTATGCGACCTGAGCTGTGCGTAGCTATGAGCTGAGGTGGTCTCTCACTACTTTAGAGTGGGCTGCAATGACAGGTGGGTCCACGATTTATTTGAACAACCAAGCAACCTTTTGGAAAGCTTTCTACAAATTGATTTCAGAGTTCAGCAACCCAAGAGTCCAAGACAGCCTGGGCTAAACCAATTGCCATTTCTACACGAATAAAGGAATGAGAATATATGCAGAGTGCTGATATTATACCGGCCAGCTATTTGTGTCCCTTCTACAGCTTGATACTCTTGATCAGACCGGTCTTGATACCAGTCAGCTCTCCTCCGTAGCCGCCTCTGCCCTCGCCGCCGCTGTACACTGCCTTCTGGCTCTTGAGCTTCTTGGTCTTCTTCTCGTACTGCTTGCGCTTCTTGACTCTTGGGTTGGCGACCTCCTTCTTCCGCCGAGGCCCAGCCAGGCTCTTGTTCTTCTCGATGGTATACGTAATCTTCCTCTTGCCGTCTGCGCCCACCTCTTCCTGCTCGACAATGCGGTCGGCCGCACTGGCCGCGGCCAGCGCCGCAGCACGAGAAGCCTTCTCCTCCTTCTTCTTCCTCGACGCCGAAGCGACGAGGTCGTAGTACTCCTCGTCGCCCGGAGCGTCCCGAGCACCGGCGGCCTCGTCGTCGCTGAGGTCGTCCAAGTCGGAGCCAAGCTTCGAGTTCTTCTTGCCCCGCTTCTCTGCCTCTGCGTTGAGCCGAGCCTGGCGATCTCGGAGCCTCTCCCGGTGTGGGATGTCCATGTCGCCACCAGCATCGCGTCCAGCCCCTGCGCGGCGATTGGCCTTCTGCACAATCTGTGAGGTGTAGAAGCGCAGACTCTTCTTGCGTTCGGCCTTGTCGGCAGCCGTCCTTGCGTCGATGATATCTTCTTCGCCAAAGTCTGAATAATCATCTTGCTCGTCTGTCCTGTCCACCTTGGCAGTTTTGGCTTTGGAGGACTTGCGCGGCTTGGCGAGCAAGTCTGAAAGGTCGGCAAGAGAAGCCTCGATCTCCTTGGCCTTTGCCTTCTTGGCCTTCTCCGCCGCCTTCCTCTTCCTGCTTGCCGCGATCTCCTCTTTGGTCTTGGCCACCTTGATCGGCTCAATAGGAGCTTCGGATTGATCAACCATATCCTCGTCAGACGAGACGCCGGATGATGCATCCTCGGAGTCCTTCACAGGCTTGGCCTTCTTGACTTTGAGCCACGCTTCGCGGCAGCTGACTAGAGTCTCCATGACCTCGTGGTCGCGAAGCTCGGTAGGGCTGAGTGCCTTCTGCGCGTCGCTGCCATCTCGAGAGGGCGAGGTGAGGATGGCAAAGTAGCTAGCAAGTGCCGCGACATAGCAGCCCAGCACCCAGTACTTGACCACCTCGAGAGACTTGCTGGGCTTGCCCTCAGCCTCCTTCTGGCAAACCAGCAAAAGCGGCTGAAGCTCTTTCAGTTCCTGCACCAGGTAGTCGAATTCCGGGTACCGGGCCTGGAGCAGTTTGTACCGATCCTCAGCAGACATGTCCTCGGATATCTCCACGTCCTTGAGCACCTCGGTGACGACCTCGTCATCGTCCGCTGCTTCCTTTTCAGGTGCAAGCCATTCATCCTCGTCAAAGATGAAATCAGCTTCGGACATCTTTGCCAGCTTTTTCTGCTGCAGCCTGCGTGCTTCGGCCTCCTCCTCCAGAGCATCGCCTTCCGTTTCGGCTGTGTCGGCGTTGTAGTACTCCTGCTTGGATGATCCCCACCACCCTTGGTCTCCCTCTTCCTCGCCGTCCTGTGCCTCTTCGTCTTCTGACAGTTGCGCGGCTTTCCTGCCCTTTTGTGGTTTTGGCGCAGGCCGGTCGTCCTCATCTTCGGAGTCATCATCATCATAACCAAGCACCTCTTCATCGGATGGTTCCAGGAACTCGTCCTCCCTGTTTTCTTTTCTCTGTCGTTTCGATCGCGGGCCGTCTTCTAACATGATCTTGTCTTTGTTGATAAAGTACTCCTCCTCCGAGTCGGCGAGGTCTTCGTACGTTGTGACGGGACCCAAGCGGGCATCCTTGGGATCGAGTTCTCGAGGGCCAGTCGGCTCTGCCGCCTGGCGGGAAGCCTTTCTCTTTTTGCCCATTGTATGAGATGCGCAATTTGCAATTCAAATAAATTTCGCAGTGTGCGACCTTGAAGAATGAAACAGCCGAACAGCAATTTGATTGCTGCTATCTGGTGAGAGGGCTTCCGTCTATCAGCCGGGTCCAGTCCGAACTTCTCTCGAATTATTTTTTTTTCTGCCGTTGGAAATCCCAAGACTTGCCCCACATGAGAACCGCCACGCCTCTCACCGCCAAAGAGTGAGCGCTAAGCTTCGGATGTCCAGGGCCCATGCGTGCACTAATTAAACCGCCGCGGGCTCGTCCAGGAGGCGCTGCAGACGCTAAGAAACGAGCTGCCAAGTTTGGGTATTGCTCTACTGTTGGCCTAAATAAATGCACAGCTCAAACTCCGTCGGATTTCATCATAGCATCCATGGATGGACCAGAGCGTCGACCTCTTTCAGGCCTCATGTGATTGGGGCGTAAGCTGACTACATTACCTAGCTTCAGGGGCAACAAAAAGCTTGCACAAACACCTTGAATCAGTAAATTATACATCCAGCAAGCCCTGCAGCTTCGGGCAAGCTCTTATTTGCATCTCCCTGTGCCTGGCGGGTTCAATATCATAACTACTAAGCTTCTTACTCCCCCGAGTACTAGAGGCACTCATGGGTGGCTTACTGGAAGTCACCAAATCCAAAGTTGCCATTGCTTCAGCGAGTGTTCTTGGCGCCGCTCTGCTCAGCACAATGGGTCTATTCGGTGGAAACCAATTCCCTGTGGAGGGCAAGGTGGGCATTACCATTATTCTCATCATCGCCGTGCCCATGGGGATTCTGACGCTGACGAATGTGTCCAGACTATCCTCATAACGGGCGCCTCCGATGGCATGGGCCGTGCCGCAGCAAGGCAGCTCGCAGCCAAAGGCGCCAACGTCGTGGCCGTCGGCCGCAACGTCGGCAGGCTCGAAGAGGTCGTCGCTGAGATGAAGGTACGCTTTCTTTGAGACAAGCAGCTGTGGATACCCATCTCCTGGGAGCTGCTTCGTCACATAGATGTCTTCCTCCTCGTCCTATAGGAAGCCAGACTGAACATATCCACAGGCCGCTGCCAAAAACCCCCAGCAGCAGCGCTTCCACTACATATCCGCCGACGTCTCGGTGCACAACTACGCCGCCGATGTCGTCGCCGATGCCATCGTCTGGAACAACGGCCGGGCCCCCGACACAGTCTGGTGCGTCGCCGGCATGGCCACGCCGGGCCTCTACACCCAGGACGACGACGCCCTGACCACCGCCCGCCGCCAGATGGACGTCAACTACTGGGGCGCCGCCGAGATGGCCCACGCCATGCTGCGCGAGTGGACGCGGCCCGACGCCGCCTCCCCCGGCGGGCAGCCCAAGCACCTCGTCTTCACGGCCTCGGTGCTGGCCTTCTACCCCATCGTCGGGTACGCCGGCTACAGCCCGACCAAGTGCGCCGTGCGCGGCCTGGCCGACACGCTGACGCAGGAGATGCTGCTCTACCCGGACCACCCGGTCCGGGTGCACGTCGTCTACCCGGGCACCATCCTGAGCCCCGGCTTCGAGCGCGAGCAGACGACCAAGCCCGCCATCACCAAGCACCTCGAGAAGGACGACAAGGAGCAGACGCCGGACGAGGTCGCGTCCAAGGCCATCGCGGGGCTGGAGAAGGGCGAGCACTCCGTCACGGTGTCCTTCATGGGCGACCTGATGCGCGTTGCCGCGCTCAACGGATCGCCGAGGAACAACTGGATCATGGACACGGTCATGGGCTGTGTCGTGTACTGTATCTGGTTCTTTGTGCTTCTCGTCATGCATGGCGACATCGTGAAGCACGCCAAGAAGTTTGGCCACCCGAGTGGGTATTCGAAGGGCGCTTGAAGATTGATGGGTTGTGCGAGAAGTTCTATGTTCTTTTGACGATTGTATATACCCCTGTGGGCGAGGCTTAATTGCAGCACCCTCAATCACAACAACAACCTCCGGATTAGCCGTGAGCACACAATGATTGGATGCCTTGAAAGCCAAACATTGGGCATCTATCACTTCGTCAGGCGCATGCACAAGTGCTGTAACGCTGGGCCGCAGCTTTTTGGCCAGGGAAGTTATTGGATGTTGGCCAATGAGGCTCGGACAGGTGCGCAATCGAAATGGCCAGGCCAATTGGTTGCTGCCGAGTCTGTTCCATTGCCCAAGGCGAGAATTGCGCAGCTGAGCATTGCAGTCCTAGGCACACTTAATTCTTCGACGGGCTCGCTTATCGTATAAAAGTGAATCTGCCTCTGTAAGAACCTGCCTTGCTAAGCATCCTGCTCATCGTTTTTCCCCAATTGGCCGTGATCCTCCATCCACTCTTACACAGCAATCTTGTTCTCACAAGTGGCAATGCTCTGCCGTCAACATCGATACAACGTTCCTTTCGAACAGCCATATCATTCTGTCCAATCTTCGTCACAGATACTGGAGCCTCGGTGCTCAATAATGACAGGGCTCACGAGACACGATGACACCTGTGGCATCGTAAAAGTCAATGAGCCTGATTTCGGATACTTCAACCCTCCCTCGTGGTATTGCTCTTATCTCTTGATATGGCTGCTGGTCACTTGCAGCCAAGCAACGAGCGGCCCAAGTGAGGGAGAGGATACTACCCAGGCCGGGCAAGGGCGACAGAGCCAGTTGCGATCCAACGACAACCAATCTCGGGATCGAGGACGAAGACGAATGCGACGACAAATCGACGACAGTGATGACGATGCTCCCGAAGACGAGGGGTCCCTCCCTTGGGCCGTAAAAAGCCGAGAAAAGAGGTTATCTTGCGCGAGCCCTTATTTGCTTGCCCTTTCCATAAGCATGATCCTCACATGTACAATGTGAGGGCATGCACCACTGGATGGCATAATATTCAACGTCTCACGTTAGACACCAAGATCTGGTTGGAAAAGTCGCTGTTGCTAAAATGAGTCCAGGGAACACATATACCGGAGCCATGCACATACCGAAATTTGTCTACGCTGCTCGAAGAACTTTAAAACCACCGACGAACTTTGGGCTCATCAAAGAACACAGCCGTCGTGTACTCTGGGGCCACTTGACTTGCGAGATCTTGTTCAAACTCTCAAGCAACTTCGAGGTGTAGCGAGCATAGGCACCGCGGTAGGATTGTGGTACTCGATTTGGATAATTTTTTTTCCTGGAGAGGAAGATTCGGGGACACCATGTAGGTCATTACTGCATAAAGCTGAAACTGCTGTGACTATGATGGAGACTGATTGTGATGCCAACCAACTTCAAGAATTTGGGTCTATGTGTGATCTTCAACCAAATCGTGACTCGGACTGGGAATCAGAATCTTGTTATTCGCATGGCACCAATGCATCCGATTGGAATGCAGAGGGAGACCGCAACCGGCGACCAGGCCTAGAAGCTGCACTTGATGCTGTTGAGCCCGAACTATGGACAAGTCGAAATGAGAATAGAAGCAAGCTACTGCTTAGCGAAATAATCGATTCTGTCAGCACTTGGCTTAAACGCTGTCAACAAGACGGGGAGCAGCAGAGGCTAGAGACGACTGAAGGCCAGGCAGAGTCCCAGCCATCCACTTCCGGCAGCTCGGGTCTTTTGGGAGATACCAAAGGAGCCGGAGCAAAGCGCGTTGCTGGACAAAAACGAAGACGAGATCAATGCCCAAACGACGATAGTAGCAAAGACGGCGATGACTCGGGGGGCAGCCACAAACGCTCACGCATGGCTGACAAGGATGTTCTGAGATACGCATGTCCTTTTCTGAAGAGATTCCCCGGGACATACAGGAACAAGAGACACTGCCTAGGATGGTGGCCTAGTGCCCACCGATTGAAGTAAGGACAAACCCGTACCACGTATCGCCACTTTACTCTTACCTATTATCTATCAGAGAGCATCTTTATCGTCAGCATCTCCAACCGGTGTCATGTGCACGGTGTTGTGAAGCATTTCCCAACATAGACGCGCTTGCGGAACATCAGAGGAGGCTTGTTCCTTGCGAAATAGGAGAGAGGCGACCTATCGATGGCATTGACAGCAAACAAGAGAGACTGCTAAGATCTAAGAGGAAGCTTGGAAACAGCGAAGACGAGAAGTGCCGAGCCATCTATCGGATTATCTGCCCACAACTTTCAGACGAAGAGATACCGTCTCTATGTTCGTTCTTTTGCCTGTTTGTGGGGGCCCATTGAGCCACCCTAGCTGACCACATCTAGACTGGGATGTCCCCGAAATGGCTTCAAATTCAAATTGGGATAGTGTTGACAGCCTCGATCAGTACGAGCGATTTGTAGCTCGTGAGCTGCCCATCCTCCTCCGCAGAATGCTCGAGCAAGATCTCGACCAAAACGATCATCTAACCAAAAGCCGAGTGATCGATATTGTGGAAGCGGCACAAGCCAAATTACTTCATCAATTTCGCGCTACTCGTCACTCCGGGCCCAATGCTTCACGACAAGCATCGTTGCGTCCGGAAGATCCGAAACCACCAGAGGGAGAGCAACTTCACAGTCCAGCAATGCCCTTAACTTCCACATTCTCTCCACTTCATATTGTCCCCGAAATGCTTCAATTCGACAACGTTTATGATTCTTATCTCGGTCACAATGGGGGAGAGACTACGTGGGGGATGAATGGCGAGGAGCAGAGTCTCTGGCCAGAGCTGCTAGGCAGATCTGAGCCGGCATTCTCCGGTGTCTGAGGGTTACATGTTTTCAAGGGCTGCTGGCTCCTACATTTGATACACAAGAGGTGTTATATGGCGTGATTCCGTCTTCCTGTCACGGTTCACTTGGATGGCGTTTGGGGTATTTGCTTTGGAAAAATGATACCAAGACTATTCCTTCAGGGCGTTACCGGGGGGAAGCTAGGAATTTGATCTAAGAAGACTAGAATCGATTCGATTTTCTGAGTGAAATCTCACTTTGAATTGTTGATCATGTATGTGCATCAGACCGTGTGTGAGGTCTGATGGCACATCCAGGTATCTTGCCATCGGCTCTATCCGGCACCGCTTTGATTTGAATGTCCGAGAGACCGATCCATAAATTATCTTCGACTCGATCCAAAGACTTGTCTTACATTGCGATTTGTGTCCGGCGAGTGGGTTTCGGCGACTTGCGTTGAGGATCTCGCCTCAGGGGGGTTGGCTGACTCCTTTCAGTTTGTCCTAGCCTTACCGAAAATGGGTTTGAATAGAACCTCACCTAAACCCAAACCGCACTCACCACAACCCCAAGCCTCGCCACAAACTGAGCCAGCAGATGAAATTGCGCCCAAAAAATGCGCCACCCAGGTGGATTGCATATGTTTGCAACTGAAGAATCTCTTTCCTACGCACAAATACCAAAATCGTCTCAGATGCTCGGTTTGCTTGCCCCCCTCAACAGGGCTCGCCCCTGGGTCGAGGCGAGTCTCGACCTTCGTTCTGCTTCCAACATCCTCGACGTAGGGTAGTTGCTTTGTCTATTTCGAGGCCTCTCGTCAAAATCTCTTGGTCTCGAAATTACCTGATTTGGGTCTGAATAAGATGCTGAACCTGTTTGGAGAGCCACGCGGCCGGAAGCTTCACAATGAAGTAGTCGATCGTCGAGTCCCGTCTTTGAGTCGGGCAATCAGCATGACCGACGCCTCGTCGAGGGATGTTTTTGTCCTTGAACTAGCATTACCAGAACAAACGTGTTCGTTTTGTCGAAGAGGGTGCCGTCCTTGGTGAGAACAGGTTTATTGTTGCCGCCCACCCCAGAAATAGCTTATTCACTGTCAATAGCACAATGAGCGCCCAGTCTATAAGATACCGATCAGTTCCAACCCCGGTATCCAATATGGCCTGTCTTTCTCCTCCTCGACCGAGTTTGAAAAGTCAAGCACCTTCAATCCCTTTCTTGACAACATTCATCTTGTGCCCAAAGGCCATACCTATATACCCGCTCCCACCGCGAGACTCACATACCCTATTCTCGAGTCTCACCCACCCCCCCTGAACAACACACTGCACACAAGCCTACACGCCACACAACCACCATGAGATTCACATCAGTCCTCGCACTGGTGGCCTCGGCGAGCGCCGTCGCCATGCCCGAGCCGCCAAGCTCCAAGGACGCCCGCGGGTGGTGCCCGATCCGCGGCCAGCCCTGCTGGAAGGTCAAGCGGGCCGCCGAGGCCCTGACCGAGGCGCTGGCCGTCCGCGCCGACGAGGGCCACCCGGCCGTCCGAGCCGTGGGGCCGGCCGCCGACCACGCCCGCCGCGCCGTCGAGTCGCTCGCCGCCGCCGTGGCCGCCGTCACCGACGACCCGGAAGCCTACATCGCGGCGCTGTACCTCGACGAGGCGTTCCCGCAGGGCGGGGACGAGGACGCCGCGGTTGAGAAGCGCGGGCCCTCCGCCGTCGACGCCGTCGAGGAGCGCGGGTGGTGCCCGATCCGCGGGCAGCCGTGCTGGAAGAAGACGCGCCGGGGCGAGCAGGAGGCGCGCGGGTGGTGCCCGATCCGGGGCCAGCCGTGCTGGAAGGCCAAGAGGGCCGCCGGCGCCGTCATCGACGCCATCGGGGGCGCCAACTTTGCCAAGCGCGAGGCGCTGCCCGAGGCCGGGTGGTGCCCCATCCGCGGCCAGCCTTGCTGGAAGCGCGAGGAGATGGCCGGGCTCGAGGCCCGGTGCTTCGCCGAGGGGGGCGCCTGCGCCAAGGCCCAGCGCGACCTCGACGCCATCTACAAGGCGGCGCGGAGCGTCATGGACGAGGTGCAGTAAAGGACAAGAAACGCACCCCTCCTCCCTGCCCATCAGCCAGCTGCGACAAGGCCGTCATACAAAACCCCACCGGCGTAATGGGGAGTACATAAAAAACCGACCAAACACCGTATATATGTATATATACCGATATTTCTCGTTCTTGATCTTTCCTCAAGACATTGGCCATATCTTTTTCGATTTTGGAAAGACACTTCAAAAGACAGAAAATGATATCCAGCGGCAACCGGACTTCCAACTCACATCGACAGCACTGTTGTCCATGTTTCACTTCTCCTGCCGAGTTCGCCACTCGGGAGCTTGCAAATACCTTCAACAATACGGCATACGACAGCTACGCCTTTTTTTTTGGTCCGAACAAGCCTTGACTTGAGGCTTGTAGGACCCTCGGAAGACCACTTGGAATGCCGCTCGGTCGCTGATAATGTTCCCATGGGGGGACAGACGCAGGACCGGATGTTCTTGGGTTGAAATTTTTTAGTCATCTATATTTGAGACGGTTCAGCCAAATGATTGTTCCCGAATTCTGTGCATGTTTGCTTACCTGATATGAGTGTCCTTTGTCTGAGCATCCTTTGTGTGAACCCAAGTCCAGACCATTGTTCCCTTGTTGTCAAGCTGAAGGTGCCAAAGTGAGTGAACACAAATGAAAATGTTGCATTGTTTCGCCGATTGTGATGGCTGTACTCCAAATTCTACCGATAACTGTATGGTCCCCCCTCCCACCCCCCCAGATTCTATATGTTACCCCTTTTCTGTTTGGGGCTGATAGATATGCCCTTTTCCGCGCCTGAACGCCGTTTGCATCGCCCCTTATTTTAGCTGTACATTCTGAGACTCCTCGCCGTGTACCCCGATTCACATCAGCAAGCGCCAGGCACCGAGTAGCAAGGCGGCGAAGCCAGTGCAGACGCCCATAAGCCACTGCAGGGTCTGGAACTTGACCTGCTCGAGCTGCTGGCGCAGGGTGGCGACCTCCTGCTCGATCTTGGTCTCGGTCTCCTTGATCTTGAGCTCCTGGCTGACGGCCTCCTCGCGGATGCGGCCCTTCTCGAGGTTGAGGTCGAGGCGGACGCTGGCCTGGGTGCGGCCGATCTCGTCGCGCAGGCGGGAGCTCAGCTTGGCGATGTCGTTGGTCAGGCGCTCGTGGGCGGCGCGCGTCGTGTTGGACTCGGTGCTGTCGGCGGACAGCAGCTCGGAGCGCAGCTTGGCGAAGTCGACCTTTTGCGTGTAGGTCGCCTTGGCGGCGTCCTCGCGCAGGACCATGGTGCGGGTGAGGTTCTGGATGCTGCGTGCGCGCGGGTCGTGTTAGTAGCCATGAGTGTAGAGGGTCTAGGGAGGCAACCGCCGGGCATTATTTTACCTCTCCTCGATGACGTCGTTCAGGACCTTCATCATGGCGGTGGACTGTTCCTCGGTGAAGCCTTCGCTCTGCAGGCGCTGGACAAACTTGAGCGTGTCGAAGTGGTGGTCTCTGCTGCGGGGAGCCGAGGCATGAAAGGCCCGGCGCAACGCAGGCTGTTGTAGCAAACTTGACGAGCTTGGCTGGCTTGCAGCTCTGTGCAGGCGCCGCGACGCAGGCTTGCACTGGGAGAACTGTCGAGCTTGAGCGTGGCAGGGGTGCTGCTCTTTGCTGAAAGGGCTCGAGATGACGACAACACCGGCAAGAGACCTGCTCCCCAGGGAAGCCGTCCAGCTCAGCCTGGGGAGCAAGAATCTTGGTAGAGGCTGCAGCGCACTCATGGTGGTTGCTGGAGTCCGGTAGAGGCGCGAATGCCACCAGAGCAGAATTGCAGTTTTGGTTTGCCGCGACGTTGAGAACCTCGGGAAGTTGGTTTATGGATTCAAGTAGATCCAGGAACGGGCATGTATGTACGGAGTACTTGTCTGGGCTGCTCCCCACTCAATGCGGGTAGTCGCGGACAAGTACCACAGCCACAGAATTGAGAAGTACAGGGGTGTCTCACGGCGTCCAATCTTATCGCTATCCCATCGAGAGCCACTCTCTGCCTGAGGCAGCACCCCTGGAAGCTCGGTGGGCTGGGGGTTTACTAGCAAAAATTTGGGACGGGCAATTCTCTCCTCTCTTTCTCTCCTTTTCTTTCTTCATTCAAATATGAACAACGCAAATTATCACATTCTCGAAAATGACCTGTTGATTCGAGGTGGCCCTTTACGGGACGCCCAGGACATATCGATTCCTTTTCGAACAGAATGGAGAACAAAGCGCACAATCTTGGGTGCGGTGCTTTTCTGCCTTTTGGCCGTGGGAAGGGCCGCAATGATTGAACGTACATATACATATTTATCATCGTGTTCTGCTTGCTGCCTCTCCCGGCATGCAGGTGAGGCTGCCCGAGTTTACCTGACAAGTCTGTCCAAGAGTAGTGGTAGGCTTGTTCTCGGCGTAATCTCGACAACCTGTTGTTGTAGAACAAAGGACAGGTTTGATCTCATAGTAGGGCCTCAAAAGGCTGCCATGCCATGCCTGAGAGATGAAAGTACGGACAAGGTGCTGTTCTGTACCTTGGCTCCGTGCTGTGCATCTTGGAGCTCACTCAAGTTCACTCACCAACGGTCCATCTTCTTTTCGATCACCACTTGCTTGTGCAGCAGCACTTTTCTTCAGCACAACCTCCAGTACCTACTGCCTCTGCACGTGATTGCCATCCATGCTCGAAACGTGACAACGCTCTGTCGCAGCTTCACATAACAAAAGAGTGGGCCGCGCAATTGCAAGGCACAGGAGCTTCCCAATTGGCCCGAGCGCTTGCAGGAGCTCCAAAGGAGAGAGGAGCCCAGAGAAGCGAACAGGTAACCATTGTGGAATTTACGTAGTTACCTTGTGCTGCTTCTGACACCAAACAACCCAACCCAGACCATTTCCATCTCCTTCTCACTTTTCCCTCATCATCTCAACACCTCGCCATCTGCCTTGCCTGTCTGCTCTCTCGCAACGGCAAGCGCACCTCTACGCAATCTCTTTCATTTTCCTTTTTCACCTTCGCGACTGTCCCTCGAGTTCCCATTTGACAATCTCGCGCATTTGCTGGACAGAGAGCTGACGAGCCCACCTCCTTTTCTGTCCCTCCATCACGACCTTGCCAGACCAGCATCCAACGTCGACTCATCGAATCCTGAGCACCTGCTGGAACCTGCCGATCCCACCGCGTCGCGCACTACAGCGCACAACCGCAGGTCAAAATGGCGCCTCTGCCCATCAAGTTTACCGAGGTGCTGCAGCTCACCAGCATCGGTGTTGACAGCAGTGCCATCGGCTTCAACTCTTGCGTACGTGGCCCACCTTCCTGCCTGGCCGAGCATGCCGCCCTGTTACTGCCGGTTACTGACCTGGGCTGCCCCCCATCACACAGACTTTAGAATCAGATTCCTTTATTTGCATTCGCGAAAAGAAGAGCGAAGCCGCCCAACCCGAAGTCGTCATCGTCGACCTCAAGAACGGCAACAATGTTGTCCGCCGCCCTATTAAGGCCGATAGTGCCATCATGCACTGGACCCGCCAAGTCATCGCGCTGCGAGCCCAATCACGAACCCTTCAGATCTTCGACCTCGAGCAGAAGGCAAAGCTCAAGTCAACGACGATGAATGAGGATGTCGTATACTGGAAGTGGATCAGCGAGACTACCATCGGCTTGGTTACCGACTCGGCTGTCTACCACTGGGATGTCTTTGACGCCAACCAGGCCGCCCCAGTTGAGGTTTTCAAGCGGAATCCTAACCTGAACGTAGGTTGACTGTTGCCGAGGGAGGGACGAGGTGAAATCACATAGTTGCTAACACGCCTTCAGGGTTGCCAAATCATCAACTACCGGGCTAATGTCGACGGCAAGTGGATGGTCGTTGTTGGCATCTCCCAGCAACAAGGACGTGTAGCCGGCTCGATGCAGCTCTACTCCAAGGACCGGGGCATCAGCCAGGCCATCGAGGGCCACGCCGCCGCCTTTGGCACCACGCGCCTCGATGGTGCACCCCAAGATACAAAGCTTTTCACATTTGCCGTCCGGACGACCACGGGCGCAAAGCTGCACGTTGTTGAGGTGGACAAGCCAGATGCCAACCCTGCCTTTGCCAAGAAGGCTGTTGATGTCTTCTTCCCTCCAGAGGCCACCAACGACTTCCCCGTCGCTATGCAGGTCTCCCAAAAGTATGGTGTCATCTACCTCGTCACCAAGTACGGCTTCATTCACCTGTACGACCTCGAGACTGGCACCTGCATCTTCATGAACCGCATTTCCAGCGAGACGATCTTCACAACCTGCCCCGATTCGGGATCTGCAGGCATTATCGGAATCAACCGAAAGGGCCAAGTACTCTTTGTGACTGTTGATGATGCCACTATGATTGAGTACCTTCTTCAGAACCCCGCCAACACGGAGCTTGCCATCAAGATGGCCTCTCGAGCCGGTCTCCCTGGCGCAGATAACCTCTATGCCAGGCAGTTCGAGCAATTATTCAATGCCGGCAACTTTATGGAGGCCGCCAAGGTTGCCGCTGGTTCACCGCGTGGCTTCCTCCGGACGCCGGAGACGATTGAGAAGTTCAAGCGTCTCCCTCAGGCTCAGGGACAAATGTCCTTCATCCTGCAATACTTCGGCATGCTCCTCGACAAGGGAGCCCTCAACAAGCACGAGACGCTCGAGCTGGCACAGCCTGTGCTGGCCCAGAACCGAAAGAACCTCCTCGAGAAGTGGCTCAAGGAAGGCAAGCTCGAGTGCTCGGAGCAGCTCGGTGACATGGTGCGCCCGCACGACCTGAACATGGCCCTCACGATCTACCTCAAGGCCGAGATCCCCTACAAGGTCGTCGCCGCCTTCGCCGAGACTGGCCAGTTCGATAAGATCCTGCCGTACGCTGCCCAGACCGGCTACCAGCCCGACTGGATCCAGCTGCTGCAGCACATCGTCCGTGTCAACCCCGAGAAGGGCGCCGAGTTTGCTACCTCTCTCGCTAACCACGAGGGTGGCTCTCTTGTCGACATCGAGCGGGTTGTGGACGTTTTCCAGTCCCAGGGCATGGTACAGCAGGCCACCGCCTTCCTGCTCGATGCTCTCAAGGAGAACAAGCCGGAGCAGGGTCACATGCAGACTCGCCTGCTCGAGATGAATCTGATGAACGCTCCTCAGGTCGCGGATGCCATCCTCGGTAACGACATGTTTTCGCACTTCGACAAGAACAGGATCGCTACGCTCTGCGAGCAGGCTGGTCTTTCCCAGCGAGCTCTGGAGCTGTACGAGGATCCCGCCGCTGTCAAGCGTGTTGTCGTCAACATCGCAGGCACCCCCAACTTCAACCTGGACTGGCTGACCAACTTCTTTGGCAAGCTGTCTGTTGAGCAGTCGCTCGACTGCCTCGACGCCATGATGAAGACCAACATCCGCCAGAACCTGCAGTCTGTGGTGCAGGTTGCGACCAAGTACTCGGACCTGCTTGGCCCTACGCGTCTCATCGATCTCTTTGAGAAGTACAAGACCGCCGAGGGTCTCTTCTACTACCTGGGCAGCATTGTCAACCTCTCCGAGGACGCCGATGTGCATTTCAAGTACATCGAGGCTGCCACCAAGATGGGCCAGTTCAACGAAGTGGAGCGCATCTGCAGGGACAGCACCCATTACAACCCGGAGAAGGTCAAGAACTTCCTCAAGGAGGCTCACCTTAACGAGCAGCTGCCTCTGATCATTGTTTGCGACCGGTTCAACTTTGTCCACGACTTGGTCCTGTACCTGTACAAGAACCAGCAGTTCAGCTCCATCGAGACCTACGTTCAGCGGGTCAACCCCAGCAGGACGCCGGCCGTTATCGGCGGTCTTCTCGATGTTGACTGTGACGAGAACATCATCAAGGGCTTGTTGAACAGTGTCAACCCTGCCTCGATTCCCATCGATGAGCTCGTCTCCGAAGTTGAGACCCGCAACCGCCTCAAGTTGCTGCTGCCCTTCTTGGAGGCCACCCTTGCGGCCGGCAACCGGCAGCAGGCCGTCTACAATGCTCTGGCCAAGATTTACATCGACTCGAACAACAACCCTGAGAAGTTCCTTAAGGAGAACGACCAGTACGACTCGCTCATTGTCGGTAAATACTGCGAGAAGCGCGACCCGAACCTGGCATACATTGCCTATCGCAAGGGCCAGAACGACCTCGAGCTGGTCAACATCACCAATGAAAACTCGATGTACAAGGCCCAGGCCCGCTACCTCCTCGAGCGTGCCGATCGCGAGCTGTGGAGCTTCGTGCTCAGCGAGAACAACATCCACCGCCGCTCTGTGGTCGACCAGGTTATCTCCACTGCGGTCCCCGAGTCCACGGACCCGGCCAAGGTTTCGGAGGCCGTCGCTTGCTTCCTCAATGCCGACCTGCCCGCCGAGCTCATTGAGCTGCTGGAGAAGATTGTTCTCGAGCCTTCGCCCTTCAGCGACAACGAGAACCTGCAGAACTTGCTCATGTTCACCGCTGCCAAGGCTGACAAGGCCCGCGTCATGGATTACATCCACCGCCTCGAGCACTTCAACGCGGAGGAAATCTCCAATGTCTGTATCGAGGTCGGCCTCTTCGAGGAAGCCTTTGAGATCTTCAAGAAGATTGGCGACAAGACCAGCGCGGTCAACGTTCTCGTCGACCACGTCGTTAGCATCGACCGCGCCCAGGCCTACGCTGAGGATGTCGATCTGCCTGAGGTCTGGAGCAAGGTGGCCAAGGCCCAGTTGGACGGCCTCCGCGTCAGCGACTCTATCGAGTCGTACATCAAGGCCGAGGACCCCAAGAACTACGAGGAGGTCATCGAGATTGCCACGCATGCCGGCAAGAACGAGGATCTCATCAAGTACCTGCGCATGGCCCGCAAGACTCAGCGCGAGCCGGCCATCGACACGGCCCTCGCCTTCTGCTATGCCCGCCTGGACAACCTGCCCGAGCTTGAGGACTTCCTGCGGGGCACCAACGTCGCCAACATTGAGGAGTCTGGTGACAAGGCCTACTCCGAGGGTCTCTTCGAGGCCGCCAAGATCTTCTTCACCAGCATCTCCAACTGGGCCAAGCTCGCCACCACCCTCGTCCACCTCGAGGACTACCAGGCTGCTGTCGAGTGTGCCCGCAAGGCCAACAACATCAAGGTCTGGAAGGAGGTGCACGAGGCCTGCGTGGAGAAGAAGGAGTTCCGCCTGGCTCAGATCTGCGGTCTCAACCTGATTGTGGACGCCGAGGAGCTCTCGACGCTGGTGAAGCAGTATGAGCGCAACGGCTACTTTGACGAGCTCATCAACCTGCTCGAGCAGGGTCTGGGCCTGGAGCGTGCGCACATGGGCATGTTCACCGAGCTCGGCATTGCCCTGTCCAAGTACCACCCTGAGCGCCTGATGGAGCACCTGAAGCTCTTCTGGAGCCGGATGAACCTGCCCAAGATGATCCGCGCCTGCGAGGAAGCCAACCTGTGGCCGGAGCTCGTCTTCTGCTACTACCACTACGATGAATTCGACAATGCTGCCCTGTCGGTCATGGAGCGTCCCGAGAACTCTTGGGAGCACCAGCAGTTCAAGGAGATCATCGTCAAGGTGGCCAACCTGGAGATCTACTACAAGGCCATCAACTTTTACCTGGAGCAGCACCCTTCGCTCCTCACCGACCTTCTGCAGGTGCTCACGCCTCGCATCGACGTTAACCGCGTCGTCCGTCTGTTCCAGAAGTCGGACAACCTGCCGCTGATCAAGCCGTTCCTGCTCAATGTGCAGACGCAAAACAAGCGGGTGGTCAACGACGCCATCAACGATCTCCTCATCGAGGAGGAAGACTACAAGACGCTCCGTGACTCTGTCGAGAACTACGACAATTATGAGCCTGTTGATCTCGCGTCGCGTCTGGAGAAGCACGACCTGGTCTTCTTCCGCCAGATTGCCGCTAACATCTACCGCAAGAACAAGAGGTGGGAGAAGTCGATTGCGCTCTCGAAGCAAGACAAGCTGTGGAAGGATGCCATTGAGACGGCCGCAATCTCAGCTAAGACCGATGTTGTTGAAGACCTTCTCCGCTACGTAAGTCATCTGCCTGTCAATGTCAAAGCAAGAGTTGTAGCGTGCTTTGCTAACATACAGTCTAGTTTGTCGATATTGGCAACCGCGAGTGCTACGTGGGTATGCTCTATGCCTGCTACGATCTCATCCGCCCCGATGTCGTCCTGGAGATGTCGTGGCGCCACGGCCTGAACGACTTCACCATGCCGTACTTGATCAACCTCATGTGCCAGCAGACCAAGGAGATCTCGATCCTCAAGGCGGACAATGAGGCCCGCAAGGCCAAGGAGAAGGAGCAAGAGAAGGTGGAGGACAACACGCCCATCCTGGGAGGTGGCAGGCTGATGATCACGGCCGGGCCGTCGGGCAACGCGGGCCAGGCTTCGCCTGCGCCGTTTGCCGGAGCCAACGGATTCGTTCCTCAGCCTACCGGCTACGGTTACTAGAGGCCGACGCCGGTGGTGCCAATGCAACCTTATAGGGTCGCTGCGGTGAACGGCACGCCGTACCATGTGTATAGTCCTCATTCTTATGTGCACCCGCCGTCGACAGCTCCGTCCTGGCCATCCGGATCGAGCCATGTGGCGGCCGGCTATGCCGAAAACCACCACATGCCGAAGCCAACGAGCGGGGCGGCACCGGCAGCTGCGGTCCAGCCTCTTGGGCAAGGCCATAATTAGCAGTGAGCTCTTGAATTTTGGTGGGGGAGCTGTGCTGTGTATTGGAAGACAAAAGGGCGGTGTTATGAGCTTTTCGCCTGTTCACGGACAGGAGAGAGATAATGTTTTGTTATGGAACACTTGTATGATTGTACACTACAGATAGCTGTGCCCTTGTTGCAATTTCGAGTTTCAAGTTCTTCATATTTCTTCTTTTCTATCCTTTGCTCCCCGCGTTCTCTGAATCCTTCAATACACATCAGCATTGCCTTCAAAAGATGGTGCTGGGAAGCGAGGTGAAGTGAAGCCGTCGAGGTAGGATTGTGTGATATTGCAGGCAAAATGGCTAATATCCCAGTTCTGGACTCGGAGTGGCCCGTGCACGCCTACATTGACCCCTGTCGCTGCTGACCAAAGAGAAAGAGGTAAGACGGCGCAGCGCTACGTAGCTCAACTCGTGGCCACCATCTCATGGCTGGCTTTGGACAAAGACAAAGGCACCATCCGACCGAACAGTCCCGCGACCCTTCCTCGAAACGGTGTTGAATAGACGTGCAGAGCTGGTCTCGAAGTGGGCGCGCCCGCTCCTCACTTGCTGACCGACGAGAGGAAAGCTGCCAGGCGCGCATCCAAACGATTGCCCGTAACGCCGAGCTCTGCCAAGCGCGATCCGTCGTCTCTGACAGCATGCAGTTTCACCAAACTCGTGTTGCGGTTGTCTAGACTCTAGACCTTTATTGCTGCCTGCACTCGGTGGCCTTTGTTGCCTTTTCGAGCATTGTATAACTACGCGAAAGATATATCCCGTCATCCGATTAGACAAATCCCATAGATCCGAGCAAGTACACCTATCCGCGATGGCGCAGGGCAAGCTGGTCGACGCCGAGGTCTTCAATGCCGGCGTCGACAGGACGTCGCTCGAGTCCAATTCGTCTGTATCCACGACCAGCCTCGTCTTTGAACGCATCGACGAACGATTGAGGCACGGCCCGTCAGGCATGTCCGAGAAACGCCCACCTCGCAAGTACCCGAGCCACGACCACGACACGCTCTCCGACCTCGACGACGAAGACCCGCTCAAGGAGGAATCGAGCCATGACCTCGAGACCGGGCCGTTTCTCGGCGGTGCCGCGGCTGCCGGCGCCGCCGGGGGCGTCAAGGGCATGGACCGCGGGCTGCGCAAGGTGCTCATCGTCGCGTCGGCGCTGTTCGTCGCGGCGTGGGTGGCCGGGCTGCTCGTCTACGTCACGTCCAAGTCGTACCAGCACACATCCAAGGTCGACCACGACCCGCAGGCTACCGTCTCGCGGGGCACGGGCAAGAAGATCACGATGGACCAGCTGCACAGCGGGTTCTGGCGGCCGCGCCAGCACGACATCAGCTGGATCGCGGGGCCCGGCGGCGAGGACGGCCTGCTGCTCGAGACGGGCGCCGAGGGCAAGGACTACCTGGTCGTCGAAGACGTGCGCGGCCAGGAGTCGGAGCAGGTCGCCGCGCAGAGCAGCAGGACGCTCATGAAGCAGGGCCAGTTCGAGTACGGCGGCCGGGTCCGGCAGCCCGACGACGCGGTGCCGAGCCGCGACCTGAGGAAGGTGCTGCTGGCGACCGAGTCGCAGAAGAACTGGCGGTGGTCGACGGTCGCAAAGTACTGGATCTTTGACGTCGCGAGCCAGAAGGCGGAGCCGCTGGTCCCCGACGAGCCCGACGCGAGAGTCCAGCTGGCGCAGTGGAGCCCGACGAGCGACTCGATCGCCTTCACGATGGACAACAATCTTTACCTGCGGAAGTTGGGGGAGAGCAGGGTCGTGCAGATCACAAAGGACGGCGGGCCGGAGTTCTTCCACGGCATCCCGGACTGGGTGTACGAGGAGGAGGTCCTCGGCGGGGGCAGCGCTACGTGGTGGTCCGAAGACGGCCAGCACATTGCCTTTTTGACGACCAATGAGACGGGCGTGCCGGAGTACCCCATCGCCTTCCACGTCTCGCGGCCCAGCGGCCAGAAGCCCAAGCCCGGCGAGGAGGGCTACCCGGAGATACAGAAGCTGAAGTACCCCAAGGCGGGCGCGCACAACCCCGTGGTCAGCGTCCGCTTCTACGACGTCGCGCTGGGCGACGTCTTCTCGGTCGACATCGAGGGCGGGTTCGCCGACGACGACCGGCTCGTGACCACGCTGGTGTGGGCGGGCAAGCAGGTCATCGTCAAGGAGACCAACCGCATCAGCGACGTGATGCGCGTCGTGCTCGTCGACGTCGAGTCGCGGACGGGCAAGACGGTGCGCTCCGTCGACGTGGGCAAGATCGACGGCGGCTGGTTCGAGATCTCGCAGAAGACGCGGTACATCCCCGCCGACCCGGCCAGGGGCAGGCCCAAGGACGGCTACATCGACACGGTCATCCACGACAACGGGGACCACCTTGCCTACTTCACCCCGCCCGACAACCCGGACCCCATCATGCTGACGTCGGGCGCCTGGGAGGTCGTCGATGCGCCCGAGGCCGTCGACCTGGACAAGAACCTGGTGTACTTTGTCGCCACCAAGGAGAGCTCGGTGCAGCGCCACATCTACAGCGTCAAGCTCGACGGGTCCGGCCTGACGGCCTTCACCGACACCAAGGCCGAGGGGTACTACTCGGGCTCCTTCTCGAGCGGCGCGGGCTACGCCCTGCTCACGTACAGCGGGCCCGGCATCCCGTGGCAAAAGGTGCTCAGCACGCCCGGCAACGATATCAGGTACGAGCACGTCGTGGAGGAGAACAAGGAGCTCGCCGACAGCGCCAAGAAGCACGAGCTCCCCCTGCTCGTCTACGGCACGCTCGAGGTCGAGGGCGGCGTGCGGCTCAACTACGTCGAGCGCCGGCCGCCGCACTTCAACCCCAGCAGGAAGTACCCCGTCCTGTTCTTCCAGTACAGCGGGCCCGGGTCGCAGTCGGTGAGCAAGGCGTTCCGGGTCGACTTCCAGTCGTACGTGGCGGCCAGCCTGGGCTACGTCGTGGTCACGGTCGACGGGCGCGGGACGGGCTTCATCGGGCGCGGGGCGCGGGTCGTGGTGCGGGGCCGGCTGGGGCTCGCCGAGGCGCGCGACCAGATCGCGGCGGGGCGGCGCTGGGCCGGGCTCGGGTACGTCGACGCGTCGCGGCTCGCCATCTGGGGGTGGTCGTACGGCGGGTTCATGGCGCTCAAGACGCTCGAGCAGGACGCCGGCGCCACGTTCTCGTACGGCATGGCCGTGGCGCCCGTCACGGACTGGCGCTTCTACGACAGCGTCTACACGGAGCGGTACATGTCGACGCCGCAGCTCAACGCGGCCGGGTACGACGCGTCGGCCGTGGCCAACGTCTCGGCGCTGGGGGAGTCGGTGCGCTTCCTGCTCGTGCACGGCTCGGCGGACGACAATGTGCACTTTCAGAACTCGCTCACGCTGCTGGACCGGCTCGACCTGGCGGGCGTCGAGAACTACGACGTGCATGTGTTTCCGGACAGCAACCACGGGATCTATTTCCACAATGCGAACCGGGTTGTTTACGATAGTGAGTTTTTTTTTTGTCTCTGTCCTTTTTGCTGTTCGGCAAGTAGCCAAGTTCCTGTGGATGCTAACTATTTGGGGGGGAAACTTGCGTAGAATTGTCCAACTGGCTCGTCAACGCGTTCAATGGCGAGTGGCTCAAGGTGAACCAGGCCAAGCCTGTTGAGATCACGGCCAAGGAGAAGAAGGAGTGAGTTGAGCCGAAATGTTCTGTGGCTTACCGGTGGTTTTTTCGTGAGAGCATGCATTATCATGGCGTTTCTAAGGGTGGTTTTTTTTTATTAAGTTTGATAATTGTCATAAGCCAAAAACATTGCAATGGACAGGAAGAAAGCTGTCGTGTGGTATCGTATTGTGAATAAGAAGAACAAGCGGCAGAACCAGTCAGCATTTGGTTTTGAAACCATCCAATCCATACCGTTTCCGTCAGGCACTCTTTTAAAAGTTCACATCGCAACCTCTCTCCGTCTAGCGTTGCAACTCTCCCGTCGTTAACTTCCTCGTCTCTGTCTGTCTGTCTGTCTGTCATACACACACACGAGACAAGACAAGACTCTCTCTCTCTACCCGCTCCTGACGAGCTGCGGGTACTCGGGCAGCTCCGGGTCGATCTTCTCGACGACGCAGGCGGTGCCGTAGGCGCAGACCTGGGCGAAGCCGCCGTCGCCCGAGGCGTCGAAGCGCAGGGCGATGACGGCGTTGCCGCCGCGGGCCTGGCACTCGCCCACGACGCGGCCGATGGCGTCGTTGCGCGCCGAGTAGAGCAGGTTGGTGAACCAGCGCAGCTCGCCGCCCGCCGCGGACTTGAGCACCATGGTCAGGCCCGCGGCCCAGTTGCGGGCGCGCACGGTGAGGCCGTAGACGGCGCCGAGCACGCGGACGACGCGGTACCCGGGGATGTCGTTCATGGACGAGGTGATGACGCCGTTTGTCTCGGTGAAGCAGTGCAGGTCCGAGAGCTCTGGGGGCATGCCGCCGCCTGCGCCGCCTGCTGATGATGATGAGGGTTGGTGGTGGCTTGATTTGGACATTGTGGTGGTGGTGGGCAATATTGGGGGATTCGGGGGTTGTGTTGTTTTCTTTTTGAGATGGAAAGGCTGTAATGTTAAGGCTATGAGTGCACGAGTTGTATGAATTTGGATCGCGTTTTTGGAGTTGGTTGATTGAGTAGTAGGAGGGATGACTACGAATTTGAGGGATTGCTCTACGCAGCTGCATGCGACGACAACCTTTTATACAAACAGCTGTTTACCATGCCTCCTCACTGGCACTCGTGGCGTCGCAGTACGCACTACTAGAGGCTCTCGGCCGATTGTCGTCGTCACAAGATCGGTGTCGATCCTCAGCCCAAGCCCGTAGAGCTAGCCCAGTTGAGCAAACGACCGTTGGGCTCCGAGAGAAGCAGGCTAGAAGGCCTGGATGGAAGGAATCGGGGAAGGAGAATAATGCCGCACGCATTCCCTCCCCTCTGGGGCCGCCTGCTCAGCCCACTCACTCGGCCGGTACTTTTTTGCGAGTTTTTTTGGAGTCTTCCCATGTGTGTTCTGATACCATGTGATGATGATTAGGTCCTCGGGGGGGGGGGCTCATCTTCCCTCCACCCCCCCAACCTTCCGCACATCAACTCGCCCCCGGACGGACTCCACCGCGTATTTCGCATTCGTGCCTGCATGTGCCAAGCCGGCGATGTGGGGCCACCGCCGGGCGTCTCCGGTGGAGGGTGGGGGAGAGCTGAGTGACATGTCTTGGCGCGATGCAGGGGGTTTTCTCGTGAAGAAGAAGAAACCTTCGTCTTGCGGGTTCCAATGAGCAGTGATCAGTCTATTCCATTGTCACATCTAGCGCAACTGCCTGCCTTCTTTGAAGCAGACGCTGACATCGCAAGGTCGAGATACGTCATCATTCGGCCTGCATGATGACCCGTCGTCCCTGACACGAGATATTCTGTCCGTCTCCCTGCCAGTGCTGAACCTCGTCACCATCGAGGGAAATTATCATCACTTCTCGCGATCATGCGCTGCTTTGCATGACCCAGCAACTGGTGTCGCGCATGGGATTGCTTTCTTCTCGAGCTTGAGAAAGGTGAATTCGTGAACGCCATTGCGGACTTGGGCACTCTTGAACGTCCGGAGGTGACATGACACCCGTGGCATTGGGCGCAACCGGGTTGGCCTTCCGTCCCAGCCTGGTCTGCGATGCGCCGTTTCGCCATGTCAACAAGTGGACATGGGTCCTTTGGGAGGTTGTACTTGTAGAAACCCTGGGCAACAGCCGATGTCTATGCAACAACTCGCCAAAGGGCAAAAGATCTACAGCCATGTTCCATCATCGGGTCGCCGGCCGATCCCAACCCCCACAATCTAATCTGGATCGCCAGCGATATATTAAAACCGCGGAGGCTGGCTCTCCTCCCATCTCTTTGTACGATAGATGCACTCTTCAGGCAAGAATTTAATTGGACAACATGCCATACATAGTACGCCTATTGGAGACACTCTTCTCCATTACGTGCACCGGGCAGGTAGCAATCCCTCCGCGAGATTCAGCCGGCGACCAGTTCCTGACCCGTCATCCCGGGACTTGAGGTCTCCCTTCCATAAGGGATTGAGCAGCAACGAAAATGGAAATATGAACTCGATATGCCCTCTGGCGAACACCCAGCCTCAATGGCATTTACAGACCCTGTCTCGCCCATCACAACACCCCTCGTAGACTGCTGAGTCCCACCCAGCCCCGAGCCAGCCTAGTATCCAATCCATCTTGAGAAAGGAAATGCTCTCCCGCCTCGCCCTCTCCGCCGCCCTCGCAGCCACCCTCGCGGCCGCCGGCACCGGCGAGGTCAAGTGCCCCATCATCTTCGACGGGCGCGTGCCCGCCGCCCTCGAGCCCTCGGCCTTTGACAGCGACGGCAACGGCAACCCCTACGGCGCAGAGTACGTCAAGGGCCGAGGGCTCACGTGGTCGCAGATCCTGCGGTTCCCCGCCGGCGCCGGCGCCTCGCGCTTCGAGAACGCCGCCGCCCACAAGCCGCTCGAGGTGACCATCGGCGACGGCTCCGTCTTCCAGGACCAGCGCGGGTTCCGGCGCGCGGGCCTGCAGTTCGCCGGCGACGCCAACACCGGGTCCCCGGGCGCCCGGGGGCTCGTGACGCTGCACTTCAGCGTGCGGCAGGACGCCGCGCGGCCGCTGAACCTGTCGCACGAGTACCTCGACGTGTGGCACGAGACGAGCGACTACGCGGCCGACCAGGTCATGTTCCAGGTCGGCACGCTGATCGGCCAGGAGCGCCTGCCGAGCGACACCTTCAAGGTCGTGTCGCGCGACGGCCGGCAGCTGTGGAGCACGCCCGTCGACGCCGGGGCCTGGCAGAACTTTGCCATCCAGATGGACTACCGGAAAAAGTGAGTTGCCAACTACCCCCGATGTGAACGACTCCCTCCTTTCCAAATTCCTCTTGTTCCGGCAGGGGGTTTTTAACGAATGGAGGAAAACACAGCACGGTCCAGGTGTACTACTCCAAGGACGACGCGCCCCTCGAGGTCGTCCTCCAGGCGACGAGCAACAACATGGCCGGCGAGGGCCAGTACCAGCTCGGCATGCTCAAGAAGCCCACGGGCACGAGCGACGTCGTCAACTCGGGCTACCAGGAGAGCGGCATCGACGAGGGGCAGATCTACGGCAGCGTCTTTCTCGAGGACAGCTCCAACGGCTGCGTGTCGTTGTGATTGTTATCGAGGGGGGAAGGGCTGAGTGAGTGAGTGAGTGAGGGAGGGTTTCGAGTCCACCGAGATGAGAGCCACGGCCTGTATAGAGAATACATATATGTACATGTATACATACGCACCATAAAACAGTCTCTTGCCTGATCAGAGTGAAACCCAGGATCCCACCTCATCCTCGATCAGCACTAAGGTTGATTTCAATGGCAAAGAGAAACAAGCCAAGTCGTAAAAGCACCATGAGAACATCTCATCTCCATAGAAATACACATGTATAAAACAACACAGCCTCAGAAATCTATGATTTGTTTTGAAAAACCCCCTTGCCCAGAACGCCAATACCCACCCACCTCTATCAAACAGTAACCACCCTCCTCCCCCAAATCTATCAGATAATAAACCTGCCGCCATCGTCATCGCCGCGCCTCCTCATCGTCGTCGTCACCTACCACCCCCTCCCTTGCCCCCAACAGCCTCCTCCTCGTCCCGATACACCCCCTCCGTCTCCCAGAGCGAGATGTCGTCCGCGTCCACCATCAGCGCCGCAGCGTCCGCGTCGTCCGGGTCCATCATGAGGCCCGAGTCCTCCCCCGCCACATCGTCATCGTCGTCGCCGCCGCGGACCTCGCCGTCGGCGGCGATCTCCTCGGCCTCCTCGCGCGCCAGCTCCGCCGCGCGGGCCATGGTGCGCCGGTAGACGAAGACGGCGACCGTCATGCCGACGAGCCCGCCCGCCATGGCCGAGAGGTAGTTGACGGCCTTGGCGCCGGCCGTCATGGCGTCGCCCTCCTCGGCGATGATGGCGAGGCGCGAGCCGATGAAGACGTGCGCCAGGAGCTTGGGGCTTTAATGACGACAAGTAAAAACAAGTTAGCATTACATTGCAACGTATGTATATATGTATACATGTGTGTGTGTGTGTGTAGCAATATATACATGTATTGAAGGGAAAATAAAAAATAAAAAATAAAAACATACCTCGCGAGCGCCGTGGCCAGCGAGAAGCTCCACACGCTGATGCTGGGGATCGTCGCCAGGAAGCCGTTGCTCAGGCTGTACGGCAGCGGGCAGAACCGCACGCCCGTGAGCACGAGCAGGCCGTCGCGCCGCAGGACCTGCCCCAGCGCCACGAACCGCTTGTCCGCGCCCACGAGCCGGTGCACGTACCCCGACAGCACGCCCCTGCTCGCCGCGAACGCCGCGGCGCTGCCCGCCACCGTCGCCGTCGCGGCGATGGGCCACCCCGCGGGGAACCCGAAGACGAAGCCCGCGACGGTGCAGGCCGTCGAGTAGCCGATCAGGGGCGGGAAGGCCGCCGCGAAGGTCGCGAGCCAGACGGCCAGCCAGCCCGCGCGGGACTCGCGCCACGTCTTGGCCAGGGGCCCCAGGGCGGCCCACATGCGCTCCGAGTAGACGAGCATGAGGATCAGGACGGCCCAGCCGGCGGCCGAGGCGGCGACGAAGAGCAGCCGCTGCGCGAGCGTCATGCGCAGCCAGAGGGCGCGGAAGCGCTCGCCGTACTCGTTGGCCGCGTCCCAGGCGCGCCGCGCGAGGGACTTGTTCCGGGACGAGGCCGACTGGCTGCGGTAGGGCGCCGAGAGGCGGCGGCGCGACGAGGCGGACGGGCCGCCCGGGTGGGAGGGCCGACGGGGGTGGATCCAGGGTGGCGGCGGCTGCTGGGAGGAGGAAGGGGAGGAGGGGGAGGGTTCCGGGGAGGGGGAGAGGGCCAGCGCGGCGGCGGCGGAGGAGTAGTCTGCTGGCATTGTGCTCGGAATGTTGAGAGGAATAAGGTGGTGGTGGTGGTGATGCCAGGAGGGCCGTTTTGTTGGGATGTATGTCTAGCTCCGGTTTGTCCGGATCAGGGCCGTGGGAGGACAGCAGAAGATGGCAGCGGGCTAGCTTGTCAGAGCCATTGATGATTCGTTTCGAATGCTGTTCGAGGCCGTCTTCTATTAGGGGGGGAGGAGGGACCTATTCGTCGGGTTGCAGAGAGGGAGCCGGCTGTAGTCGGACCCCTTGTGTCAGCAATGCGAGGCTTTTTGGCTCAGGCTTGTTGCGCGATGACTTACAAAAGAAGGCGTATATAGGTGATTCGAGCACTCTGGGGGACAGATTCACCACATCTCGGTCTTCAGGTCAAAGCTAAATACCAGTGTGTAATGCAGAGGAAGAAAAAGGGTTCGTGAGGCAACAGAGAATAACAGAGTTTCGTCGGAGGGTCGGAGGGTCGGAGACCCCTGTGCGCGCGCGTCAGGGCGGCGATAGTGCAGCTTACAGCGTCTGACATCAAATGTACTCGTATACTCGTACCTTATCGTGCTGGCTGACGTCGACAGTTCTGGCCCCAATCAGCTGTGCAGCTGTTGTACCTTTCACGGCTAATGACCTGGCAAAGGGTACTTGCTTGCTTGACTGACTCCGCCACGCTCCCCTTTTTAGGCAATCATTTTGGGATCAGCCCTGGGGAAATGTCCTTCCCCCCATATCGCGCCGCTCCTTAGGCGCAGCCTCCGGGACCCACGTGCTAAATCTCGGGGCTCTGGTCGCTCGTTCTGCTGTTATTAGTTCACCATGAACATTGGCCATCGAGGTAGGTATGTTGTTCAGGGCGAGAGCATCAATGCCATGTTTCACATTCCAATTCCCACAAGAGAACTAGGTACAGTTCCAACAGAGAACTGCAGTACCAGATTGGGCACTACAGTACTTCATACGACCCCTTTCCTGACATTTGTTCCCTTAAGCGCCTGCACACACACAAGAAAGAAGTGAGAGCCTTGCCCACAGTACTCCGAGCACGAGCAGACATCACGTAGCTTCAACACATAGAACCGTAAAGAAAAACATAGAGGATCTATTTCTACCCCGTCAAGCCTGCCCTGCCCTGCCCTCGTACACACCAGAAGAAGCTCAGACAAAGCCTCTGGCGCAACGCAACAGAAAACAGAGAGATATGTATATCAAACCATACCAGGGCGGAGCAGGCGGGGACAGACAACCTCGTCTCTCTAGTCTTTATGGGAAAGTTTTTACTGATTTCTTTGGAACCCCCCCTACGCTGTCTCTCTCTCTCTCTCTCTCTCTCTTCCTCGCCTTCTCTCTCCCCTCCCCCCCAGTCTCTTCTCACCGGCCGCCATTATTACCCCCTCGAGTGGCAGCAGGCCCCCTCGGCGGCTCCTTGGCCGACGAGTCCCTGACCAGCAACTTGACCCGCCCCTCGCCGATCTCGACGCCCTGCGCCAGGATATCAACATCCTCCTCCTCTCCCTCTTTGTCATTCCCCTTGCCGCCGCCATCGAGCGCCGCACCACCACCACCACTTGCTCCTCTACTCCCACCACCACTACCACCACCACCGCTGCTGTTCAACCTCGCACCGCCATCCGCATTATCCCTCGCCAAGCTCTTATCGTAGCTCCGCGCGTCGATCCCCAAGATGCCGCCCATGTTGTTCCGGTCGCTCGGCACCGAGAACTCGCGGTACGCGTACCGCCACTCGTTGAGGAACGCCCGGATCGCCTTGCCGACCTTGTCCTTGCCGTTCTTGCTGTGGTGGCCCGTGCCCGTGATGGCGTAGACGGGCCTCTGCTCCCGGCCGTTCTCGAGCAGCACGCGCTCCAGGTACTCGACCGCCTCCTCCGAGTGCAAGCCGTGCAGGTCCACGTAGATCTCCTGGCCGCCCGAGGCACTACCGCCGCCGCCGCCGTTGTGCTTGTTACGCTCCTCGTACAGCTCCCGCGCCGCCTCGCGATGCGCCTTGCGCATCAGGTCGTTCTCGCTCTGGCCCCGCAGGCTCAGCGCCTTGGCCGCGCGCGCGTCGTTGCGGTTCCAGGCTTGTGCAGCACTGTTTTGGGGGGGAGGGGAGGTTTTCACCTTAAGTCAGCAGAGCTTTCTTTACACACAAAATCTTACCATGACATATACGTGATGATGATGCATTGCATTGCTTTGCTTACCTTTGCAAGAACTTGTTCCTGAGGCCACCGTGCTTGATGGCCTCCTGCCGAGCCTTGAGGTAGGCCTTGTTGGCCTTGTCCCCCGTCTCCAGCCACGGTATGTGCTTGGGGCTCGGGATGTTCTGCGCCGCCGCGCTGTTCTCCCCGTTCCGGATGCTCGTGGAGCTGCCGTTCCTGCCCATCTTCTTGGCGTTCTGGCGGGCCTCGGGGCCGGGCGAGGGCGACATCTTGACAATGTCCGCCAGCGAGCTCGGGGCGAAGGTCTCCTTGTGGTGGCCGTGGCCGCCGCGCTTGCCGTGGTGCTTCTTACCCGCCTTGGCAGACGCGGAGCCCAGCGTGGGGAAGGCGTCCACGTCGTCGAGAGAGGGAGCGGCCTGCGCCGCGTCCTTCTGGTTCTGGTGCCTGCTGCCCGGCCGGGAACGCGGCCGAGACATGTCGACGGGATATCCGGGAATCTTGAACCCCGGAGGCGGCGTCACGCCGACGGCAGGATAGCCGCCCGCAGCGGCCAGCGCGGAGAGCTGCTCGGGGGTGCCCGGCTGGAGAGAGGGGAAAGAATTGGTGTCACCCAGCTGCAGGTTTGCCGCCTTTTGCGGCGGGGTGCTGGCTTGATCCACCGACAGCTTGTTGATGAGATGCGCCGGGTCGTGCGAGAAGATACAGGTCTTACCCGCCAGGCAGTTGCCGGCAACCCAGTATCTAAAGGACATATCATCAGCATCTTTATATTCCAACGCGAGACTAAGAGTCCAAAGAGGGAATGCCATACTTGCAAATGTGACTGCTCAGGTCGTGGCTGAAGCGGCAGTCTGCGCGGAGGCACTGCCCCGTCGACAGGAAGAACTTGCAAATGACACCAGACTTCTGGTCGGCAGGCGTGCTCGGCCGGATGTCCGGGGTGACGGACCGGCCGATGAGCAAGTTCTGCGGCTCTTCCATGGGCATGGCCGCCGCGGCCATGATGCCGTCCTGCGCCGCCTGGCTCTCCATGATGGCCGAGATGGTCGCGCCGAGGTCGTAGCCGTGCATCGCCAGCGCGCCCTCGATCTCCTCGTCGGTCCGCGTCTGGCCCAGGATCGAGCGCAGGATGTCGTAGGGCGTCATGTCGGTCTGCTGCGAGGAGGAAAAGGAGAACTCGGGCGCGGCGGCGTTGAGGCCGCTCGAGGTGCCCACCGAGGAAGTGACGCTGACGGCATCGTCGCTGACGAGCCAGTCCACGTTGTCCGACTGCAGATCGCCAAAGATCTCCTGGGCAGGGGTGTGGTCGTTGGCGAACTCGTACGCGTTCAGGCTGGGGCTGTTGGGGACCGGCGCCGCAAAGGTGAGGCGCGGAGAGGGCCGCGGAGAGCCAAAGGGCGAGGCGGTCGAGGATTTGGTGCGGGCGAAAGGGGTCGGGACGAAGCCCGGGGGGGCCAGAGGGCTGACGCCGAGGCGAGGGGATCCCGAAAGAGGGGTGCCGGATCCGCGCCAGGAGGCAGGGGAGGGACGGCGAAGGATGGTCTGCCGTATCGGGGGTGGAGAGGCGGCGCTGGTCCCGCCTTCGCGAAAGCGCCAGAGCGCGTCTAACACGGCATTCTCCAGAGCCTGCCCCTGCAGCTTGGTCTCCTTTCGGAGCAGCTCCTCTAGCTTGTCTGTCTTGTCCTCATCCTCCAGGGTGGCATCCTGCAAGATGGGAAGGCATATGTCATAGGTCTCGTCAGAAACCATGCTGGCGCACTGGATGTATCTGGTTCCTGGGGCCAGGTCCAGTCGAGTTGAAGTGAGTATCGAAAGAGAAAAAGTAGGAAAGAAAGCCGAGATATGTTTCGAGAGCGTTATCGGTCGTGAAGAGGGTGAAGCCGAGGGAGTGGTCGTCGATCAGTTTATGTATTACTACTCTAAGTCGGGGCGATGGAGCTTGTGAGACGGTGAACGGCAAGTGAGAGGGAGGCTGGCTGCGCCCGGCTCCTGCTGTCAGCGCCTGGGAGAGCAGGTGGATGAGTTGGAGATGAGGTCGGCGTGCAGATCGGGGGAATCGCAGGCCGAGAGAGGGCCAGGAACGAATGTGCGGTGAATGACAGGCTCGGGGCGGGAGTCGGGCGGGAAGCACAAGGCCAAGAGCTGCGTCGCATCGGCGAGCTTGTGGAACGGGCAAATAGGCAATCGAGAGTCAGCTGTCGAGGCGTCGCAGTGGTCGTCGCCTAGCAGCATGGTGTCATGGCCGCGCGCGAAGGGGTTGATAGTGATGCGGGCGGCGCTGATAACAAGAGTGTCACGCAGACTCGCGCCTCGCTTGCCTTGCGTCAAGTTCTGGGTCAGGGTAGTAGTCAGGGCAAGGTAGTCAGGGTAAGGTAGTCAGGGGTGTTGCTGTAGTTATCGGACCTCCAGGGCGGGCTGCAGGTCGTTTCTTCGGTCAAGAGGCGCAATCAGAGTGTGGCTGGTGGTGGAGGTAATTAATTTCCAGGCAATAGAGAGAAACAAAGAAATCCGCCCCAGACTGCGAGACACAAAAGAGATTACCTACATAGGTATGTAGAAGAAGGGGAGGACAACAGATGAGAGGAGAGGTTGAGTACTATTTGGGGGCGGGAGACGGGAGAGGCGAGATGTTCAGCTGTTATCGAAACAGAGGCTCTGCCTTGCCTGGCTGAGTGACAGCATGCAGTAATGCAGCAAGCTGGCGGAGATGAATCAATCAGATCAGAGGGGGAACTCACTGGAGCAAAGGCTAATGATAGGTACACTGATCCAGCTCAGGCCAGCGCTGAATTTAAGGGTCATGACGGGCTCAGTGGAGCCTTGGGGGCGAGCCTGACTGGCTGGATTGGGCGCGAGTTGCGGCCGCGTTTGCGTGGGGTTCCTCCGGCCTGCATTGATTTAGTTAGTTACCTAGGTAGTTAGCTGGCACGGCTGCGAAGCTGGAGCTCACGACGGACGGCCCCTTCCACTAGCCTGACTGGTAGGACTGTGCTCGAATTAGGTATTAGAGTCTGATCGTCGGTCGGTCCCTTGCGCTAGATTGAGAGCATTCTATCTGTTTGATCTCTCCAGTGTGGTGCCATCCCGCCAACTGGATGGATCCTGTTTTGTGCGAGACACATCCCCTGAGCCCGGAGCTGATGATAATGCTACACACAACGGACATCGAGGGGCCGGCCCTCTCCAGCTCACATCTTGGGGGTCATACAAGGTCGACCTCATCCCAGCTACCGGTCAATCTGTTCTCATTCTAAGTATATAACAAGTGTCGACTCTTACGATAGGAAGGTGGAACTCCAACCCGATCCTTTCTGTACATGGCAACTTGGCCCTATCCTTCATGCTAGGTACAAACCTCAAGGGTCTCGCAGCGGCATCGGCTTCGTAAGAGTCAAAAGGCGAAACAGTCAGCTCCAATGACACACCCCTTCTTCAAACCCCCATTGCAACTCTGACTGTCCTGTCCGTTCATAACCTCGAGCGGACATCCACTTTGCCGGCATCAGTCCTATCATTTCCCCCCTCCGTCAGCATCAAACACGTTCTCCCAGGTTAGGTTTATCTCGCAAACAACAACAAAAAAAAAAAAAAAAAAAACTTACTTCTTCACATTCTTCTCCGTCTCCTCCCGGATGCGCCGCCCCAGCGCCGCGTCGACCTTGTCAAACATGCCGTACGTCCGCTGCCGCGTCGCCTCGTGCGCGCCGCAGAGGTGCACCGCCACGTTGTGCACCAGCGCCTCCTGCTGGCCCGGCGTGCGGCCCAGCACCGCCCACAGCGCGCCCGCCTGCACGTAGTCCTCGGGCGTCACCTCGCCGAACAGCGCCGACGTGACCTTGCCCATCCACTCCTCGTGCGACACGCTCGCCGCGGGCCGGTACCGCAGCGCGCGGTACGTGCTCGGGTAGTTGGGGACGGCGCCGTAGTTGCCGTCCACGGCCATGGCGCCGTCGCGCTGGAACGGGTTGAAGGCCGCCAGCGGCCGGTTGACGGGGATCTGCTGGTAGTTGGTGCCCAGGCGGTGGCGGTGCGTGTCCGGGTACGAGAAGAGGCGCGACTGCAGGACCGGGTCGGCCGAGGGCTCGACGCCGGGGACCACGTGCGAGGGCGAGAAGGCGAGCTGCTCGATCTCGGCAAAGTAGTTCTCCGGGTTGCGGTTGAGCGTGATCCGGCCCACGGGCCGCAGCGGCACGTCCTTCTGCGGCCAGACCTTGGTCAGGTCGAAGACGTTCCAGCGGAACTTCTCGGCCTGCTCCGGCGTCAGGACCTGCACGTACACGCTCCAGCTCGGGTGCTCGCCGCGCCTGATGGCCTCGAAGAGGTCCTCGGTGTGCCAGTCCGGGTTCTCCGACGCCATCCTGCCCGCCTCCTCGTTGTTGAAGTTGCGGATGCCCTGGTCCGTCTTGTAGTGGACCTGCACGTAGACGAACGAGCCGTCGGCCTTGGTGAACTTGAGCGTGTGGCTGCTGTAGCCGTTCATGTGCCGGTACGAGTACGGCGTGCCCCGGTCCGAGAAGAGGATCATGACCTGGTGGATGGCCTCCTGGTGCGTCGAGAGGTAGTCCCAGAACATGGTGGCGTCCTTGAGGTTGGTCTGCGGGTTGCGCTTCTGCGTGTGGATGAAGACGGGGAAGTTTGTGGGATCGCGGATGAAGAACGTGGGAGTGTTGTTTCCTGCAGGAACGGTGTTTAATGACCGATCTAGGTCACAGGAGAATTACTAGAGGTGAGTATCTTACCAACTAGATCCCAGTTGCCTTCATTCGTGTAGAACTTGATTGCGAAACCTTTGAAAGATACATGTTAGCGGGGTGCTTGGTGGTCATAGAAACGGTACTCTCATGGAAGTGAACATTACCTCTAGGGTCGCGGGCCGAGTCCGGCGAGCCCTTCTCGCCTCCGACGGTCGAGAACCGCACGGCAAGAGGCGTCTTCTTGCCGATTCCCTGGAATAGATCGGCGGAGCAGATATCGCTGATGTCGTGGGTCACCTCAAACTACATCATCACGAGTATTGGGTCAGCGAGATATGATCATCCTCGACACAGACATACTCCGCGGGTCCGTAACTCACCTCGCCAAAGGCACCGGCACCCTTGGCGTGGACGACACGCTCGGGGATACGCTCACGGTCAAAGTGAGCCAGCAGGTCGATCAGGTGGAAGTCCTGGAGCAGCAGCGGGCCGCCGGCGCTGTTGCCGACACGCTGCCACTTGGTCGGGTGCTCGACGGGAGCGCCATTGGAGGTCGTGTAGACTGGCTTCTCGTTGTACCGGTAGGTTGAACCGGGCTTGTCGTCTCCGGCGCCCATTTTGAAAAGCTCCTTTATTGTGTTCGGATTATTGTGTTGTTGCTAGTCGCTGTGTCTAGGGGTTTTGATAGATAGGTCTATCTTCGAATCTTGCGAACAAGTTGTATAAGTGCAATTCCAGGCTGTATCAAGAACCACAGAGACAAGAACAATTACAGAGTCTAAAAAGAACCAAGGAGAGAGAGACAGGACCATAGATAATCAGGTAAATTGGGCCAAAGCTAGCATATAAGTGAGTGAGAATGGTCCATCGGGGGGAGACCGACCGCTGCTTGTTGCTCTGGTGCTGCCCGGGGTAGACACGGAGTGGGACTGTCTCGGGCCCAAGTACAGGTACATCGTCGCACTCGCCCCCTTGGCTGTCTAACATCAGCCAATCGAGTTGGCTGGATTTGAGGTTCTTGCCCGCAATCGGCCTGGTTACCAAGCCCAGGGCTTGCCAGGCTGAACATGCGGGGGAGCTGTTACAAGTAGCTACTTGCTGTTGGACTCGGGGAGATAGGCACTCTAAAACCTTACCCAGTGATCGGCTTTTCCTATCACTGTTCTGTTTTCTACGAATGCAATCGAATGCCCTGAACGCCTTGTTTGTATTGAAGATAAAGAGGCTCTCTGCGAATGGCTCGATTCTGCTACGAGTTCTGTGCTCTCAAAGCAACAGCCAATTGTGTGATTGTGAATCTTGAGACACAGCTATGGGTGGCCGCCAAAGAATCGATAGTGCTGAGGGGAAAGCACTCCATTGGAGATGACTGGAGATTGCGGAGAAGACCAGACAACGCTTCCATACCTATGATTCTCTGGCAGACCACAATCCCGATGATGATCCAATTCTGGCAACATGTTTCGTCCGGCCGCTACTTGGTTGTTCTCTAGTTAATAGTATCCGTCTTGAACCACTGCAAGCCTTCCCTGCTCTGGAGACTCGTGGTTTCTCCTGATTTGGAAAATTGGGCGAGTTGCCTGTTCAGGAGAAAAAGCGAGAAGCACAGGCTGGGCTAGCCCAGACGCCGGGCCGGTGTGTGAGTGTCCGGGCCGGTGGAGTAGGTAGAGGCACTTCAAGAAGAGGCTGGCTCTCAGCGTGAGCAAAGGCAGCTCTAAGCGACGACAAGACAAGCAGGGAGGCCCACTTGCACTCGAATGAGGAATTATCAGCCCGGGATCGGCTTCCCCAAACCGGTCTGTGTTTGCCGCCCCGAGGACTCATCTCGCACCCCCCAGGCTCGGGTTCTCCCGACCTTGTAACGAATGCCCTCTCATGGGCAAGGGCAGGTCTGAAGAAGCTCGAATGAGACATCCAGAATATTTAATACCCAGCTCTTTTCGTATATTTTTTTGTTTTGTTTTTCTTTCTCTCATTGACCAGAGTGTATCGAAACCACACTCATTACGGAGGTGAGCCGGCCACCATAGCCGTAGCGCCCGATCCATGTCGAAGTACCGGTACTTCCCTACCCAACACAATTCACGCCGCCGATGCCAGCCGACGGATAACCACGGATTGGACGTGAAGTCAACACATGGATTGCGGTGCTCGGATTTGTCTCGGCGTTATGCATGTACTCTTCGCTCTCTGGCGTGCAGCAATGAAATACTTCAGCGTCGTACGAGGTTCTTTGAACAAGTCTGGTCGGAAATACTCTTCGTATACCAATGGAACTGTTCCCCTGTTTCATGATAATGGTATGGCAATTATGGGAGGGCCCAAGAATGAGAACACTTGAGTACTTGAAGACTTGACCTGCAACAACGAAACGAGAAGACGTAGAAAAGTCTAGTTTCACAATATTATGCTTCGAGGATCCTATACCTCAAGCTCGTTCATTAGTAAAGTCGTACAGTACCAGCCGGGCATGTAATGTATATCATGTATGTGCTTGCTTGCTCGTCGCACATCCCGCTGTAGGTGGCGTCCTCTCCCCCAAACGAGAGATCCAGCCTCGCCATCCCCAGCCAATAGGCTTTCATCCACGTCGCTCCTCCAAGAAACGCCGTTGCTCTCAATGCTTCAACCCCGAGCCGCTCATATTGGTCTATTCCAAGATGTCATAGCGGCACCTCGGTTCTTCGTTCTGTGTCGTTTTACTTCATCTTCAATCAAGGTGGTGTTGTACAAAAAGTTAATCATGGTGCAAGGCGGACGGGCTCCTCATTCTTGTTGCACGGTCGACTACGTCCTCGTCAGTCCTAGTACGTGATTACTTCGGCCAGGGGGAAAAAAGGTTATAGGAAAGTGTGCATCGCCCAACTTACCACAAGCCAGTCCATGCCCTCGTTCACGCCGCTGCCGTCCACGGCTGAACAGGCCATGATGCTCCAGTTCCTGTCCCTGAGCTCGCCTAGCCGCAGGGCCTGCGAGATATCTGCTGCGCCCTTGGCTCCCGGCTGGTCCTGCTTGTTGGCGAAGACGAGCAGCGCCGCGTCCTTGAGCTCCTCCTCGTTCAGCATCGCCGACAGTTCCTCTGCCGCCGTGTGGAGACGTTCGATATCGGTCGAGTCGACAACAAAGATGACCGCCGCCGTGTTGGCGTAGTAGCACCTCCAGTACGGTCGGATAGAGGTCTGACCACCCAGATCCCAGACGTTGAAATTCAGGTTCTTGTACGTCACAGACTCGACGTTGAAGCCGATGGTAGGTATCGTCGTCACCACCTCTCCGATCTGATATAATCCGTAGCTCGTCAGCCTCAACTCTCGAGCAGGGCGCTCGCATATCTCGTGCAATTCCGTACCTTTAACCTGTATAGCAGTGTCGTCTTGCCGGCGTTATCCTATGGCATGGGGCAAAAGCATTAAATGAGCGGTCCTGGAATCGTAAGAAGGGCGGGTCAAGTCCATACAAGACCAAGGATCAATATTCTTATTTCCTTCTTTGCCCACAGAAGGCTGGAGAACCACGACATGCTCTGACCCATCTTGTCTTGACGAGAAAGCCGAGAAGCCTACAATGTACCAAATATCGAGCGCGTGGCTTTAGGGACGATCTTTGTAAACGGCGGAAGCTACGGCGCTCTGTGGCTTGTTTCGTGGCGAGGACCTCGTAGACTTGTCGCAGGATCTGGCTCGTTCGCCCGGCCTTGTGGTACTAAGAGAGGGTTCGAGAGTTTGAATCGGAAGACGGGCGCGAGGAAGGGGTATACGTCGTAAGATTTCTGAATGATACAATCTCTTGGTTCAGGAGCAGGGGTTGCAACTTTTTGATGAGGCCGCCAGATCCAGATCTATGAAAGTGGGATAAAGGGTCCGTGCTCTTCTACAGTTGCTTCTCCTTTTGTCTCACGCGACGGCTTCTGGCAAAGAAATGCCAGATTTCTAATGCTTGGCGCGAAGCTGACCGACTCGTCCCCACAAAACGCAAAGCCTCACTTCAACGCTTCGAGCCGGCCTGGCACACCAATCCCCGCCACCTGACTGCCACCTGCCAGACAAAAAAGCGGGAAAATTCTTCTACACGTGACCCAAATCTGGGCGAGAGGGCTTTCCGAATCGCACAACAATTTTCTAGGCGCCTCGAAATCCACCGTGGAAAGAACATCACGACCAACCGACCAGACACACCCTCGGAATTTCGACAACAACCGTCAAAATGCCGGTATGTAGACGCTCATTCCCATCGATACCTTGTCGTTGATCTATACGATTCTTATTCTGCACTTTCATGACGGATGGTGTCGCTCTCCATGAGCTGCATCGCCCTCTTGAAACCACGATGAGAACCTGGGTCATCTTATCACGGATCATGGACTAACGGGATCACTTTTTCCAACAGAGCCACAAGTCTTTCCGCACGAAGCAGAAGCTCGCCAAGGCGCAGAAGCAGAACCGCCCGATCCCCCAATGGATCCGTCTCCGAACTGGCAACACCATTAGGTACGGTTTATCACCCGTCCTTGATGGAGAGGCAAGGAGCGAGAGCGGATGAGACGAGGGAGGGGAGAGTGCCAGAGAAGGAGATATGGGTTATTCTTTACTCGAGGGCTCTCCTCGAACCGTCCAGATCTTCTCTCGAACGCCGCAACGCCCGAGCAACATCAGACATGAATACTAACGTGCATTCTCCTACAGGTACAACGCCAAGCGGAGGCACTGGCGCAAGACCCGTCTCGGTATCTGAACGGATCGCCGACGACGACTTGCTTTTCCGCATACCCGTTTGCCTCTCTATTTCTGTCTCTCACCACGTACGCACACACACCCTTGGGCGGACAACTTCTCGTCCAGTACCGGCTCTCGAGTGAACGACGATGGAAAGTGCTTATGGACGGAGTTCGGTCTGGAGGGAGGAATGAGGAAAATCTCTATGCAGTGTGGAAGGGAAGAAATGCCGGGTCTTTGGTTTGCTGGGTCCTTGCCCAGTTATTGCATTCAATTGGGGTAAATGGAAATGAAAATTCAAAAGGCATTGCGCTGATCAAAGATATACACGACTGTGCAACTCGACTATTGTGATGTGCCGGTAGGCTCGGCGGCAAGACCGAGTATCATTCACTGCCCTGAGTATGCGTCATCGATGCTCCTTGTTGTATCATGTTGAAACCGTAACACGCGAGGCCTTTGGATCAAGCACTCTCTGTTTGCTCGTGACGAGGCATAACATTTTTGCACTCTGAAAGCAGTAAACCACTACCGATGTACTTTCGTCCATGACGGCTCGTAGTCATTACCAATTACCCGCTGCTTGACCAGACACTCATCCGCAGACAACCATGCTCCCTTGACCCACGGTCCTTCTCATCGCAATGACAGCCACTCTCGAACAATACGGGACCGAGCAAATCAGTTCATGCAATTACCTGATTGCCTTGTAACATCAATACCGCTTCATGCGTGGCACAGCTTATCAATCGAGATGATTCCTGTGCACCTACACGGTGCCCAAGTCCGGATACTCAAAACATGAAATTGCCCCGAGGCGCCTGTTCAATTTATCGCTGTTCAAGTATCGAAATATTGAGCAGCTGAAGCTACGCAAAAGAAAAAAAAAAATTACAACTAACGCCATGAATGTGCGCCGGAACTCATACCCCGAACCCGGATATTGAGTAGTCACGTCATTGCCGCATCCAATTCGCGGCAATCGTCATCCAACATGCAGCCCGTGTGCATTTATCGGTCCTCAGCCCACTCGTTCTCACGGCGGATCTGCTCCTCCTCCTCGGGCGTGAAGTCGTTGGTGATGTTAAAGGTCTTGCGGATCTCCTCCGGCGACTTGCCCTTGATCATGTTGGCAACAGTCTTGCAGCCAACATCCAGCAGGTTCTTGATGTCCATGTAGTTGGCAGCCTGAGTATTATCCGAGTTAGCGATTTAATTTCTACACAATGAGAATGAATGGGGGAGAATGTTGGGGAGGCACATACAAGAATGATCTCGAAGAGCATCTCCTGGTCCACCTGCATGAACTTCTGGTCCCACTCGTCGATATCGGTGGTACGGCGGCGAGACTCGTTCTCCTCATCACCGGTCGAGGGGGGGTCGTTTCGGTGATGCTCGCACCACTCGATCACCTTCTTGAGGACAGCCGAGTTGACCTGCGATGCGTTTGGTTAGCAAGACCAGCGAGTGCATCGAGGGGGTGCTGTCAACTTACATTGGGCAGTGGAACAACCTGCTGCGCGATCATATCCTCGCCTAGGTCCTCGATCATGTTCTTCAGGAGAATAGAGCGCTCGGCGACGGGGCGGTCGACCTCGACCTTGTCGCCATCGCTGCTCTGCAGGGTAACCTTATCGATGGAGCCAGACATCTTTGCTATCGAAGTGCTAAGAGTTTATAGTAAGCGACGGGGCTCTGAGAGAAGGATGATGAATGATTTGTGCCGAGAATGCTCGAAGAAAGAGTGCTGTCAAGCGTAAATAGATTCTGGATGCGCTTTCGGATATGGAGTGCGAAGTTGGAACTCGGTGGTGATGTCTGATGGGTGGGAGAAAGATGAAGGGTCGGAGAGCGGGAGGAAGGGGCTTTTTATGCAAATCTGGCTCACCTTGCCGAATCTGAATCTAGTTTGGGACGATGGAAGAGGTTCAAGGACAGAGTGCTTTGAGTGACGGACAAAGCTGAACGAACAAAGTCAGTAGTTCGTTGGTGGTTAGTGGGGAAGTGGTGAGTGGGTGAATGGTGAAAGGCGGCGGAGGAGGCAGTGACTGGCTAAAGTGGGGATTTGCTAGGTAACCACCACCTACTTGAGTGGGGGAATTCTAGGCCAAGCCGACAGAAGGGGCTAACATCACTGTTCAAAGCGCACAGACAGGCAGGCAGTCGCTTGCAGCTGCCAGGGGCTTGCTGGTTTTCGGATGATTTCCAAGTAAATGTGATATCAAAGCAATAGCACAGGAACAGGTAGAACATACCTTCCGTTGGGCACGAGCACGTGTGTTTGAAGTCCCTGACCTGCTCAGGGCAACGCAGGTGAGATGAAGGGTTTGAGTTGGATCAGCCTTTTCGGGGGAAGACCCTACTTTAAGTACTCACGCATCAAGGCTGATCCAAAGTCAACCAAGATTTGGAAGAAATGGATTGCAGTTTGCATTCGGCAGTGTTTGCTACTTCATGGTGTCTGCAATAAGGGCACACAGGAACTCTGGACATGCATGGCCCTGAACCACTCAGGAGGTGCCTTTGGTTGATGAGAAGCACAAGTCGGCAGCGAGAACAATGCTTCAAGGCCAGGGGATGAAGAAAATATGTACTGCTCTTTGTTGACCTATGGTTCATGTTCTTCCTGTTAGTCTAGCTGATTGGGAAACGAATGATTTTTCCCTCTCTTTTTTTTTCTTTTGACGAAAGCCAGTAGTTTCCCACAAACTTCAACATAGATACCTAGGTAGCTTTGAAGAAATTTCAAACGATCCAGGCCCTGTTTGAGGCGGCGAACTCCTCAATGGTGATAGGTAGTATGGAGACAATAACGAGGGTGGTGGTGACAAAAAGAAGCAACCAACAATGCACTTGCGTGCTTTATGAAGTGGATCAGCCTATCATTCCTCTTTAACGGGCTGAAAGGTTCTTGGTGGACCTCGACCTGGATGCGGTAAAGTGCCAGAGATCTGCCTGGCGAGCTGCATCATTGATGGGTGGGTTTTTCTGTGTTCGGGCTGTTGGTAGCATTCGGCGGGTGCAAATAGGTACTGAAGTACCCTTCACTAGGGGGGTGTAAGCTCCCCTTTAGAGTGCTCCCAAAGCAGCGGCCCCTTAGTTTTAGTGGCCGCCAGGTGCTGCTGGGGACGCCTCATGGTGCACTACCCATGACCTCCTCCCTGCCTAGCGCGTCTCTCAACCCTGCTGTTTTCCAGGGGAAGACACGACATTTGACATCGCCATGTGGCCATTTGGCCTGGTTCGGAGCTTCTGGAACTGAGTCCCCCCGAAATTTACCAAATTTCCAGTCATCCCGTACCGTACCACACCCCTCGACAAACCTACCAGCGCGCTTCATAATCAGGCCGGCGACAGGCGTGACTTGGAATTTCTTCCCTCACTCCATGCTACATGATCATGCCACAGCCTGACCTGTCGCATCTTCTTTTGACCTGCTGCTTCCCGCGCCGATGCTGCCACAGCTGCCCCGAGCCTTCTTGACGAGGATGCCGACGTCGACGCTGCGCTTATCAGCTACCGCATGAACTGCAAAGAGCAACACCGGCAAAATACCCAAACACAGTCCGCAACCATGTGGCGGCGAGCCTATCTTCTTTTGATTCTGGTGAGGCTGTGGTTTGCGCTGTCGCCCAGCTATCTCCATCCCGATGAAAACTTCCAAGGTCCGGAGGTCATTGCTGGTAAGCTCTCACTTCCCCATCGGACCTGGGCATGGCAGCTACTCCTTGCTGTACATGAACAACACCGTCTTGGTTCCCGCGCGATTGCGCGGGCAAACTGAATTACGCGCCTTTTGGAGCGCTTGCCTGGCATCTTCAAGCTGGGGCCGCCAGTGTATAATGATCTCGCGCTGACGCTTCTTTTCTTGTGCGACAGGCCAAATATTCAGCTACCCGATCCGAAGGACATGGGAATTTACGAGCGACTACCCCATCCGCAGCGTATTCCCATTGTGGCCCGTGTACGGCTTACCCATGCTCCTTCTCCGCTGGCTGTGGATAGGGAAGGGCAACGATGGCGAAATTCCACCGATCTCCGTCTTCTGGACGCTCAGAGTTCTCATGTTCATCATGAACTTTGTCCTCGAAGACTGGGCCATCTATGAGCTGGTGCAGTCCCCGCGACACCGAAGAGTTGCGATGCTGCTGCTCGCTTCCTCCTACGTCACCTGGACCTACCAGACACACACCTTCTCGAACTCTATTGAGACCTTGGTTGTTGCCTGGTGTCTCGTCCTGATCGAGAGGATCGTTGCGACTCCGGTGTGTAATATTCCATTGGTTGGCATGTGCCCGTCGCATGCGCTGACACTGCAAGCAGCAACGGTCATCCCTGATTGCCTCGACCTTACTGGGCGTCGTTTGTGTTTTTGGCGTCTTTAACAGGATAACCTTTCCTGCATTCCTCTTAATTCCTGGCCTTCGATTGATACCCTACTATTGGAACAGGTACATATTTCCTTGTCCATCTATGTATATATATACCTTGTCGCATACTAATTCGTTTCAGACCTTTATCCCTTGCCATTCTGGTCTCCTCAGCGCTCTTCACAACCTTGGTCGCGATTACTCTCGACACTGCATTTTACACACCACATTCGATTTCGTGGGGAGATCTCGTGAGGCATCCGGTCATCACGCCTCTAAACAACCTCTTGTATAATATCTCGTCGGATAACCTTGCCAAGCACGGGCTCCACCCTTGGTACCAGCATCTGCTCGCCAACTTGCCTCTATTGCTTGGGCCAGCTGCCGGACTGCTCCTTTTCCGGTCACACCTCTCTCTGCGTATGTACTCGGCCATCTCCGGCATTTTCGTCTTGTCGATATTCCAGCACCAGGAAGCGCGATTTCTCCTACCTACGATTCCCTTGATTCTGTCATCGGTGCGCCTCCCCAGGAACGGCACCGTGCTGCGCATCTGGATATCGGCGTGGGTCATCTTTAACGTGGTCCTCGGCATTTTGATGGGTATATACCACCAGGGCGGAGTGATCCCCGGCCAGGTGTTCTTGAGCACACAGCCGGATGCAACGCAGGCAATTTGGTGGAAGACGTACACGCCCCCGATCTGGCTGCTCAATGGCAAGAACGAGGTTTTGCAGACGCGTGACGTGATGGGAATGAAGGGAGACGACTTGCTCGTATTGTTAAACGAGCTTGCAACATGTGATACCCCGGCGGACAGGAGGAGTCAGGAATATTTGAAGGAAAAGAACGGAACGTATTTGGTCGCTCCACTATCGGCGACATGGCTGGATCCGTACTTGCCAAATAAGGGCCTGGAGGGCCTACGATTTCGCGAGGTTTGGCGGTATAGAGCGCATCTGAATCTGGATGACCTGGACTGGGGCGAGGACGGAGTCTGGAATACATTACAAAGGGTCATTGGACGGCGGGGACTGGCCGCCTGGAGGGTCACAAAAAGCTGCTCTGGTAGACGGACATGGTAGAGCGCTGGGGAAATATTACGGATCTGGTTGGCACTGAAGTCGAGTCTGTTCTGTGATTTGAAGCATGCGAAACTCTGCACAAGCCGTGATTTGGATGCTACATGTAGTCTCCGTCAAAGCTCGGAGGAAACGGGACCCAGTTTACCAGTTTGAGTGGGTTCCTTCACTCCCGGCGTGAGCCACAGGGAACTCTACGATTACCCACCCACTACCAGATCCCTCTACTCAGTCATTGGCCGGAGCTCAACACCACTGATATTTTATTCGGGATCTCGTATGACGAAGACCAATCCATACATGCTTTCACAACAATCTTTGTCCGCAGTCTTTTTGATACCCCGCCACAGAGTCTGCCTGAAGCAGACACTCATTTCAAGATGCCGGGTTTAAATATGGAAGTCTTCAAGGTACACAATGGCCCCATCACGCCGTCATGCGCCACATACACTCGGGGACCAATGGAAGCTAACCAGACGCTGTCGATGCGCCCATAGTTCGGCATGTATGTCATGTTCCCGATTGGCATCATGTTCTACTTCGGAACGAACCTCGATCAGCGCTTCGCCGTGCCCGACTTCTGGCCCAAGCCCGAGCAGGCCAACAAGGTGCCTCTCGACCGGGACGAGATCAAGGCCGAGCTCGAGCGCCTCCGTGCCAGGAGGCTGCACAACAGGGACAGGAGGCTCGCGGAGGAGGCCAGGTTGGCGCAGTTCCGCGAGGCGCAAGAGCAGCAGGCCCAGGCTCAGGCTCAGGCTCAGCAACAGCAGGAGTGAGAGAGAGAGGGTCGCGCTGCCTGCGGGCGTCGATCGTGTGACGATACCGGAAACGAGGGCCCCCTTTGTGGGCGATTGCATTCACTCTACGGCGTTCCTGGGTTCTTTGCTTCCATAGCGCGGATGCGGGTTTTCCAAAACAGCGGAGGATTGTCACAATTTGTACTACTATTGGGGGAAACGCGGAATCCGCGGCGTCGGCGAGGATGTCTCTACCTGAGATGTATACTACTACTCCCCTCTCGACGGCCAAAATGACTGTGGGTATCATTGGTCTATTTGTACATGATATTACATATCTACGAGTTGTGTGTCTATATGTGTTCTATCCGTCTATGTTGTCCTCAAGGGACTCCCACTGTTCGTCCGTGAGCTCGCCCTGCTCTACATTGCAGTAGACTGCTTGCACCTCGGGAGAGTCTTGGAACCCGGCGAGAAGATCTCGGAGCTTCTCAAACTCATGGTTTGTGCCAACTTTCGACCGGGTCTCCTCGTTGACGGACCAGAGGATCTCGGCGGCCAGCACCTTGAGGTTGAACTTGGGCCCCACGTTTTGCGCGATCTGGTTCGTCTGGTTGGGCTGGGTCCAGACGATGATGTTGCCCTCGTCGTCGGCCTCGATGTCCTCGGCGCCGGCCTCGATCGCGTCGTCCATGATCTCGTCCGGCCCCACGCCGTCCGCCTTCTCAAACACGACCCGGCCCATGCGCGAGAAGAAGAACTTTGTCGGCGTGGGGTTGCCCTTGGCCCGCTTGACCATGATGCCGAGGTCCTGCAGCGCACGCTTGATGTTGTCCGTCTCGACGTCGAGGATGATGGCCACCGAGGGCGGCATCATGACCTCGTACGTCACGCTCTCGAGGCTCTGGCCGCTCGTGGTCCGGCCCTGGCCCCGCGCGATGGCCGTCTCGATCGTCGCCTTGGGCACCCCGGCCTTCTTGGCGGCGGCCACGGCCGAGGCCAGCTGCGGGTTGTTGTCCGGGTTCGCGCCGCCCCCTGCGAAATCGCGCGCAACATGTCAGCAAGAAGACGTCCACTGGAGCAGGCCAATGGGTCGGTGCGTACACTTGGAAAAGATGGTGATGTTCTGGCTGAAGGTGCTCCGGAGCCGGTTCTTCTTGGCATCGGCCGCGCCCTTGTCATGGCGAATCTTGGACCAGCGGTTGTGCCCGCTCTGGAAGAGCTGGCCCGACGTAAAGGAGCGTCTGCATTGGTTGCATACCGAGGGTTGGAAGCTCCGGATGCTGGATGTCGAGCTCCGCGCGAACATAGCTATTCCGTGCGCGAGATGGATGAGTGTACAAGAGGCTACAGAGAAGGATCTAAGACAAGAAGACCGCCGCGAAAAAAAAACATAGAATATTATCATACAATCCAATTACACACGGGGATAGGCTTGGGACCAGTCCGAGCTGTATATTCCGCGAAGCGCAAAGCTCCAGAGCTGTCTTGAGTTCTTACGAAAATCTTCCGATAAGATGATCAAGGGTCGTGCGGGAGCGGCGCCAGCTGGCACTGATTGGCTGATGACGCAGGGATTATGGACCTCGACAGGCCAGAAATATGTACCTATTTCACCCCTGATCGCTCGCTCTTGCCAGAGTATCCCCTCAATACCAGAATACACCTCGAATTCCCTGTTTACGGCCAGAAAGGGACGTTTTACATTCGCATCGGCGGTCGTCAGATGTCTTCCGCACCGTCCCCAGAAGCTTCCGAGGGAGCTCCGGACGATGCTGCCCCTCCACCACCAGCGCCGCCCACCGCAGCCCTTACAAGCACCAACCCGGAGCTCGACGTCGCGAAGCTCAAGGCTTTGCCGGCCGAACAGCAAGACCTGTTCTTGCTGAACTTTGTGTCGACTCTCAGCAAGCATGTCCTGTCTCTTGCGCCCGACGACTGCACGGCGCAGCAGTTCTACCTGAAGAAGGAGATCTTCCAGATCATCAACCTCCCCGCGCCCGCGCCTTCTCGAGTCGTGCGAAACAACCTGGGGAAGTGCCTGGGACACATATTTGGCAAGGGCGACAGAAAACTGCTGTTCGAGACGATCAACGAGCTGAATGCCATCGTGTCGGCGGGCAAGTCAAAGTCCGACGCCGACATCAAGGCGAAGCATGCGGCGGTCGCGTGCTTGGGCGACGTGTTCGCCGCGGCCGGAGACAGCGCGATAGGCCTTCACCAGCTGACGTGCAGCACCTTGATCAAGACACTGAAAGCGTCACAGAACAATGCGGGTCTGCGTGCGGCCATATTCACATCCCTGGGCAAGCTCGTCAAGATGATCGAAAGCAGCCTGGACGATAGCCTTGCGCGCGATATCTGGAAACAGGCGAGAAATCATGCGTCGAGCGATAAAGGATCGTTAGTAGTGGTCTCGGCCTGTCGGTGCCTGAAGAATATGGTCCGATATACGCCGTACTTCGACAACTCTAGCGACTTCGAGAGCCTGCAAAAGACGATTTTCAAAACGATGGACTACGCCTCATCTCAAGCTCGACAGGCAGCGGCAGAGTGTCTCGCAGAGGCAATGGTCAAGGGATACTCAGAGTCTGCTGTCGGCGAATCTCTATCGAAGCTCAAGAGAACAAAGACCAAGAGCCTGAAGCGCGCATCTACAGCGCCAGGTGTCATGCAGGACGAAGACGACATACCCTCGCGATCGGAGAGCCCTGCCCCCACCAAAAAGTCGCAGGATCTCTCTCTTTCTGTGACCGATATTCTGAGGACCCTATCTACACAATATGTTCGCATGTCGACCACCAACAGAACTCGCGCTGCTCTCGGCATGTGCTACACCAAAGTACTTCAACGTCTTGGGGAGAGGATAGTCGAAACCCACTACCTCGCCATTGTGGACAATCTCAGTATCGATATCCTGGGACATGCCAATATCGTGAATAACAGATATAGGTCGCTGATCTCCCGGCGCATTGTCGACATCATCTTACAAGATGTCGTTGGCCAAAAGCTGCTCGGCGAAACAGCTCAGTCCAATTGCGCGAAGTCGATAGTGAACGGCATACTCAAAAACTACCCCCAGGTTTTGAAGGAAAGGCCTGAGCCAACCAAGCACACGTTGATCGTATCCTTAGGGGCGCTGTCATCCTTGATCAAAAGCCTCGGATCTGCGACGAATAACTTCGCCGAGGCCTGTCGGGATGGGCTTCTTCAAGTGCTGCAGCATCCAAGCTACACAGTCCAGGTCTTTGCTTCGGCTTGCATGAAAGCATTTGTTCTTGCATGTCCTCAGCAGCTCCTGCCTTGCCTCTCTGTTTGCATGAATAGCTTGAACAGAGAGTTGGGTCTTGTCGCCGGTGGCCGGAACAACCCGCGCAAATGCATAGGCTTTGCCCATGGTCTAGCGGCGACCCTGAGTGCTAGCCCTCTCCGGCCGTTGCATGGCTCGGTGGACATCAACAGCCGTGTGCTATCGATGGCGACCAACCTATTGAAGTCCAGCGGCAAGCAGGAGTTGCGAGTCGCCAGCACACATATACAAGTAGCATGGACTTTGATCGGGGGACTCATGTCTCTCGGTCCGAATTTTGTCAAGATTCACCTTTCGCAGCTGCTATTGCTGTGGAAGAATGCGCTCCCGAAGCCCTTGGCGAAGGACAACACCAGCAGCCGAAACTATCTTGAGGCGTCTTTCCTCACACATGTGAGAGAATGTGCCTTGGGTTCAATCCTCGCGTTTCTCCAATTCAATCATCGTCTGCTCACCGTCGATGTGTCTAAGCGCATAGCAACGATGCTTCAACACACGTCAGCATACCTCAAGACATTGCCAGCCAAGAAGACGACCGAGGACATCACCCAGAGATTGACGCCGGCCCTGCAGCTCCAAGATCTAGATCTTATGGTCCAGAGGCGAGTGCTGCAGTGTTACATCAAACTGATCAACTTGAGCCCGGCCGGTGGAAGTGAGGCACTTCTTCAGTCGAATCTCCTCACCCTTGCACTGTCGCTGTTTGCTGATCCGGATAACTACACGCCCAGCTCTCTCAGCGCATCCATCGCAAATGCTGCAGGGACCTTTGAAACGATATGGGATGTCGCAGATAATTCCGGGTTCGGAGTCACTGGGCTTGTGTCGGGCTTCAATGTGAAGGACCTTCCAGGGCAGCATGAAAACTCAGCTGAGCCCTCCCCCTTGGAGGAGAGCGGACCGGAGAGCTCCATTGAAAGCCTCTTGAGGTCGCCCATTTGTGGCACACTCGAACACGATGCCTCGTTGCTTTACATTGCTGGGTCCGATGCGCCTAATGAGTTGCCAGATCCACCAGCCACAGAAGTGGTCAACATGGCAATTCAATTGTTTGCTTTCGTCTTCCCCCTGACCCCCGCCAAGGTTCAAGAGAGTATACTTGAACAGACAGCAACCTTTATCTCGGCAGGTTCACTGCAACGTGACCCTGGCCGTAAGGCCGCAATCAATGTCAATGTCTCCGTCGCGTTGCTGTCGGCCCTGAGAGTAGCTGTCAAGGAAACTCAAGCCTCATCCGGAGATATCACCAACATGGCCGTCGAGAAGCTTCTTCAAGAGCTGGTCCGAGGGTTTGTCATCGACCCAGACCAATACATTCGAAGCATTGGCTACGCAACTCTCGGACGGCTCTGTAACGCGTGCGGCAATTCGTTCACGAACCACGAAGTCAAGTATCTCGTCGACACCATCGTCGGCAACCGAGAACCCAGTGCTCGAGCTGGCTGTGCCATGGCCCTGGGCTGCATCCAAACAAAGGTGGGCGGCCTCGCTGCCGGCTACCATTTGAAGACGATTCTTGGTATCATCATGTCACTATGCAATGATCCGCATCCGACTGTCCACTTCTGGGCCCTGGAGGCTTTTGCCCTTGCGTCTGATGCTGCGGGCCTTGGGTTTTCGAACTATGTGTCTAGCACCCTTGCGATGTTGGCACAGCTCTATGTCTCCGATAACCATCACGCTGAAGTGAGCTCGGCCATTTCTATGAGCCTTGAAATGGATCTATCCACGACCGCTGCCATAGCGCGCTGCATCGACTCCATCATCAATGTCCTCGGACCTGACTTGCAGGATTCTACGAAGTCGAGGGAATTGATCCTCACGCTCGTGAATGAATTCCAGCAAGAAGAGGACATTCGAGTTCAACAAGCCAGCTTGAGCTGCCTGGAACACCTCTCACTATACGCACCTGGGTATATGCAGTTTGAAGATTATGTCAGACTCCTCCAGAAGTACCTTAACTCGGAGTACCTGGAACTTCGAGACGTTGCGGTGGATGGCCTGTACAACCTGATGAAACGCAATCCGTACGACGTTATCGCGGCAGCTGAGAAGGGCTTCGAGGAGCAGCTCTGGCTCGTCCTCGATAGCGCACCCAGCCACGATGGTATTCGTAACATTATCCGAAACTGGATGCGTCAAACTTGCCTCGCTGACACTGGCCCATGGCTGCAGCGCTTCCAAGGAGTACTGAAGATGACGCGTCCAAAAGCCGTCGAACTGACAAAGGCGTCGGCCCAAAAGTCAGGACCGGCGATAGATCTCCAAGACGAGGAAGTTGCTGGGTTTGCCGCGGCGGCCGGTGCATCGAAAGACAAGGACACGCCAAGTGGCTCGGATGTCGAGCCGCTAAGGTGGCAGGTCGTTACCTTTGCCATGAGTTGCCTCAATGACATCTTCGGTCTGATTGCTAAGGACGTTGCGACCAACGGAGAGTCACCGGCTCAGACAGCGCTTCAAAGCCGGATTGCCGACGTCGTCCGGATGGCATTCTCCGCATCTACCTCTGGCGTATTGGAGCAACGCATTCGGGGACTGAAGATCATTGGAGACGTCTTGAAAATGTTTGGAAAGACACCCGATCCCGACTTTGATGAAGCAATGCTGCTTGAGCAGTATCAGGCACAGATCAGCTCCGCCCTCACGCCGGCTTTTGCTGCAGACTCGTCGCCCGAGCTGGCTTCGGAGGCTGTCAATGTCTGTGCTGCCTTTATCTCTACCGGTATTGTTACCGATGTAGACAGGATGGGCAGAATCCTCAAGACCTTGGTTAGCGCTCTCGAGAACTTCTCCACCGAGAATGAGCATGCCGGCATTGGCGATCTCAAGGGACTGAGTTCAAATGCCCAAGTCATGGTCAAAATGTCGGTCTTTGCTGCTTGGGCTGAGCTGCAGGTTGCCAGCTCCGAGCAGCAGTACCTCTTTGATGTGCTCAAGCCTCACATAGGTACGCTTACGCCCCTCTGGCTCGAATCGCTTCGAGAATTCGCCCGGTTGCGGTTCGAGCCTGATATCTCCATGACCCTTGGCCCCCCATCCTTGTCTGGAAGCTTGGATACGATTTACGCAGCTCTGAATCGTGAGACGCTTCTCAAATTTTATCAGGAATCATGGCTCAAGCTTGTCGATGCCATTGCCAGCCTGATTGAGCAGGACAGCGAGTTTGTCTTTGATGCTCTGGATGGGAAGGAGACTGATGGTCCCAACACCAATGGCCACTCCAAAGGCGCTGATATCAATTACCGAGATGAGCCAGTAGCTTTCTTCTTTGTACTGTTTGGTATCGCATTTGAGGCCCTGGCAGCCAAGCCTGGTCACGGCGATTCCCTGGCGAGCCGCGAGCAGACTCTGGAAATCCTGCGGGCCCTTAAGAAGATCCTCCACCCTAGTGTTTCGGGACATGCTATCTATCGCGAGGCGATCTTTTCAGAGACTATGGATCTCCTGGATCGCCTGTCGCTCACAGAGGCCCTCGATGTACAGGGTGTCATTGTCGAGATCGCGCGGGCCTTGTGTGTGGCACACCCTGCCGCAAGGAAGCAGGAAGAGCCAGATACCGGAGAGCTGTCTGAGGACATCGAGCAGCTCTTTGAGCTCACTCGCATCATTGTTTTGGTCCTGTCTGGCCTCCTCCCTAATCTGGCTGAAGCAAACCAGCCGGTCCGACACCAGATGACAGAGGAAGCGATCCTTCTCATCCGCACATCCCTGAACGCACTTGTCGACGCGGCCGAGGTCTTCCCGACTGTGATCAAGACCGACCTCCATGCCTGCTGCATTCACATCTTCGCCACGATCCTGGCTACGCCTATATGCCAGGACCTCGTCGTGCCCCAGTCGCTGCCCATTCTGAAGCGGTTCATCGCCACCATGTACAAGTCGAGAACAGTGGAGAGCGATGGTGGAAGCCAGACCGATGTCCAGCTGCAGGGCTGCTTGCGCCGGTTCCTCTCGATCTACCTGAATGCTCAGAAGCGGGAGGCCCCTACCTCGCTCCCCTGTGTCAAGAACTGTCTTCTGGCTATCACGATTCTGTTCACCGGCGGCCGGAACCAGCTGCCGGCTAGTGATCCCCTTGTGGTCAGGTTCCTCGACGAGCTAGTTGACTGCCTTACGGATCGAATGGTATGTTTTAAACACCTCTGACACACAAAATTTTTTATTTCCCTGGTTCGCTAACGATTGATATTCCACCCGAAACAGACAGCCCGCATCGCCGCAAACTGTGTCCGCTCCCTCGTCCTACAGCCGAGGCACACCCCGGCCGACCAGACCATCGTCCGCCACCTACTGCCCCGCCTTGTGGCCTTTGTCACCAACACGGAGCCCGAGGACCCGGAGCGGGCGCGGCCCCACGTCGCGCAGACGCTCAGCTCGTACGTCGCCGCCGTGCCGAGGGACCACGCGCCCATCGCCATGGCGCTCGTCGTGCCGACGCTGCTGTCGCGCGCCGCGAGCGAGGACGGGGGAGAGAGGGACGCCGTGTACCGCGAGACGAGCGCGCGGCTGCTGGAGCTCGCGTCGGTGGACCAGGCGGCCTTCCGGGGCGTGGTGGCGGGCATGAGCGAGGGGCAGAAGGCGTTTATGGAGGAGGTCATCAGGGCCGGGAGGCAGAGCGCCGCTGGTGCCGGGGCGGGAGAGAAGGGTGCCGGTGCGGCGAATGGGGGCGGGCAGCCGAGCATTGCGTTGAAGATGGACTTTGGGGGAGGGCAGTAGTGATGTTGTGGATGTGTAGCTGTCAGCTTGGGGAAGGGCGGAAGAGAGGATACGCATAACCTGAGTAAAACTACCCAAGTAGATCTCGCAGGACGGAATATCTGCAGAACATGACCTCTTAATTAAACATGAACATTTTCTCATACTGGACTCCGCCATGTGAGAAGTTTTGAGTTGTTTGGTTGTAGCCTCCTTGATGCTTGATGTTCATGAGCATTCTGGGTTCCTTCACTCTCTCTTTCTCTCTCATACAAGCATAATTGTTAAAGCAAGAACACTCAAAGGCCTTTGAACAAAATAACAAAAGTAAATTGCTGTAGTGCAGAGTGTCCAGTCTACTGTGCTGGCCACGCCTGAAGTCTAATCCCGATTTGTGATTTTAATCATAACATCAAATGCAACTAACTATCATCACACAAGACATCTTGTCCGGTCTTGCCAGATTTCCAAATATCTTTTTTGGAAAAGCATTATCACTCTCAACTGTCCATAAAGGATCATTCCCTCTTCCCCACACTCACTCACCACGGGGTGATTATCATCTTTCCCTGTTAAGACATTACTAGGTTGAGTCACAATCGCCAGCCCCCCTGACACTCTTACTCCGCCCACCCAAACACCTCGCTGACAGACTGCGTGTTCGACCGCAGGCCCGTCAGCGCGACGGCGAGCGCAACCACGTCGACGAGCAGGAGCACGGCGCCCGCCATCATGAAGCGCGGGCTGAAGACGCGGTAGAGCATGAGGTGGCGCCGCAGGTGGCCGGCCCAGCACATGGTGGCCAGCGACTCGACGGCGAAGTAGGCGACGAAGGCGGCCAGGGCGCGGCTCGCGGCCTCGAGCAGCCCCCTGCGCTTGGGGCCGACCTTCCACAGCACGAGGAGGGGCACGGCGACGGCGGCGACGATCTGGCCGGCGAAGGTGTTGAGGACGACGACGAGCGGGCTCCAGGGGTAGCGGATGGTGAAGAGCGGGACGAAGGCGCTGTCCCACTGGATGCTGGCCATGGTGGCCTGGTGGCCCGTCTTGAAGTAGTAGTAGTTGGCCAGCAGGGCGAGCACGACGGGGCCGACGGCCTCGCCGCTGAGGGAGAGCAGGTCGAGCAGCTCGGCGAGGGAGAGCACCTGCCAGAGCTCGAGGGCGAGGGCGCCGCTGCCGACGGGCTTGGTGAGCAGGAGGCACGCCGCGAGGACGTTGACGAGCAGGAGCAGGTAGCGCGCGCCGTGGGCGTTGCCGTAGCCCAGCACCGTGACCTGGGCGCGGTTGGAGCCGGGCGCGGCGAAGGAGTGGATCGAGACGCAGGGCGGGGCCCAGGCGAAGGCCGTGCTGCCGGCGACCACGGCCAGGGCGAGCACGACCTGCGCGACGTACACCGAGACCGTCTTGAGCGTGCCCTCGGGGACGGCCGAGGAGAACCACTTGCTGTTGTCCGCCGCGTCGAGGAACCAGTACCCGGCGGACATGAAGAGCACCGTGCGGAAGACGTAGCCGATCCAGGCGGGCGCGAGGCCGTCGTACGACTTGCTGGTCTGGTAGTACGCCTTGATGATGGACGGGAGGGCGAGGAAGACCACGACAGGGATGACGAGCTGCCACGGCGCCGAGGTGGAGGACGTGGCCGAGGCGTAGTAGGTCGATGTGCAGTAGGGCATCTGCTCCTCGCGGCACAGCTTGGAAAAGGAGGCGAGCCGGCCGAGGACGGCGAAGAGGACTGAGTGGTAGACGGCCAGCGCTCGGTCCCCGACTTTGGGGAGGCGGAACGCGGAGATGGCCGAGACGAGACCAAAAGAGCCCAGGAAGAAGAGTAGGATGCTGTCCTCCCAGATAGTGAAGGAGTTGGAGGCAAAGCCGACAGACTGGCTCACTGTGAACACGACGGCCAGCCATCCCCAGACAGTCGTAGGGAACAAATTGACGATGCGCTTGCCCATGCCGAAGAGCGCAATTGTGACAGTGACCAGACTTGCCAACACAGCGAGACTGACGCCTGCGTACCACCATGGGAGTTCTACCAAGGACGATGTCGCTGCCCCGGCGGCGAAGGCTGGCACGGCGCCAACAATTGCCGCTCGAACCAGGTCTCGGTGGAGAGTTAGGTGAGAAGCCAGGGTCATATCGACGGATGCGCCTTCAAGCTCCAGCTTCTTTTCGGCGAGCTCAAGCTCGGTATCTTCAAGGACAGCCATGTCATCCTCCTCGTCGGTGGAGATGTAAATAAGAAGGACCGCCACGCCAAAGGCCATGATGGCGATGCCCAGAATCATGCTGGGAATGTCGAATCTGGCCCAGAGATCCTTGCAGATGCTCAACGTCTCCTCCTGGTACTTGGTGTACGCTCTGTAGGCTGCTTCCTGAGCCTGCTTCTTGGCGTTGACCATGTAAGACTGCTCAGCTTGGGCGTATAGCTCAGCTGGAGATCCCGGCCCAGCAGCCTGCTCTATACCACGGGCAGCAAAGTAGGATGCCTGGTACCGCTTGATCCCCGCAGCCGTCATCCTCGAGACGGCAGCCAGATTGCTCCACGACACACCACTCTTGCCGGTGAATGCCTCTTCGATGGGCCAGCCCAGCGAGTTGAAGGGGATGGGAATGCCCAGCAGGAACGCAAAGGTTGGGACAAGGTCAATCTGGTTCACGCGGCGCGTTTTGGCCGTGGCCGGGGGGGTAGCGAACTCGGGTTTGGTACGGCCAAAAGCGGGCCGGGACGAATACATCCACAGGGCGGCCTCGATCTCATCGTCGCTCTCACCGCCGTGGTCGCCTTTGCTGTCCATCCCGTGGTCGCCCATGACGATGAGCAGGGTCTTGTCGTCGATAGTAGCGGCCAGCTTGCGAATAAAGCCGTCCATCTGCTGCAGCTTCTCCGTCATGGCGGGATGCGCAGGCCCGTATCGGTGGCCGGCATGGTCCACGCCCAGGCAGTGGCCGATCAGTACATCCCACTCGTTGCTTCGCCCGGGCTCCATGAGGGGAAAGATGTGTTCTAGTACACCATTGTCGACAGTATGCAGATCCCAGACATTGAAGCTGTCGTAGGCTCTGCTGATGTTGGCCTCGAAGTAGTCTGGGAACAGCGCCGTCCAGGTATCGTCGCCCAAGTGTACAATCTTCTTGCCCGCGCTCCGCAGCTGAAACAGCAGGTTGTCTTCTTCGATCTCTGTTCCAGCAAAGTTGCTGCTCATATCGAAGAACGTCGGCAGGGTCCCCGTCGTCAGACCTTGCAGCCGCTGCAGTGTCGTGGTGGGCGGGTCGGCGATGAAGGGACGCAGGAAGGCGCGCTCGGGATGGGCGACCGCAGTCTCGTAGAGGAAGGGGAACGCATTGTGAAACTCGGCATTGTCGGCCACGGGAACGGTGAAGTCGTAGCGTAGGGCGTCAATGAGGACCACCACGGCGCGGTCGAAGGTCTTGGGGTGCCAGCAGCCACTCTCGACCGTGCCGAGCCCAGACAGGCTGGGGTCTTGGAGGGGCGGCGCAGCACAGCTGGACTTCTCGTCGAGCACGAGGCGCGTCAGGAGGAAGCCCGATGTGAAGAAGACTAGGCCGGCCGCGTGAACACACAGCATCCAGAGCCAAAAGGCCGAGGTCCACAGCCAGCGACGCTCGAAGGCAGACTTGCGACGGGCCTCGAGAGCTTCGCGCTGGGCGGCGGAGGCGCTGGCGCGTTCCTTCTCTCCACTGATGATCTTGGCGGCGGCATCTTCCATCGCCTTGACGCGCTTTGCCGCCTCGAATTGAGCTGCTATCTTCTGGTAGTCCGAGGGCGTCGGCTTCGTCTTGGCCTTTGGGGCGGCCATGGTGACGGCGGAGGAGGGAGGGGCAAGATTGCCTACCCCCTAACTGAAGATGAGGGCTCTGCACAAACAGTCAAGGAGTGACCCGACGAGGCAAAAAGAACAAAAGAAAAACAAATTGAAGAAAAGAAATGAGGTTTAGAAAAGGCCAGATAAGGAAGGACTGCCATTGAGCTCTGGACGGGAGGTGTTTAGCAGGGTACAGACAGCAACAGTCAGCAGCAAACCAAAACCAGCAAGACGCGCGCCGTTGTTACATACGTCCAGATTTTCCTCCTAACGCTTCTGTGCGGGCTTTATGGTACCGCCAAAAGCTTCTAGAATTTGACAGCTGTAGCCCCAATGACGGGAGAGCTAGGGTCCACATGCGGCGAGTTGCTGGACCCCCACAACGCCGAATCTTGGGAAGTTTGGGGCATCCTCGGCATTGCTGCTCTTGTGAAGACCGCGGACTGTCTGTGGGGTTTGACTGAAGTGGCTGAAGTGGACGAACCATGCGCAGTTTGACAATGCAGTCTCCAATCTCTGCAAGCTGCTCCAAAGAATTTCGTAGATAGAGATTTAGTCCATGTAGTTTGCAGTAGTTGAGAGTTGAAATTCTCTCATTGTCGAGCGAGTTAGTTATGAGCATATGTAAGTAGTACATTCATCTTCCGTGCCCGCCGGATCCCGGATTCAAAGCCGGCAAGCTTGCCCCAGAGCCGACATCCTGGATGCCACTGCCGGGCCTACAGGCTTGGAAATCCAAGTCCTGTGAGGCTTCTGGAGTCTGGTGCAGTCAGTGCTGCCTGCCTTCAAGGTGGATCTCGAGTCAGGGCAGCCATGGCCGACACTAGTGGCCGGATCTCGCATTCCTCTTTGGGACAGAACCGGATATCGGGAAGGAACTGCCGAAGAAATTCACCTTCACCACAGATAAATACAACGCTGCCCGTACGACATCCGCCACGGCCAGCGGAGAGCTCTCGGCCCTCGTACTCTGCTCATCCATAGAGTTACGCCGCATGCTTCCCTGTCAAATGCAACCCCCAACAATTGCAGCAGATCGGCCTCCACTTTCCGGCCCCGGAAATGAGCCCCCCGCCAGAGGACCCCGGTGCGTCTTCAAAGCCACCCAAGCAGCTCGCATGCCAGCAGTGCAGAGCAAGAAAGGTTGGTGCGCTGGTTCAATGTTCTGTTCCTGGGATTGCCTGACTATCCCATTCCCTCTGTATAGGTGACATAGCTGAGTTTATCTCGAAATGACTGCAGGTTAAATGTGACCGCGAGACCTCCGGTTGCGGGCCGTGCGTGCGCTTGGCTCTCCGTTGTTCCTATGCTTTTGGTGACGGCTCTATTGTCGAGCCAAGCACAGAGACGGCGCCTCCAGCACCGCATGAGCTGACGCAAGCCGGGATCAAACGACGCCGCATACAGAAAGCCTGTGATGCGTGCCGCATGCTCAAGGCAAGGTGCTCAGGCACCCAGCCGTGCCAAAGATGCGAGGCCCGTGGACAGCAGTGTTTGTTTCAGGGCCACGAACTGGGCATAGGGTCCGGTGCCTCCCCCGGGGCCATCTCTCATATGGAAAGCCCGGCTGAAGCGCGTACAATGACGTCCGGAATCGCTTTTGGAGATGATCCCACATTTCCACATGCAGGCCCGGCGTACGCTTCGACCCCTTCGGTAACCACACCCAGCCATCTAGGTGATATCCTAAGGTACGTAGTAGACCCTAGCTCAAGAGGCCCAACCCCAACTCCCAATCTTTTCTCGATCGGTTGCTGACCGTAACGGAGTGGGTTTGAGCTGGGCAAGAAGGACGCTATTCGGCGTTGCCTCGATTCTTATTTCGAAAACATGGACTTGACAAACTGCCCTACCCTCCACAAGGCCTCCGTACTTGCTGACTGGAACCGTGGCCAACTTGATACCAACCTGCTCAAGGTGCTATGTGCGACAGGTCTTGGATACGTCCTGCCACAGCAGAGAGAAGCTGGCTCTGTTTGCCAAAGTTGGGTGGCAGAAGCCCAACGCGCAGTGCTGGACAAGCTCGGCAGGATATCTCTTGCTGGCCTCCACACCGTGGTCCTCTTGATCAAATTCCACTACGCATCCCACACCACCGAGGACACTTGGATACTCATCTCCATTGCCGCTCGGTTAACCCTTATCAAGGGACTTAATTATGAACAGTCCCCAAGCGCGACAAGCCCAGTCCAACAGGAATGTCTTCGGCGGCTCATCTGGTCTATATTCTATCTGGACAAAATATTCAGTGGCGGCATTGACGATTTGTCTGTCCTGCCAACTAGCGCAGTACATGTTCGTCTCCCGTGCAATGACCGTCGATTCCAGCGAGGGCTCTCGTCAAGCTCGCCGTTCCTGCAAGACGTTCTTACAAACGGGCCCGAGGACGCGACTTCTTCTGACATGGATGTGCTCGCCTACCGCATGATTCTCTTTGATATCCGGCACAGGGTGCTTGCTTATACTCGGCGAGTGAAGCGCCAAGACTCGAGTCTGGCTGAATGGGAGCCGGAGTTGCTCGCGCTTAGTCGTGAGCTGGAGCGGTTTGGCGATACTCTGCCCGAAGAGCTCCAGGCCGGTGAAGACAGGCTCATGTTTATGTGCCACTCCAAAGACGGCACGGCCTACATTACCCTCTACACGATGCTGTACATGTGCCGCTGCGATCTGCACCGCTTCGTTATTCCTGGGATACGGGAATCTGCTTCCTCCGAGGCGCTCGCCAATACGCCCCCGGAATACATTAACCGCTGCCAAAAGACATGCTTGGACAATGCCATCAAGCTGTGTGACTTTTGGTCCTCCGTATATCGACTCGATCCACCACGACTTGCCGACTTTACTATCAACGTAGTGTCCATGTACCAGTGCATCAAGGTAATCGACCGTTTGGCTCACTTGCTGCCACAAGATGGGGAGCATGATCTGGAAAACATCAAGCAAAAACTCCAGGAAGCTCTGTCCCTTGCGTCTCAAACGCGACTTTTGTACCCTCGGATCCGAACCTGGGTAAGATGTCTCTTCTATCCTGCTACAGAATTGATAGGTCTTTTGTGTACTGACAGATCTACACTAGTTTTTCGAGGTTGAACGCCTTATTCCTCTACTGGGACAACGCCGCAGACCTTCTCTGACCCCGTAAGTGCTCATGCCTTGCCAACCCGATCTAACCAAGGTTCCATTGGCTCTGAGTCTTGTGCTAACAAGGTACACCCATTCGAAAAGTCCGACTTCAAGCGAGCAGAGGGTCCCGAATCACTACCTACTACGCACACGTAACGAGCCTACTCCGCGCTCTAGAGCAGCATCAGATACGGGCGAGGCCAACCCGCCAACTTCAGCACGAGTTGTGCTCGGTTCTTCAGACCACCCAGATTCTTCCACGAATGTCTTCGATTCTGGTGCTTGGACCCGCCATTGGATCGCTACGGGAACCGGAGCGGCCTCGTACGGGGCAGCTTCTCTGGCAGAAATGCCCGACTTCCCGCCAAACATCGTGTCCTATGACAATCTCCTGCCAAACAGGGAGCTTCTGGCAACGGACTTCCATGACCCCGGGGCAGCTCTGAACGTGCCTTTCGGGCTTGATCTACCCGCAAGTCCATTCGATTTGCATCTCGGCGCGTATGGCGATGCAGAGTTTCATCCGCTGTTCTATGGTGGCTGTCAGACACAGGAACCAGAAAGATGATAGGATCCGTACGCACTGCGGGGAGCACGAGGTTTGCTCCTTGCAGTGAAATCTTCAAACCAGCCCTGCGAGACGTGTATTGGAATTATCTGCGCCACACACGGACGTTGCAGGCCTAGATTCCAACCGTGTTATCCAGTACCGATCTTCTGGTAACTATGAGTGATCCCTGGCATGCCTGAGAGACATGCCCTTCATGGATTGCGGGGAACGGATCTCGCACCCCAGATTGACCGGATGTCGTACACTGTCGGTAGCTCACACCGGCGCTAGTGGAGAACTAACCCCGGCTGTCAGTCTCAATGCACCACTTTCTCGGGGGCCCCTCTTCCATTTACTGAATCACGGATCCCGGGGTTTCGGTTGGGTCACAAGAGGGCTCTGCGTTGACTTCAGCCCCCCGACTCCAGCAAATGCGACATGAGCTGATGATCTTACCCCGCTGCCTACCACGAGGTTCGGGGTTGACCCCCGTCTGGATCCACCCCATTCATAGATCTATAAGAACGGGTGATCACCCGTCCCCCGGGGGAAAAGTTTTGTTTGACGTCCTATATTGGCCACAGTCGTTTGCTTGCCTCTTTCTCTCGTCCCTTCCTGCGGACCGTCTCTTCACTACATCGCGATACGATGGGCGTCTTCGCCAAGTTCAGTGTCTTCAACACGCGCCTGGCACTCGCCTGTGCTGTGATTGCCGTGTCGACTTTCAACTATGGCTTCGACAACCAGGCCTTCTCCACTACCCAGGCGATGGACGCCTTTGACAGGCAATTTGGTGTTCTTGATCCTAAGACCAAGAAGTATATACTTGAACCATACTGGCTGTCGCTCTTCAACAGCCTCAACTACATTGGCTTCGCCTTCGGTACGAACAATCATTCTTACGTGGACACAGTCTCGCCACTCGCGTGGATCATGTACTGCATTGCTCTAGTACGTTTGCTGACAGCACGGTGCATGCTAGGTGTGTTCCTCGGTAGCATCATCTCGGCCAGGTTCGGGCGAAGGTGGTGTATGTTTTCGATGAGCTGCTATGCCATCGTCACCGCGACGATCGCTGTCACGTCTGTCAGTCGAGAACAGATCATGGCTGCTCGAATCTTGAACTACATCTATGTGGGAATGGAGTTGGCTGTCGTGCCCACCTTCCAGTCCGAAATTGGTGAGCCAGCTCGAACTTGGTGCCCAACATGAGGGAAAAGAGAAGTTTTAACAGGATTTCTCCTCTTTAGTCCCCGCTGCTGCCCGTGGCATTATGGTCGGTTCCTATCAGTTCAGCCTTATGGCAGGTGGACTGGTCATCAATCTCGTTTGCTTCGGTACCAGCAATATCCAGGACAACCGTTCCTGGCGCATCCCCATCGGGCTCTTCTACATCGTGCCCTCGATCGTCCTCAGTCTCATTTTCTTTATTCCGGAGTCGCCGCGCTGGCTTCTGCGCAAGAACAGGGTCGACGAGGCTCTTGTCAATCTCCGACTGCTCCGCCAGGGCCGCTTCAGCGAGGAAGAGATTGAGAGCGAGTTCCGCGAGCTTCGCGTCTCTCTTGAGCAGGAGGTCGAGAAGGGTCGTTTCATCGAGATCTTCCAGGGCGGCAACCTGAAACGTACCCTCATCGCTGTGGTCGTAAATATGCTGCAGCAGCTAACAGGTCAGGGCTTCTCGTCACAGTACGGCACCATCTACGTCAAGTCCTTGAATACTATCAACCCGTTCGCGTTTAGTCTGATTACACTGAGTGTAGCTCTTGTGATCATGACCGCGTCTCTGCTGTGGGCCGACCATGCTGGCAGGCGGTTCGTATTTCCACAAACGCCCGTCCTTAGTCAAGTGCTTTCACTAACACAGCGGGCCAGGGCTCTTCTCTTCACTTCGAGTACCATCATCTGTGTAGGCATGATGGTCATGGGAGGACTCGGTGTGGAGACACCAGTCTCGACAGCGAGGAGAAACGGCATTGTGGGCATGATGATTGTCTTCGTTATCGGCTTCGCCTCCGGCTGGGGACCGGTCCCTTATGTTGTTACGAGTGAGGTCTCTGCGCTGAGGCTCCGTGACTACACGGCCCGCGTCGCGTTTGGTACCAATGTGTTGTTCAAGTATGTGTGCCCTTGCAGCCTGCGGGCGGTCTTTTCGCGTTGCAGGAACGACGTCAAGTCAATGAAAGAATGGTCTGCTGACTTGCCCGATTGTCTGCCAGTTTCGCCGTTAACTTCAGCATTCCCTATCTCATCTATGACAAGTACGCCGGTCTCAACAGCAAGGTTGGCTTCATCTTTGGCGCCATCATGGCTCTCGCCATCGTCTTTGTCTACTTCTGCGTCCCCGAGTGCAAGGGCAAGACGCTGGAGCAGGTCGACTTCCTCTTCAACAGCGGCATCCCCGCAAGGAAGTTTGGCTCGACGGACGCGGCCGCGATGATGGCCGTCGCAAACGACGCTGCTGCCGTTAACTCGGCCCTGCGTAAGGAGGAAGCGGTCGACAATGTCGAGGACATCGAGCTCGCCGCCGGTGAGACGGCGTCCGGGACGAAATAAGGGGGTCTCTACTCCTAACCTTTCCCAGAATAGAACATCTTGGACGACAGCCGGAATAACCCGCAAGCAGGTCGAGCCATTAAATTCACTCATTGCTTACAGGAAGAGTAGTCTGGGTAGCATCGCCTTCAGATAATTTGCTCAGTAGTCAATGTTACTCTCGTACCGGTCCCCCCGTGGCCGACGCGTTGCCATGCTTTCGCACTCGGACAGGCTAAAAATGGAATGGATACCGTCAACTTTGACCTGGTCTCGTACACGTTTATGTTGTAAGGAGAGTGAGTGGATTAGTGAACCTCTAGAGGACCGAGGTTGCCTGGCTGTCGTTCTTACCCGAAGGGACATAGATCCTTCGGATCTTGGCATTGTCCCGACATCAGTACATCAAATATCACGTTCAGGTACGAGGTTGATATTCATTATCCCAACGAAGGACATCACCAGACTCTTCAACATATGTTCAGGCCAGGGCTTTGCTCTACTGAAGATAGCACAGATGTCCTCTACCTGTGAACATTTTCTATTGAGGGTATCTACGACCTTGTTAGCCAAGGACATGTCGCAAAAGGACTGGGATACATGTCCCTAACCACTCCATAGTGGGCAATGGGAAGATATTTTACCAGCCAAGCAAGGGTCTATGGGGCATGGTGGCGCCTGGAAAGTTTCGTGAACGACGTCCCACGCCAGTGCCTTGGGACGGGGCAAACGCACATCACTAGCTCCAGCAATACGGTCCGGTAGTTCGGCGACTAGGAGGACCTAGTCCCGGCTTGGCGAGGCTAGAGCCGGGCTTCACTTCCTCTGGGGAAGTTCTTTCTCCGAGGCGAGGACATTTCCTTGCATTGGAGGCAAGACCTCTTGCTGTGATGTGTCTCCCTTGCCCCTGAGTGTTCCGAGTACCAGACCTGCAACGCTGATGATTGATGTGCCTTGATCAAGCACCTTTGAACCTTATCATCGTTCAAATACTCGGTCATTGACAGCCAAGCCCTTGCACATCTTGAAACACGCATCATAACGACAGCTGCATTGGGACAAGGGAATCTGTTCTCGACTCGAGGAAGGACTAAGGGGCCAGGCTTGACTAACCAGATCGTCAACGGTCCAGCCACCTCGATGATCAGGGGCATGTCACGTAGCATTATCGAAGCACTTAACTGAACGGGGTTCGCCCCAAGATTGACCGAAGCTCACCGACCTTCCAATTGAGTGCCTAGCCCGGCACTCGCTCCTTGTTTTAGGCCGCCAGAGAAGTGGGAAGAGACTGTCACCGTCTTTAACTTTTAGACTTTTCGGGTCTCTGGTATGTGGGGGGAACGGGTCGTTCGTCATTCCCTAACAGTTCAAGCGAAACTTTATATCTCTCTCCTGGGCCGGGACCCGTAACGCGGCGCTTCCGGCCATTGATCCCTATGGATGAAGGAATCCTTCCTTCTCAGGGATTGTGTTCGGCACCTCTTGACGGATCGACATGCAAGCCAAGTCACCATTCTTGAGTGGCTGGCCGATCGAATCCTGCCATGCCTGGAAGTGTTCCGGCATGACGCGGGTCCCGGCATCTCTCTGATGTTGGTTCGGCACTTCAGCCACCCATATCATAAACGAACCAGAGTGACGGGTTGACTCTGGCCCCCAGACCAGAGGCTCCCGCTAACGAGGCGCCGGTACCTCAGACGCATACCCGTCGGATGCTTTCCTTGCCTCGAGTCATCCACTGCGGCGTCACTGGACTGGTAGACTGATCCAGATCCCTCACCTTGGCGTTTACCGGCGAACGCACCTCCTGGACGCCTGCGGGGAAAGCCCAAGGAAGCCAATCGCCCTAGCCTTGACCGTTTTCAGACAGCCCGATAGAGAAGCTATTATTGGCAGTACAAGATGGATGCCCTCCGTGACTTGCTGCCCAACTCATAAGGGGGGGTCACTGCCTTGCATCGTTGCCGAGAATCAGACCCCCAAGCTATGACCGTCCCATTCTCCAGTTGCATGTTATTGCCTCGGGTCGAAGAGTAATAATAGTCTTTACCCTCGATCTTGTTCAGCGCCCTGCCAAGCCGAGGACCGCCATCCGTACATAATTCGATGAAGTTTGTTGCCCCCCGATTTGGACATGCATCAGCCAAGCCACGAGACATCGGCACCCGTCATGGAGTTCCAAGGAACCTCTGGCTCGAAGAGGCGCCGGAACACTTTCGCGGAAGGCTGTCGAACTTGCAGGCTCAGAAAAGTAAGACATGGCCAGGATTTCCCAAGACGATGATTGTCACCATCCATTGATCAATCCGTCTCTGTATGATTGCTCGCTGTTCATTGACACGCCGTGATCTATCTAGGTCAAATGCTCGGGCAACCCGGGCGATGGCTCACCTTGTTCAAATTGCTCCAGGCTCAGCCTACATTGTCCCTTTTCGGACCCTACATCGAGCCAAGGTACATATCCAAGCCCGAAATACTCTTGGACCCTTGTTAGAGTGTAGCGAGGGCCCGTCACTAAACATGATTTGCAGAGAGGATATCGAGGACCATACCATCCCGCAGCCATACAGAGGCAGGCACTCTGAGGAAACGGGCCCAGCGCGCATGCCGCGAGTGTCACGCCCACAAGACTAAATGTTCTGGGGACATACCGCGCTGTGCGAGATGCGAGAGCACCGGCTTGCTCTGCGAGTACTCGGTCATCAAACGCAAGTTCAACAGTCCTGTCCAACAGAGCAGCAGGACGTGGGAAGATACGTCCAGCCCGGACAAGATGGACAGTACGCCAGACTTCACCATGACAACAACAGTCCACAGTATTCCTACCCCAGCATCATCAACCGCACATACAGAGTCACCTATGAACGACGGCCTCATGACTGAGTATGTCACCAATCATCACCGAGACAGAGCTGTGACGGACATTGGCTAACACGCGAGTTTAGGAACTCTCTCTTCCAGAAAGACTTTGTTCTTAGGCATGTCGATGCCTATTTCGATTACTTGTACCCCCTTCCAGGCTATGGCTTCCTCCATCCGGCGACGACGTATAAACAGATCCAGGAAGGGACATTCTCTCCGATGCTGGCAACGGTTCTGTGCTCCATCACGGCGGTGCTGGTGAACCCCGGTGCTGATTCGCTGGCCTTGGCGAGACGATGCTACGAGCAGGCCGAGTTCTACGCCCTGCGCAATCTCTCGAAACTCGAAGTCCACACTCTTCACCTGCTAGCGTTCTGTATCATTTTCAACTGGATCGATTACCAATGGTCAAAGTGCTGGATGTTACATGCTTCTGCGGCACGGCTTGTGAAGGCTCTGCAGCTGAACTGGGAGGACGACGGGCCCTTCGTCAACCGAGAAAGCAACCGGAGACTGGCTTGGCTCATATTCATCCTCGATAGATTTCTGGCTGGGGGATTCGACGACCACATCGAGCTCCCGGAGACGCGGATGTATCTCAGACTGCCCTGCAGTGACAGATCGTTCAAGCGTGGCGAGTCAGTCGTGATGGAGACGCTGGAGGAGAAGCCCATGGCCCTCCGGAAAGAGTCGGACCCGTCCATGTACGCGTTTCAAATTCGACTGATGTCCATTCGACATTCAATACTCAAGTAAGCCACGGCCGTGATATCGCACGATGAGCAGAAATAGACAGTGACTAACATCAGCTCCAGGATGGCCAAGGGGCTGCTCCCAGGACAGCGGCGCCATCCGCTCGCAGCCGCTCAGGAGCCACACCAAGTCATTGAGAAGATCATGGATCTGCAGGCACAGCTCTCGAGACTCGAGGATTCTTTACCGGCGTGCTACAAGCGGACCGATGCCAATATGACTCGTCATTTCGGGACTCCAGACTGGGCGGGATACGTGATGCTGGTAGGCTCTTTCCTCTGTGAAGCTTTATTCTGGATGCAACGGCTGACTGGCATTCTCGAACAGCAAACGTGGATCTGCCAGCTGCACATCGACCTCTATCGATTCACCCTGCCGGGGATCAGGGAGCAGGCCGGGCCGGAGCTCCTCCGGAGCCTCCCCAAGGCCTTCGTCGAGTACACCCGCAACGAGGCGATCGGGTGGGCCGTCAGCCTGGCGCAGTTCTGGGAGACGCTCCAGGACGTGGTCAGGAGGCGCTCGCCGGCGTCCGTCGGCCTCCTCGCCGCCGACTTCATGGTCGCCGCGTGCTGCGTCCAGTGCACCAAGATCCTCTGCTCGGCCAAGAAGTACCGCCTGTTCTCGGCCGTGGGCGAGCGGAGCTCCGCGCCCCTGCGGCGGCACGACGTCATCGACACGTTCTCGCTCGCCGCGCTGATACAATCCAACATTGACCTGCTGGATCAGTTTGCGTCGTTTGTCCCGCAGGTCGATCAGATTGTGCGTTTACTCCTTCTCTTTCGTCTCTCCTCTTGCCTTTCCTCCCCTAAATCGCAGTCCAGGAGGCGAGCTTTGACTAATAACCCAACCCTTCCAGGCCAGAGAACTCAGGTCCATCGTCCTCGACTTCCGCGACGACCCGATCCTCAGCAAGGACGAGACGCTATCGCTGCCGGCAATGGGCCCGGGGAACGGCGTGCGGCTCCCCGGACCCCACTACATACTGGAGACCGCCCTGGCGGCTCAGCACCAGGACGAGGCCATGCAGCGGCAGCGGACGGCGGCGGTGTCGGAGCGGTGGTTCAGAGAAAAGGGGCTCCCGACCACGTCCGACCCCGTCGCGGCCTTCATGGAGAAGCAGGGCGCGACGAGGGGCGACCGGCCGGGCATCCCCTTCTTCCTCGCGCAGGCCCGCGGGTTCGACAAGACCTCGTCGCAGCCTACCCTGCTCTACTCCTCGACGCACCCCCAGGTCGCGAGCGGATCTCCGACGCCCACCCCGTGGAATACGAGCCAGCAGATACCGAGCTCGGGGCTGACCCCCCCGAGCACCGCCTTCTCTCCGCCGCCGCCGCTGCCGACAATGGTGGCAGCGGAGAGCTCCCAACCCCCAGAGTTCTGTCCGCTGAGAGCGGAGCGGCCAGTGTCACAACCACCCACGATGCAGGCTTCTGATAGCATGTTGGCTTCGCAGGCGCACGCTTTCCAGCCGCCGTTTTACCAGCCCGGGTATACTGCGGAGCATCCTTGGCAATCACTGCATCGCGGGTATACTGCTTGATTAGCTTTCCCTGTTCCAAATAGAAAATTTACTCTCTTGAAGAAGAAGTCTCTTCTAGGCATATAAAAGAAAATATACATATAAAATGCGGTAGAGTTCTCGTATCTAATTCTCTAATTCTCCCCCCCCCCCTCCCTGGGGCCCAGTCTTACGCCGCCGGCGCCGCCTTCTGCTCCTGTTGCTGCGCCCCCCTCTTCTCCCACTGGCTCAGCGGGCTCTCCAGCTGCACCTCGGGGAAGCGCGGGTCCTTCTGCCAGGGCATGACGTCGGTCCTCTCGACCAGCCAGCGCAGCACGACGCCCTCGAACCGCCGCCTCTGCTCGGCGTACTCGGGCAGCTCGGCCAGGTTGTGCAGCTCGTAGGGGTCGTCGCCGCGGCGGCTGTACAGCTCCGGCGGCTCGTACAGGCGGTAGACGTACGCCCAGTCCCTGTCGCGCACCGAGATGGCCTTGCCCACGAGCTCCGTGTCGCCGTGCTGCAGCGACGCCTTGATGTCGTAGGGGTACGGGCTCTGCTCCAGCAGCGGCTCCTCGCTCGTCAGGTAGCCGCCCTCGCTGAAGGCGTAGTCGCGGTGCCTCATCTCGCCGCCCGTCCGGGGGTCCCTGCCGCCGCTGACGAGCAGCTCGCACATGGACTTGCCGCAGTGCATAAAGTACTCGCCCACGCCGGCCATCTGCAGCATCGTGGGCAGCAGGTCGACCATCTCGGCCATGCCGTCGTAGACGACGCCCTGCGGCAGCCCCGCGCCGCCGACGATGAGGGGCTCGCGCGTGAGCGACTCGGACAGGCCCGAGGGCCACTTCTCGATGAGGCCGTGGTCGCCGAGGTACTCGCCGTGGTCGGTGAAGAACATGGTCACGGTCGAGTCCCAGAGGCCCTTGGCGCGGGCCTTGTCGACGATGCGCCCGAACTGGTCGTCGAGGCGGCTGATCATGCCGTAGTAGGTGGCCATGATCTCGGCCCAGATCTCGGGCGTGGCGCGGTGCGTGCCGTGCTGCTCGCGGAGGGCCTTCATGTAGCGCGGCTCGTAGCCAGTCTATATACATATACACACCAGTCAGACTACTTGGAATTCTTTTCCTTTTTCTAGAGAGAGGAGGATCAGGGGAAGGGGAGGGGGGGGGGCCGGGGGGCGGCTTACCTTGTCGTCCTTGCTCGCGGGCGCCGTCATCTCCTTGCGGTCGTACATGGAAAAGTACGGCTCCTCGACCTGGAAGGGGCAGTGCGGGAAGAGCAGCGGCAGGAAGAGCACCCACGGCTTGTCCGCCGGCGGCCTCTCGAGCCATTTCAGCGCGCTGCGCACGGCCGCGTCGTCGTAGTCCATGGCCGCCGACGCGTTGCGCAGGCCCTTGTAGAACAGCCGGCTCCAGATGTTCTCCGGGTCCGGCGGGGGGCCCTTCTTGAACTGCGGCAGGAACTCGGGCGTCTCGAGGAAGCCGTACTCGTCGACCGACAGCTCCGTGACGTGCGGCGCGAAGGTGTCCCCCCGGGGCGCCAGGCAGGCGACGTGGTAGCCGCCTTCCTCCTTGAGCGCGCGGAACAGGTTGGGCTCCCAGGGCTTGATGAGGTTCTCGAGCGAGCGGTGGCCCGACACGTGCGGGTAGTTGCCCGTGAACATGGAGCAGCGCGACTGGGAGCACACCGAGGCCTGCAGGAAGCAGTTGGTGAAGCGGGTGCCCTGGGCGGCAAAGGCGTCAATGTTGGGCGTCTTGACGAGCTATAGATCCCACCGAGTGTCAGCAGAGCAAGTTTCACTTAGGGTCTGCTTCTCTCAAAGCAGAGGAAGAGTTCACGAACCTTGTTCCCGTTGCATCCCAGAGCGTCGTAGCGCAACTGGTCGGGCATGAAGATGATAAAGTTGGGCTTGTCGACCTTCATGCCGCTCGGCTTGTGAGGCTCCCGGTGAGGCGGGTGCTCGACATGCATGCCGAAGCCTTTGTTCTGGACGGGCTTGGTGGCCATCTTGCTCTCCTCTGACACGCACGCCCACAAATAGTCTACTAGTGATGGTTGCTGACAGTTAGGCTCCTATTGCTCGATATCTAGACCCAGATAAGGCCTGGGAAAGACGAATGCTTGGGAGGCTTTGTACTTGAATGAGTCTTGAGTGAGAGTCTCTGTAGCATGCGACAGCTCCCCGCACTTATATGGGAAATGCGACGCGGGCATCCGGTCGGGGAGTTGGGCCTTGCGCCCCCTCGATATCCACTCGTCGAACAAATTCACATCTGTCAAACCGGCATCTCCCCGACCTACTGGGAATAAGAGCATCTGCTTACCCCGGGAAACCAAAACATTTCCAATTGATTGGGCAAGAGGACAACACAAAACGGAGAGCCAGATGGGTGTGTGGGGAGCGATATCCGGCGCCAAGACACGAGATCCGTGTAGGGTTGCCCGAGATGCGTGGTGATTGCCGACAGCCGGTCACAAGTCATGCAACGAGAGTTGAAATTCCCATGTACAAGTTTTGGATGGTAGGTAATCGTCTTCTCTAGCGCATTTGTCTCATTGCTCGAGGACAAGGACAATTCTGTAGAGTTGAGGTCGAAGGCCGGAGATGATGCTCGGGTAGCGGACCACTTTTCCGGGCCCCACATTCGGCATCGGGGTGGAGGGACGGAGAGCTCAATCGGAGGCACAGACAGATGGCAATTGCCAGCAGATATAGTTCCCCCCTCCACAACGGGAAGTGGAGTAGGAAAGGATGCTTCAGTTGTCTTTGCCATGCTCTGACGCTCATCCTATCCCTCTAACCCTCTCGAATGCTCTTATCGTCGCTGCTTGCAAAAAGGGTCACGATCCGCCCAAGAAAGCGGTGTATGGAGCAGCTGAGTTGAGCTGCATGACAACGACACGGCTGCTCTCAGTATGACCAAAATGTCTACTTGTTGTCAAGACATAATAGTAATTATACAATTATATAGAATGTACAAAGTATACTAGCACGCCTTTCCTCTCCTTCATGGTAGTCAGTGCTATTGTTTCCGGCGGTGAGATCCGCCCCTTGTCTCGAGAAACAAGAGCGCGCGCAGATGTGTGTATGTACGTGGCACGACGGACGCTGCCAAATGGTTTTATATCCAGTTCCGCTGTGATGGTTTCGCTTTGGCGTCGATCCAAATGGGGTTTAATGAGGTCATCAGTTCAAAAGACAAAATGTTGCCGGTCAGCTCGCTTTTGAGAGAAGTCGAATAGAAAAGTCGTCAAAGGGATAGAATGTCGTAGGGTATACTTCGTTTCGATGATGGTGGTCTCCAAGGGGCCCTTCCAATTAAGCCGTCCGCCCGTGAAGAAGAGAGAAATGGCAGACGGTCCGTAGAAGGCCCCCTTTTCAGACCGGCGGAGAACGAAGAGGCCGATTTATTGGTACTCGGACCGCTCCTTCTCCTTGAGGCCACCGATCTTCTCAATGTCGATCGAGTAGAACTGAGACTTGCTCTCCTTCTCGTAGGCAGGGAGCTGTTCCTCCAGGGGCTCCATGCCAACGGTGGTGTCACCAACGCGGACAACGACGACACGGCCGCTCTTGGAGTGACCGTGCTCGTCATGCTCGTCGGGGAAGGTGATGTGGATCTCGGGAACGTTGTCGGGCGAATGAGGGGGAGAGCTGGGGTTTGCCAACATGGGCTGGCCGTCCTTGAAGACGACGACGCTGTGCCGGCCGTTCTGGGTCTGGATAGTAAGGCGGCGGTGGTTACCGCTGCGCTTGACGTCGCTGTACTGAGGGAGCACCTCGCTCTGCATCTGCTTGCGTCTGCGCATGCGGCGGAGAAGGACGAGGATGGCGGCCAGGACGAAGCCGAAAAAGACCAAGCTGAGCAGAGCAATCATGACGTTGATGAGCGTCTCGGGGTTGGAGCCATCAGTCAGGCCGCGGGCAGCAAGGACGCCCCGGGAGGCGATCTGGTGGATGGACTGCATGGTGGATTGATGTCGTCGATGTGTGGGGTGGTTTAATGAGTGTGAGTGCGAGATAGTTGATGCGTCAACAAACCGGATAGACGTCGGTAATCGATATCGATAGTCAAGAAATTGCTGGGTCAAGGGAAGGATAGAATTCAAACAAGGGGCGATCTACGCGGTCGATGGGACAATGTCAGTACTGGTCTGGGTCTGGTGAATAGTAGTAAAGAGAGGGATCATGGTCTTCAAAGAGTCAAAGGAAACAGTAGATCCTCATCAAAGGGCACCAGGCCGACAATAAAAAAAACAGGGAAGCAAGGCAGGACGACAACCAGCCCCGGATTTGCCAAAGGGAGGCGTCATGAGGTAGTCCATTGGGGGTTTCGTGCCTTGCCTTTGCGAAGAATGGAGATGATGGATAGTGGGTTTTTTTGGTGGTGGTTGTGCACATACCCAAGGGATGCTCCCGCCTCTAGCAAGTTTTCAAACTTCGACAATGCAAAAACGACTAGTATCCGGAAGGAATGGACAGGAGATACAGCTAAAAGGAGTGAAGCTGTATTCCAGGTGTAATGATCGTGAGGGCAAAAAAAAGGAAGGGACGCTCTTCGAGCACCTTGAAGCCGGCGACAATGGACCCTTGGGCTTGCTTGTTGGACAAGAAGGTGAAAGAAGAGGAGAGGGAAGGAAGGGAGGAGGAAAGGGGAGGGGAGACAAGCAAAAGGGAAAAGAGCGCCAACACGCAGTAGCCAGAGCCCCAGTGCTTCACCAGTGCACGCACCAGGGTAGTTCGTGGTTAGTGGTGTGGCATGTGTGTGCGCAGTCGCTTCGGTCTCCCCCCTACGTGGGTAGTGCGGCCTAGACTGTGCCCACTCGTGCCTCCCTGTTCCTGGCAGCCAGACGCTGGGACCACCGCATCGAGGAAGTTGAGATGGACAAGCAGGGGGGCTGATTGGCCACCCAAGCCACCACAACGGCTGTTCCTGAGCTAGCGCCAGCCATCATGTGGCAGCGGGCCAATCACGGGCCATGGCACTGTTGACAAAAACGGGGGGCTTAATTTCACGATTTGGGGGTGGAGCCTCAGATTTCCAAGGCACCCGCCCCGCCCCTGTGATTGCTCATTGCTTGATGATCGTTCTTCACGGAGTACTCGAGAGTCGAGCACAACAGAGCCGCGCGCTCCAGTGCAGAAGCGCCACGATGCAAAGAGTACGGTACGGAGTAGTCCTACCTTACCGCTCTTTTCCTTCTCATCTTCAAGTGCGCATCTGACCTTCGGATTGTCTATTCTATGGCCAACGGACGTTTTCCCTCCACAGATTCCTCTGAAGGCGGCACCACCTGCTGCTCTGCTCGAAAGGCCTTGTACATACCTAGGTAACTTGGTGTTTTAGATGATCAGAAACAATACACAAAAGCCGAGACAGAATGAGAGAAGCGCCGCTGACGAAGACTGCTTCAATATCAACAATAACAAAAGACAAATACGGGCGATGCTGTTCTATTTTTGTTCTGTTTGGAACGGGAAGCCACACATCAAGCCATTTCCAGAACATGGCCCCTCATTCCGGCATTCCTGCGCTTGTGTCTCCAACCCCCCTCTGGCTTCCAACAAAGCCTCCCAAACCTCCATACCTAGGCTTGCAAACAATGTCTTCTGTCCTTGTCTTTTTTCCAGTATTTATGTCATCGTTCAATTTCTCCCACCATGCTATGCTGCTCACACCGTGGCCGTGTAGCGTGGCTCTGCGGCATCCCCGAAATCAATCCGGGGGCGGGTGGCGTCGCGGCATTTGTGATACCTCTAATACCGCGTCAGCCCCGATCCCTTTCAATACCTATTTGCGAAGCATTCCGGCCGGTCCGGGCACTAGCCCAACCTCGTACCAGCAATGCGTGACGAGTGGCGAGTGTGATGCCGGCGGGCCCCAGAGTGGCTCTGTTTGGAGCAAGTATGTGGCAAGTGATGCTGTCTCAGCACCATTGATGGCTTTGTTCACCCTCGGAATGTTGGACTCGATCATATCTCATTTGATCTTATAGTTGCGCTCTCACCGCTGTCTCGACCTTCGTCATACAGAGCAGATTGATGCGCCTTGCTCGTCTGGTCAGCTTCTCACGCTCGCCCTCGAGTCGGCCAAGGGTCTCCATGTTGGCAAACCGTCCTCTTTGCAGCGATCCGCCGATCCCTACTGCTCATTGTTGGAAAGATGTTGTACAGTTTGCCGATCCTCTTGCACCTTGCGAAAGACTTGTTCGGCCACGGCCAACAGTTGCTCGTCGGAAACAAGCTCGAAAGGAGCAAACTGGAGTTTCGGCAAGCCGGGTGAATATGGCAAGGATCCGGTCTATCTCGGACTCCATTATTGATAACTCCGCTATTCATGTGCAATGCTCATCAAATGCCCTGGTGTTCGTTATATCTGCCATGAACGCTTCGCTGCTACGCATGATCTCCTTCCAATGGGAAGTTTTCATGGCACTGATGGGCTTCAAGTGAGCTCACTATTCTGCATAACGAGGCAACACGTGTGAATTTCCGCCTGGATATTGGTGGCCACATCGTCTACGACATGCTTGACAATTATAAACTCAGCATCACTATTGAACCCTTATCTGCGGCCAAGTCCAGAATGGCCAGCAAGGTAGTTACCCGTATACAGATTTGCACTCAACTTACTCTTCCCCTCGGGGCTTATCGAGATGACAGCTGGCTGTAGTACATGTTCCATGCTGAGTTTGAAGTTGCCATCAAGCGCCATAGTCCTTGATTGTCGAGGAATTCCAAGACTAGTTGAATACAATGTCTGCTGTATTGCGCCGAAGACGTAAGAACCTACTTGCATGCTCATGAAACATTGTGCGAAGCGGTCCCTGACACAATGTCAATAGAGGATGATGCTTCCAAGTTCAGAATCGCTGATAGAAAGACCAGCTTGGTGGGAAGCAGTATGTAGAACTTGCCGTACAAGAGCCGGCATGGGCAAGTTATGATGAGGTTGGACGCGTCGTATACCAGCTGGCCATGTCGATGGCATTGATTTTATCAAAGATACGTGAGGTGGTTGCGTCGATGATGGCGGTATCAGCAACTGGTGAGAACCAAAAGACTTCTCTGTCCCACTCGAATGGCAACTTATCAAGACGACGAGGAACATGGCAGGGTAGAGGCCGGCACCATGTGAAGCTGCAAGCTCAAAGTGGTAGCATTCTATTGGACTAATCTGCCGTGGTTCGTCACAGGGTCGTGTCTTCTGCTTTGTATCGCAGGCAAGTGATGGTCATATTAGTTGACGGACTGCTAACAGAAGTACTTGACTATCCTTCAAGCCCATCGGGTTTAGGTAGTGGGATAGCCCTTCCGAGTTCTTAGGGCAAGGATGTGACAAGGATATTGATTGTTAAGATTGAGGTAGCTCCTGATGAACTTCCGTCAACCATTCAGACACCCACTTGGCAGGGCACTATTTGGTTAGAGTCTTCTCGGCTCGGCATCGCTGTCTACCACGATGAGTAGACAGCTTTTGCAGCCGCCGCTTGTTTTGTTCCTGCCCACTACTGAGACAACAGTTGGGTGGGCACTTGCCTCATCGACTGGATATCTGGCACCGGCGACTCTTTGAGGCTTCGGACCCCATGACCACATTCATCGGTGATCAATCCAGGCGGTCTCCAGCAATGCCAGTGTCCAATCCTTGATGGTCATGTTCGTGGACCCCAGGCAATCGACCCTCACGATCTTCACTTCCAGCTCATCATCTGGGCTGTATCGGCCCTTCAGACTCGAGCGAAGGTAGACACTTCAGCGCTAGCAAGGAGATCCTCTCTGCTCGCGGACCTGGGAAGACTTTGGCAAGAGGCGCTTGCCACCCTCGTCGTGGACCGCTGGAACCAGTGCCACGGGCCGGATCTGCAGCAACATGGTAACCATCTTCGCGTGGTACTCCGCATCAGCGCGCCGCGGTCTCGGCGGTCCTGGCCAGGCTCCCCTTCTCGGAAGCATATACCACCAGGCGCTGGTGTGGGTGAGTCACCGCCACGCCTCTGAAGGGGTCATTCTGCTCAGCTGTTGACCTATGGCCCGAGTGTGCGATGGCTGACCTCCTGGACTTGTGCGTGTGTACCAGAGTTACCTGACAGCGGACGTGGCAGAAGGTGCTCACGGCCCACTGCAACTGGACCGCGGCAGACACTCTCGGCAGCCCAAGGATTCGGCGGTGACGAACTACACCGGTATCTCCCCTACGCTCTCCATCTCTGGCTTCACGCGCCCGGCTCCGGACCTGATCATTGGTATCCTGCGGGCGGAAACGCGGTCACTGGAGCGGGCTTTTTTCAAGATGGAGGCACTGGGAAAACCTGGTTGAGGACGCGGGTCCGGTGGCTGAAGAGCCGTCGGACTGGTCTTCGTGCAGAAACTGCTTCACCTGGGTCGCGATCTGGCCACACTGGCACGTGCCTACTCGGCCCGTTGCACCAGCGTGGTGCTTGTAACCTGGGCAGGACGACTTGATACCCAAGACTACTCGTGCCCAGAGCACCAAGGCGTCCTGTGTGGCCGGCACACTGCGGGCAAGTTTCTGGATGGAGGGAGGGCATTTCTCTAGGAGGAGAAGATCCGGGAACGCTGAGGCTTAAATAAAGACGCCCTCAGACGCCCTCATAGTATCCTGAATGGGAAACTCTGGTGGGCTCTCTGTGGAAGACTGTGGAACAGTGTCCGGATCCAAGTGCCCATCATCTTGGCGTGCTCGCATTTCGACTTTCGCCCACGGGGTGGGTGGTGGGTGTGTCAACCATGTAACCTGGGCAAAATCAACATGCTCGTTCAATGTTTGGATGAAGGAGGTTGTACCGAGAAAGTCTTCAAGGAGACCCACCGGTCAAATCTCAATGAGACATTGCCACGATGGGCCTTTCCCTAGTTCGACAAGAACTTTGCTTTTGGTCAATCTCTTTTCGGTTTCCCGTGCCTTAAGTAGCCTGCTTTGGCGCCCTGGTATTGCAAATAGCGCCTCTTTTCGAGCAGGTTTGCAAGATCATCTTCGCCCTGGCACGCTGAGCTGCAGAGTACGAAGGTCGCAAATTAGAGTGCTGTGGGCCGACGGCTCCTCCCTTGGAGAGTGTGGAGTGGGCGATCAGAATCTGGTCGCGTGTATCGTCTCTGGCTGTGTCCTGTCTTGTTCTGTCCTCTTGCCCCCTATGTACCAATTACGGAGTAAAGCCTTTGAAGAAGTCAATGCTCAGTGCCACATGCTGGATGACACTTCGTACGTGCCTAGGTCCCAGTATGTCTGCGACCAAGTTCGTCTGGCAGATGGTCCACGGCGGGCCAGGCCTCAAAGTGTCGCGCTGGATATTAAACCGCATTCCATGGGAAAGAAGAAAAGGAGCCTCTACATGGAGTGAGCAGATGACCCCATATCTTTGTCAAGTCGTACTTTCCTGGTAGGCCAATCAAGGGCGAGGCAGCGCTTGCGACCCGACGGACGGCCTTCGATGGTTACTTGACTTCCGTCTCTATCGGGCCGTGGGGCGGAGGGCCTGCCACTATCCACAGACCACGACTTACACAGGAGCTTGGAATAGATGCTTTCTCCGAAGATGGACCCTTGACAGGCCGTCGCCCGGATGGGTCGTAGGTTTGTCTAACTCACAATGCCTAGCTATGTACATTTTGCACGATTTCGGCCAAAGAGCAGGAAAACACACCCAGTCCGAGTCGGGCCAGCTTGCTCGTCGTTTAAGGGAAGAAGAGCCTCAAGCCAGCATCAACCACGAAGCGAATCCAACGGCGTTCGCCAAGTAACTAGTCTAAGAAGTGAGTGTGTAAAAGCCATTTTGTAGGAGAGTCCGATTGCTCTTTTTATTGTCCCGGAGTCTAGTGAACATGCTCAACTCGGTGCTTTTCCCCCGTGGAAGAAATACCGTGGCCGTTGGAACCAAGGAAGAAACTCTCTGGTCATCTCCGTCCATGGGCTCGTCTTAACGAGCCATCCATTGTATCTCGAGCTTTGAACTCCGGTTGAGCTTTTAGAAGAGGGTTTTCCTTCCTGGGAACAGGAGCAGGCATGGTTGAGCCCTTTTCAGCAATCAATCTGTCCATGAGATCCATCTCTCTCGGAGAATAAAAAGCCTTGTGGTCCCCTCCCTGGTGTGGAAGGGAGGTTCTGTCTTGCAAATATCTTGCACCGAGACCGCGTACATATCCCTCGCACGTATCCTCCACAAGGATCCGACGCCCTTGGATCATCTATCCCCTTTGCAAGGAGTTACCTAAAGCAGGTAGCCATCAATACTATCCCGAGCAATCAAAGGCGCCTTGCATAGTTCATTTCAGCTTTACCCCAGACTCCCTCGTGCATCGGCGTCTGGCCGAACTACGAACTACGTCGTAGGTATATCTACTCGTGAAGCTCCTCTTCCTCTTTTGTCTTCTACATTCCTCGCCTCTCCCCTCCGCCTTGTATTCTTCTCTCTGCGACCTTCAGACATTACCCACCCGGCACTCCGTCCTGGCCAAAGAAGATTGGCCCTGGAAGAGGAGAAAGCAGTGGTATCCGCAAAAGAAAGCACCGGAGTGCGGCAGCTAGTACGCCACCAGCCCGAACACTCACTCGCTGGCAGCATCTCGACGAATCGTCGACGAGAACAGTGAGCACCAAGCATACCACAACCCTCAGCGAGCCCAATCACCAGGCAACAATCAAGCGAGCCGGTGCGGGATCTTGCCTGAAGTCGCACCGAGTTGTCAGTGCAACGATGGATCGCTGCTTTTTCTGGACCAGGGAGAATCTTGGGGGCTAACCACCGTTTTCGCTATTCTGCAGTCATCCTCGCCAGTTCCCTTTACTCGCTCTCTCCCTCACGCACAGAAGACAACCACGACGCCGTCCCCGGCTCCATCGATCTCCTCTCTGCTCAGCATCGACCACCGCTTCGGGTATGTAGACTTTTCTAGTCTGTTTTCCCCTCGTCATCTTGCTTCCTCTTCCTCACGGCACTTCCCGCTTCTCTTGTCTTGCATCGAATCCCGTGGGGGCCACAGTTGTGTTGGCAGGACCGAGTCTGGTTCACCCACCACCAAGGCCGTGTTTGTCTCTGGCAAAAAGACTTTCACCAAGTCGAGCTTGTGGATCACCTTTGCGCCAGTCCGGTATCCCTTCCCTGGCTTTCCACTAAACCCAGGGGCCTGGCATGGCCTGGAGGTCCCCCCTGCGTCGGTTGCGTGTCTGGCCTCAGGGCTGCCTCGAGCTAGGCCAGCCCTTCCCTAGCCCTTCCCTTCTTCCACTGTAGCCCCGCTACCCTGGCTTCCCTGGCCTGCTACCGACCAACATTTTACCTTTATTTTACCTTTCTTACCCTTGTCGGGGCCCGCTGCTGTTGCCGCTGCCGCTCCCTACCGCCTGCCTGGTCTGGTCAGGCTGTCCTCTTGTGACCTTTTTTTTTTTTTCCTGCCCGCAGCCCGCCCTTCTGATGGTGGGAGGGAGGGACGGGCTCGTGCTGGTCGTGCTGGCTCTGCCTTAGTTGGTAGGCGGCGGTGGAGACTGGAGTGCAGCGCCAGTCCAACTCCAATCGCGAAATGGCAAATTCCAGCCTTTCACACGCCCTCTTGAGATCGACCCCAACTTATGTACATATCGTTCTGGCCGCCTTCCTGCATACCTTACCTGCCCTGCCCTGCGCTGTTGCTGCTGCGGCTACTTTCCCTCATCCTCCCTCGTCCTCGTCCTCCCTCGTCCTCGTCCTCGTCCTCCCTCTCCTCCTCCTCCTCTTCTTCTACCTCTTCTCTCCTCCTCGCCTTGCCCATCATCGTCTTTTCCGCGTGGCCAGAGCCAGCCATTCTTGCAAATATTGGCCCTTCCCGCCATACTGCAGCCCGGCCAGTGTAGCAGTAGCTAGGCTGCACTCTCTTCTCAAAGTTGAGCTGTGCTTACGCTCTTGGTTCCGACTTTGCCTTCGTCGCATGCTCGTCGCCCGTCTCTGCACTTTCCTGCCTTTACCACCTGCTTGTCGATAGGGTTTATGATTTCTAGAGGTCAGCTCCCGCATGCGCTTTCAAAAGAAGCAATCTCTCTGCCATCCCGCTTCAGGGTTTTCCCGCTGAGAGCAGAACCTGCTTGAACACCCCTCCTCCTCAACCTACAACCCTATCTCTGCTCGTCCCGAGCTTGTGCCAATTGACCTGCTTGCTGACGGACCTTTTCTCCTCAGCTGAATAGATTTACCCGTCTTTGCTCAGACGACGGCCTGCATATATTCGACCTAATCGCCTTCGTGAATCTTGCCCGTCTTCGCTGGCCACGAGACCAACCTTCAAACTGAATACCAGTCTTTCGCAAAGTCCCGTCCCCGCAGGGTCCGAGTTTGAGCAGTCGTAGCTTCGGCCTGCTACATACACCATCACTATCGGCAGCACTTCTTTGTATTACCGAGTATCTGTCGACCTTGTCGATCAAATACTGCAGATATGTCGAACGTGAGTCGCGCCGCCCACATGTTGTTGGCACCTTGTCTAGTATATGCCTTCATTGTAGGCGTATCCGAGCTAACGGGATTCCACCAAACATAGCGAGAAAGCCGACTCCCCAATTACCAAGCCTCAGATTTTAAGATGTTCCGTGCTACCCACCGCGCACTCGACGCATACCCCACTGAGACATGGAGTTCCTCACAGAGCATATGGGCTAAGAAGCCACCTCGCGAGACCCAGCGGGTAGCAGGTATGTGTAGCATGTACCACAGCCCGCATGGCTGATCAATTGCTCACCTATGCAGCAGGCCCCGGCGAACTGTCCCAGCTCAACAGTTCCAACGCACGCGACCCTTGGGTCCATCGTCCCGACGACTCCTGGGCAGCTCTCCAAGACCCTTCCACGAGGTCTGCCTCTGGCAGCACCTCCCCAACACGAACCAGAGATGTCGTGTCACGGGCCGAATTCAGCTCGGCTCCCCTCTACGCGAACTCACAAATGAGGATGGCCTCTCAAAACGGGAACGCCAACGGCCGGGCGAATCCTCTGTCTAACACCTCCTCGCACAACATGCCGAAGGCCCCTTTGGCCGATGAGAAGGAGAATGCCGGCCCTTTCAGCGCGACTTCCCTGGGCGATGCCGCCAGGCAAGGCTATGTGAGCGAACATCGAGGATCACAGGGCAGTGACTTCACCGGGAGCAACCACTCGCGCGAGCAGAGCATGGCGTTACTCGGCCACGGGGAAGCTGAGCCATATCACGGTTCATCTTCGTACAGCAACCCAAGCAACCCCTTCAACCCAATTGGGTCCGACGCGGTGCTCTCGTCACAAGTTCCTCGACCCTCGCTGAACGGATCAGCATCCTTTCCGTTGCAGACCAATGGCCATGGCGGGGCTTACATAGATGGGCTCACGGCTGGTGTCCAAAAGAACCTGACCTTCCACGAGTCTGCGGAACACAGCTCCTCGCGCTCCTCACGGAGCCATCATGTAATGAACCATGCCCAGTCTTTCCCGCTGAATGGCAGCACCCCAGCCTGGCAAGGACAGAGCCAGGGACGGCCTAGCACTCGCGATTACGCCGCTACATATCAACCTCAACAGAGCATTTTCTCCCAGGGCCCCCTGCCCGGAGATCAGCGGGCAAACGCTGCCGGCCAGGGTCGCCTCGCGCGTACCTCGTCACATTCAAATGATGTTGTGCAACCTGTCTCCGACGCCTGGCACCGACAATCGTCGATCGAGTCATCCTTCCCTCTGGAGTCGGAAAGGAGCATTTTCAATGCGCCAGTGATGGGCCAGGCCAGCCAACCGGCACCGATCCACCAGCAATTTGTTCCTGTCTATAACACAAACGGGATGTACATGCCGTACATCTCAGCACCGTTCCGCAATCCCGGTCAGCTTCCGCCGGGTCAGGTCCAACCGGCCTGGCTCCCCAATGCCTACACCGGCAACGCCGCCGCTTTCGTCCACCCCCCTCGTCCGCGTGAAGCGAACAAGCCGCAGGACGACGTTCTTGATGACTTCAAGAGGAACTCCAAGTACAACAAGAAGGCGGAGCTCAAGGTAAGCACTTTGGACCGCTCTCGAATCGTTGTCTAGTGATCCGCAGCATACTGACTGCACCGCAAAACAGACTATAAAAAACCATGTTGTGGTGTTCTGTGGGGACCAAGCTGGTTCTCGTTGGCTGCAAAACAGAATTGAGACAGCCTCGACCGAAGAGAAAGACATGCTGTTCGAAGAGATCTATCCGAACGGGTTGCAGCTCATGTCTGACGTCTTCGGCAACTACGTGATCCAAAAGTTCTTCGAGCATGGCACGCAGCATCAGAAGCGCGAGTTGGCTGGGCTGCTGAGAGGCAAGATGTTCACCATGGCAAAGGGCATGTACGCATGCCGATGTGTGCAGGCGGTAGGCCCCCCCCTTCTGTATAACCCTCAATCGAGACCACAGTGCTAATCTGACATTCAGGCTATTCAACACGTCCTGGTTGATCAACAAGTTGAGCTCGCCAAGGAGCTTGACACCCCTGAGCACAACAGCATCTTGGAGCTCCTTGACCACCAGCATGCGAACCACGTCGTCCAGAAGATCATCGAATCGGTCCCGCGTGAACATATCGGCTTCGTGATGGAGACCTTCCGCAACAATGTTGTGGCACTCTCTCGCAAACAGTTTGCTTGCCGCGTTGTTCAGCGCGTCATGGAACACGGATCGGAGGAGGACAAGGACTTCTTCGCGGCCGAGCTACTCCCGGAACTCGGGTGCCTCATTGACGACCAGTATGGCAATTATGTGGTACAGAACATCGTCAAGGTTGGCAAGGAAAAGGACCGCGACCAAGTCGTTGCTCTTGTCAGAAGCAACCTGCCCAAGTACAGCAAGAACAAGCACGCCTCGAACGTGGTCGAGATCTGTCTGGCAAACTGCAGCAATGTGACGAGGTGTGAGGTAGCCGACGAGTTGCTCACCGATGAGCAGAAGACGACGGATCTCATCCGAGACCAGTATGGCAACTATGTGATTCAGACACTCACCAAGAAGCTCGAGGGACCCAAGAAGGACGAGTTCGAAGACTTTCTCCGGACTCTTGTGGTCAACATCAAGAGGGACTCCGGAGGGCGCGGCTCAGCTCTCCAAAAGCTCACCGACTTGCTCTGGCCCAAGTCGGGTGTGCAACATGGCCAAAAGCAACCTCAACGCTCCGGAAATGAGAACACGGCGGCGCCGTCGCCGTCTCCTCTCCAGATCGACACCGCAGTGCCTACTCCAGGCTTGACCAGGGAGCCCAACACCCCTCAGAGCAGCGGACCCCCAAGCACGAATGCTAGCGCTACAGAGGAGACAGCACTGGACGCAAGCAAGCCGGTCAAATCGGCATCTGCGGCTGGATCGTCTGCTCCACAGATCCAAGCCGACGGCAACTAGGAAGGGACGTGATCCTTCCAGATTCCATTTCTTTCGTAATTATTTGTCTTGTTCCATACATGGAGGGGCTATGCACAAACACCAAAGACATGTTTTTTTTCCTACCTAACGACATGACGCATTGGGGATAACGACTACGGTTCACAACACCGGGATGGGGGCCAGGGGATGATAAGCACGTCGGCGTCACAGCCCGGCATCACGATACAAGGTTTCGGCATGCTGTGGTATCGGGGGTGTTTCTTGGTTTTGGGGATACTGGACTACTGGGCAGAAATTCCAGTTATATCAGGCGCGGGAACCGGAGGAGCTCGGGTGAATCATCGTCATTCATGGTACAGTTTACTTTAGCTATAATACGGTCATCTCCAGCATGGTTGCCATTGTCCTGAGCACAGGTCGGATTTGGCATGCAGGCTGGGGAGGCGAGATCTAGAGGTCGGCGGATAGTGACGACCGATAGCGAATACAATACAGCGGATTTGAGTAGTTCAGCGCTTGAGTACCCAGGTAGTTTGCTCTGATATCAAGGAGCGTAGCTTGTGTGTCATGATCAGAGCTTGTGTGGGATGACTGGGATGAGTCTGTAACCCGGATCAGAACGAGCTAGGAGTCTGTGCACCACCCCATGAGGGTGTATGGTCGGTGCGACTGTCCATTTTCGAGACTATCTATCTCATGATCTACCTGCTCTCGAGTTTCAGATCTATTCATAGTCTATCTACGAGAGATTCTCCCTTTGCTGGTCAATTCATTGGATCCATCTTGGCCTTTCGGACACCTGTACCTCCCTTACCGCTAGTGGGTTGCTCGGTAAATGCCGGCATAGCAAGTGCCTAATCTGCGGTGTGGCACGTGCTGGGCCCAGGTGCCGGTTTCTCGGTTGTTGTATGGGCGCAGTTACGTAGCTAGGCCGGTTCATCTTCCTGCATACCTAGCAAGCATCCAAGATCTTTACAAGGAGGCCCACGTTCAACGTCAACAGCGACCATGGATTAAGACAGAGAACACAATTGCCCGACGCGGACTCTTCCCACTCTTGACGCAACTCGACGACGACGACAGTCCGCGATGACCTCACCGCCACCATGTCTACAACCAAGCTAACTTTTCTCTACCCGCATCTGTTCCGCGCGGGAGGGCTCCTCGGCGGCGAGAAGTCTGCCGCCGTCGTCGGCCAGGCTACGTGGGGCTCGTGCCGTCGTCGCTGCTGCCAGAAGCAGCTGCGGGCGCCCGCCCAACCGTCTGGCCTCGCGGCCTCGTTCGCGTCCATCACGGCGCCCAAGCAGTCGAGCTACACGCGCAGGCACGGGACGGCGGTCGACCCGACGCCGTTGGGCACCGGTTCCACCGCCAGCGCCAGCAACAAGACCACCGCTCAGGCGACTACCGGCGACGGCGACGGCGACGGCGACGGCGACGTGGAGGTGGACGACGCGCAGGCCTCGGTGGGGGCCTCCGACGCGGAGTCGCTGGCGGAAGAGCAGAAGCGGGCGCAGCAGCAGGCGGCTGAGAGCAGTGCGGATGGGATGGTTGAGAAGGAGGCGATGGCCGCTGCGAGCGCCGCTGCGGCTGCGGCTGCGGCTGCTGCCACGAATACGAGTGCCGACCCGGCCAAGACGGAGCAGAGGATCCTCGACCCGCCGCCCGTGATCCAGCTCGGGGCGCCGACCGACCCTGCCCCCGCCGCCCCGTCGGGCGCGAAGAAGAGCACGAGCGGGCCGATGGAGACCATCCTGAGCCGGGAGCCGCCGCCGTCATCATCATCGGAGGACCAGGACGGAGCGGTGGCCAACAAGGGCGGCGTGGGCAGCAACGGCAGCTACAGGCGGCCGCCGCACCTGGCGCCGCCGCCGTACATGCACCACTTTGACAGCTACTCGCTCGTCAAGCAGCTCGAGGGCGGCGGGTACACGCGGGCGCAGGCCATCACGGCGATGAAGGCCGTGCGGGCGCTGCTGGCGCAGAACCTCGAGATGGCGCAGGCCGGGCTCGTGAGCAAGAGCGACGTCGAGAACGAGACGTACCTGTTCCGGGCCGCGTGCTCGGAGCTCGGGACCGAGGTGCACAACGGGCGGCGCGCGGCGGACGAGCTGCTGCGGCAGAACCGGACGACGCTGCAGCACGAGGTGGACATCTTGGCGCAGTCGCTGAACCAGGAGCTGCTGACGCTCAACGACACGGTCAAGGGCATGTTCAACGACCGCAAGATGGCGGTCAGGGAGGAGCAGAAGGCTGCTGACAGCGCTGTATGTCTTTTTTTTTCCCTCCCTCTCGTCCTATTATCTATCGTCTTTTTGTCTGAAACAATATGCCTGACTTTTGATATACAGATCCAGCAGCTGGCGTACAAGATCAGCGTCGACCTCAACAGCGACGCCCGGTCCGAGATCGAGCAGCTGCGGTGGGTGCTCATCCGGCGGGCCGTCATCGGCATCGTGTTTATGGCCTTCATCACGCTGGCGACGCTGCGGTACGCGACCTACCGCCGCTACGTCAAGGCGCGGGAGGCGGAGATCCGGGAGAAGGAGGCCGAGCTGCTCAAGCAGAACGACGGGCGCAAGGATCATATGGCGTCGCCTGATGCGGCTGAGATCCTGGCGGCGAACTGATTGCTTTTGAAAAGGGGAGGAAACCCTTTTATATTATAGAATGGGATGATCGGGTCCGGAATGAGTGGCATATAGACTTGGTTCGATACCCTTTTCTTTCACCTTTCCAGGTCTCCTTGGGTTGGGTGCAAGATGCCGAGGCGGCACGGATGGTGTAGTAGGCATAGACATATCATAGACATACATGACTTCCAATTTACTTTGTGCACTTCCAGGACAGGACTTGGTCTGATCTGATTCCAAGGTGAACTGATCTCGACGTGAGAGAGGACTGGCTGCAAACAGACAATAGGCGCAAAGCGTGCGCTGCTGCTGCTGCTGCTGCTGCCTGGGGGGAAAAGTGTCAGTCAATAAACCCGACGCAGGGGAACCGAAGTGGGACCGCCTACAAAAGCGCGTTTACCTAGATCTCTCAGCTCGTCAGCCTGCATCTCACTCCCTCTCGCTTTCATAAACACCAACATCTTCTGTCAAAGAAGACCATCCTTTTTTTTGCAAAGTTCGTTCTTCATCAAACAGCACAGCACGGCAAGCAGGATGTCTTACTTCAAGAAGACAACGGCCAACACCGCCGTCCCCAGCCAGGGCAACACCGCCAATGACACTGCCGTGCCTGCTGATGCCGCCGACACCATCGCGGCGGTGCGCTGGTCCCCCGTCGCCAACCACCTCGCTGCCGCCTCTTGGGACGGCAAGGTGCGCATCTACGACGTGACCGGCAGCAGCGCCGCCAAGAACTCGACTGACCGCTCCGCCCGCGGTCTCGCGCAGATCACGGCCGAGGGCCCTCTGTTCGCGTGCGACTGGTACAAGGTAAGTGACTGAATCTAATTCAAATGTAACAACAGCTTTCTCAAAAAATCGACAACACGATGGTGGAAAACATCGTCATCCTTGAAGATGATGATGAAACAAAACAAAACTTGAGAAAAAAAAATGAAGTGATATGGGAATAGAAAAAAAAAGATAAGAGATACAAATGGTACAATAGGTGAGTATCCTTTACTACCCCTCTCCCTCTCTCTCACACATACACATATATATATATATAGCGTCCCTTGCTCACACAAAAAACCCACGACAGGATGGATCTATCGTCGCCGCAGTCGGCGCAGACAAGAAGGTGCACCTCCTCGATGCTGGATCGGGCCAGACGGCCTCGTTCGCCGCGCACGACGCGCCCATCCGCAGCGCGCGCTTCGTCGACGTCCGGGGCTCCTCCTCGCCCGTCCTGGCCACGGGCTCCTGGGACCGCACCCTGCGCTACTGGGACCTGCGCGCCGACCCGGCCTCGGGCCCCCTGGCCGCCGTCCCCTGCGGCGAGCGCGTCTACGCGATGGACGCCGCCAAGGACCTGCTCGTGGTCGCCACGGCCGACCGCGCGGTCCACCTCGTCGACCTCGCGGCGGACCCGACGCGGCCCCTGCGCTCGCGCGAGTCGGCGCTCGCGCACCAGACGCGCGTCGTCGCCGCTTTCCCCAACGGCAAGGGCTGGGGCACGGCCAGCATCGAGGGCAGGGCTGCCATCAACACCGTTGACGAGAAGCTCGACAAGTAAGGCAGAAGCGCACAACATTGCCTGACCGTCAGGACAGGCACAAGAGATGTCAATTTTACTGATGTGTTAGAAACAGGGATGGCTCCGACTCGTTCACTTTCCGGTGCCACCGGAGCGCCGTCGTCAAGGGCCAGGTCAAGGTCTGGGCCGTCAACGACATGAACTTCCACCCGACCAACGAGGACATCTTCACCACCGCCGGCTCCGACGGCACCTTTTGCTTCTGGAACCGCAAGATGCGCGTCCGCACCAAGACCTTTGACGTCAAGCCGAAGTCGTCGTCGTCCTCGTCGTCCTCGTCCGGCACCGACAGCAAGAAGTCCGAGGGCGGCGGTAACAACAACGACAACGACGACGTCGTCGCGGTGACGGCCACGGCCTTCAGCCAGGTTGACGGCGGCAAGACGTTCGCGTACGCCACGGGCTACGACTGGTCCCAGGGCTACGCGCGCAGCAGCGCGTCGCTGCCGACCAGGCTGATGCTGCACCCCGTCTACGAAGGCGACCTGCAGAGGCAGCAGTGAGCGTGTCCCCGGGTGGAAGTAGGAAGAATAGGGAAATGAGTGAGCTCAAGCTCCTTTGGGGGGGGGGGGGGAAGGCATTTGGGAGAAGAAGAGAGAGAAAACCCCTTGCATGCAGGCCTGGCCGAGAAGCATAAAATGCCCGGTGCGAGGCTGCGGGCAAAGGGGCTTTGGGGGAGGGAATTTGAGGGAGGACTGGCCGGCTTGGCCCCATGGCAGTCATGTCTTTTTACGGAGGAGGCGTTTCTTGTGGATTTTCTTCTTTTTTCCTTTGTCAAGGGTCTGGGTCTTGTAGCATCTGCATGCGTTCTACCCGTTACATGCAGCTTGCAGGATATTACAAAGGATGATCGAGAGGGAAATTACAAGATTGAAACAACCAGGGCGTTCCAGGGAGGATGGAAGGTTCTTCAGAGAAAGGACAACAGCACAGATTGATCAGATGGGATTATGGCAAATGGGAAAACGGGTTCGACTTTTTCACACAATGTGATTGATTATCAGTGAAGCTTGATGAGATGAAGTGATGATGAGAAACTTTGCCATTACAGGTCATACCAACTGGAGAGAGAGGAAAATTCTACAGAGGTTGTTGCTAATACAAGCTTACAAACAAATCGAAAGGGGAAAAGGGCGCGCGTCTCGTCCGGATGTTGTAGACGACGCACACACCGCCCGTTGCTCGTTATGAACAACGCCAGCACTCTCTCTTTCCTCCACGCACGCAGCAAACGTGTTTAATTCTTGTGCAGCTTGGCCTTGATCTTCTCGCTCAGGCTCCGCTTCTCCTTGGTCTCCTTGGGCGACGAGTCGCGGCCGCCGGCGCCGGACTTGTCCTTGCTGCTGCTGCCGTCCGCGTTGTTGTTCAGGCCGCCGGCGCCGACGTGGTTGTCACCGCCCGTGTGGACGCCCTTCTCCTCTAGGAGGCCTGTTTTTTTTGGGCGCTCAGTATGTTAGCAAAATAAATAAAAAAGGGTATTCATTCACGCCCTTGGGCTTATTCCCGTCAAAAGTGCCCGGCCCATCTTTTATGAGCTCTGTGATGTAGAATAAGGAAGAACTTACGGTCCGCCTCGCGCCCGGCGCCGGGGTTAGCGGCGTCAAAGTCGCCGCCGTCGGCCTTGAGCCCGGAGCTCTTGACGTACTTCTCGCCCGTGCCCTCGCCGTGGCTGACCTTCTGCGGGCCATCATCGTCCTCCTCCTCCTGTGCTTTTTGCTGCCCGGCCCCTTCCGTCTTGCTCACGTCCTCTCCCGAGGAAGCCTTGCCGGCGTCGCCGCCGTGCTGCTTGGCGACCTGGTCGAGCGGCTTGGGCCCGGGGCCCTTGATCTCGTCCTTGCCGGGCAGGCCGCCGCCGGCAGACTTGGTGTCGTTGTCGACGTCCTTCTTGGCCTCGGCCTTGGCCTCGTCGGTCTGCGGGTTGGAGGGGTCGCGGACGTCGTTCTGGGCCTTTGTGCTGTCGCCGGCGGTGACGGACGAGTCCTTGGTCTCGGTGGGGCCGCCGGTGCCGGTGCCGGTGCCAGCGGTAGAGTTGTTGTGGGTGGTGGTGGTGGTAGTGGCGGTGGCGGTGGTGTTTGTGCTGCCGGAGTTGAGGGCGTCTTGCTCCTCTGTTCCGTTCGGGTTCATGTTAGTGTTTTCTCCTTGCTAGTTTACCAAAGACTGCCATGTTTCTTGGCCGGCGTCTGGGCAAGAGGACATGGATAGACTCTGTTGGTTTTCATCGAGATGTGTTAGCTGCATGCTTGGCGAAAGCTTGGTAGGGGCGAGCCAAGAGGCTTGGGTGTTCTTGGGGGATGCGGAGAGACAAGACGCACGTACCACCTTTGTTGCCAGCGTCAAACGGCTCGCCCTTGGAGGTGTCGCCCTTGACGCCAGACACGGGCTCCTCTTGGTTGGGCTCGCCCCAGATGGCCTTGGAGGCGGTGTTTGCGAGGCTGTTGATAGCTTCCATTGCGAAGTCGGGGTTCAAGGTGGTCAATGCTGGTCAAGTGGGCTGTAGGCTAACACGGTGGCAGGTTTGCAGAGCAGGGAGGTATCACGGTGAAGGTAAAGAGGCAGTTCTAGGTTCTGGGGTATGAGGTGTCCGGACTGGCGAGGAACTGGAACGGGGGGGTATCAAGATTAATTAACACAGGATGATATGAGTAGGTGGGAAAGAGTGGGAAAAAGAGAAGGGATCGAGGAAATGCCTAGTCATAATATACTAGCCGTAGCTTGTGAACAAGCACCCAAAAGAGATAGAAGAAGAAAAGGCACCTGGCAGAGTGCAAGAGGGCATGCTCGGTGGAAAGCCGCAACCTCTGACGTCTTTGCTGCAGGTCTCCCGAGCCTGGAAGGGCAAGGCCGGCCTCCACCTCGACCAGTCAAAAGCTTGAAGAATCGGGGGTGTGATGCTTATTCCCACAATCAGTCCTTGTATCTGATCAGCCACAGGCCCAGATCTCGGTCTAACCCTGACATAACCTGTACGTGCGTGTACGACTAGTTGGTCCGAGGGGAGGGAGGGTAGACCAAGCACCAAGATAGATGATGGTTACGACTCGGCTCTCCGGCGGCCTGGACGCCCCACCGGCTATGATGGCTGTTTGCTTGCGAGCCACACCCAGACTACGTAAGGGGGGCACTTCCTTTTCCAAGGTTCCATTCTGTGGAAGCTGATCCGGATCAGCTTGGTAGGGCCGGCCGATGTACCCTTTAGACCCGATATGGGCAGGATGGGAGTGGTGGAGGAGAGAGATCCTTGGCGGACCCTTGTTCGCTGTAGATGCGGAAGCACGTACCTATGCCTCACATAGATCAGCTACCTGTTTATTGTGGTTACCGGTCCAGATCACGCTCGCGTAATGTAAAAGGTGTTCTCGCGTCTTCACATGCCATTCTGGATACTTTGGATGCACTGGGATGACTAACAGCACAGGTTGCTATAACAGCATCATCAGAAGCACATCGACATCCCATCCCGGCTACACCGAGGGTGCTCTCTTGCCCCAAAGACCGAAAAGGCGAGGACCTCGCCAAAGATACAAAGGAGTAACTGTTCTGGTGTTGGAGTTTGATGGCGACTGTGTGTGGTGTGGGGATGCCAGCTTCTGATCGCCATCCAAGACTGCCACCCCAGATGACGTCGAATGCTGTGCCCCTCACCTCACCCAACTACGTCACTGACTTCAGCTTCCTGGGGGGCGCAGAGGAAGCTCTGGAAGGCCCCACTGTCGACCCAGATAACCCCGCCATTATCGCGGCTCCAGTGGGGTTTCTTCGGTTAGCTATCGTAGCTGCAGAGCTGTAGAGCTTAAAACTGATTTGTCCTTGGGGTCACGCTCAAGTCGTTTCTCTCAGATCGGATCATGTTGGTCAGGATGGTCAAGAGTGCAGAGGTATTATTTGTCACCGATGAGTTGAGCCTACAGGGTCACTCGGACCGTCTGAATGGCCTCTCGAGACTGTACAATTAGCATTATCTCCCTCCTCTTCAAGCCCTCCAAGTGGAAAGATCATCATCAGACATAGGCGTATGTTTATGTTCAAGACAAGGAGATATATGCACAGAAGAAGAAGAAGAAGAAGAAGCCCATATCACATCCCCTCAAGCCACCACACCGCCCACAACCACCGCAGCCAACGCTACCATCCACATGTACATCCTGTCCCGTGACAGAACTGCACCACCAGCCACCACCGGCGCACCAGTCGGACCGCCAACGACAGCCCCCGTTGGCGCGAACGAGACACTCGGCCGAGCAGTGCCGTGAGCCGCCGGCCTCAGCGTCGACCCAGTGGCGCCGGCCCAGGGCCCTTGCGCCTGCTTAGCACCACCCACGACAACCGGCACGGCTGGTGCCGTCGTCGCTGCCGCTTGCTCCTGCTTCTGCTTGGAAGCAGTGGCACTGGCAGTGGCGGTCGGGGACGGCGAGGGGGCGACAAACGTCTCCACGACGGGCGTCTTGCACGGCACCAGCGTGACGACGTCGGTGATGACCGCCTTGTGCACCTCCGCGACGGACTGGACGGGAGACGCTGCCGCCGCCGGCGGGGCCGTGATGGTGGCGCCCACGGGGCAGACCGTCGTCAGGACGTCGACGGTGCGGGTGACGACGACCTGCGAGGCGAGGTCGGCCGGGCAGTTGACCACGTTGGCGGCGCAGGCGGTGAGGGTGTACGTGGCGGTCGTGTAGAGGGTTGAGGTGACGAGGTCGACTGACGAGCCGTTGGCCGTCGGGACGGACGAGTTTCCGAGCGGGAACTTGGCCGTGCTGCCCGTGGAGGACAGCAGCAGCGAAGGGGCGGCGGTGATGGTCGGGATGATCGCGTTCTTCGACGCGGTGCCCGTTGTTGCGACGATGCTCTGCGCCGGCCTCGTCACGACGACGACAAGGCCATCCACAGCCGTCGATGCCTTCGACGCCGCGGACCCGCCGACGACACCCCCGATCTCGGCGGGCGAGGAGGACGCAGCCGGCAGCGCCAACGTCGGCGTCGCAGCACCCGCCGCGCCGCCAGCACCGCCCAGGCACTGCGTCAGCGTCGGCGCCGTCAGCAGCGTCGTCGACACGGTGGGCACGGGGCCGAGGGTGCTGTAGTCGACGACGACGTCGAGCCGCGCGTAGGCGCCGACGTTGAGGTCCCACCACTCGCGCGCGCGCAGCGGGCACTCGGGCGTCGAGTCGAGCACGGCGACGAACTCGATGAGGTTGGCGTAGACGCCCATGACGGCGCTGGCGCCCAGCCCCACGAGGCTGACGAGCCCGTCGGCCTCGGCGCCGCACTGCACCCGCAGCCGCAGGTCGGCCTTGAAGGTCGCCCGCCCCGCCCGGACGGCGATGGGGATCGACTTGCTCGTGAGTCCCTGGAAGAAGGAGTCGACGACGGCGCCCTCGAAGATGCTGGCCTCGAGGAAGGCGTCGTCGGCGAGCCGCACGTAGAACCCGCCCGTCAGGTCGACGGCCGCGTCGAGGCTGAAGACGAGGTCGACGTAGAAGACGACGCCCACGCTGAGGCCCGGGAAGCCGAGCCCGACGGGCGAGTTGCTCGTGAAGAGGTTGATGGCGTAGGTGGCGCCCGCGCTGGCCGCGACCTCGAGGTCGACGTAGGCCTCGACGCCCCGGAAGTCGAGCCGCACGGCCGGGTCGATGATCCTCTCGTCGGTGAGCCTGGCCGTCACGGTGCCGCGCGTGTAGCACTCGCGGCACGTCACGGCCAGGGAGACGTGCTCCTTGTCCGGGCCGTCGCCGCTGTGGCCGACGTACGAGCCCTGGAAGAGCACCTCGTTGTCCCACGTCTTGTCCATGCTAAAGTCCGCGCTCAGCCTCTTCTCGAGGTGCTGCGTGCGGGTCGCCAGCTCCAGCGCCTCGCGCATCTCGAGCTCGGTCATCGATGACGGGCCCGGCGAGATGGGCATGACCAGCGGCGCGGGGCTGGCGGCGCAGGAGAGGGCCCATGCTAGGAGCGGTGCAATGTGCGAGAAGCGCATTGTGGATACCAAAAAAGAGTGACTTGAGAAAGAGAACGAGCGTGTTGAAATGAGTGTATAGGAGCCAAGTGGCAGTCTGCGCCTGAGTGCCGGGCAGCTTCGTCGGGACCTCCTCGGGAGTATCAAAAAGAGCGACTGCAGTGGGAAGATACGATCCGGAGATCTCAACTGCTAAGAGGGTGAGTGTTTCCCTGCCCCAAAGGAAAGCTTTCGAAAGGGGACCAAAGCCATCTTAAACGAATTGCGAGAATACAACATCAGCGTGGCATCTCACCATCCGTATCTTGGAGCCCCATATTGGCACGAGAAGTCTACCTCGTGCCGGGCGCGCGCAGGATCCAACGGCATCAAGTCTCCACCAAGATTGCACATTACAGAGCACACCGCATGAGCAAATAACCTTCTCCAAAAGCAGGGTCTCGCCTAGTCGTCATCCGCACGGTCCAAGGCTTGGCCTGGGAATGGCCAGCCGGCTCGTCAATGAGCTGCCGGGGGTAACGAGGTAGTCTGAGGACAACACCGGCTCTCCGCAAGCTGTTTGGCCTGTGGCACCAAGAGACCCGAAATTCCCCCATTTCGGACACCAGGGACTCCAAGCGAGCTCAATGGCCGTCTCTTCCAGCTCGGACGGTGCCCAGTCGGCCAATTACGTGACCTCCCCCTGTATTCTCGTTTCACGGGCTGGGTCTGACCGGCATCCTTGTAAGATGATTGGCTGGCGTGGGCAAACCCCCTTTTTGGCTGCGCCGGTGGCATCGGGCCAATCAGGGTGGAGCAAGGCGATGCTACAGCAGAACTGCCAGGATGGGCTGGTCCTAGCAGCCCTTCCTCTTTAGTCCTTTAGAATCAGACACCTCAACGAATTGATCCGGCCCTTCGTCGACAGTTCTAAGCCCGGTTAACACCCGATTGAGCCGCCCGGAGCAAATATCACGAGATTCAGACCGTGGAGTCGCGGGTTTCCACACCAAGATTTGGTGGCAAGTGGCCAGAACCATCCGGAATACGACGACGACCCAACCGATCTCTTGCCCAAGCAGGATCACCACTCAATCAACCCTCTCAATTATTCCCCTGCAATATCACTAGCTAAGGGGGACCTAGATATGGACCAGGAGGTGATTCTCAGCGTCAATGCGGACTGGAATACGTGGTATTTGTATATCTACCTGAAGGCTGAAGCAGAAGGCATCTGGGAGTACATCGACCCAGATGGACATCAAACTCTTGAGCCTGTTGGAGAGCGTCCAGACCCCCCTGCTATTCCAGACAAAACACTGGAAGGGGACGCATTTGAAAAAGCCTACGACACCTTCAGGATGAGGAAGGACATCTATATGTTCCTTAGCAACCACTGGATGGACAAGCATGAAGACTTCGAGGAAAAGAATACAAAGCTGGCGGCGATCAACGAGCTGATCTACAAGACGGCTTTCCGGCATAGATCCCTGTTCAATGAGACTGGAGAAGAGAAACGCGAGGAGGCCAGGCCGACGGTTGCAGTAGACGGACAGGTCCTTGTGCCACCGCCGCGGGTAGGCTCTGCACGGGCAAGGCTAATAGCCCTGAGACAACGGCTCGAGCCATCAAGCTGGGAAACAAGAGCACGAGCTCGAGCACTGTATTTTCAATCCCTTAGTTGACAAGAACGGCACCCCTGCCACCTGCCACCTGCTTGTCTGCTTTCTTTGTACTAAGAAATATGTAAGCATGTGAAGATTTCCATCATGTCCTCGGCAGTATTGATGCGGTGTCAAGCTCCTCTATTGTATGCCCCGTTCAATAGGAGTCCTTGCGATCTCGACTGACTAGCCATGGCACCTAGGACCCAATTACATGAAAAGGCCCGCGTTTTGTGGAAAAGGCAGGGTTGTGCAGAATGGTTGACATGAGCTACGGAAGAGCAAACAGAAAGCTCCCCATATTTGAGCCCCGATGATCACAAGAGCAAGTAAACAAGAGTTGTCCAATGAAAGCCTCTCAGGTTATGTCTCCAGATCCCAGTACTCCGAAGTGGTCACAGACTGAGACCTAGACGGCAATCATCGACCGTACCGTCACAACAACAAGCCCACCTGGCCACCGTCAAAGCGCTCAGGCAACCTTCTGAGCCCGCCGGCCCGGGCCCAGACGGCGGCTCAGGACCCTCCTCACCGACCCTCGCACCGAAGCCAGCCGCGCCTTCAGCCTGCCTCCGCCTTCCTCCTCGCCATCTCCCCCACTCCGCTCCTCCTCCTTCTTCACCACATTCGCCGTCGCCGCCTCCGCCACCTCGGCCTTGGCTGCGCCCTGCGCCGCCGCCTCCACCGCCGCCGAGCCGCCGTCATCAAACCCGCCGATGTACACCGTCAACAGCTTCGGCGCCCCGTCGAACACGGTGCCCGCCTGGTCCGGCGCGCCCTCGGCGCCGACGTCGTCGTAGGGGAACGCGTACCCGCGGCCGTCGACGCTGGCCGCGTGCAGGATGCGCGCGTAGTGGTTCGTCACGCCGCCCGGCGGGTAGAAGGTCTCGGCGCGCTCGCCGTCGGGCTGGTCGCCGTTGAGCAGCAGCGTCGAGCGGTTGAGGGCCGCGGCCAGGCGCGCCGTGATGTTGCCCATCTCGTCGCCGTTGGCGGCGTAGCGCGCGAACGCGCCCGTGTCGCACGAGAAGACGTCGCGCGTGCTCGGCCGAGGGAAGGAGCCCACCCCGGGGAAGTCGAGCGTGTCCTCCCCCCCCGCCGAGCCGCCCCCGACGCGGCCCGTCACGACGCCCCAGGACCCTTGCGTGTCGACGCGCAGGTCGGCGGAGCGGTACTTGGCCCACACGGCGTCGACGTACGGCTCGTAGTAGCCCGCGAACAGGCCCGGCTGCAGGACCATGCCCGAGTTGGGCGACAGGGCGCGGAGGTTGCCGCCGCCGCCGCCGCCGGCGGGCGCCTTGACGACGAGGCTGCCCCAGCCGGCGCCGTCGCGCGCCTGCTGGTCCTGCAGCCGGGCGCAGATGTCGTCGAGGCCGCCGGCGCGGATGCCCGCCACGCGCTGGACGGCGGCGCCGGGGGTCTCGCTCTCGAGCTGCAGCGCCGTCGGGATGCTGACAAAGTCGACGTAGGTGATGTTGACAAAGAGCTGCCGGTCGTCGTAGGTGAACTCGCAAAAGTCCCAGGCGACGCCGTAGTTGGCGTCGGCCGCGTTGGTGATGGACGGCTCGACCAGCGCCGCGCCGCCGCCGGGCCCGCCGCGGTTGAGCTCAAAGTGCAGCGGGCGGTCGCGCGAGAAGTAGATGCGCGCGCCGGCGAGGTGCGGCACCGCGACGGTCCGGGAGCTGCCGGGCCCGCCGAGGGCGATGCTGCAGTCGGCGGCCAGGGCGGCGTGGTCGTCGCCCGGGCTCGCGGGCCAGTAGCCCGTCGCGCCGTCGCTCTGCAGCAGCCAGCGGGCGTTGTTCCTGCTCGTGTCGAGGCCCGTCACCGTCACGTAGACATTGGCCGAGGGCGTGGTGTTCTTGAGCGAGATCTGGGTGGTCGCGGGGGTTGTTGCTGCTGCGGTCACGGCGTTGCTGGACGGCGGCTGCTCCTCGACAACCTTTTGTTGTTGTTGGGGACGGAAGAGGCTGTCGAATGAGAAGCCCATTGTTGCTACGGACGGAAAGGGGGCGGTCAGAGAGGAAGGGAACTTGATTCTACTGGTGATGATACAACGGCCGGATGGATAGCACTATGCTTGAGTGAGTGCAGATAGCCATATATTGGGTCAAGGAGGCAGTGCTTTATAAAGAGAAAGGTGTCCGTCTCGCCGAACCCACTCAGGGATTCAAAGATGCGACTAGGGGGGTAAACCGGGTGAGAGTGGTTATGGAAGCCCTCCCCTGATGTAGCTGACAAGCCCATGTGCTCGTCCAACTTGGGAAGAGAGACTCAGCTCGTGACGAGGCGTGGCGTATCTGGTGGCTTGCCAAAGGAACAAGGGGGGAAGCGTGATGAACGAAAAGCGACAAGAGCTCCGCGTCCTTTACCATCCAACCTCTGCATGTCCTGTCAAGGAATCTTGCCTTGCAAGTGCTAGAAAGCAACATGATGGGCCTGTGTAGACTAATCGAGGACGTCGATCAGTCTTCGAATACGACAAGTCACTCTAGGAACGGTACTCCCGTGCCATGATTACCATGCGTGACAGTTTGGGAAGGGCGAGATGGAGGGTGGTTGACTCTCTGACGACAGCCTTTGACGGGATGCAAGGGTATGTAAGGAGCCAGGTGGACAGTACCCTCTAGGAACCCGGGGCGAGAGGCCTTGGTCTAGCATAGTATTAGCAGGGTTGAGATGGCTTGATTGACGTCAATAGAAAGCCGTGTCTCGACCAAAAGGGTCGCCAGCCAGCCAGCCAGCCAGCTTTGTGGCGTGTCGAGAAGACAAATAGAATCTCCGGAGCAGCTGGTACCCACGTATAGTTCACCAGGATTAGGTGAATCAGGATGATGGCATGGATGGATCATTATTAACTGGAGGATCATCAACAAAAACCTGGGATTAACAAGGACAACACACGGGGTCTCCAGGAACAGGTCAAGTTGAGTGGATGTGAGCGATTGGGCGGACGAGAGACTACCGTGCCAAGGAAATGAAATGCATTGCTTCACAGGACCAGGGTCCGAATGTCGCCTCCCCTCCATCCCAACTCCAAGGTAACTAACTTACAACACACCATGACTTTCTCTGGTAGGTACACTTTTGACAACGAATCCCAACACTAGTTGTCTCAGTTTGATTGCGGGGAAGCGCAGACTTGCTCAGCGCTCGTGACGGGCGGGACACACCGTCGGGATATACTAACACACGATCCCATGCCGTCTGTCTCCAAGGTAAAGGAGGCCAGCGTGACACGCGATCCGATCGAAGCCATGCCCCGATTCGACCACTGTCTCTGTCCAACCCATCGTTCCCGCTCGAAATGTACCGCCGAGCCTCATCTGCGACAACGCTGATGCGTGCGTGACCAGAGAGAAGGGCGGAGGAAATGCCCCATTTTAGAGGCGCATCCCAGCAGCTGCGTACTTTCGACTTGCCAACTCTTTACATGAAAAGAGCGGTTCTTCTTCCCCCCGAATGACCGATGCAACAGCGGCCGGACGAAGTCCATGATGCTGCAGTCGCACACCTGCACCTCTTGCGGTGGGGGAGGGGGGCCGCCATGCATGTGCTCATCTGCCGTTCTGCAGCGTTGCATCGTGGGAAAAGAAGAGTGAGTGTGTGTGTGTGGTTATTGCCTGTACACCCATCCGCCATCATCACCAGTACATAGACGCCGACATACAATGGTGATTTCTGCTTGGAAAAGCTGCACGAAGCAAACGGAGCCAATAGTAAGGCACCCGTCGTGCCAATGTAATAATTACATTGTATGAACCTCCTCGACGAATTGGAACATGTGCTGCCGAGATTGCAACACGGCGACCAAGACATATTCCTTTTCAGAAGGATAAAATAAACAGACCATTTTGTAGTGAGAAAGTCCAAAACGCCTGCATTCTATCGTCCTAATCAAAGACAGACAAGAAGAAGGCAAGCCAGGACCTCGTTTTCACCAAGCACCAAACATCATCTCCCCCCCCTGAACAACAACAAGAACCAGCACCGTGAACAAGAACGCCGACCAAACCACCCCGCCGCCAGATCCCCCTCTCCACCGCCCGCCGCCGTTCCTGGAAACGGTCTGGTTGGGCACCATCCGCGGGTGCGCGCTGAAGAAGAACTCGCGCGCGCTCAGGTTCGCGGCCGTGACCTCGGGGATCCGGCACACCGCCGCCGCCGCCGCCGCCGCCTTCTTCTCGCGCCCGGGGTCGTCGTCGCCGCCGCACCGCCGCCGCCAGTCCTCCTGCCTCCGGCCCGCCGACGAGTTGAAGTACGCCTTGACGTACGCCACGGCCGTCACGGCGTCGCGCCCGCCGCCCGCCCCCCGCGGCGCCGGCGGCCCGCCCGACCACAGCGGGTTCCCGTTGCTCCAGTGCTGCAGCACCAGGTGGCCCGCGTGCCGCGGCACCACGGGACCGGCGTCAGCGGCAGCAGCAGCAGCAGCAACCTCTCCGGAGCCGGAGCGGTCGCCATCGTCGTGGCCACCAGTTTGGTCGTCGTCGTCGTCGTCCTGCATCCTCGCGAGCACGACGTTGTCGGCGTAGAAGAGGACCCGGCCCGGCAGGAAGTCGATGCGGTACTCGTGGAAGGCGAGCGTCGGGTCGAAGGGCAGGTTGGCCCGGACAAAGGTCCCCGCGCGCTGCGCGTCGAAGCCGGACTCGGCGGCCCGCCTCGACTGGAGGACCAGGTTCACGGGGAAGGTGCCGTTGGCGGCGTTGAAGTCCTTGGAGAGGAACTCCATGTCGATCTCCTGGGTGTCGTTGTAGTACTGCCATTTTTGCCCAACCGACCGACCGGTATTAGTCAAGTGGCCAACAAACTTTCTTCTTCTCGTTTCGAAAGGAAAGCCCATGTGCGATGCGATGCGATGCGAATGTCCAGGTCAATGCCAATGTCAAACTCACCCAAAAGAAAGCAGAACACGTCCCCGGCACGTCCGTGATCTTCAGCCCGGCCCTGAACGTCCCGTACAGCACGTCCAGCCTCATGGTGTCGATCTCGGCCACGGGCACCATGTCGTTGACCACGTCGCTCCTGACCACCAGGCGCAGGCCCGCGTCCTCCTCCTCCCCCTCCTGCTCCTCCCCCTCGCTTCCCTTCCTCGGGTTCGCGGCGATGTTCTCGACGGCAAACATCTCGCCGTACGCGCCCCGCGCCCGCTCGCGGCTCAGGTTGAACGCCTGGCGCTGCCAGTCCGTGTTGGCGGCCACGTCCGCGAGGCGCGAGAAGTCGGTCTCGATGAGGTCGGTGAAGACGTGCTCGACCGCGTCCGGGCCCGTGCCGATCGAGGCCGCGTAGCCGCACTCGCAGTCTGCGGACACGGCGGGGATGAGCAGCCCGTGGAGGAGCAGAAAGACGAGGAAGAGGAGGAGGCGGAACGTGGTCGACGAGCTCGAGCTCGAGCCGATGCTGGCGGTCATCGTTACTCCATACTCGCTACGCCTGCTGCGAGCCATTGCTGTTTCTGGGAACCAGAGATGTGCATTTGAAGTCTGATTTACGGCGAGAGAATGTAGCCACGGCTCAGAGCCACAAAATTTTACGGACTGGTCTTGACAAGGACAGCAATGTGAAACCTGGACTTTCACGGCAGTACATCGTGCTGCCCGGCCCGAGGTAGCACAGCTCACGTATAATCAAAGCAAGGATAGCCGTCCGATGCATAGGCAACACAGGCAAGCCCCATCCCAGTGCAGGGTGGAAAAGGCTCGTTCTCCTTTAGACATACATGTACCTGCTAAGAGATCGGAGACATGATAAGAGGCAGGAAGATTACACAAGACTTATCTCATCTCTGTCAATCTTCCTCGAATATCTCCACATGCATTTTGTTTGCCTTTGACTCTCCTATCTTCACTCTCATCCTCCTTGTTCTGGAGTAGAGTGATCCAAGATATCAGAGAAGGTACGAATACCTCCATACCACACGCATATCATGCTATTGAAAAATCATATTGCATGAAAATGGAAGAGAAAAAAGAAAAAGTCCCGACCGATAGGCCGCAGCATGGACCACTGAACGGGATGTAAGCAGCGCAGATAAGTCTAAACACCCGTTTAATGAATATGCAGGAACCCGCTCAGTACATGCCACGTCCCGTCGATACGGGCCCATGATTCCGTCTTGTCCAGCCCAGAGCACCAGGCGAAGTTCTCCAAACACGAGGGGCACTGAAGTCAGCTCAATCTCGTTTGGCGTCTGGTGTGCTGGTCTTCGGATATCAGCCGGAGGCCCAGAACTCCTCTCTGCTTGAGACACGGCTCAGCTCGTAACTTAGGCAAGTCAAGTCTCGTTTGGGGAATAATGCCGACAGTGAGACGCTGCCGCTCATGCAATTGTATTCGGATTTGCCCAGTGTGTTATGCTAGAAAAGACATATAATGCTGATCTAGATAGCAGTACAGATTACTCGGATCTTCGCAGCGCGTAGCAAACTTTGGGAGTGAGGTGATGTATAATTGCACTAGACTTGCTCAAAAAATATGTCCACTATCATGAGAAGCCGAGGAATACCAAGCAAGCACAAAAGTACGATTCGAGTCCAACGCAAAATCAGGTTTCAAGATCAATCTCTCAAGGCAAGCAGCATTGTCGACGAGTCCTGCCGCGACCCTGACTCCGCTCCACCAGGGTCTGCAAAACCCATCCCAAGTCTAAGTACTAAACAACCATCGCAAAAGTCAAGACTTCAAGGAGAAAAAGTAGACGGGTAAAAGCACGAGCACGAGTAGAAGACGACGACCGAGAGGAAAAGACGAGAGAGGAAATATGGTAAGGAGAAAACAAAACGCAAGGAAGCGACAATCTGTATATCGAACAAGGTATCGGATGAGAGTCGAGAAGAAATAAAGAGACGAGCCCCCCGACGACGACGAAAACATTAGTAGGTTCAGTATGTGTGCCGTAGCGCTAATAAAACAAGGAGAGAGAAGAGAAAAAATTCCTCCATATGGACCAGCCAACAAAAACTGTCTGTCGTGTGCAGATATTAGGTTGTGCGCCAGGAGCGCAGAGATCCCTTCCCTCAAGGACCATGCGAAACCGGTTGACCAACCCTGCCCTCAATTATTGCCTGAGACCACCGGAATGCAGAAAGATGACGACGACGCTGTATGCAGATGGGAAAGACAAAGGAAAAACAAGGGTCCAGGCTTGGGACGAACTGCAGATCCACCACTCCGCCTCACACCCATACCAGACAGTAGTAGCGAAGGCAGTCCATGGCCTCGCAGAGAGTATATGCCGAGGTGATCCGCCCATGACAAAGGAAATTGTTCATCATCATCAAGACTAATAGCACACGCTATCCTCGTCGGCTCCCTGAGAGGTCATTGACGGGGTCGTCACGTTCGACGACGCCTCAATGTCGTCAACGTAGCCGACGAGAGCTTGAGAGTGCAGTCTGAAAGACTCTCCCATAAGTCTGGTAATTCTATGCGATCGTTAGCTGCAGTTCATTCGTGATGTAAAGGGCATCGGTCAACTTACCCCCACACAACCACTTCGTCAAGCATCGAGCCCCAGAGACGAGCAACGATGGAGCTCAGCTGCGAGACATACGACTCGTCGAGGTCCTTGTCAAAAAGGTGTCGGACCTTGTTGTACATGAGCATCTCCTCCTCGGTGGCCGGCTCTTCGTCGTGTTCCAGGCGATAAAGCCAGAGGCTGAGGATGATCATGAGGTCCATGCCGCAGAGCGGATGCTCGATGCTCCAGTTGGTCGGCGAGGTCCGAGCAACCCAGCGGACGCCTTGGAGGACGGCCGTCTCGATGCAGTTGTAGCACTCTTGGATGACCTTGATCATCTCGCTAGAGCGTTTGACCTTGTCGCGAGCGTTGGACATGGCCGCGGCGACTTCGTACGAATCGTGGTAGCGAAGGGCCTCTTGAACCGACTTCAGATCCACCTCGAGACGGGCGCGCGCATTGCGGTACATGGCCTTGGCGTTGAAGATGAGAGGATGGCCCTTGTGAGGAGCGCTGAGCTGAACAGTGACCGTCTCGGGCTCGCACAGGGCAAGCGACTTCTCCCACGTCTCGAGGGCCAGTCTCAGCTTGTACTCGGTAACGACATCCTGCAAAGCCTCGGGGCTGCGCTTGTGGTACCACACTTCCAGGAAGAGTGCGTTGATCATAACACGAGTTGCGAATGCGCTGTACTTGAGCGTCTCGCCCTGGAAGAGGTTGTCATGTGCCTCCATGAAGGTAACGCTCGCCGAAGCCTTGAGCTGCTCGTGCCAAGATGCCTCGTCAGAGACTTGCAGATTCCACAAAGCTTCAGTCGATGGCAGCTGAAGGTCCTCAAATTCATTAAAGCTGATGGCCGGGGTGTGGTTGTAAGTCAGAGTCAGCAGACCAAAGAAGATGTAGACGGCATAGTACGTGCGCCGGCAGCCTTCATCCTCGACCCACTCGTTCCGGGTGGGCAGTCGGCCTTCGCGAGCCTCCTGTCGAAGCTTGAGCTCGTAGCGGTTGCCCGCTACCATGTTCGCCAGCAGACTCTTAATCGAGCAGGCCCACTCGAGACCCTTGGGGTCGCCGCTCCAGCTGGCGAAGATCATGTTGAGCAGAGAGCTCTGCATGGTCCAGAGAGGGCACTTGCGAGAGCTGAAGCTCTCCTTGTTCTGGAGGAACTGGTTGACCAGCACCTTGGACCCGATGTGGAGCATGTATGCTTGCTCCTGGTCGAAGGCATACAAGGCGCCGATGGAAAGGACAGCCAAGAGTAGCGGCGGAGAAGCTTGGGCCGGATTGAACGACACGGGGTGCAACAGAGGCAGGTGATGGTGGAACAAGCCGAAGTAGGTTGCCAGATACCTGTTGATCGACGACATGCTCGGGAGGCGGAACCCTTCTGGGATGGCATGCTCGGAATCGCTGTTGCGAATGTTGTCAAGGATCATATTTCGCTCCTCGTCGCTGTTGACTTGGGGTGTCTTGAAGCCAGCAGGAGACTGGGGCAACTCGACCGGAGTGTGGGCGCGCTGCGAAAGGTAGGGCGAGTGGGGAGCTTGAGTGCCTGTAGGCGTGGGTAAGACTTTGGCAGTCGACGACGATGTCGCAGGTATCATACCATTACCGTTCTGGCCATTCATAGGCGGCAGGTGGCTTGCATGGGACTGCGGAGCAGTCGGCGCGGCGAACGCCTGGTGCGACTCGAAGGGACCCGACACACTCGAGGTGATCGAGTGAGCCTTGGCATCAGGAGCCATGTAGTTTTCCCAAGGCGACATGGCGATGGCTCCGGAGGGGTACGTCACAGAAGGCTCCATGAGAGCGGCGCCGTTGTGCGGGAAAGAACCCATGGCAGAGTTGGCTTCGTAGGGGCTCCCATTATCGCGCATCGCGGCGGTGGCTTTGTGATGAAGGTCAGCCACCAGCATGGCGGCGGTTTCCACGTCAAAAATACCTTCGCTACTGGCTTCAAGCTGCTCGATGGCAGCAGGGTCGATAGCAAGCGACGACTTGTTCGGGCCCGAGACGGTCCTGGACTTGGACACACCGCCACCACGACGCTTACCGTCGCTGTGGAGGGGAACGCCGCCATCTTTGGCGTGGACAGTGCGGTCATGTCGAAGCAGTAGATCGCGACGCACAAAGGTACTTCTACACTTCATGCACTTGAACGGACGTTCCTTCGTGTCTGTGTGCAGCCAAGGTCAGCCAAAGATCCAGCAAGAAGGGGAAAAGCGCTCATGGCTTGCAGGAGGTAGAGAGATAAGGGGGGGAGGGTGCTAGGAAGGGCAATTCTGTGTAATGGAGTGAACGGCAGAAGGGCTGTGGCCGTGCTTGTGAGGCTGGCAGGGTGGCTAGGAGGGAGTGCGGAGGTAGGTTGGAAAAGTCGACGACTTACGTGACCGCTCATGCCTGCTGCGATGTTCGCTCCTGCTAAATGCGCGATTGCAGAACTGGCACTTGTACTTCCTCTCTGGTGCGGCCGAGGAGGTTTTTCGCGAGGCGGGCGTGGACGAGGCGGACGCAGCTGGAACGGCTACGCTTGCGGTCGGCATCTTGATGTTCGGTGTCGCGGCGCGCGCTTCGAAGGCAGTGCTTGCTCAGGTGCTTCGAAGTGTGGTGGTGATGGCTGGACCGGCGGCGGCGGCGGCGGTGACAGGGAACAAATTGACGATCTTTTTTCTCCAACGGCGACTCGCGAAATGAGCTGATCCCTCACAGCACGATAGTTGAAATCGCCTGGCTCTCCTCTCGCACGCGCTCCCGTGGGATTTAAAGTGTGTCTTCTTGACTGATCTGGCTGTAGGTGGTCATTTGTGGTGGTATCCTGGTCATGGAATTGATGAAACTGGGGTTGTATGTAAGATGGCCGTGGGCCAAATATGTTCAAAGTGAAGAACAAGTCTTGTCTATTGTCAGACAAGACCGTCTGGCGCTTGAGAAAAAGCTGAGCTCGGGGTGAGGTTCTGTTGTGGTGATGCTGATAAGTTGGTGGAAAAAGAGGAGGGGTGGGAAAGGTTCCAGGAAAAAGGAGGGGAAGGGGAAATTTTGAAAGGGAGAACCGGGAGCGAGAGGCGCTGGAGCCAGAGTGCCAGAGTGGGAGGAGACACCCGTGTACAGCGGCGGAAGAGAGGGGAGTGGGCGGAGGGGGGGGAGGTTGGAGGGGGCCCAAGAGATTGATGGAGAGGAGGGAAAGAGGAGAGGGGGGCAGATGGCATGCGCAACGGTCTGGTACCAGGACAGTGCAAAACCAGCGAGGTGCATCAACTGGCGACGGGCGTGTTGCTGCTGTTGTTGCTGCAGGGAGTGTGTGTGTGAGTGGGAGAGGGGCCTGTCTGGTTGGCTGGACTGGGCCGACCTGTAGGTACAAGTAACTACGTGTGACAGCAGACCTCGAGGGCTGGAGAGAGCCGTTGTGACTTTGGGTAGGTACTCCAAATCCGCTGGAGTATGCAGAGTCATCAAAGTACCTACTCCGTTAGGTACCTTCGGTAACTTTGCTTCCTCTCGCCCACACGACACCGGTCCGCATCCATCGCGTTTGTACACTTTCTCTTTTTCCTTGATTGATCCTGGCGTGCCTAGCTCCCTGGTGTCGAGTCACCGCCAGCTCTGGGCGTCACTGTTTACCTTACTTTTTTTTCTCGTCCCCTCTAAAAAGTCACTATCTAGCAGGGTACTGTAGTAAGGGCCTGTGCCCGCAGAACACTGAACACTGAACCGTGCCGGTAGAAGAGCCTGTAATTAGCAGCCATGGGTACAAGTACTGAGAGAGGCAGCATGAACGAGCGAGTGGGGTGTCAAGTGGGCAACGTGTCGCGCTGGTGCGAAATGAGGGGGGAAGGAGACGGGCATGGGTGCAGGTCCAAACACTTCATCGCCAAATCAGCCCAGATACGCAGCATCTGGCCTGCCCTGCCCCCCATCTGGCCTAGTCCGGCCTATCCCGGGAGATTTAAATTGGCACTCAGAGTCGACGCTACGGCCCTTTCTAGCGGGCATTCCCCATCCGCCGTGGCTTCCCCGTACCCTGTAGCGGCCACTTTTCGCGCCTAGCAAGCCTCGCTAGGCCCGAGGTTGCTGGTACTTTTCTCCTGTCCAGTCACTTGGGTCGTGGTGGGGTTGAACCTGATCAATTGATTCTGTCGGGGCAAGTCGCAGCACCTCGCGATCGCGGTCACAAGGGGCTCATTCCCTTTTCCCACGTCTGGGGACGAGTAAGATTGTGGATATCCTATTTCCATTCAGCAAAGAGAAGGAGAGCCAAGAGGGATCAGATCAAATCTTTTCGTCGCTCCATCTCAGCGAGGACCGGAGTCATCCTCGCGCGCAGAGGTTTTTCCTTCCCCTCTTCCCCTCAGGCCGCTCGCCTGAGGCGGACACTGAGAGACCGAACTGGTAGCACTAGAGACAGCTAAGCGGCTCGGCCGTCGCTGGAAAAAATACAGTGCTGGTCAGAACGCTGTACTGTGGAATACCTTCCACCACCCGCTGGCCCAGGAGAGCTTCTGTCTCCCGTTGCTCGTCTCTGCTAAACCATGTCCTGTCAACCCACCCGGCAACCTTCCAGAAGAACGGACTTGGCCTCGTGGGGCTCTCGACCCCTCGTCCCTCCTCGCCGTCTTCCCGGCTCTAAACACTATCGTCAAGGACAAAGCAAGGGCGTGCTTGGAAGCTGCCTCTTTGACTGGCAGACCGCATCGCATCAGCATCAGCATCAAGTGTCTGGTCTCGACTGGGCCGAGCGTCTGGCAGAGCATCTCCGAGTTCAACTGCCCATTTGCTAAAGCAAAGACGTGTCCGTCCCAGAATAGCCGTCGATAGAGGGTTTGCTTGGACAGGCTGCTCCGAGATTGCGTACAGCCAAGTAAAATGTCGGGGTTTCTTCCACCCTCCGCCCTGCCTGCATTGGCAGCTTCACCGGCCAGCTTTTTGGGCCAAACCACAGGCAGGATCAGGGTGAGGCTGGTGCCAGCGCACGCATGACGGGATCCCTCGGCCAATCCTTGGTACAAGTAGTGTGCCACATCTTTTTCCCATCTACCCCACGACGGCTTTAGGTGCCGTTCTTGGTAAGCCCGCGACTGTGCATCTTCACATATTCGTACAGCACTTCTTACGAACCCCTCGCCATCGCAGTCCGTCACTTGAATGCCTCGAAGCAAAGATTTTGAGGGAGACCACAAGCTCCAATCAATAACGAGGGGATTTGAACCAGCCTATTCATTTGGCAACGAGCCTTGACAGTCAATAATGGTGGAACTCCGTCGAGGTCGATCCGCGCTGGGGGGATCAAGGTACTTGGTGAGACTTTGGGTCGAGGTAGTGGGGCGAGCTGCAAATGAGGGGCAGACCTGCTATGATCTACCTGTGGCGCCCGTCGCTGACCGCCTCGCCGACAAGTACCTGACACCTGTTGATCAGCTACAGTTCAGGTAAGCGGAGCTACTCGCCGAAGAGGTACTGTCATGTGTCACGAGCCCGATCTTTGAGGTGCCGTGAGAATACGAACCCGCCCGCCTCAGATTTCAGTCCACCAGCTGGCATGCTGAAAAGCCTTCGACCAGCCCTGTTCTTTGAAGCTCGAAGATCAAAGGGATGCGGAAGCTGGCACCGATCCAATTCCTCTTCCTCGACATCAAAGGAGCAGTCTGCCGATATCTCGGGGGCGCGGGCACTTCAACCCTCAATTTCTTTCGGGCGATGCATGCACCGACTCGAGAAAGATCAACTTTGCTTCTTTTTCTCCCATTAGCTGAACAGGGGCTGTTCGCATTACCCCTGAAAGTCATTCTGAAGCTGGTTTTAGCTCGCATCCGCGGCTGTGGAACCAGAAGCAGAAATAGGAACAGTCGCAGATCGTCTAGGTACCGGTATTCAGAGCTCGTCATAGGCAGGTGAGCTTTCCAGAATGCTCCTGCATACCGATCATCTGCGGCCGCGCCCATCCGCGCGGGTTTGGTTGCCGAGGGTGCTGAACTCATCGCTCGCTGATCTGATCTCTGAGATCTGGGTATTCGACAGAGCACGTCGCTTCCATCTACTCCATTCCGATCCTCAGACAGGGAGAGGAGAGCTCTTGGTTTCCATTCCCCATGGCCAGACTGCAAGCATGCCACTGTCAAATGCAGAGCTGTTGCGCGCCGCGTTTTGTCAACGCGGGCAGTGCTCGCCGAGTCAAACAATTGCGCCAGCTATTTTGAGATGCGTCCGAGAGGCAGAATTGCCTTTTCTTACTACAAGCAGTTACTGACGAGGTTCAGCGATAACTCCAGCGAAGTCTTTTTTTCGCTCAGGAGCTCTCCACGCCCACTTGATGCTTCGCGGGCTCATCGGCACGGCTCGCTACTGGTTCAAGAGGACCTCGTGGAGCATCCCAGCCACCCGCATTTCGTGGTCGAGAGAAAAAGTTGTCGCAGGAAATTTCCCTGAAATTACGCGACAGACAAGCTGGCCCGCTACGACCGTGGGGCTTTGAAGCCATCCACCAGATTAGGGAGGCCAATAGACCGGTGGCCATGTTACCACGATTCCCCTGCCCGACGAGCACGGAAGCTAGCCCCCGGGTCTAGGGAGTGGACCGCGGTGGATACTTTTACAGCAGACCCGCTTCCCAGCAATATGTGTCGCCCTGGCATCATTAAAGTCCAGGGGCTGCTGGTGTTGCTGAAGCGTTGGAACTTTTTCGAACGACCTTTCCACCTTGGTGTCCGGGGGTTCATCATCGTCATCGACACTATCCCTTACCAAGCGCACCAGAGATCCACACAACCCTCGCTGCTCGGTATGCTAATGTCTCCTCGATAGCTTGGCGTGCCACTTCTCTTCGAGGGTGGGAGCTGTCTGTCCTCGCAGGTCTCGGGATGCTGTGTGTCTTGGGGACAAGCGAGGCAGACTGTGTCCAGCGGCCTCCTGGGACTAATTTGCAAGAGCAGAGCCCTGTGGCGAAGAAAACTCTTTCGTTAATTTGAGACCGCGAATTTTCGCGAGATGTGGCATGCCGTGTCCCTCGCTCACTCCGGACTCCTTTCATCGATCACACTCCGTAGCTATGTAGCTATCTTCATCCTATATTCAAGCGCCATCTTCTTGTCAGACCACGGGCGTCGAAATGTCGGGTATTGGATCAGCTGAAGTACGCAAAGACAGACACAAGCGGCACGCCTGGTTACGGTATTCAGCTCGCGCGCCCTGCCATAGCGGCAAGAAGCATCAGAGAGGTGGAATGAGATAAACGCGTTCTACCTAGTCAGACATTCGTGATGACATAAACCCATATCGAGTCCAGTCTGCCCGAGCAGACCACCTTGCTGAGGCAGTAGGAGGGAGGGAGGATGGGACGCCCACGTGCCCCCTATTTCCAACTTTCCGGGTACCATTCCTTTGGGTCGTAGTCTAGCGAGTTCTAGGTCCTCTCCTCCTATCTTTTAATATCGAGAAAGCAAGGATAACGCAACTGACCGAAATCCTGTCAAGTGGGATGTTCAAGAAGCTGGACATTGAATCGAGACAACAAGGGTTGTTCATTTTGTGGCTTCTTACACGAGCATTTTGATTATGACAACGTATCGATTGTCGCACGAGACTCACCTCAGTGTGCACGAGGCGCCCTGAAAATGAGCCACCAATACCGCACCTGTTCTCACTTTGCTGCTGAGCTCGTCTAGACTTGCAATGAGTTAGGGATTGAGGCCAATCATCTACATGGGAAGGGTCATGAAATCAAATATTGGCCAGCCTGACCGGCCAGGACGGCAAGATGACCACAAGGATACACCGCAAATGGCTTGAAAGGGTGGGCTTTGCCGTTCTTTAACCACGATATCGCCGCCTTCTCATAGAGCCGTGCTCTCGCGAGGAAGGGACGACTTTCCAGGGAGAAATCTCTTACCGCCAGACACTGATAGGCTTGGGCTTCCCTGGCAGCTTTGATGATGTGTATCCTCCCGCTGGAAAGATTGTGTGACTTCGCTCTACTCATGGACGTACGTCTTGTCTCGGCTCGAGTACGGGTTCATCGACACATTTCCACCCTAGAGATCATCGAACGGCCACGTACAGCAGAATTTCGGCCTCTATCAACCCTGCCCTCAAAAGCCACGGAAGCACAAAACCTGAGACTGGACCGATCCAACTGGGTGACAAAGCCCGGCAGAGAATACCCTCTCACGGCTCATCTTGCCATGTCGGTGGTTTGAGACAGCCGGATTCTGAGTCGTCAGTTTCTGAGTCGTCAACCCAAGCCGGCAACCGTCAGACCTGGAGGTGCAGGCAAAACTGCGATCTCCCTGACCGGTACCCACGGTGCACATACGGGCTGCATCACTACCTTGACAAGTTGGACAAGTTCTGAGCAGTGTGTGGCTTTTTTCCGACCTGACTCACCTGGTCATTGCGCGCTCTTTGGTAGGTGATCTATAGCACGACTCTGATATTGGTGGCATCCGACCTTGGCCAGCTCCTCTGTTGCTACGGCGCGGGAAAATGGGAACGAAATGCCTGACTGTGCCTTCTGTCTCTCGGCGGTGCACTTTGCCGGAACCGCGTCCACGGCAGCCAAGGGCCGGCTTGTCTGATCTTCCAGACGAGTCTCTGGTGATCTTCATGTACAAGATCGACGACATACATGCCCATCAGCCAGAGGAACAATGGGAGGACTGTGCGTGCTCCTGGGACTGATACGATTGCCATGTCGGAATCACAGAGTGCGTGCCATCCACATACGAGTCAATTATCACAGTCTTCCGACCACATGTCCTAGGCATTTCGGAAGTCTGAGAGCCTTCCGAACCACGTTGTGCAGTGCTCCCATCCATATCTAACTACGGAGTACGGACACTACTCATGAAGAAAGTGTTTGCATACGAGATGCATGGGTCGACCCAGTCCCTGTCTGTTCGTTGGACTTGCAAGGAATAATCAGCAGAGGATTTATCAAGGACCCAGGGGACCTGGACAGCCCGGAGAATTGCCATTTCAGCAAATCGAACACACAGAGTTCCATCATCAATACTGTTGGAAGTACCAGGTAGGTTGCCTTTATGTTTGTCTAATTAGACAGAGGCTCTCCCAGTGTGTTGCTTATTCCAAATAGAAGCGGCCGCGCTTTGCTTCCTCCCTCACAAGAAAGATGGTTGGAGGTATTGTACTGCGTTGCATGAGAAACGCTCTTCATCTCATGTTATCCAAAACACGGGACGAACTGGCAGTATTGGACCCGGTAGAACGACGATCATGGCGACGGCTATCCAACATGAGGGGGCCAGAGCCGCCTGGCTCACCATCCTACCCCCCCCTCTCTCTCTCTCTCTCTGGCACGGGTGGGATACATGCATGGTGGGTGGAAGGCTACTGGAAGCGACAGTACCCCAAGCCCACAGGGCCGAGCCTCCAGCCTTGGTGAGGGTGGGCGGGGGTGGTACTCTTGCAACATCGCGAGGCTCTACCCTCGGTATTAGCAGATGCAATGTACCGGCACGCCCCAAAAAAACACACTATTCCGTACGTCCGATCTGGAATCTGACAAGCTCTGGGGTGCCTTGGAGAAGAAGAAACAGAATCAGACAATCGGCATCGAGGCCGACAATCGGGGTTGCGAAAGCAGCGGTCAGCATCAGAAGAGCCCTGGTAAGCATCTCCACCGGAATACGACTGCGAGAACATGGAACCTGCCAGCGCGCACAAACACAGAAAGACAGAGAGAGGGACGAAAAAGATTGAGGGAGAGAGGGCAGGGGCAGAGCGAGTGCCCAGGGTGCTTCAAAAAAGCATCACATCACCTCCTCTCTGGAAAGGGTCGGCCCTCTTTGGAGACTCGAGAAGCAGCTGTGGCAGGCCTCTAGTTACTGGATTCAACCAAGAACGTGCATATGCTCTGCAGCCAGAAGAGCACAACATCTGTGCGAGTCCGTGTGTGAAAGCACACACAGCCTGGCATCTGCATGTGCATCTTGCAGGTGAGAAGATCAATGCTTGAGAGCGAGCATACGTACGGGACTGGTGATATTGAGGCAGCAGTCCATAGGTATCTTTCTGCATGCATGCATGCATGCAGAGAGCCAGAGAGGAGTGCTCTAGCTAGTTAGTTACTCCGTACAGCCACGAGATCCCGAGAGACGTTGGCAAGCCATGCTAACCCCCCCTCGGCTCTCCAACAAGAGGCACTTGCCCTTCGGTATGGACCGTGCTGGGAGAGGCAGGCGTACGGCGTATTTTCTCGTTTGTCAGTCTCACCTCCCGCTCGAGGTGATGCGCGTTTGGTGCATGTGGTTGCGAGATCCACCAGCCGAGCCGGGCCCCCGAAAGGGGTCAAAACGGCAAAGACCCCAGACCAGGCCCCCTTTTTTTTTTATTCAAGACTGGCTAGTACCCAATCTTTGGACCCCTCATCCAGTCCCGTCAAACCTGGTGTTGCTGCTGCAGTTTGGTTTGGGTTTGACACTACCTGCATGTGCACAACGCATGTGCTTCCCAGGAGAGTCACTACTGGGCTTGATACACGAGGAACTGCATGTAGATGCCATCACCGTGGTACAGTCTGATGGCAGTTTCAAGGAGCAGAAAGGAGCCAAGCATGGTCCATAATAATTGGGCAAAGTCGGGAGGGAAAAGAAAGGGACAAGGCCGTGGTCAAGGCCCCTCCAAAAACACGACCCCTGATCGAGGACGGAGTAACTACGTCCTCGGCAGGAAGAAAAGGTGTGATTGCGGTAGTCATTCGAGGAAAATGAGAGTTGAGCCTAGCGGCCGGCGGGTCAGGGCATCGCACTTCGTAGCAAAGCAACAAGCCGAAAAGAGGCGTCAATCGAACACAGCAGCAGCGGCCTTGTTTGCTTGCTCCAAGGCCAATGTCCAACCCGCGTGTCATTGTCAGTCAAGCCGCTTCCGTTTGCCTTGTGTGTCTTTGGGGGTTTGCTAGCTCAATTGTGTTCGATTGCGGCCTTTTATCCAGCCTCGATTTCCCTTCCCTTCCCTTTTCCTACCCTACCCCCCCCTTCTTTCAAGCCCGGGCCACACCCCCTAACTACCGCACTACTTGTACCTACCAGACACCAGACCACCCGCTACCACGCGCACCAGCAAGACCCAGGCCCAGCATTTCGAGCCCACCGCCTCTCCAGGGCTCCTCTGTACAGGCCACAACCCACTCTCCACCACGCCCGAACCTTGAAATTTACCAGCCCAGCGAATTGCTAACGGCGTCGCCCCCCCCCCTTGTCTTACCTACTGCCTACCTTACCCGCCGGACCACCAGAGCCTCGACCAGTCAACGTTTGCCCATCACTCGCAATATCCAGAAACCCATTCGACCAGGCGGGCGCCTAGCAAGCTCTTCATTTCAACCACACGACTTTCGCATCGCGACGACCGCGACTGCCACTGCCACTCCACGATCTCTAGACCCTCAGGCAGGACGCTGCGCTTTTGGCCCCCCGCTGACGGGAATAGCGCCGTTTCTGACCCCCGCCTCCTTATCGCCCCTCTCCCAGCTCCCAGGCGGTGCAAATCACCCTTTTAAGACCATCGTGGCAGAGGGTCTTCGCGCCACCTCAAAAATCACGACGAGCCGCGAGCGCCCGACCATGTTCTGAATACCTGTGGGTTGTCTGAACTGACCGGGCGAAAGCGCGAAAGGCGAGAAAAGAGTGAGAGCGAGAGTGAGAGCGGAGCAGGATGCTGATGACACAGGCTGCCGCACTGCCTCCAGCACATGGTCAACGATCGACAGCCTTCAACACTCTGCGCACCACCAACCTCGCCGCTGCAGCGCCGAGCCAAATCGGAAGGGAGGCACAGGTACGGACTGGCTTGAAGAGGTCAGGCACTTTCGGAGACGACGGCGACGGCTACGGCTACGGCAGCTCGTCGAACCACGCCGACGGGCATTATACTTCCTCCACAATGAACGGCATCATGGGCACCGTCCCCTCGGGCGCCACGTACGTGCGGGCGATGTACGACTACGAGGCGGACGACAGGACGAGCTTGAGCTTCCACGAGGGCGACGTCATACAGGTCATCACCCAGCTCGAGAGCGGTTGGTGGGACGGCGTCATCAACGGCGTCCGCGGCTGGTTCCCGAGCAACTACTGCCAGGTCATCACCAACCCCAGCGAGATCCTCGACGCGGAGCAGAATGCCGTCCCTCTCGGAGAGACCCTGGACGAGGAGCCCGATGACGAGGTCTACGACGAGAGCTTCGACGACGACGAGGACGACACCGACGAGATCAACGCTCTCCCTATGGAGGGGACCGAGACCGGTGCCAAGTCCGGCGCCGACTTTTGGATCCCCCAGGCGACCCCAGACGGCCGGCTCTTCTATTATAACACAATGACGGGCGAGAGCAGCATGGAGTTGCCCCTGGAATCCCCCACCTCTGTGAACGAGAGCGGCCCGCGCGACCGGATGAATGTCAACATCCCCGAACGGACACGCCCGCCGCCAGAGATGATGGCCAGGGGGTTCACTCAAGACGAAGACGAAGATTCGGAAGCGAACTCGGCCTCGGAGCTGGAGGGCGAGTCTATCATGCTCGCATCAAGAGGATCCATGGTAATGCCAAACTCTCTTCCCCCTCCATTGGCAGATCACCGTTGGCTAACCAGGATATCGACCATACAGCCTCGTCGGAACCCCACCGACATTGGTCTCTCACCAGCGCCCTCCATGGACTCTATCAACGGCCAGGCTACGAGGCCTAGGAACGACACCTTTAGCAATCCCAACATGGTCCACGGTACTGGGATCGCCTCGGCGACTTCCTTCACGTCTACCGGCTTTAATCTTCCTACGGCCGCCACCATACCCCGCTCCTTCTTCGACGATGGGTCGACACCACCGCTCACATGGGCCCGCCTCGTTGCCAACATGAAGAAGTCTATTGAACGCTACCGCGAGGCCATTAACAACAACCTGCGGTCCGAGTATGTGGCGCGTGCTGAGGACATCTCGGACCACCTACGCTTGCTTCTCGCAGCCGGATCTGGCACGACGGACAACCACTCCGGGCAGCCCTCCATCATCTCCACGAACAAGGCGCTGTATCCCCACTTCCGGGACATGATGTCCAAGTTCTCCAAGCTGGTCATCTCATCGCACATCGCAGCTGCGGACTGGCCGAACGCGGAATCGGTACAAAAGTGCTTACAGGAGGCCGACGGTGTCCTCTTGGGGGTGTACAGCTACGTCGAGATAGCAAGGCAGCAGCGAGGGGAGGAGATCCCCAGGCTGTTCCCGGGCTTCGTCATTGGCAGCACGGCGGGCGGCAGCTGGCAGAATAACGGTCTGGGCCCGAGAGACCCCATCGCCTCAAACTTCCTCGAGGACGAGGAGGGCTACCAAGAGCCGACGGCAATGCTAGATGGCAAATTGCTCGAGCGACTCGACGAGCAGAAGCGCATGTTGGTCTCGAGCATCAGGGAGCTGGAGAAGAACCTGGCTGTTTCCGACAAGATCATCACGCCGTTCAAGCACGAGCTTATCGGCAACAACGTCTGCTCTGCAGGCGGCAAGGTGCTGGAGATGTTCAAGCCCTGGATCGCCATGATCGAGTCGGTTGACTTGTCGACCCTCGGCAACAGCTTCCAAACCCCCCAGCTTGCCGATTTCAGCGTCAACAAACAGAGCCTCTACGACAACATCTCTGACCTGTTGCTAGGCTGCCAGGCCGTGGCTGGTCCGCTCGCAGACGAGTGGTCAGAGGTCCGCGGCGAGGCGCTTGAGAACAGGCTGGAATACGTGCGCTCATGCGCGCGAGCGTTGGAGATGAACTCGTCGCACATTGGCTTCTCGCTCCAGCTCTTGTCGGAGCAGGTACAGATCAACACGCAACAGCAGACCGAACAGCGCATGCGGGAAGAGCAGTTCCAGCGCGAGCAGTTGCGGAGGGGAGAGACGATGCCATACGCCCCGAGCCACCAGAGGTCAGAATCGCGCGGCCTCATGCGCCCGCCCCTTATGCAGTCGCAGTCCTTCACGGAAGGTGAACCCACGACCCAGACGTACCGAAAGGGTGGGGACTACTCCAAACTTAAGAAGTTGCTCGGAGAGGACCCCAACCCCCAGGCTATGGTCGAGGACATCCCTGACTACCTGCGACTCGACTTCGAGCACGAGATCTCGTGGGACACCAAGACGTCGCCGCCCACTGTCAAGGGTGGCTCGTTGTATGCCCTTGTGGAGCAGCTGACACGCCACGACAAGCTCGATTCAAGCTTCAACAATACTTTCCTCCTCACCTATCGATCCTTCACCTCGGCGAGAGAGCTCTTCGAGCTGCTCGTCAAGAGGTTTGCGGTCCAGCCCCCCGAGGGCCTGAACCAGGCCGAGTACGAGCAGTGGCGGGACAAGAAGCAGAAGCTGATCCGCTTCCGTGTGGTCAATATCTTGAAGAACTGGTTTGACAACTTTTGGATGGAGGACACGAGCCTTGAGGAGACGAGGCAACTTATCCGCGACGTATATGCCTTCGCCAGGGAGACTGTCAAGTCTACCGAGACTCCCGGACACGCCCAGCTCATGGCGGTCCTGGACCAGCGCCTGAACGGCAAGGACACGGGCGCGAGGCGTCTCATCCAGACCCAGAACCAGAACACGCCGGCCCCCATCATGCCCAAGAACATGAAGAAGCTCAAGTTCCTGGACATTGACGTCACCGAGTTTGCGCGACAGCTGACCATCATCGAGTCGAAGCTGTACAGCAAGATCAAGCCGACCGAGTGCCTGGGCAAGACGTGGCAGAAGAAGCCCGGCGAAGGGCAGCCCGAGCCGGCGCCCAACATCAAGGCGCTCATCCTGCACTCGAACCAGATGACCAACTGGGTTGCCGAGATGATTCTCGCCCAGTCGGACGTCAAGAAGAGGGTGGTTGTCATCAAGCACTTTGTAGCTGTCGGAGATGTAAGATTTTCTTTCCCATGTCCCTCCCTCCCCTCCCTGTCGGATAGTAGTATTTATGACTGACATCTTTCCCCCCCAAAACAGAAATGCCGGAGCCTGAACAACTTCTCGACGATAACATCGATCATCTCGGCGTTCAGCACCGCGCCCATTGCCCGTCTCAAGCGGACATGGGACATGGTCCCGGCCAAGACACAGGCCACCCTGGAAACGATGAGAAAGCTAATGGGTAACACCAAGAACTTTGGTGACTACAGAGAAGCACTGCACGCCGCGAACCCCCCGTGCATTCCATTCTTTGGTAAGTGTGTCCTGTCCTTGGGCATTAGTAGTAGTGATAAATGCCCCCCATCTTTAGTCACCTCAACAAAGGTAAACTGGCTAACCATCCTTTGTGTGTGTGTGTCTGTCTTACAGGCGTGTACTTGACCGACCTCACCTTCATCGAAGACGGCATCCCGTCCATCATCAAGAAGACCAACATGATCAACTTTGCCAAGCGCGCAAAGACGGCCGAGGTCATCCGCGACGTCCAGCAGTACCAGAACGTGGCGTACGCCCTGCAGCCCGTCTCGGAGCTCCAGGACTACATCGTCAGCAACATGCAGGCCGCGGGCGACGTCCACGAGATGTACGACAAGTCGCTGCAGGTGGAGCCGCGGGAGCGCGAGGACGAGAAGATTGTCAGGTACTTGAAACTCTCTTCTAATTCTTTTACGTCTGTGCAGTCGTCATCCTCACTGTGGATGTCGTGAAAATCATCATTATCATTTCGCGGAGGTGGAGGGGAGGGGGGAAGGTGGTGATGATGATGATGATGCCCAGTAGTAGGGGTTTTGAAAACAAACAGGGGGGTGTTTGGGTGGGAAGGAGGAATTCGTTGTATTTGTTGTATTTTTTGGCAACGCTTACTCACATTTGTTGTTTTTGATACAGAGTGCTGGCCGAGTCGGGCTTCTTGTAAGAAGTCATGCTACGAACGCTGGGGGCAGCGCAATCTGTACCACCCCTGCCAGATCGCACGTTCGACGCCGTGTCCTGCTTTTCAAGCCTCGTTTTGACGGAAGCGTTCTTGTCTGTTCTCGCTTTTTTTTTTTCTTTTCCGCATGCAGTCGGTCGCCTTGTTCGGTCATGCGTTGGAGAAAAAAGAAAACGACTTGGGGGGTTCTACATCCCATGCAAGGATGTGCACTCATGTGTGCTTCGCTGCTGTGGATGGGATCTTTTTTTTTTTGACGCCCCCCCTTTACCAAATTCTGTTGAAACATCGCGAATCTCCCTCCCCGGCCAAAAAGAGGAGCCGGAAAAGGCTTTTATGAATCGGTTCATATTTGATGAGACATATGACCAAAAGAATTTACGACAAACAATGAGTTGAGGAGGGAGGGGAAGGGAACGAGAAAGAGGGAGTGTGGAGGAGAGAGGGTGGAGTTGATTTGCGGACCGAGTATGCCATCTGTCTCACTGATGCAGACATCTTGGACAGGCGTGGCCCATTTCGTGCTCTATGCGACTGATGAGCTGGATGGTGTCAGCATTGATGGAGGGAGAACCTTGATCAGGAGACCTTGTTTCCCAGACATCAGAGAGAAAGAGCTGGACGAACGGCAGCCCGAGACAGCCGAGATGTCATGGCACAGTGCATCCCTGTGGGCTGCTAATTGCTCGCCGATGATGAGTTTTTCTGTTACAATAAGACAGCAAGCTCCCCCAATTCATTTGGGAATCGTCCTTGGGCCATGGACGGGGAGCACGGGCGGATGTTGTGATTGTCACAACCAGGTTTGCCGCGTGCAAGGCAGTGCATGGGTCGCTGCACGTGAAGCAAGGAATCAGGGCCGAGGCTTTACAACACTTTGAAGCGGGGGGAGGAAGAAGAAAAAAGAAGAGAAGGACCAATTCACATTTGATCGGAAGGGGGGGTGGTTTCCACAGGTTTCTTTTCCCCATCCCTGGTCATCTTTCAGGTCATTGTTTTTTTTCCCCAGTCTTCTCTCTTCTCGAGTTGGAGGGTTAGGTGTTGGGGGAGGGCTTCTTTCTCTGCTTGTTGTTTTTGTTCGCTTCGAATGTGAGATAATTCTAGAGAATATATTCTTTTCGAACGGACCGGCTGATGTTAGTCTCTGGTGATGATGATGATATAATGTGCACACACTTGGATGTTTGTTGTTGTTGGGCACTGGTTTGTTGTAGGTGTGAAAGTGATATTCAAAATACAACATCCACACGCCCCCCCTTTTCCCTTCCCTCCCCTTCCCCTTCCTCTTCCTTCCCTCTCAAGCATACGCATCCACAACGGGCGTCGCCCCGTTCCAATCGATCGCCGCCAGGCTGACCGCGGCGCAGCCGTCCAGGCTCCGGTCCCCATACCCCATCACCATCTTCTGCAAGCGGTACTCGGCCACCGCAGCAGCAGCAGCAGCAGCAGCAGCAGCAGTGCTGCCCTTGGGGCACGCGAACCACAGGCCGTGCTCGCTGCCGACCCAGGCGAACGTGCCCGGCGGCGCCTCGGCGGCGGCGGCGGCCGTGTAGTTCTGCTGCGTTGACGACGATGACGAAGAGATGGTGGTGGTGGTGGTGGTGGTGTAGGCGGCCGTGCCGTGGCCGCGGTGCACGAAGAGGGCGAACATGGCGCCGCCCGGGGTCGGGGCCGTGGCGGCGCGGGCCGGCGGCGGGCGGTCGTAGCGGAGGTGGCCCTGCTGGGTGTCTATGTAGACGCGCTGGCGGGCGCCGGAGGCCTGTGAGAGACCCCCCACCCCAAAGGGGCACCGGGGGGGTCTTCTTGTTAGTGGAAAAAAAGGATTCTGGGCAGATGGATGATAGGGGGGGAAGGAGGGAAGAGATCTTTAGTTTCCGACTTGCCAGGAATGCCTTGCCGTCCCCGTCGACCCAGAGCACCGTCTCGGTGGCGTTGGATTTCTGCTGTGTCGGCCGCGGCGGCGGCGGCGGGACGCAGGGGGTCGACGACCTGCCGTAGCCACCGACGAGGCAGGGAGTGTTGCTGTTGTTGGCGGACAGCGGCGGTGCCGAGAGCCAGAAGGACCCGTCGTGGACGCTCATGACGTAGCCTGTCAGTCCCTCGCCCGCCGGGTACGGGGACTGGAAGGCCTGGACGGTGAAGAGGCGGACTGACGTCGGTATGTCGGTGGCGGCCCGGCTGGCGATGGGTTTCGCCATCGAGGCCACGGCGCCGAAGGCGCAGACGGCGAGGAGCTTGGCGTGGAGGGCGGCGCGCATGGTTCGTCAAAGTTCGGAGAAAGTTTCTTTCTGGGGTTGTTGTTGGGCTTCGTGTGTTGATTCGACTTGGGGTCTGATCTGGTGCCTCTGCCTCCTTTATATAGCTAGGCCCAGCCGAGATTTGGAATCCGTGGCCCATCCAGGTCAACCAGAGGCGGAGCTGAGACAAGATCTCAACAGCCCTTAGACGAGAGTCGCGAGGTTTCTGGTCAGCTTGCCGGGCACCTTTGAACACCACCAGCATCAGGTGAGGTTTGAGCCAACGACCTCCCGATAATTAGACTCTCCTCGTGTAACACATCCAAAGGAGACGAAGGCGTCCCGCTGGAGCACTCGGACCGTGAGATAGGTAAGATCGGTGGACCATCTGGAGAAGCAGTAAAGAGGTGCGAAATGACCCATGTATTCAGGCGCGAATATCGCGAAAAGAAAGGGGAAGTGGCTTCCCGCACTGTTGTGGTCTCCCAAGCATCTTGACCCAACGCCGATAACACCGTTATGACGACCGAAAGTCCACGAAATCCCTCGCAAAATCGGTACCGCGCTCCATTCATAGCATCGCGAACGCGCGGGACAAACCTCAATCGCGTTCGCCCCCCTTCTGGACCTCCCCCTCCTCCAGAGACTTCTTCAGCCTCTCTTCCTGCCTCCTCCAGTGCCCGCCTTCTTCGTAGTCCTTGCTGATCTTGAGCGCCCGCCGTAACCTCTCGCTCTCCTTGATCTTGGCGTCGGCCTGCTCGTGCACCTGGTGCATCTTGAAGTGCTTCCGCGGCGGCTCGCTCTTGCGCCCGCCCTTGTCCATGTCGGCGAGGAGTGTCTTTCGCAGTTCGTCGCACTTTGTCTCGATCTCGTCTTCGTCGACGCTGTAGAAAGAGGGGGTCAGCATGATTGTTTTTTTTTTTCCTTTTTCTTTTCTTGTGGTGGTGGCTCCTTCCTTACCCTTCGTCCTCGAGACGATCGCGCAGCTCAAAGACCTTGACCTCGACCTCGCGCTTCCGGTCGTGCTCGAGGATGCCCTTGTCGGGCTGGCGCTGCCTGTGGCGCAGGCTGTCGTAGTCCTTGGGGTACGGCGCGGCCGACTCGCGAGGCTTGATGTGTGCCAGGTTGCGCTGGACGTAGCCAGAGGTGCCGCTGCCACGGGGCGTGGACAGGCCCACGTTGTCAGACATTCTCTCTCTCTCTCTTTCTCTCTCTTGGCGTCCAGGTATTGAGGTCTTGGGCTGCTCTGCGACGACGACGACGAGGAGGAGAACCGTAGTATTGCACGGGCGGCCAGGTCGTGGTTGGCCTCGAGGATGTGACGTGACGTAAGGCGGGAACGGTGTATCGGGCAGGATTCGTTTCGGTACAAGTAGTTAGCGTGTGCTGGTCCTCGGGCAGACGAGGCAACCGTGAGAAGATGGATCCTGGAGCAGCAGACAGCGAGCAAATGGGCTTTTTGGAGTAGGTAGCCACGAACAGTGTCGCTTCTCAAGCACGCTTAGTTGACACTTGTGGAAGAAAAACGAATATGCTGCCGATATTCTTTGTAGAGTGAGACTTCTCTTATAATCAATTTATCTGAGCGGGGGACGTGCCGCAACCTTAGTCTAATGGTTAGTATCCAAGTGAACCTAAATTGTCCAAGGATTTTCAACTAAGATCCTCTCAGGTCAGGATTCATCGCTTCCAACGATGAGGTCCGGGTTCAATTCCCGGAGGTTGCATTCCTTTGTTCCCTTCTTTTTTTTTTTTTTTTTTTTTTTTTTTTGCTCATGTTTTCGTACATTTTTCTTTCACCTTCCATCAGTCCATCAGAATACTCAACCTTGACTTCATACTCAACTGTCAACGTTGCCCCTCGGTGTGATTCTTAAGGGGTGGCAAGGACTCACTGAATGCACCTGTGCTGATACGCTGGATTTTGCAGGGATTGTTCTACCTAAGAGGGCAATTGGTCTAATAAGTCTTGTTCCGGCTTCTAAGGGGATACCGCCGGACATGTCTGCCGGCCATCGACCCTGCCTGTGACAGTCAATGATCACAAAATGCACAGCATCTACTTCCTGTCCGTTTCATTTGAGGGTACAAACTGTAGCAGGAAGGCGGTGTCATTGGCGACCAAGTCTCTGCATTAGAGCCTTGGTATCATACTGGCTGGGCGTCATGATACCCCGAAATGCTGCGAGCCTGCAGACTGTGACACCCAATCAAAGGAGCGAGAACTTAGGCAACCGTCCCCCTCCTAGGATAAGGATAGGTATCGTCTGTCGTCCAGACCAATCAGTACAATGTGGATTGATACCCAATGCTGCACATTGAGGTATTACTACGTACATAAAGGATAGCACGTCTCCGACTTACAGCGTCTTGGTAGCCAAGACATATTGACCGCCAATACTACAAAACGAAGTCAAAGACACTGATTAAACCCCTAACAGGTAGGCTCTATGTGCATCCTCACCAGAGGAACCTTTTCTCACACAAAGTTGAATAGCTTTGAACACCATGAGCTCAGAGGACAGACAGAAAATCACCGAGGCACTGACCGATCAAAAAACAATGGAGCAACTATGGAGTTCGGGGAAGAGCGCTAAAGAGAAGCGAAGGGAAAATATCGAGATACGAGATCGACGGAATCAAGAGAAGAAGGAGAAAAAGGAGAAGCAAGAGAGTAAGGATGGCCATGTGTAATATTGCAAATGGGCGGGTATTTCCATGTCCACTTAGTGCCTTTCAGAACCTCCTGTCCAGCCATCCTATGGTGGGAGCAACTGCACGTGACTTAATCAGATCAATGAAAGCGGTGTGTCGGGCATCTTGTTCGCATTTCGTCATCTTCTTGTGATTGCAAAGTTTCAGGCTTCTTCCATACCCACCATCACTGATCAATAACTGCTTCCCGGCCTTGCATGCTCAACATAGACTGATTCCCTCCAATGGCGGCAACGCTGCCGCTTCTGAGGGGAAGAATATCTCTCTCCGACGCATTAGCAGAAGACAAAGATATCATACAGGAATTATCATACCCGGAGAAACGAATCGACTTCTGGCTTCATCTGTATCAATCTCGCTCACAGATTGAAGAGCTTGTTGCTCGACATCTCAACATTTCACGGCTGGACTTCAGACTCGGCGATGTTGGAGAATGGATTCACGGAAGCTTTAACGCTTGCCTACCTATCTATATGGTCGCAAGCTCTCGGACCTCGAACCTTCCACAGAAAGCTATCATCCGATTTCCGCTGCCCTACAAGATCGGCGAGGAGCACTATCCCGGGAATGTTGATGAGAAGCTTCGTTGCGAAGCGGCAACATATGCTTGGCTTCAATCCCATTGTCCTGCTGTCCCCACCCCGCGTCTTTTGGGCTTCGGCTTTCCTGGCGGTCATTCGGTGCGTTTTGATATCCCGCAGGTCTATTCATTTCTAATAGCGATCAATAGTTCACAGCACTCAAGAATGAATCCTTCTTCAATCGACTGCTATGGTATTTTCGCTACGGTATTTCATGGATATCTGGGTCGGAGCTGTCTCCTTACTTCGTCCATCGCCGGCAGAATCTCTTTGAGCTTGGATATCTGATCCTCGAATTCGTGAATGAAGGCAGAATGTTATCTGAGTCGTGGGAAGAACATCGATTGGACCCAAAGCGAAGGTCAAATCTGTACAGAGGGTTATCGCAGATAATGCTCAACCTTGCATCCCAGCCGCTATCACGAATTGGTGCTTGGACAATCAACAATCAGGGTTTTGTATCTTTGACAAACCGTCCCCTTACACTTTGCCTTCACCAACAGGAGAATCTCGGGATACGGACTGCGATGTCACGACAGTCTACATACACGTCAGCCGCATCATATTACCTGGATCTTATGGCTTGTCGGGATAATCTTGTTCGACACCAGCCTAATTCGATTCACGACGATGATGACGGAAAAGCGCAGTTAGCAGCCTTAACAACTATGCGAGCACTTCTCCCAAAATTTGCAGATCGGCCGAGCCGTGAAGGCCCCTTTGCACTTTCTCTTACTGATCTTCACCAAAGCAATATCTTTGTTGACGACGATTGGCACATCACCAAGATCATCGACCTGGAATGGGCATGTGCGCGCCCATTAGATATGCTTGGCCCGCCATCCTGGCTCTCCGGTCGATCTCTTGACGAGATTATATCCCATCTGGAAGAATACACTGGATTACATGAGGAGTTTCTCAAAATTTTCAAGGAAGAAGAATGGAGTGGTTACCACTCGAGCGAACGTACCCAGCTGCTTCAGAAGTCTTGGGAAACTGGCGCCTTCTGGTATTTCCAGGCGTTGGACTCCCCAAGCACATTATTTGATCTTTTCACAGACCATATTCAGCCGAGATTTGCGGAGCTCGACGGCGTCTCACGCCAGGAGTTCAGTTGTGCTATAGCGCCCTACTGGGATTTTGGGACTCTCAAGTTTATTGCTACTAAGGTCAAAGAACAAGAAGAGTACTCTCAGCAACTCAGAGAGATATTCCTCGCTGCTAATGCTATGCGAGAAGAATGATAGAGGGGTGGGCATGGAGCAAGCGCACTTCTAAACATCTGCACCGAGGCGGGACTTGGTGCCCACGGGCAGGAGAGTCAGGGCCGCGACCTATGAGCAAACTAACTCAGGGAGTAGAGTAGCCAAATATCACTGGAACTCAATGCTTCAGGCCTGCGGCCAACACACTGCAATTTGAAGCTGCGAAAACCTGTCGGCGCCACCGTCGGGATGAGGTCTATGCGTAAACATGCTTTCTCCTTGGTTCGGGGTCTGCTCCGCCGAGTCGTAGCGCAGATGTCTGCATCTCAAATGCCGAGATACCCCGACCATATTTCCATTCAATACGGCACTTGATCCGTCGCGTTGCCAATGACAGTGACATGCTTCAGACCTCTTCAAGCAGATGGCCTGGTGGTCTGACATCACTTACATAAATGCAAAACTGCCGTCTCCGCTCGTGTGGATGTCGAAGAGTCCATCACCGGACCGACGCACAGTCGTCGCGGGCCAGTCCCGATATTCGCAGATCCACCATCTTTACGAATAGTCATAATGTTTGGACACTCAAACCAGCAGCTTGCCAATTGTTGTGCTTGCCCCAGGATGATTGGCTTCCAGTCTGAGATGGGCGCTCCATAAACCGGATGTGCCAGCCATCCGGATCGGTGCGGTGGGCACGCGTCGTCGCTCTGCAGGGCCAGCCGCCGAAAGCTAAAGCGGGCCTCGGTGAACGAGATGGGGTCTAGTGCCGCCCTCTTGACGACTGGTCACCGGGAGGCCAATTGCCCGATTGACACTCCGAGTGGGTGTGGGAATGAGTCGACCGACGCCCTTTGTGAACATGTGCTCCGGGTCCTATTTCGCAGTCGTCCCTTTCGATATCCGTATTCTCGACTCTTGACTCGAGAAAGAAAAGAAAAGAAAGGAAAACAAGAGAAAGGCTTTCTAGCCCTGTAGCAAAGCCATGAACTCGTATCATCAGTCTCTCTCTTGAGCGAGACGAACGCGAGCCCTGGTGTCAAGATGCCTGTCACAGTGCATCCGTCCAACCATGCCGCCGAGTCCTGGGGCCGGGCTCAATCTCAGAAGTTCACAGAGGTGACTTCTCCGGAGCAACTACTGCGCAGCACGCTCAGCAGCGATAGACATGCTGGCCCGGACAAGCACGCTTCCGCGCCGCCACCGCGCCCGCGCAGGCTGCTCCAAAACTCGTTCGCAGGCTCGCTGCCGAGTCCCGACCGTCCCGTGCAGGGCGACGGCACCTCGCCCGCCCTGTTCGCAACGAAGAACGGCCTCGTGCACGCCTGCATCGAGGCTTACAACAACCACCACAACCTCGTCATCCGGCCGGAGGACGTCTGGTTCGCCATCCTGTCCCAGCTCGGCGCCCATCTCCAGGCCGACACCGAGGTCTGCGCCAGCCTCTTCAACGACGTCGATGCCGCCGCCGCCGCCGACGACGACGGCGACGACGACGACGCCACGGCATCAAAGCAGGCGCCCGCCGCAGCAGCAAAGCGGCTGCTGCACATCGACGTGTCCCTAGGCGAGGGCCTCGACCACGGCGCCATGGCCGTGCAGATGTCCAAGCTGCTGGCCTCGCACCTCCGGGACCCGTCACTGCGCGACTGGTTCCTGCCGGCCTTCAGCACGACCTCGCGCGCCGACCAGGCCGTCGCCGCGGCGCTGCTCATGGGCGCCGCCCGGCGCTTCTTCACCTACTCGTGGGGCACGCGCTGCGGGATCCCCGCGGCGACGCTGCTCGGCGAGGCCGACGACTGGGCCCTGATCCGCGCGCGGTGCGCCGAGCGCCTCGGCGGCGGGCACCTCGGCGTCGCGGCCGCGGCCTGGCACCGCGCCGCGCTGGCGCCCGCGCTCGACGGCCTCCTCGAGAGCTTCCGGGACCCGGCCGGGGAGCGCGCCCGGCGCTTCTGGCAGGGCGTCTGCTGCGAGCACCGGCCCAACGGGAGCGGCGTCACCGAGTACTCCGGGTGGATCACGGCCTTTTGCTACTGGGACGAGGACGGCCGGTGTCTGCACCGAGGAGGAGAAGAAGAGGGCGGCGGCGGCGGCGGCGGCAGGAGCAGCAGCGCCCCCCGGATATCGCGGGGGAGCGTGCCGATGGGCTTCTCCATCGTCCCTGTGGTGCTGATGGACGAGGGGAACCCCATACAGACCGAGATGATAGCTGGCTCGGTCGGGTTCCAGCTCAGGCGATCGGGAGAGGAGACCAAGACAGGGAGCGGGAGCGGAGATGGTCCCGAGAGGCAGAGATCGTCAAGGGCGGTGCAAGACCGTTGGCATGGATATGATACCCTACAGCCTCAGAGTGGCTGGTTTATGTACATGGTTTAGATGCGTTTTTTTTTTTTGCTCTTTTATTTCCCACGGCTCGCTATTTTTCCAATGTAATCCAGGTTGTTTTTCCAAACAGTACCTAGATATATAATACATGATTGCACCCCCTTCTGTGAAGGCGCTATACTTTCACCCCTTTCGCTCGCCCAATACACTGTCTTCTTTGTTTTTTTTTAAAAAAAAAAAAAAATCTTGTCCATCTTCGCTCGCCGCCTACTCTGCAGCGGGGGGCTCTCTACCCCCTCCTACCACCTCCTGCCACTGCTGCACAAACTCTCGGAGACCCCCTTCGCCCGCCAGGCTGGCATCCACCACGTCCTTGGGCAGCTTGTGGGCCGAGTACTGCGACGAGTTGAAGTTGTAGGCGGCCGGGTCGTCCTTCTCCACGAGCCTCAGCTCGGGGACGTACTCGTCCGCCTCGTCATCGTCATCATCGTCATCCGTGGTCGTCATCTCGTCGTCCTCCGCGCTGCTAGGCGGCGCAGCACCCAGGTGGGCAGTCCCGCTGCTCCCCAGCCCGCCCAGTATGGGCCGCGGCACCCGCACGTCGAGCAGCTCCGGCCAGCCGAAGAGCAGGGTGTCCGTCCTCGGGGCCCAGGGGTTGATGTCGATGAGGCGCGCGCGCGACAGCCGGAACGAGCCGCCGGTGTCGTCGTCGCCGTTGGCGCCGGGGATATAGACGTCGAACGCGAAGGACGGGTCCGGGAAGGTGAAGCGCAGCCTACCGTCGAACAGCTCGCGGACGCGCGCGACGACGGCGGGCCGCAGGGCGTCGAGGAAGGGGTAGTGGTTGAGGTCGCGCTGGGTGACGGCGACGAGGGAGCGGTGCTTGACGAAGCACCGGAACTCCAGCGCCGGGTGCGGGTGGAAGAAGGACCGCAGGACGAGCACGGGGTCGTACCCCAGCGGGCCGGTGCCGGAGGCCGCCGCCGAGGACGCCGTGGTGGTGGTTGTGGGGGCGCACCCGTCGAAGGCGTGCTCGAGGTCGTGGCTGACGAAGCTGGAGCTCTTGAGCAGGAGGTACACGTCGTTGGGCGAGGCGCACTTGATGGAGTTCTGGTGCGACGAGATCCAGGTGGCGTCCTTGGGGGACGACCAGTTGAGCTTTGGGGCGACGGCGCCGCCCAGGGCCTTGATCTCGTCCTTGATCCTCTGGTGGAGCTCTGGGAAACGCCGGTTTGGCGGTTGGCTTGTTGCTGGTGCCTCGTCCCCTTCTTCTTCATCCTCATCATCGCTGGCAGAGTCCGGGTGGTCCGGCGCCGTCTGGTGATGGTGGCTGGTGCTGCTGCTGCTCGGAACAGAGGGCTGCCAGTCGTCGTCGTCGTCCCCCCCTGCGGTTTGCTCGTCGTCATCGGCGAGGATGATGCGATCCTCGCGGATGTACTCTACAAACTCTGGCGAGAGGGGGATGATGCGCGACTTGATACATGACGTGCGGTACCTGAGCGTGGTGTTAGTGAGTCTGCCTTCCAAGCTTCCAAGGCCGTATCTAGCAATGCACGACCATTACTCACTTTGGGAACCAAGAGTCATAGGAGCAGTTCAGGATTTGCTCTCGTGTGACAGGAGGGAAAGGCACCTCTGCATCCGCCTCGGCGTCGTTGGCAGCAAGTGAAGGGGGATGATCAAGTGCTGGCATATTGATGTCTCTTTTCTCAACTTGCAGATCGGCAGGAACAACGCAACGGATGGGAGTGTATATGCAATGCGAGATGCGTATGGTCAATATATGAAAACGACGTCCTTCCAAGGACCTTGATAAAGCCCAAGGAGGAAGGAATTAGTCATAAAAGGCCACTGCAACATATACAAGTACTCCGTAAGCAGCAAAGTTCAAGGCCTACCTCGATGGATGACTCGACTTGATCGTGGGGCAAATTCCGAGAAACAAGTCCAGGCACCCTGTCTAGGTAACTAACTACCTAACCCCACTATCTTTGATAGCAAGATACCGCCTTGAAAACCCTGTGCAGTGCAGTTTATGACTAGGCTCCCTAGGCTGATCTGGTATACACGTAAGGCCCACCCCTCTCTTTCGCTTGGAAGGCGAAAATCATAACCAAACATTGTGACAAGTCACTGCAAACATTTTACATGCAGCTAAAGTTATGTACCATTCCATTTCATAGACACAGTATCAACCTGTTAGCTATAAACCCCCTTAACATCTGTCTGCCTGACGACTTTTATGGGCAAGATCTCTTGAGAATCGCTGAGAACAATGAATGGAGTGGCCCGTGCGCACCTAGGCTCCTTCCGCTGGTGGCCCCAGCGCCCGCCCGCCCCTTGCCGAAAATGCTGCCAATTGGCAAATCACTTCCTCCACCCAATCCTGGCCCAGGCCCAAAAAGTAAACACGAACAACGTCGAAGGAGAAAAAAAAAAAAAAAGAGAAACACCCCAGCAAACCACACACACCACACACTTATTCGCAGACGACCGCAACACACAGACAGCTGCCACCAGCTGGAACAGCCACCACCGCATCGACCACCCCGGCCGGCCTATCATCAAAAGAGGCCGACGGACTTCATTCTTTTTTCTCATTTTCCTTTTCCTCGATCCATTGAGGGAGGGGGAAGCGCGGCCGCAGCATTCTCATCCCGCGCCATGACGGGCGCGATGCGACCCATGCGCGGCGGTCGCCCCAATAAAGTCACGAAACCCAGCAGCGCGGCCACCGCCCGACGGCCCAGCCGCCAGTCCCTCATGGCCGCCGCCTCGGCCATTGACCCGGACCTGACGGCCGGCGACGACAGCGCCCTCGTCGACGTCGCCGGGGGCCTCGACGAGAAGCACGACATTGTCGGTGGCGATTTCGCGACGGCGGCGGACGTGGACCTCGGCGGCGGGGAGGTGGGCGACGACGACGACGTTATGGGCGACGCCGAGGCCGAGGGCGAGATGGTCGACGACGACGACGCAGACGCAGAGGCCGCCGCAGCGGCAGTGCAAGCGGCGGCAGCGGCCCAGAACCTCGACCTCGGCGCCGCGGCGGCAGACATGCTCGCCAACGGCGGCGGCAGCCTCATGGGCGGCGCCGGCGATCACGGAGACGGCGGCCCAGACTCTGCGTACCCGGAGCCCACGTCGCAAGCGCACGGCATGGACTTTGGCGAGGCGGCACACCATCACCATCACCATCAGCAGCAGCAGCAGCAGCAGCTGAGCGAGCAGCACGTGCCCCAGCCCGACCACACACATCCGCAACAACACCAACAACACCAGCCGCAAGACGGCAGCAACAACATGGCCGCCAAGGCGACGGAGGAGGTCGCGCGCGACTGCGGCTACGGCGGCATCGTCGTCGAGAGCGCCCTGGCTAAGCGGCTCGCGCGCGAGAGGGGACTGAGGCCTGCGCAGCAGCGGCGGCCGGAGCAGCAGCTCAACCTGGCGCGGCGCAGCAACGTCGAGGCCCTGTTTGCGCACATCGCGGGCGAGGAGGTCCCCGCGCCGTGCAAGAACTGCCACAAGGGCCACGGGCCGTGGACGACGTGCGTCGTCGTCGACGGGCAGATGTGCGGCAGCTGCGCGAACTGCTGGTACAACGCCTCTGGAGCCCGTTGTTCCTTCCACGGTAGGAGCCCCTTCCCCCCCCCCCCCCCTTCCCTTTCCTCAAGTCGAACTGTTCCCTCTCTGACTGTATGTATGTATGTATGTAGAAACGCGCAACCCCCAGCCGCAGCCCATCATGCACCCCCACGCGCACCACCTCGCCGCCCTGGCCTCCCCGGCCGACGCCAACCCCTACGCCATCCCGCCGCCCTCCGCCACCGCCCAGGCGCTCGCGTCCCAGGTCGCCGCCGCTGCCGCCACCGCCACGACGGCGGCCGCCGGCGGCGGCGGCGCGGCGGGCCACCAGCTCGGCTCCTCGTTCAACTTTGCCGCCGCGCTGGCGGCCAACGACCCCATGGTGCGCTTCACGGTCGAGCGCGCCATGGCCGAGGTGCGCGGCGCCGACCCCAAGTCGCGCCAGCTCATGCTCGTCGAGATCGCGGCCAAGCAGCTGGCGCTGCACATGATCGAGTACGAGGAGATGGGAGGCGGAGGCGGAGGAGCGGCGGGGGCGGGGGCGGCCGTCGGCCAGGACGTGACGGGGCACCAGCACCAGCATGTCCAGCACGCGCCGCAGCAGCCCGCCCCGGATATGGGCGATGACGGGACGAGTTGAGGACTTTTGGTTGGTCCTTATCCGCTGACGACCGAGAGAGGAGAGAAGAGGGAGATAGCTAGCTACGAAGGAGGTCCAGCCGGCTCAGCTAGCCCTCATCACTGTCATCTGATCGAGTTCCGTTTACGTGTTCTGACCGGGGGGGGGGACTCGAGACCTAAAAAGTTCATTCTTCCTTGTCCCCACCCAGACTGATGATGGGGGTTGCGAAGAACTCACTATACATCCCTACTGTGCCAAAGGGCGAATTTGTCTCTATAGTTGATTTCTTGGCTCTAGACTCCAGTCCCTTGGCCCAAATTGCTAGCCCAGCTCTAATTACACTGTATCAGCACTTCTTCAGTGATAGTGTAGACGAGCTGAATACCAGTCCAGTGTTCTGACCGTTTGCTCGGACATGTGCCTCAAGTTCACGGTCCTTTGATGCTCAGACTCCATGCCCTTACAAATACAGACTGACACTGGTCACATATCTAATTTTGGTTTGCGATGTATAAACAACAGAAAATCGTCTTGCCACGCCTCATGTCGCAGGAAGACACGGCGGAGCCCAATCTCACAGAGACCTCACACTTCTCAGGCCAAGGCACAAGTTCATACACACACACACACACACACACACACACACACACACACAAGACCTATGATAGTATGGAGCAATGATTTTATAGAACAGATCCTACCCCCATTCTGCCCATGCCCGTCCTCGACCACATCCTCCTCTTCCCTTCCTCTACCGTTTGGTATATGCGCATCTCTGCAAGAAAACAAGAATCAACAACTCTCTGCCCAGCTGGCAGCCAGACATTTCATTTTCCGCCACCACCACCTGCTCTTTGAGCGCGCCCCCCCCTGCTTTGCATACTGCCTAGACAGAGAGGCTGCACTACGGATAGCCTGACCGCTTTCCAACCAAGTGGCAAGCGTCGGTCTACTCCCTCCTCTCCCTCGCCGGTAGACTTTGATAAGGAAAAGAGAAATAAAAAGCAAAAGGATCGCATAAATAAAAAAAAAAAGGTAAAAAAGAAACCGCCACGCGAGAGATCTCATACGCAAAGTAATTAAACAGGTAATTCAGTCACGCCCAGTGAGAGATCCGACGTGCATTTCCCCCACATCCTGCCCTTGTGACGTCCTCGAACTTGCTGTAATACACACATTTGCTCGACTCCCCGACTGAGCCTGCAAACGAGGGGAAATATGGCCGCGTAGTGGGAACAAAAAGGGTGCTGGCGGATAGAAAGGATCGCGGACAACAAGAAATCCGTTAGTAGGGAGGCCGTCCTCGTGACAATGAACTGATGGTCATATCAAGTCAATATGTTTTCCGTGTGTCATCGGAAGTCGTAAACATGCAGGTAACCACTCGAGTAGATCGTCGTGCCATTTAGATCAGACCGCACAGGCGGAGGTTCTCCTGGATGATGATATCTAAGGCCTTGTCAGTCCCACGTCCTTGACGAAAATCACAATGCGCATCACATACCGTTGACGGCAGCCATGACGAACCGAATCTGGGTCGTGTCGGTGGCGCACGTGAAGTGAGTGTAGATCTGCTTCGTCTCGTGCTGGTTCAGAGAGACAAAGCGGTTCAGGATGTAGTCGCAAGCCGCCGCGTAGTCGTCACCGCCCTCGTAGTCGGGGAAGTAGTTCTTCATGGGGCTGACGGGCAGCTTCTCCTTGAAACGATCAATCTTGTTGAGGAACAGGATGATCGACGTCTTGATAAACCACCTCGAGTTGCAGATGGAATCAAAGAGGGTCAGAGCCTCCTGCATACGGTTGACGGTCTCGTCCTCGAACAGAAGCTGGTCGTACTCGGAGATGGCGACAAGGAAGAGGATGGTTGTGACGTTCTCAAAGCAGTGAATCCACTTCTTCCGCTCAGATCGCTGACCACCGACGTCAAACATCCTGTAGGTGAGATCGCCGATGATAAAGGTCGTCTCGGTAATACCGGTCGTCTTGACACGCGATCGCAGCACGTCCTGGTCGTTGGGCATATAGTCGGGAGCCGCGATACGGGCAATGTTGTCAAAGTAGCTGCCTCATGTTAGCCACGAAAGGGGGTTTTGTTGTGTGGGCAATGACATACTATCTCGCCGAGTCGTTGAGCTGGTACTCCCTTGACCTCTTGAAGCAGTCCTGAACGCCCCGGTCCTTCCACAAAGCCTCGATGGCATTGCCGACCTCAGGCGGCAGGACATCGCCCTCAATCTGCGCCGGCTGCATGAAGATGGTCTGGACGTGGTACTCCATGCGCTGATCCTCCAGAGGAAGCTCGAGCGACTCCATCGCCTCCAGGATGACACGCATGGACTGGACAGTGTTGCTGAAGATGATCTCCTTGAAGGACTCGCGCTCATCGCGAGAGTAGCCGCCCTCGTGGATAAGCTTCATCTGCTTGAGAATGGTGGACTTTCCGGATTCACCAGCACCTACAACGGGTATTAGCATCGAAGCGCACGGAAAGAGACGATTGGTGGTCGTGGGCGATTCGGGTTCACGTACCCAGAAGTAGCATCTTGATCTCATTTCGCTGTTGCATCCGGTCCCTCTTCAGCTGGTTCTCAATCTCCTCGTTGCGGGCCTTGCCCTCCTTCTCCTCGGTACTCATTCCGCAACCCATTTTGGCAGATTTGTCGCCGCGTGCGCGTCCTTCGAGATTTGGGTTTCGTTACGAGAGGCCCGGACGTGTCCTCGTGTAGAATTGGAGGTGCTAGACGATTGATTTATCAGCTGTGAATCTAGCCAAGGATGCTATTCCCAAGCGGCAAGTCTGCGACGGCTTTGGCGACCGAGATGGGGAAACCGGGTGTCTGGGGCTGCACTGAGCAGAATGATGGCGCAGTGGGAAGAATTGGGGTGGTGTTTGGAGGAAATGCCGTTTCATTGATGGATGGCTGGGGAAAAGCAATCAAGGGCAGTAACGGCGGGCTGGCGTGGGAAACGATGGCTAGGAGATGCCGCGCAGGAGCGGGAAGGAAATGGGGACAAAACCTACAAGATCGTCCAGCAAACCAGCACACCCGGTTAATGCACAGATGGCGATGAAATCAAATGGATAAAGTCGTCCTCGGGGAGAATTGAAGCAGCAGAACAGCAGGGTCGCCTTCTGGGACAGAAAGGAAACCAAAGGGGATCACGACCGCTGCACAGACGAGGAAAAAGAGATAGGAGGAGAATGGACTGGAGGAGTAGGTAGCAGTGGAGTTGTGGTGGTGGTGGTGGTGGTAGTGGGAAGAAGAAGAAAGGTTTGGAACTTGGGTTTGGTCTAGTCTCGTCTGGTGGCTCACCTCACCCCGTGTGTGAAACGGAAGTGAAAAAAAGGCGAGCTGGCGATGGCAAACAAGGAGAGAAGGAGATTGGCCCCGGGGTGGGAAGATTGGTGAGGTGAGAGAACGGAGCGCGGCAGGGTGGTGAATTGGTGAATGGGGGTGGTCAAGCAAGGAGGGATGGCTTGGATGGATGGGATGCAGCACCGGCAGCAGGAGGAGGGGCCCTTTGGGGGGGTTCGCCCCCTAAAGTGGAGGAGCAGGAGAGGCACAATGCGTTAAACGGCAAGGTACCTTACCTGAATAGACCAGGGGCCCGTCCCATTTCGATTTAGCACCCACTGTAGGTACCTCAGTAGCCAAATTAGTAGTGGGCTAATACCTCCAGACAAGGATACAGGCCCCCTCCCGAAATGGAGCGGCATCCATGGGGGTGGAAGGGGGAGGGGAGGAGAGGACAAAAAGACATTCTACAAGTATCATTGTACGGAGTAGACCACTGAAAGATCACCTAGACGCGGATGCCGGATGGGGGCCACGGCAGCCAAACCGAGGCCGACAGAGCCATCAATGCAGCAAGACGAGAGCGAGGATCTACAAGTAGATGGAAAAGGTGCTTGTATTGTACCGAGTAGCTACGTGCCTAGCCACTGAACATCGTGGGGACCTTTTTAGAACTGAAATGGGCTCACCGTCTCCGTACGCTTTATTTGTACAAGTACTATGCCAGGTTGGCCCCTGTTTCTTGAAGGCTTTTATTAGGAGTAGGTAATATTCGCGAGAGGTACAAGAATCTGCGATGAGGGCACTGCCTGAAACGCATTCTACTTGTAGGCTGTTCTCGAGCCACCAAGTGCTAGGAGAGAGAGTGGAAGTACTTGTCAACAGAAGCCATCCGGATCACCATGCATGCAGGCGTATGCTAGCCATCCTGCATTGCTTCCCACTCCGGGCTGGTCAGCACGCAATTCCTCGGCTGGGACCTCAGTTATGTGGGCTGTCTCAGGACAACTACCTCTGAGAGTAGCTTCAGTAGTGGGTTGTATCAGAATCTCTGACAGTCTAAAAAGTTAAAGTATGCAGTGCTGGGCAATAGCAGAGCCGCCGGGCATCCTGCTGTTTACTTGTACCTCAACTTGGCAATCAACATGGATGGGAGGGGAATCGACTTCACATCGAAAATGTCAGAGTCCGGCCTGACCTCAACTTGGCAGTTGCTTTTCTCTGCGGGAAGCCGTGGTAAGCCGTTTTCCTTCTAGCCTGGTTCCAAGCTCGAAGCAAGCAGCCGGTGCCGCCGGAGCTGAAGGACGATTTGCAGCATCTAGAAGCCATGGCGGGCCTGGGAAAAAGCAAAGTCAGTCCAGATTGTCCCAGTAGCTCGCCTTCACCGTTCGCTGCCGTGCGCCGGCTCGGGGGCTAGCGATGCAGGCCAGAGGTCTTTGGTCATCTGGATCCCCCCCATCGGTTCGCTGCTTTTTCTTACCTCCGGATTAGCACATCTCCATCCGGCATCCTACTTACTGTACAAGTAGAGACAGATCTCTTGCGAGCGCACCGATTGCAGTCCAGCATCCGACCGAAGAAAAGAGGGGGCGCAAGTTGCAGGTTAGCAGAGCCATCATGGCGTCGTTGCAACCCACCCTCCGACCTGTTCTGAAATGAAACCTCCTGACCAGTGAGCAGCCCATGTCCCTGTCCATAATATTGTCTTCTTCTTAGTGTGCACTGTCAAGCAGCTCGAACGCATCCACCCACATCATCTTGCGTCCAATTTCTGCCCGCACAGACCCTGATCTTCTCCGCAGTAGCGTCTACCTAGCCTGCGACGGCCGCGCCGAGCCTTTTAGAGGTCTCCACGACTTCCGCTTCTTCAAAGTATTCAAGCTGTGTACCGGCCGATGTTTCTCATCCCGAGCGAGTGTCTGCTGAGCCAAGGAAGGATGATGATGAGGATGATGATGAAGGAGACTCTGCAAATACCTGAATACTGACCAGCTTCCGATGTCATGTCCTCAAAGCCAAAGCCGTGGTAAGATATCCTCCAATGACGAGGAAGTTCACTATTCTACCGGTATCCTAGGTTGACGGTGGATCACACTAGCCCCCAGAAATTGAAAGGTTAAGTTAATACAGAGTACAAGTAGTTACAGAGAACGGGCGCTGATCTCTTCATCGCCATCTCTCGCTGATATCCGAGCTGAAAAGAATGAAGGACGAATTCCGCAAGGCTGGTAATGTATATGATCCAACGAACGCTCTGAGCTAGATCAGTAGGCATGCTATCAAATTCGGGACGACGCTTGCCTTCGCATATGACTGCATGCTGTAACAGGAAGTCAAGAAACACAGGCTATGATTGTTCGGAGAATTGTCTGGACTGACGTGAGAACGCGCCTTCCGGGAACTAGCTCACCTGTGGTCCAACAACTGTCGTACTCCGTGCAGCCTTGTTTGTGCAAACTTGCGCCTCGGGACGGGGTAGCTGGCTGTTGAGCTGGCAGATCAAATGAACCGGGCCGTTCTAGAAACCTCAAAATCCTCCGGGCCGCACAAAGACCTGACGTAGCCTGAAACACCTCTCAATTAACCGGTATGCGCCAGGGACATGCCAAAGTGTGATATCGCTGGATGCAAAGGATTCGAAATACCACCTATCCTACCTGTCACCAGCCCATACATATCACGACAAATGCCAGCCCTGAGTTCTCCCGTAGTATCCCACAACACCGGCCCACTGTCGACTTTTGCTGGCTCTTCGTGTGTCGTGATACGCTGGTACGATGTGATGTGCGGCCATGCACCCTTGGCATCACACAAACTGCTCTTGACAAGGCTTCCCCAGCTTGCGTGCTTGCTCAGGATCAAATCTCGCTTCGCCAGGTCCATTGGCAGTGAGTGGATGTTTAGTGGTCCACAGCGGACGATTACCAGACCAGGACCCCCGGAAAAGCTCTACCAGCAAGGACAGCCTTTGCCACATGGATTTTGCCCACATGCGAGCTGTTTATTCTCCGTCGCGATCCTGGTTGGTACAGCGATCACGATAGCTCGGTTCAGCGAAAGTCCTCCGATGAGGTGTAGTGTAGATCAAGGCTTACTTCGTACCACTGAGGCAGAATCACCAGCACTGAGGTACAAGGTCTGGCTCTCCCTCAATCGATGAGCATTGCTCGCCCGTACACCCCTTTCCGCCCGATGACAGCACAGTACGGATCAAGACAGACGGAGCCCAATACGGACTTGTGCATGGCTACCCTGTGAGCGTACGCTGTCCCCGATTTGCACCAAGCACAATGTGATCATTTTATTCAAGTGGAGTCTCGAATGATATGTGGACAAACTAGGGACGAAACGGGATATGTTCTAGAAGATGAGGAGGACATGAAATGCATTTGTCAGGGGCCGTTTTACCCCTGAATCGGTTGCTCGCACCCTTGTCGACAAGGCTGGGGTGCCGAGTGGCCAGTGAAAAGCGAGAGACTATGCAGACACGCCCCTGGTCCCAAAACGTTCAAGACGCTGAAGAAATGAAGGTGTGGGCAATTTGGTACATCGTAGGCGGCGCCGAGTCTGCTTGTTACCAGAATCAACTTTGTACGCAATACGGAGACGTACAATGTCTCCATAATCAGAGGTAGCCGCTTGATAAGCGGGCAATCTAATCGCCCGACCCCCTGCACACACAAAAGATACTTCTGCTCAAGGCTTATTGTGCCTCAAATCTAAGTATCAAAAATGAGTCTCCACTAGCCTAGAAATATCTCCACTAAGTCTCTACTAAGAGGCTTAGAGAGGTCTTGGCAGTCTCTTATTCTTAGAGAGAATTAGAAGCTTTTCTTTAAAATAACTTAGTCACTTTAGATTATTTTCTTAAGAAAAAAATCATATATATAAAATAAGATATAAGGTATTTTATAGAATTTTTAAAAAAAGATATTCTTAAGATCTTACTAGAGAATTTCAACTTCTTAGAAATTTAGCAGTGCAGGGGGTCGGGCGAGGACCCACGGACAGGGGGTCGGGCGATTAGACTGCCCGCTTGATAAGCTCCGCGCTTCAAATATCCAAATTGTTTTGGTCCGAGGTTCGCTCAAGACACATTGGTTGACAGACCAAATGCATGATTCTTAGATAGTCGCCCATTCCACTTCCAACACAAAAGCTAAGGCCATCTAGTGACCTGAATAAGAGACATCCTTTCTTAACTCTTCTCATCCTATATAGATTTCCATCCTCGACTTGAAGGAAGGACCTGGCAACTGTCTTTTCCACCTTTTCTCAAGCTCTGAAGCAATCTCCACCTCCGCCTTGGTGCTGATTCTCGCAATATGGTTGGCTGGCGCCTCCTTAGACCGCTCCTCGTGCTCCGTAGTTCAGCTCGTCTCGGTCCCTGACCCGGACCGGCTTCAGCTCGGTGCATGCGCGCGCGCGTAGTGTAAACCATTTGAAGGCGTGCCGTTTGCCTCACCTTGGTCGTCGCAAACCGCCATAAACACTGGCGCAAGTCTGCCGGCTGTCGCACCGTCTTTGATCAGTATTGCAAACTTGCGGCCATGGCCATCCCTCTGACGCGTCTTGGCGAGAGAGGTACGTGTCTTTCTTGCGCTGGATGCGCCGCGCGCGCATGGTTGAATCTGCCTTCGAACCCCGCTTCCGGCCCCGGACGTCCATTGACTGACGACTGCCTCCGATCCAGCCTTTAATCACAGTCCCGGCAACGATGCCGAAGCCGAGTATGATCGCCTGAGGGATCTGGCCCGGCAGGAGGCCGCAAAGCGCAACGCATGCTTTGACAAGGTATGCTTTCCCGCCTTGAACCATATCCGATCGAGGTCCTTGTTCCCAGCGCGAGTTGCGCCAATGGATCGAGCGATTCTCTCGGCACACTTTTCTGTGCTTCTTGACTGACATGCCGACCCCCTTCCACCAGGCGCACCAGGCCTACGAGCGCGGCGACGGCGCCGAGGCCAAGAACCTCTCCAACGAGGGCAAGCGCCACGACGCCGCCATGGATGACTACAACCGCCAGGCGTCCGAGTTCATCTTCCGCGAGAACAACGCGCCCGGGCGCGTGGCCGGCGACACCATCGACCTGCACGGCCAGTTCGTCGAGGAGGCCGAGCGCATCGTCGAGGCGCGCATCCGCGACGCCCGCGCCCGGGGGCAGACGCACCTGCACGTCATCGTCGGCCGCGGCAACCACAGCACGGGCCACGTGCAGAAGATCAAGCCGGCCGTCGAGCGCGTCTGCCGCGACCTGGGCCTGCAGTGCGCGACGGAGCAGAACGAGGGCCGCATCTACGTCGACCTCCAGGGCGGCGCCGTCAGCGGCGCGCCGCCCCTGCCGCAGCAGCCCGCCGGGCACCAGGGCGGGTATCATGGTGGATATCCTGGGCAGGGCCAGCCGCAGCACCACCAGCAGCAGCAACAGCAGCAGCCGCAACAGCAGCAGGACGACATCCTGGGCTTGCTTTGCGGCACTGTGCTCAAGAAGTGCTGCGTTGTCATGTGAAGGATCTTTACTCGATTCAGGCCGTGTTTGGTCGTACATACTTTGGAACGGGAAACGGGATGTTCTTCCAGGAGTACAAGTGTTAGGATACCCATTTGTGAAAGACGGATGCTTCCATCGCAGAAGGGTGCTGGACTCAAGTATTTATGTAGCTAGATATAGACACTTGTGGTTTGGACCCTATGATGCTTGCCATTAGCATCGTGCTGGCAATTACAACGCGCTCGGGAGCGGTCGTGCCTTCTCGTTCGGCACACTCGCAACCAGTGTACATTTGGAGAATGGACTGTTGGCAATTTGCCTCAAGGCTCCCTTGTCGCACTTCTACACTTCTCTATCCCTGATGACGACTCTCGTACGTGAGCAGCCCTTACACCGTAGCCGGCCCGAGACCTAGATTTCACCAGTATTGTATTCACATCTTTCTTGACAATCGAGGCTTAGCCAGACCAGCATTTCACGCCTACACTAAGCACCGGACCAGTTCATCAGCCCGGATGCTGGGCATAACTGCGACGCCATCGACCACATAGTCTCCTGAAAAGCCAAGTTCAAACCGAAGATGTTCTGGAAGTCAAAGAAACAGGCAATCGAATCCTACTCTGGTCTGACCACAGACCAATTGCAGCTCGCTATCCTGGCGCTGTTGACTCTGGTACTATTCTGCCAGCTTGCATTCTTCCTGCACCAGGTGTGCAAATCAAAGCCAACATCACAGGGAGGTCCGACTTCATCACAGAAACCTACTACAGAGGAGACAGAGGAGAGCAAATCTCAGTCACCACACTCTCCTGGAACAGCCGACGGCGATACGACTCCAAGTCGTGCGAGAAGCTTCTCTGTAGCAACGCAAACGAAACATATCAACCCGCGAAGGATCTCATTCGCACCCCCGAGCTCACTAGCGAAAACGCGAAGCGCTTCGGACGAGTTTCGGCCCCCTATCCATTCGCTCAAGTCTACATTGAGACTAAATGAAGTGCCGCCGGTCGAAGCGGAACATCCTGCCACTGAGAAACGAGCATCAACGACACCATCATCGACCGGCTCTCAGCCGACGCCAGCCAGAAGGGGATCGGAGAAACGATGGAGCATGCTAGACGTGGATGGATCGGACTTCTGATAAGATCGACTACACAGGCGTCCCTGGAGAGGTGTAGATGTATATCAGTTCTATTGGATGGTATTGCTAGTCGTGTCTAGACACGGAAGGAAATAATGACCAAGGCGTAAGCCACTGACTTGAAAGACGAGTCCGGTCTCAGTCTATCACCGTCGGGCGCACCCGTGCATCTCAGACATGTTTTTGTACACTGCAAGTTGCTCATCTCGAGATCGGCGCTTTCTTGCCCTCTCGAGATGTCGTTGTCCGTCTAGGCCCCTTTCATGCCTGCTTGCGGATCTCCTTCGCAGCCTGCTTCAGGTTCCAGTTGCACTCCTCGTACGCCCGTCCCGCACCAAAGCCAGCACCGACGAAGGCAGGCCAAGCTCTCCGCCTGAAGAGAAGGACTGAGAAGACGACGCCGAATCCGAGACCGAGGGTGGACTTGATGAGGAGGTTGGACAGGCAGCGGTCCCACTGCATGGTTGTTAGCACCGTCGTTACTTTGCGGAAAGGTACAATCCATCACCGACCTTCTCGTTGAGAAGTGCCTCGCTGACAGGTCGTGCGACCACGGCAGTCGCCGGCGTTTGGGGAGCTGAAGTCGTCTCGGGCATGTTGGTCTAGAGCTGGGTAAACGCTTCTATTAGCACAGTTGAATATCCGAAGCTGATAGCATCTCTCACCTCTGAGCAATTGGCGCAATTGAAGAGCGGGTTATCAAGGTAGAATGCGACAACTGTTCGACCAGGTTCGGGTATGATGTTATTTTCCCCCCAAAAGCTAACTCGAGTCTGGCGCTCCAGCTCGGCAGGACCCGGTCCACACCCGAAGGCGGTGAGCCTAGTGACAGCCTCTCAGGAATTGTGGGGCTTGAAAGAGCCGGCAGAATTCCAAAAAATTTAGGGACCAGCCAGAGCTTCGGTGTACCTGACTGGCGGGGAAAGTCCAGCCCATGGATGTTGTCTTGGAGATTGATCAAACCGGAGAGAAAGCACTTTGGGTGCTCAATGCGCAACGACCTAGGGAGTGCCTAGCTGAACCCGGGGATCACAGTCAAGGTATGATCGAATTTCTACCCTGGCAGCATCAGTCTCTCCCTTCCTTTGGCTAACGCAGGCTCATAAAGATGGCGCTCCAAACTCTTGTGCAGACCGCGAGGTCGCTGGACCAGAATGATACACGAACAGTCCCCGACAAATTATCGCAGGTATGGGAAGCATTATCTGGATCACCGGCCGGCTCATTCCATGCACCAGAGGAGGTCATACTTCGTTGGCTGTTGAAGAACATGCAGGGAACCTCAGCGGACTCGGAACTATGTCGACGGTTCCCCATGACGTGGGACATTATGGCCTGCATATTCCAGAGGATGCCAATGTTCTCTCTAGCAAAGGTTCTGGCAGATCGCAAGTTTATTCATGTTGTGACGCAGACTGCGAAGGACGTTTCGAAGCCCCAGAAGACACCAGCACCAAAGGATGAATCGTCCGACACAGTGATGGCAGATGCGCCAGAGGCCAGCGACAGCCCGAATAAGCGCAAAAGGAAGAGGTCCCCTCTGGTCGCATTTGACCTAGATTGTCTGCGGGCGAGAGAAGGCTGCCTTAAGTCGGCCGAATCACTCTTCACAGCCCTCCAACCGCTCCTGAAACGCGTCGAGTCGATTGAGCAGGCCTCTCCAGAGCAGAAGATGGGCGCAGAGCACATCCGATCCCTCTTTTTCCTTCCCGCCACCGAGACCTTGGAATACCTTGTTCCACTGGCACGTTGTTGCGCTTCTGCGTTAGGTGGTCACGAGGCTGGAACTCTGGAGAAGCAAGACACCTGGGTCGCAACTATCAACTCCATATGGGATCTACACCTTCAGAACCCGGCTGATCCTGCTCAAGTTGCTATAAGCATGGCACCTGTATCTCTGGTTATGTTGGCTAAACTCAGAGGTATTCCAAAAGCCTGGGATATCTCAGTCAGTCCTGAAGTCCGAGATGCATGGGCAAAGGCACTCGAGCGGTTCCTGATGCACAACACAATATTGCCAGCGCGAACTGGCGTGATATCTCGCAAGGACAGTCAGGTTCTCGCAGATGTTGCGGCTGTAGGGCCATCTGGGCAAGCTACTACCATCTCTGCTATGCTCTTCCAGTTGGCGATACAGGCTTGCCAGTCGAGTACACAGGCGAGCGCACGCAAGAGCAATGAGGAATGGATCCAAGGGGCTTTCGATGTCGTCGAGGAGCCCCTTCGCAGCATTGATCTCGCCGAGAGGAATACGGTAGTGGGTTTCATTCTCGACTTAGCAGCCAAGAGCAGGCAATCACCATCGCTCGAAAGTCTGCGGTCGGTTTGCACACGCTATGCACTTCAAGACGACAGGACCGACTGGAAATTGATCTCAGAGATTGCACAATGCGACGCTGATGCCTTCTTAGTCTCTTCCAAGGGCGCTGATCTTCTGGATACGGTTTTACAGCGAGTACAGAATGCGGCAAATGAAGAACAAGAACCAATAGCAGACTTTCTAGTGGCTCTGGCGAATGGATTCGCCAGATCCCGAGACCTCTCAGGATTCATCAAGAGATGGTACTCGAACTTGAGTCACCACAAGTCCGAAGGATCGAAGACTTCCTCTGGCAGCCACATTTGGCTCCATGGCAAATTAAGAAGCGCCGTGGCCAGCCTCTTGCAGCCTTCCCTGACAGTCCAACAGCTGCTATCTCTTGTGGACTGGATCGAGTCTCAAGAAGCGTCCTCGACGGAGACGGTCAGATTGGTACTTTTCGACACCGTGGCTTGTGGCGTCGAGAGTGAAGACTTTGTTGATGCAGTCGGGACGAGACTTTTTGACACCACTTTTGAAGCAACAAAAGGTGTAAAGAAACGCGAACTTCAAGCCATGCGATGGCGTGTTGCAAGGAAGGCGCTTTCTTGGATCGACACAGGAGATGCACGCCGGGTTTGGAAAGACATCAAGAAACCCTTGAAAAAGGCCCTGACAAACTCGGATATCGCGGAATTTGAGACCTTCGAGGCTTTTCGTTGCGCCCTTGTAGCATTCGACGCACTCAAGTATGTTGAGAAGGACGAAGCTGATGCCAAGAAGGTGGTTTCGGAATTCCTTGCTCGATTTGGCGGCGAATTGACGGCTTGGATATCGCAAGACAAAGATCAACGCGTTCCATCTACTGCTGAGGAGCTAGAAGCACTATCCTATCAGGGTGCTGCTAGTTTATCTCCAGGCGTATACTTGCTGGCGACTGTGCATGGGTCGCCCAATCTTTTGAGGTTTGTCCACCACCAGTCTTGATCAGTATGATATACTAACTCGACCAGTTCCATCACGAGAGGCGATAAGGAGAGCAGCGGCTTGCTCGGCTCATTCTTCACCATCATTGAGCAGCACAATGCTTCGCAAGACTACGACGAGCGATTTGCATCCCAGATGTTGGAACTGATGCTTACCAAACTGGAAGTCGAACACAATCAGGGAATCATAGGTTCGTCACAGTCTGTGAAATCGAGAATGTGTGGAATCCGGATAACTAACACCAACAAGAACGTGCCGTAAATGTCTTCATTGCTTCCCTGGACGCTGGCAAAAATCAAGGTCTTAAGTCAAAGAAGACCGTGTCTTCTGTGGACTTGTTATTGGGACTGCCGTCGCACATGATACTGCGAGGATCACGAGAACTTATCATGAGTTCTCTACTGGCTCTCGTCGACTCATCGGCAAAGGAGACTGAGAGCGAGGCCACCCCGTCAGACTGGAGATCGATCCTGAGCCTGATGGTTCGTGTAATGAGGGATCCCACATTTTACGAGGTATGAATGTACGCGGTGCCATGATAAAGTCTTGCTGCTGACCATTGAACAGGGCATGAAATTCAAGGATCTGGTCAGCCTAGGCGAAATTCTTGAAGATTCATTGCCCAGGTCTCCTCTTTTGGATTCACTGAAGATCCTCGCTCTGTTCAAGGAGCTGGTCAAACTTACGATTAGGTAAGTGGTCCAACAGCCATTATGCCCGACCCGGACCGAGGATCATTGTTGACTGTCGCAGGCAAATGCTCACAACTGTGAACGACCGTGAAGCTGAATACTTCCGCGGCCTCGCCAAAGCAACATCGAAATGGAGCAAGAAATCTTCGTCGTCTCCATTGTCACGAAGCACCATTCTGAACGGTATTTACTCCGCTATCCTCGAAGTGCCGGCATCACGAAGCATGATTCAGGAGCACATCGACGTCGAAAGAATCAAAGAGCAATCGGCAACTTTGGTATCGGATGCTTTGCATCGTTTCAAGAAGTCGTTGAAGAAGGGGGACGTGATCCGCGAAGAGGACGCACAGTTGCTACCAGTCTTCATTGCACTAGAGCACTCTCAACCACGTAATGACTTGATTCAACAATCGCGCGTGAGCGATGATGTTACAGATCTTGAGGCGGCAAGCCGCAGACTATGTGCCAAGGGCCTCAAGATTGGTTGGATACTCAGGACGTTCCTCGACTCTTACTTCCCTCAGCAAGTTGGTCAAGCTGGGGCGACTGATCCCAGTCATCTATTTGAGTCTCATGCTGCTATTGGCGGCACAGACTTATCTCTATTTTACGCACCTATGGATCTCTTGTGCCAGTCCGTGGGTGCTGTCACGAACGGCATGGACGGTAAATCCAAGTTGGAATATCTCCAGCAATTGATGAGCGACACGAAGGATGGAGGCCACGGCATTGGAGAACTGGTAGCCGCCGGTCAAGTAATTGAACAAGTGGCTGGGGAGGCAAACGAAACATTTGACCTCGCTTTGGCGCAGAGCATACTCACTCAGCATCTTCAACATACTCACTCCCCAGTCGAGTCGAGCATGCTCATCGAGATGATCTGCAAAATTCTCAACAAAGGTTCCTCGTCCACGACACAATGGAACATCGACTACCTGCTCAACACCGTATGTGCAGTATCTGACCAGCGGGCCAAAGCTAAGGGAGCGACGGGCCTCTCACCCGCCATCCACAGTGGTCTTTGCAGCCTCGTTGAGACGATTATCAAGCGCCACAGGCTGCGCTTGGAGGGCCATTTCCACCTGCTCGTCGCAACATTACAATCGCTCCTGCAGTCCTTGATCATTGGCTCTAACACAACAAGTCGAGCACCGGACGGCGCCATAGACGGGACCCCTGGCTCGCCAACGTGGCAGCAGAGTGCTCGCCAGGTCTCGCGGCTGCTGGAGCTCGTCTGCGAGCCGACGGTGGCGTCCGTGACGAGGTCGCAGAAGCCGAAGCTGGACTCGGCGACCGACGCCGCGAAGCGGTCCGCCGGCCAGTACATGTACCTGGTCCTCATGCTCTACATCAAGCTGCAGCTGGAGCAGAACGTGCCGCACCAGCTGCGCGAGGCGCTCGAGCCGGGCTTCTTCTCGATACTGACCGTCACGGCGGAGAGCAGCCGCAAGGTCATGAACGACGCCATGGACGCGAGCGGCAGGGCCATCTTCAGGGAGACGTACAGGAAGTGGCAGAGGTTTGGGAAGTGGAAGGGCATCTAAGACGGTGGAAAGAGCCTGCCTTCTTTGACGGTTGTGGCATTTGGAGACATAGCTACCTCAATCAAGCCCAGATTAAAATGAAGCACTATCATGAATGAATCTCATTGCTGCATGAATTTGTGTTGAAGCAACAATCAAATCTGACAGACTAGCCCATGGCAAGGGCATTTCGGCATTCATCAAGGGCCACATGATGAACAGGAGCGTTAACGGTCCTTGCGTTTGAAAGTCTTTGGAAGAAGAGGAGTTTTCATTATGGTCATTTAAGGCCACTATAATTTGAACAAGTTTGCTACACTATAAGCTTAACACTGGTGCGGGTTTCTTAAAGCAATAGTATTTTTTTTATTAGTTTTTGCTACGAACAAAGCAATACCTGCCGAGTATATCATGGCCTTTAGCAACTCCGCCAGCTTTGGTTATGACTGGATGTCCTAAGGGATGTCTCATCAATTCTCTGTCTCTTGATAGTGCTAGGAACGGCCTCCAATATTCTGAAGGGATTTCATTTTCTATCTACCCTCTATACCTTGCCCCCTGTCTTTCAATTCACCGACGGCTAGATCAGCAAGCCCACCAGCCCATACATGTACGGTCCCGTTCTCTCCCTGTGTCTCCCGTCGCCGTAGAACACTTGGCACCACCTTCAGGTTCCGCCTGTATCCGAATAGTGAACCGCTCTTCTGGCCGGGGCCTTCCTCACACTCACATGGCCCCCGACCAAGGGGCAAAAGAACAAGCCCCTTCCAACCCCTCAGCTTCCTCTCACAGCATAACCTCTGAAGACCCGGCGACTCAGGCCCTCTCCGGGTCAAGGCTAACGACCGCCATCCTGCTGAACGCTGGACTTGGCGGTGGAGCATCCTCCTCCAGTCGCCGCCAGACTTGGCTGATCACACGACGCAACGGTGGGTTGGGATGCTGCTCTCCGTGACGAAGGGCACCGAGTCAGCATGCCCATGGCGTCGACCCCGTCTGGAGGCAGTGATCTACTGAGAAGGAACCGGAATACGACTAGTCTCGGTCCTTCTCGTCTGATGCCTCCTCGGACCAGCGCTCCTGGGAGGAGGTACCTAGGCATCTTCGGACGCCATGGCAGCTGAAGCGGTGGGCTTCACGACGCCGGGGTGGATCCCTCTTGCCATGGTCCAGGGGGGGAAGAAGGTGTCGTCCACCTTTGAGGTCCTGTACAGGGCCTGGTCCACCACACTCGCTGACGAGATCACGGCGTCATTCTCCTTGGGCAGGGTGGGCGGAGCAGTCTCGGATTTCGCTCTCCATGACAAAGTCCGCTCGTCCACAGGGGCTGCTCCGCCACGGGCAGGATTGTACGTAAGGTACTTCTTCCTAATTCTGTTCCCAGTCGAGACAGAGAGTTGAGACACCACTGGAGTGCCTGAGAGGGTAGCATCGCGCTGGGCCTGGAGAATCTGACGGTGCATAGGTGTCCTCTTTCCGCAGCCTCGGTCTTGTGGAACAGAGCGAGACAGGTCTTCGTCCGAACGCAGATCCTCTGGAGTTGGGTGATGAGGAAGCTGGTCGAAGGAGCCAATGAAAGGAGATGGCTTGCGCTTCTGCTTCTTTCCCAAAAACTTCCGGAAAGGGCCGGGCTCCTCCTCGAGTCTCATATCACGCTCAAGCTGTTGAGCTGCCTTGGTTTCTCGGCGTTGCTCTTCACAGCGCAGTGCCCTCTCCATCTTACGGGCCTCTCTCACAGCATCATCCTTCATTTGGATTTTGCATTCACCGCACAAGTCATGTTGCAGTCCAGTCAATTCCTCAAAGAGGACGCAACCACACTTGTCTACAACTCTGTACACTCCCCCATGCTCGCAGCATTTCGGGGTCATGGTGCCCTCCTCATATCCACCCCGATAGCAATTCGCCTTGATTTTAATGCTCATGACTGTTTCTATTCGGTCTCTTTGGCTTTATTGAATCGAGGTATCTTGCTCGCTCTAGGAAGGGTTCAATCTTTAGTTTGGGTCTTGATGTCGGGGATGATCGCATACGCGAGCTGTACATGCGACATTCCTGTTAGCCAGGCCATTCCTTTCCCTTTAAGTTCCATGATCTCGAGGACATAATTAGAAGAGATGGTACCTTCAGTTCCGTTACTGAAACCAATAAAATCTTCCTAATGATTGATGTTGGAAAAGGAAAACAAGGAACACCTCGTAATCTTCGAGCGGCATCATGACCTTATACTTCTGCACTCCAGGAATAACTCTTGAATAGTATCTCCGACATTTGTAACAGCACAAGAGCATTGTTCGACATTACCGCCTTTGACGAGCGTTCTGTGGCGTTTTTTCTTTGTCAATCCCATCGTTTCTTTGTTCGAATTAAACAACACAACCGACTTATGACAAGTGACAGCATGCCCGAAATACTTGAATATCAACATGAATGAGTCAGATGTCCGTGATTGATTCTTTGCGAACGGAGTTCTTGTTGTTGTCTTTGACTTCCAGCAACGTGGCATGTTCAAGGAAGAAGAGATTGGAATGAATGCCCCAGTGAACGCCCTCATCTGGATCGGCTGCGAGAAAAAATCAGGCTTTGACTTGAGAGCTCAAGCCACATATTCCAGAAAAAAAGAGAGGGCGAAATGTCTTTTGAGGTGCTGTCGAGCCTGTATGCGCTTAGCTATGGTATGTGCAAGGTTAATGCGTCGGGCCAAAGCCTCCCCGCGAACGCCAGGAAGGAGAAACATCTCTCTGGCCTGATGCGTTCACGATGTTCTCTGGATATTCAACTGGAATTTGGGAATTAATTATGAGGATGAGAACGGGTTTGATGTCGCCAATCTCTCGAACGTCTTGGAGAAACGCCAGTGTGTTGCCCAATCTAATTGTGGTAGCAAGACTGGGAACAACGGTACCTGAAAATGGCAGAGAGACCTGGAACAATAATACTGTGTTTGAAGTAGTTGCCTTCCTTCGTTTGCCAGTGACAACACAGCTGCAAGATCAGTACTCTCACTGCCATGCCTTAAGTGAACGCAGTGTTGTTACGGAACACCACAAACTGGTCAGAACCATGGGTCACAGGCGTCCAGCCAGCAATACAGTGAATGCGATGGGAGTTCCTGAACATTCTATATATTAATTTTATCGTCAAAGAAACCTGCTACATGTTCGTCACCAATAACTCTGGGTGCATCTAAGTGTTTTTCTCTTTAAATAGAGGCAACTCCTTCGGTGCTCGCAACCACAGACTTTCATCTCCCATCGAGACTTGCAACATTTTTCGCATCCTAGTATCATTCATCAAGACGCAGCATCGTTCATCGGATCTCAACGGCCTATATCGTCAGACTTTTGTCCAACCTCACCCATATATGATTAACCACCATGTGTATCCAAGTACACCAGACTTACACCTGCAAGGACATCAAGGGCAACACGGTCCAGCATAAGCGAAGCTACATCATACGCTGCTCGACCCCAGACTGGACCAGACACTCCCAGCCCTGCCTTGAAGCGCTCGACGAGCTTCACCAGGTGTACGAGATCCAGTGCCCAGACTGCACGGGCGAATCAGCAGAGCAGGGAGGACGGGGCCTGGTCGACGAGGAGTTCATCGACTTCGCCGACAATGGCGACGATGACCCCGAGGACACAATGACGTCGAAGACCGCCTTGGCGGTCCTGCATTACTACTTGGCTCTGGCGCGACTTCTTGTTGCCGAGCTGAGCGTTGTGTTGCTAGAATGTAACATCGGTCGAGACAGGGATCGAGTGTTGCAAGTCTTTGATGCCACCATCCCGGAAATCTTCTGCCGCTTCAATCGCACCCACGACTTTGGTGGCATTTTTCTCGGCCTTCAGTGCTGCAACGGAACAGGTCACCCTGAATTATCGAACATTGCCTGGGCCGTTCGTCGTGTGAGGGCCGTCAATGCCTTTTACATCCTAATGAGTCTGTTTAGAAAAGATGAGCGAGGGGAGTACACCTTCGCGGACGAGGCATTCCCGCTTGTAATGGAGCCTGGTCGTCGGGCAACGGACCTCCAAGGGGTCTATGCTGAAGTTGAAGATACGATAGTAGCCTTGGGGACAACTCGTAACCCCCACGGTTCCTCTCACACAAGTGATCCGGAGAACCCCTTTTCCCTACACAACGAGCCATACACCGCGGCGGAGATTGACCAGCGGTACCGCTTGCTAGTGGCTAGGCTGGGAGCAGTCCGGCAAAAGTTCGGCTCGTATTTCGAGGGCTTCGACTCTCCGTCACTGTCCGGTCGTCCAAAGGAGAGGCTCCTGTGCCGTGCGATGGACATCCTCACCAGAGACGTTGGGCTCTCAGTGAAGAAGATGCTAGGAGTCTTTGAATGCTTCCTGCCCATGATCCTTGCCAAAGAGTACAGGAACCCGGAGGAGTTGGAGAATAATCAACTCGCTCATACGGATCTAGCGAAGGTGGCTGAGGAGTTCGAGGCGTCGGGATTGGAGATGCCAAGTAGGGAGGAAGAGGATTTCTCGAGCTATTACCGCGAGTGGGAGCGTAAGATCAACCACTGGGTGATAGATGAGTATCGGGGCCAGATTCAGGGGGAGATGGCAATCGTCGAACTAGGCAAGGAAAAGGTCGACGCCCTCATCCGCGATGGGGAGAGTTGCTGCATCTGCGGCGAGGAATACCTGCAAGAGGGCACAGTGGTGGAGGAACCAGTCCGCCTCCGCAACTGCCAGGCAGATCACCACGCGGGAAGGCGGTGCCTCATCAGGCTGGCGGCAACGACTCACGCTGACTCCGAGGGCAGGAAGGTGGCCAGCTGCCCTATGTGCAGAGCGCCTTTCGTATCAGATGACCCGCCGAAGGATGTAGCATACCTAATCTAGACCGCTGGAACTGCAAGTACTGGATGCTTGGAAGAGCTTAGGGTTTTCAGACATAGATAGGGGCATGAATCAACCTACTAAGACGTCCCTTGCTGACTTTTGGATACAACAGAATTTTATGAGGCATTCCTATTTCTTCTTCTTGGAACTGCCTTGTTAAGGATACGAGTGAAGCTGTGTATGGCATATGACTTGCAAGCCAATGTCCACTCCTGCCTCTGGATGCCCATGGGGCCCTGTCCATCCGTCCCCTTGCCGAGCTGAGGTACGACAATTTGGATGGAACCTCATCGTTGACAAGGCAGCTGAAGGTTCTCTATTGAGCTTCGTACCGGGGAGTCGGCCGCACTTGAACACCGAGAATTCCAATAGAGTGAATAAGCAGTAGCAACTTCAGATCAGGCCACGGAGTGACCCGGCGCTTATTGACGAGGCCACCTGGCCACACCTGTTCAGGCCAGCCGACTCACTAAGTTCATGATACCTAGATCACACACCGGTCTGAGGTGTCCCCTACCAACGGCGGCTAGTCGCCGACGCAGTGTGTATGCAAGTGTGCGTGCGTGTATCCCCGCGTCGAGTGCCGGACAGATGCCTAGAGGGCAGTCCTGCCACCCGGTTCGTCCGTCCAAACGGAAGGAAGGTGATAGCGATGCAGCCAGCTGCGAGGCAGGACACCCATCCCCCCTTGGGAGCGCTGTTATTCAGTCCTCTCGGGTGGACTTGCTGGTCGCTTGGAGGGACCGCCGATCCCTAGCCGTCTCGGGCCTAACGCGGAGGACGTTGGACAGCGTTGAGCCAAGAGAGTCCACTTCGACACTGGTCCAGCTCAAGCCAGCCCTAGAGGGCCACACTAAACGGGCAATCCATTCGTTGTCAAGTGGGCGCTGCCCGCGCCCAGTGCACCGGCTCCCCCCGCAGGATTGCTGACAAGGGGGTGGGCGGAAGCTGTCAGTGTTGCCCAGAGTCGCGCGCGGGGGACTGAGAACGGAAGGATAAAGAGCTGCGAGCTGGCGCACACACTTGTGACAAGGATCCGCGGCCCATCCGGCAGCCCTTCAGCTCCCAACTTGAGTGCCTCAGCGCCGTTCCTGGCCTAGCGCTGCCCGTTTTGTAGCCGTTTAATGTCGTTGATGTTGTCCAAGGTCGAATCAGGTCGCCGGCTACTCCACCCGAGAAGGCTGGAGACGGTATAAGTCCTCCTCTTCCCCGGGTGAGAGGGGAGGAGGGGGGACGAAAGGAGGAGAGGGGAAGGGTGAGATTCTTCTTTTGCATCCTATCCCTCTTTTGAGGTATATTGTGTTTGCCCTCTGCCTTCTGCTATACCCTCCAAGAGCCCGCGACCCAGCATCTGCAGAATCGTCGGAGATATTCCTCCAAGAATCCAGGGCAAGTGAGAGAGAGAGGCTGATGGTGTGGCGGCGTACCGATCTTACCTAGAGCTCGGGAAAGCCCGCATTGCTACCTCGAAAGGAATCCTTGGTTCGAGGCTTATTGCAAGCTCTGCTATAGGTCCAATCCCGGATCGTGAGCTCTCAAAAGGACACTACTTGGCGAGCCGAAGTAACCCAAGAGCTTGAAACGCCATGAATGACCTGCCGCCGCTTCAGCCTCAAGAAGTGCCCTGGCCGTCCATTGAGGACGTCGACCCTTCGGCGTTTGTCGTGCCCAGCTCGACGGTTCTCTTTGCCGCTCCCGGGGCTGTTCCCGCGGCGGCAATCCAGCAGCCTGTCGCGGCGGCGGCAGCAACAGCAGCAGCAGTCCCAGCGACAGCCGGGCCGAGTGGCGGAGCACCGGCAACAGCAGCAGCAACAGCCAAAGCTAGCGGTGCTCCTCCGGCCGCGGCGACGAGGAAGTGGGCGTCCGCAGAGGACTGGGAAAGACACAGAGCCATCATCTCGGAGCTGTACCAGCACAGAAGACTGAAAGATGTCGTCGACCACATGGAGCGGGTGTACGACTTTTATGCTACGTGAGTCCCTCTCCCCTTTTGGCCCTGTTTCTTGTTCGCGAGTGCCAAAACCCCTATGGTTCTCCACATTTGGCTCTTCCGCAGCCCTACAAAAGGACACTGCATCCGGGGATTGGAGGATCCGGAATAGGATCTCCGCCCACTGTTTGGACCTCAGCCCAGTAGCCGCAGCTGCAGCAGGGCCCTGGGGAAGACCGTGCTTATGAGGAGCTATGGGGAGCTGTGTGTAGCTATGGGCAGCTATGTGTAGCTGCAGGGAGCTATGTGCCTTTTCCTTTGCTTAGAGAACGGCCAAGTCGGTCTGCATGTTATCGGGCTACGGCCAGATAGCCTATGTCCTCCTATTCCAGAGATGGAAGATATCATTGCATTATAGAGTAACTAACCCGTCTCGCGGCCGTTCGCAGGGAGCGCATGTACAAGTTCCGAATCAAGACGTGGGGGCTGAAGAAGAACTATCGCGCCGACGCGGTGCAAAAGGCCATCCAGCGCCTAGAGCAGGGCCGCATACAAGAGGCCGACGGCGACCTGGCCGCCGGGGCCGCCCAGGACCTGCCCAAGCTCGACCTCCCCCGCCTGCAGCGCTACCTCCGCCGCAACCCGGCCGCCCTGCAGAGGCTGCGCCAGTCCCAGGGCGCCGGCACGGCCGAGATCACCATCCCCGAGCTGCAGGCCCTGCTCGCCAGCGCGGCCGCCAGGTCCGCCTACGCCTACGCTGCCTCGTCCTACGGCGCCGGCGCCGGCGGCAACAACCGCAGCGGTAGCAGCGGCTCCTCCAAGTCGCCCTCGCCTCCCTTCCCGCCCGGCATGGCACCGGCAGGGGCGGCGTCTGCGGCCTTCCACCGGCCCCTCCTGCCCAACAAGATGCGCGCCTCGCCGCAGCTCGAGGCGCCCGACGAGATCCTGCACCTGCTGCGCACCTACATCAACGGGTCCTACCGCGACGGCCGCACGCCCGAGCAGCTGGCGGGCGAGCTGACGGCCGTCGGCGACCGCGACGAGGTCATGCTCGACTTCGTGCTCAAGTTCCGCGCCGCGCATGCCATGATCGCCGAGCAGCAGCTGCGCGTCGGCTTCTACTGCCTGCGCGTCTGCTTCGAGCGCATCGAGAAGGTCCTGCGCGACGGCGAGGCCTGCGCCCGCCGCGTCCTGCTGCTCTACCTGCTCAACGCCGCGCTCGACGTCTCGGTCGACTTCGCCATGCCCGAGGTCGTCCAGATCCTCTTCCGCCACGTCCGCAGCCTGGCCGAGAGCCTGCTCGGGCCCAACCACCCGGCCGCCGCCATCGCCCGCCGCTTCAGCCAGCTCGATCCCTCCGAGCACGTCAGCGTCCTCAAGCTCACGCGCCGCCTCATCCGCGAGGACCTCGAGGGTTTCGAGACCGAGACCGAGACCAGTGGCGGCGGCGGCGGCGGGGGCGGCGGCAACGGCATTTCAGGCGCCACCGCCGGGAAGCAGCCCGGTGTCGCGGCGCCGGCCGACCTCGGCCGCAAGGCCATCAGCGAGCCGGCCCTGACGCTCTACAACTCGACGCTAGAGCAGTCGCGCGGGTCCGTCGAGGACATCGCCGAGGGGCTCGAGCGCATGCGTCTCAAGACGCACGAGGTCGTGCGCGACAACTGGCTGATCCGGCTGTGGATCGCCATGCGCGTCTCGGTCGCCATGTACGAGCAAGGGCGCGGCGACGAGGTCGAGGACCTCATGCTCGGCGGCTTCCCGACGTGCCCGCCGCGGCGGCAGCCCGACCGCGTCAACCTCATGGCGCGCTGCTTCTGGCTGCGCGGCGAGAAGCGCACCGAGGAAGGCCGGCTCGTCGAGGGCGAGCAGCACTTCCGGCTGTACATCGAGCTCGCCGAGACGACGTGGGGCCCCCTGGACGACACCGTCGTCACCACGATGCCCCTTCTGCGGGACAACCTGCTGCTGCAGGGCAAGACGGACGAGGCCGAGAAGGTCCAGAAAGAGTGGCATAGAAGGCTGAATGAGCGCCAAAAGGAGAGGGAGAGGTCCAAGTAATGAAATGGTCGGAGCTTGAGGGGGAACCACGAGAGAGAGGCGAGGAGGGAGGAGGCCGTGGACATGTCGTTATGAGATCATGCTTTTTCCCTGTTACATTTCCTTTGGCGATACTCTCTGGCTACGGGGTACTTTAGTGATACCATACTGTTGCACTTTTTCTTCAAAAGCAATGGCGGAAAATGTCATGTTTTACAATCAACCCATCACAACAGTCCAACTGGACGTGTGCCTACATTGCCTATCGTAAAGCTACCATTGCAAACTCGGCCCGAAAAGGCCTCGTCTCGGGTATGTAAAAGTTTATCTCTCCCCTCTAAACGCCATCGACCATGATAACATCCTCTGTAAACTTAGTAGTGATGTTGCTCTACTCCTGCAATGCTCGCAATGGTAATGGCTGCATCGTATCCACTCCTCCTGTACAACTCAGCCTGATCCGCATGCAACTTTTTGGTATCGTGAAGCATATCATCATGTCGTTCTTCCGGTTCCATCCAACCCCAAACTCATCAAAGTTCCGCGCGTTCGGTAATCATCTCAAGCCAAATAGCGATACGAGGGAACCTCTGCGTCCTCGATTCGCTCGAGATACTCTCGGACGATCAGGTCCTCGATTCGCTTCTTGACCATGCTAACCTCGGGCTGGAAGCGGCCAACAAGCATCGTAATGATCTCACTAACGAGCTGAGAGTGTGGAAGCTCTTTGCGTTGCCTACAACATTTGTCAGTATGTGCCTGCCGCAACTAGACGGGAAAAGAGAGTCGACATACTTCATGATTCTGACGGCCACGGCATCAATGATAAAATTACGCATCTGGCCGTTCTTCTCCTCGGTATCCTTCCTCTCTTCCTCGCCCTCAACCTTGGACACCGCGTTAATAACAGGTGCCTTGATCTTGAGCGTCTTGCTCACAAACTGCGTGTTGAAGCTGAACTTGTCGCCGGACTTGACGGACTTGGTCATGGGTTCCTTCAGTAGAACCCGGGACTTGGGCGGGATCGACAGAGAGGCCAGGGCTCTAGTCAGGTCGGCAGTAGGGATATTTGTGGCCGCCTGGATCTCCTCGAAGAGGAGGCCTTCACCATCGGCCACGTCGTTGAACAGCATCAGCACCACCATGCCAAACGTAGGCACCGTAAGCTCATACCGTCGCTCGCGGCTCAGAGGTCCCTTGTCCTGACCGGAGATCTTGGGGAAGAGACACTTGATCTCGGCGGTGCCCGCCGAGCCCACCCAGGTGAGCTGCCGGCCACTGCGGTCCTTGAGGTAGTAAGTGAAGAAGCTCTTTTGCAGTCGCTGGATATCTGGCGGGTAGTTGCACTGCGTCTTGGGAGCATCACCCGAGCGGCCCATGACTTCAGACGGCCAGTTGTTGGTCGTGAGGACGTTGATGCCAAGCTCAACCTTGCTGCTACTGTCGAGATCGCCCAATCCACGAACGTATTTCTGGTAGTTGCTCGTCAAGTCCTCCGAGTTTTTCATGTCTTTGAACATACCCTCGAACTTGGTGGTGAAGTTCTTGCCAAGGTCGAGCTGCATGCGGGCGAGCATTTGTGTCTCCACCTCGGGATTCTCGCTCTTGTTGTGCAGTAATCGTCGGGCCAGATGCTTCTGGTAGTACCGTTGGAACATGTCCTTGTCCGTGAGGAACCTGATCATGGTGATGGATTTGTCAAGAATGGCATCAATCTCGACGTCGCTCTTGCCCCTGACTCCGCGCTTGAAGCTGTCGTCGATGAACAGCGAAACATACTCGGCGCTACGTTTGCACAGCGTGAACAGTTCGGTAAAGCCTTTGGTGAGCGAGGACTGCACCAACATGTCCTCCTCAAAGCACCTAGTCCATATCTTGTCGAACTTCTCCTTGAGCTGGACTATGTCGTTCACCCACTTGATGGCCGCCGCTGTCTGTTGTGCGGATTGGGACAGTGGCTGAACCTTGGCCTTCTCCGCACCCTCGGCTGCTGGAGCAGGACCCCCGACGGACGCGGCAACAGAAAAGTCGGTATTCTTGAGCTCCTGCTCGATCTCCATGCCCATTCCGATCACCCGCTTCTGCAGAACCGACTTGAGGGCGTTCTTGTCGGGGTCCACGAGCGAGATAAGGTGGTACAGGATCGACAGATCGTCAAATCGGTCATTATCGAGCATAGCCCTCAGTCCGGTTCCTTCGATGGCTAAGAAGTCGTCCAGGTGGGCCATAATAAGCTCTTCTTGCACAACCTTGAGGATCTTGTGCAGTGAAAGCTTGGATAGAGTAGTGGCACACCGGTCCTGCTCCTCAGTGAGGCGCCGCTTGGTGTGCCGCAGCCATACGCTTGCATTGCCCTCTCTGACCAGCTTTTGACACTCATTTCGGTAGTATGCCCGGCTGTCATGCAGAAAGCATTCTTCGAATCCTGTTATGTAGAGTTTCTCGTGCTCTTCTTCCAGATCGGTCACGTATAGAGTTTCGAGCATGGCAACGCAGTCCCTCAGTATGGTCCGGTCCACAACATCGCCCTCCCTCTCCATATTGATCTGGTCGAGAATGACTGCGTTGAGAACGTCAAATATGTTGCGACTAGCCAGGTCCTCCGCGCTCAGTCCTGACAGGTCTTCGCCCTCGCTCGCCTTGGCTGCAAGGCTCGTCCGCAGGACGTGGTCCCGGAAGAGACCAATGGTGACGGTGTAGATGGAGGGTCGCTTGCTGTCGGTGGCGTAGCCTCGGTCGAGGTACATGAGGAAGTCGGCGACCATGTTCATGGATCTGTTGTGCGCCTCCCAGGCGTCTCGCAAGCCCCTGAGAAACTTCTCGCCGATCGCTCTACGTTCGTTTGCAGAAGTGCCAGTGGCATCATGCAGAGCGACGGCGACTAGGTTTCTGGTGATGAGCTGGAAGATCTCGGGGACCACCCTCGTGCTGAACCAGTTCTCCTCAAATTCCTTGACCTTGTTGTAGAGCTGGTCCCCCTTCTTCTTAAGAACGATCTTGTATGAGGCCCGATACAGCTGTTCGAAGGACAGTCTGCCCGCGTTTTGGGTATGGATGTCGGAGATGGCATCTGAGATCAAGGCCCAGCACTGGTCGAAGTCGGCATTGTCTCGTGAGCCCACGCCCTGGTGTCTGGTCAGTCTCTGGCGGATTCGCGATACCGGGACTTTTGGCAAAGTGCTGGATTCCCGGAAGCGACTTACTCTGCGAGGAGCGCGAATCTTCCCTCTGCCTTGCATCATCTTCGCAAGGCAGGAGTGAGACCAAGGTGATGAGAGGGCCGCGATATCGGTGAGGGGGGTGTTTGAGATCAACGACGACAGATCAGTGGTGAGGGGTGACCAACTGGATGAAATGAAGGGGGGTAGAAGAAAACCAGCTGTGAGGACCCTTGAAGTAATGCTTGTCAAAGTGAATAGAGCGTGATAAGAGACCGCCGCCCTGAAGGTCTTTGAATTAAGTGACAGTGGTGCGGGGACAAGGAGAACAAACCCGCGGCCCGGAAAGAAGGAAAGAGGAATATGCAAGCTCCAGGCTACCGGCAGTAAAGAAGAAAAGTCCAGCGCATTTCCTTCAGAGGCTCATCTTGCTCCCGCCGAGAGCACGAAGAGTTCGAAGGGCTTTGGACGTGGTCATATTCATCTGCTAGACAACTGTTGGATGGTGACTGGGATGGACTGTGAAATCAACCCCACCCCATTAATTGGTAGACCCGTGGACGCGCCTCTGGAGCTCCGGGCAGGGCGGGTCCTCAGAGCTGCCTGTAGCACGTCCAATCAGCACCCCCAAATTCTGATAATTTTTCCAGAGAGGTCCGACAGGGCTTATCTTATCGCCAGCCGACGTCATTGGACGAAACTTTTGAGATTTGATTGTCTTCCCCATGAAGTTGGTTGACACCAAAAGCATCCATATCGTCGACTCTTCTAGCTTCAACATAACACATCATAGTCCTGTCACTTCCCGCAACAATCATGGCCGCAAGAAACCCCTCAATATTTCTCTCCTGCTTGGCAAAGCGAGCAGCACACCTGTCCGCACCCTCAAGGACAGCAGCCCCCCTCCACAGCGCACGCCTTCATCACCCCCTACGCCGCATCTCAACACCATCACCAATCATCACCACCCGACGCCTCGCCCACACGATCCCGAAGCCACCACCGCCACGCCAGGAATCGCAAGCAACCGCCGCCGACGGTACACCAGACTCCTCCTCATCCTCAGCCACAACCCCCGACGGCAAACCCACCAAGCTCTCCAGCGAGGAGGACGCCACCCGCGAGCCCGAGGAGCAGCAGGAGCAGCAGGAGCGTTCCTACTACGAGCTGACCTTCACCTGCGTCCCCTGCGGCGTGCGCTCGGGCCACCACGTCTCCAAGCAGGGGTACCACCACGGCTCCGTCCTCATCACCTGCCCGTCCTGCCGCAACCGCCACATCATCAGCGACCACCTCGGCATCTTTGGCGACCACCGCGGCCTCACGGTCGAGGACCTGATGCGCGACAAGGGCATGCTCGTCAAGAAGGGCACTCTCGGCGAGGACGGCGACATCGAGTTCTGGGAGGACGGCACGACGACGAGCCGCGACGAGCGCCGCAGCGCGGAGGACGTCAGGTCCCACACGCCCGACCCCAATGCGCCGAGGGCCGACGCCGCGCCGGGCTCGTCCTGGACCAAGGCCGCTGGGAGGTAGCACGACGAGGCAAATCTGTAGGGAGGGAGGAACACTAGGTTGTTTCTGTACGATAGATGTTTGCATCGGGCGTTTGAGTTGAAAAAGAATACCCGTCTAAAACCTCATGGATAGAATCCAACTGAGCAGGATAGATCATCATGTACCACACACATTCTCACCATCATAATTCACACCGGCAAGTTTAAGTTACCAACTGAAAAAAAAGAACTCCTTTTATACAGGCATAGACTCGGTTTGGTATCTTACTACAATGCCATCCACCCACCCACCCGTCTCTCTAGTACCCCCTTCGCATACTCCGATGCTCCTGCCCCTTAACCTTCCTCCTCTCCCTCTTCTTCTCAAACCGCTTCCTCTTGTCCCGCCCGGCCCTCTCCGGGTTCGTCACGGCGTAGATCTTGCGCTTGCCCGCCCGCTGCTCCCGCCGGCCCTTCGCCTCCTCGCCCGCGGCCAGCAGGTGCCGCGTGTAGTCCGCCGTGCCCAGCTTCTTCTGCAGCACCTCCATGACCGCGTGCGCCTTCGCCTTGAGCTCCTCGTGCCGCGTCCGGAACAGCTCCTCCGTCGAGAAGGGCGCCGGGATCGTCGGGTCCGTCAGGTTGCGCAGCGGCCGCAGGACGCGCCGCATCGAGCGCGCGTCCAGGCCCGCGCGCGGCGTCGTGCTGCAGAACACCTCGAGGACGTGCATCGCCGAGAGCTTGGACACGAGCGCCGTCGCCTTGGGCGGCGTCTCCTTCCGGATGATTGCCGCGAGGCGGTTGAAGAGGTACCCGAGGCCCAGCTGGCGGTCTTCCTCTTCAGGCTCGTTGCCTTCTGACTCGGCTTCATCTCCTTCTTCCTCTTCTTCCACGTCCTCCGCCTCCTCCTCTTCGGCATCTGCCTCGGACGTCTCAGTGGGAGTTGCCAGGTATCGGCCGAGGAAAATCAGAGTTCGAACGACTTCCTCGGCAAGGGAGTCCTCCAGTTCCTGTGTTCCCAGAATACGGAGCATCAGACGGACCAACTGCGAGACCTCGTCGTTGCCAAGCTCCAGGCCATGAGAGCCCTTGGTACCGCCCTCATTGCTAGCAAAGTCAGCCAGATAGGAGCCGACCAGCTTCATAGCCGTCAGGCGGACCGCATTGTCTGTGCTCGATAGCGAGCTTCTGATCTGTTCCCAGAGCTGCTCCGAGTCCGTCCCAAGCACCCGCGAAGGATGCTTAACGACCAGTACCTGCACGGTCTGGAGCGCAACGTTGACGAGATCGGCGTCATCCGCCGCTCCACCCTCGACCACTCCAGCAATCTTGCCAAGCACCAGGTTTAGATCCTTCTTGTCCTTGTTCTCGGGCTCCTTGGCATCAAAATACAAGCCGAAAGCATGCAGCGCGAGCGTCATCACGGCTGGCTTCTCGTCCTGATCGATCCACGAGCGGAGGAGCTTGAGGAAGTTCTGCGTGTTCTCCTTGCTGCTCCGGCGGAAGATCTCCTTGAGCAGCTCCGCGGCGACGAGGCGGCACTTCTCGCTGTCGTCGTTCGCCAGTACGAAAATCAGGGGGATGAAGCAGGTGGAGATGACTTCCTGAGTGAACTCATCGGCCGATTTTTGCAGCAAGAGGTGTACGACCTCCATCACCGACAGCCGACCGCCCTCTCGATCGTACTTGAGGTTGGCAACGACAAACGCCAGCTGCTTCTGCCATCTGCTCTTCTTCTGCGGGTAGTCCCGAAGAAATTGGAAGAAGGCACCCCTGGCCAGGTTCCGCGTCTCCTTGTCGTCGTTGGTGATCATGACGGTGCCCACATAATCAAGGGTGTCGTATACCGAGGCCGTCTCTATCCTTCGATCCAGAACCGACCGGAGGAAGTTGAAGGTGACGTGCCGATAGAGGGGCTCGGTCAGGTCGTCCTTGAGTTTGGAGAGGAGCATGTCGACGGCTGCATCCTTGACTGGGATCTCGCGGCGGTCACGCAGCACGACCGAGACGAGCTTCAGTGCCGATTGCGGAAGGTCGCTGGACGTAGTCGTGGACTGGGAAATGGCTTTCAAGGCCTCTTTGAGAGCGACCTTGTAAAGGCTAGTGGACTCGTCCGTCTTGAACGGTACCTTGACAAGGACAGTCAACAGCTTGAAAGCCGCAATCTTGACCTCCTCCTCACCGGCAATCACAGCGTCACCCAAGATGGGCAGGAAGCCACTGATGTTGCCCGCGTTCCTCAGGCTGTCGTGCTTCCTCAGGATAGACCGCAAGACATCGAGCGCGAATCTGACGAGCTTGTGCGTGTACTTGGTCGACATTCCGCGCTCAGACGTCTTCTTGGCTCCCTTTTGAATGAGATAACGCTTCACCCTCGGGTCCATCTTGGGCTCTTCCTTGGGCTTCTGGCTTCTGTAGACATCTTGAATGACTTCATAGCAGAACACTAGAGTGTCTCGGCTCTCGGCAGCGGGATTTTGCAGGAGACCCGACGCGATGCGGTTAAGGAGCTCGTCGATCTTGCGAGCCAGGCGGATGTCTAGCTTTTCCAACAACATGGCCTGCAACGGCTGGACGAGCTCGACGAGATGGCTGACGGAGGCGTTCTTCGCAATGAGCTCCATGGAGTCTTGGCTCTTACTACTCTTGACCTCCTTCATCTTGCTGTTGTAATCCTCGGCATCCTTCTCTTGTCCAGTGACACCAAAGATATCGTCCATAATGATCGCCACAATGGAAGGTAGGCAGTAATCAAGGTCTCCCTGGCCGAACTGAGGAATAGCGACAAGGAGCAGGGTATGCATACTGTATGACAAAATGTGCAGCTGGGACCCCCGAGTCAGGGCACCGCGGAGCTCGGTGAGAATGAAGCCAAAGCAAGATGGGCCCAGGATAGACGAGATCTTGGCCAGGGTGTCGCGAGCCATCTCACGGGACTCCCAGGCCTTGCTGCGTAAGATGTGGCAGATGTCAGTCAGCACGCCTGCAAGCTTCTGGTCTCTGACCTCGTCAGGAAGGATGTTGAGCAGCTTGACAACGATGACTCCGACCGGGACACGCGCACTGACGGTCGCCTCGTCCTTTTCGTGAAGGTGACCGATCAAGGTAGGTAGCTGATTGTTGACAAGCTCATCAGACAACTTGCTAGTCCCCGGGAGCGTTTTCGCTAGACGGCACACGGTGGCATCAACTTCACTTGGCTGGTCTACCTCCATCGAATCGGCCGACTTCTGGGCCGTAGCTCGCGCGAGGGCGTCGGTGGTTCTATCCAAGAGTCGGATGACTTGCTTCTGCAGGTCGGGCTTGCTCTCGACGAAGGAGATGAAGCGACGCAAAAGCGCACGGTACTGTGCCCACTCGAGGGAAGCAGAGAGCGCCGCAATCGTGTTGCTCGCCTGGGCGCCGAGGCCGTGGTCGTCCGCTCCATCTTCACGGCCGAAGATAAAATGCTCCAGCAGCGGGATGAAGAATTGGCTGATGTTCTTGCTGCTGAATTCAGTCTTGGCATTCACTCCTTCAAGTAGCTGAAGGGCCTGCAGTTGTCTCGAGACCGCGGGACTGAGGATGTGGAAGAAAAACGCCCTCTCCGAGTCCTGCTCTTCGCTGACAGCCAGTGGTGCGAGATCCGCCACCGGTGCCCAAGACGGCATGGCCGAAACGAGGAAGCCGAGCACGCGGATGACTTCGCGTCTGACCGTCTCGGAATCCTCACGAGATCCCGCGTAGATAGTGGGCATGATGACATCCGTCAACACGGCCACAAAGCTCTCCTCGTCAGCGCCTCCCTGCTTGGCGGCAACGGCGTCGATGAACTTGCAGATCACGTCGGCAGAGTTGGACGACAAAACACCAAACTCCTCGTCCTGTTTGATGTAGAAGACCATGTTATGCAGGATCGGCAACCATTGGTTGATAGTAAAGGCATCAGTTCCGGCCTGAGCAATGGCGTTGTATGCAGAGAGGCGCCGGTCATAATCGAGCTGATCCAAACCCCTCTCCTTGTAAGAGTTCAAGTCATCGCAGTACTTGGCCACGGCCTCGACAGATTCGTCCTGCGAGGCGAAGACGAGCAGTGCTCGCACAAGCGACTGCCTATTTTGTCTGTCCTTGAAGAAGCTGAAGAGAGACGACAGAGTCTTGTACACCTTTTGCTTCAAGTCGGCGTCGCTCTGGAGGTCCTCTAGTTGAATGAAGCGCTCGAGAATCAACAAGATCGACCCCTTGACCTTAGGGTTGACCCGGCGTGACGGCTGGTTGAGAAGGAAGGCCGAGATTTCGACCAGATTCTTGACGTGCTCCGACTCCTCGACAAGGGGCGCGACCTCGACGACCGTCTCAACGGCCGCTTCCAACAGGTTGCGGCCCATGTCCGGCTTGTCTCTGAGGAGGCCACCAATGCTCTTCAGCAAGAGGTCGATGTGGGGCACGAGAAGCTCCGACTTGATGAGCTCATTGAACTCGGACTCCGACGCCGGCGCCTCGCCGAGTTGAACGAGATTTCTGACGATGCTGAGAGCAAAGATCTTGATCTCATCTTTGCTCTTCTCCACAGACAAAGAGCTGATGATTGTAGGGACGATTCGCTCGTCAATGGAGAGGAATAGAGCAGCCTTCGGAAGCTGTGACCAGGTCGACAGCAGCCTCCAAGTCCAGGACACGCTTTGGGTCGTCTCTACGGGGAGCTTTTCAATCGTAGGACTGATTATCTCAGAGACCAGGACGTTTTCGTACGCTGTCCAGTCGAATCCAGGGGCGTTCCTGAAAAGCGAACACAGGCACTTGAGTGAAGTCGTCCTCACGACACGATTCAAGGACACATTGCTCTTCTCGTCTTCAAACTCAGACTCCTCATCCTGCACTGCGTACAGCACTCGGCACGCCGAGATCAAGCAGTACAGGATGGCATGGACAAGGGCAGCCATGTACGGCTCGACTGCCGTACCGAGCTCGTTGATGATAGACTCGAGCATGTTTAAGAGACCGACTTGTTTCCGAACAGCAATGACCTCTCTGGAGAATGTGCTCTCCTCCACGCCAGAGCTGTTGACGACTTGGACCCCCTGGAGCTCTCCCAGGGCGATCTGGAGGAACGCACCAACGTCCTCTACGTCCAGAATGCGAATGACCGCCAGTCGCGTTGCTTGCAGGCCATGCCTGCCGCTAGCAGCGCCCTTCTTGGAGATCGTCCGTCCATACAACAGCCGTAAAAGCACAGGCATGAGATCCGCGCGGTGCTCTGGCTGAATCCTGTGATCACCCTGAAACAACACAGTGAGCTCGTTCTTGAACCTGGCTTCGTCTAGCAGGTACTCGAGGTTTTCCCGGTATGGCTTTAGGCCCTCCTGCTTCCAGGCGAGTATCGCCTTCAAGGCCAGTTTTTGGATCTCAATGTCACCATTCGCCATGAGCTTGAGCATAATGTCGTAAACCTTTTCGTGTTGGTACAAGACGCGGGGGTTGACGAACTGCGCAAAGACCCCGACTAAGGCCTTTCGATCTGCCAGGGACCAGCCGGCGTCAGCTGAAGACTCCTCCTGTTCTTCACCATCATCTCCTTCTGCAAGAACGTGCTTGTCCTCGTTCCAGGAGAACAGATGAGGGACGAGCTTGCGGGATCTCTTCTCCGCCAAGCCCGGCAGAGCCTGCAAGACCTTGAGAGCCTTGCTTCGTGCGTTGTGGGCATGCAAGGGCACGACCTCCTGACTGTTCTCAAAAGCCTCGCGCATGATCTCCGAAGATTCTCTGATGACCTTAGTCGTCTCGCTTGAGAGACTTTGTAGCCTGTTGTAGTTGAGGCACTCAAAATCCGTCAGGGGTTGGTGTGTGGCCTCGGTTGGCTGTCTCTGCGGCCCGCTCCATCGAGGAGATGCGACCTCGAGCCACTCGAATGCAAGGGCGGGAATCGCCTCCTCGCCAGACTTGCTCTCCGCAACCTGCTTCATGGCTTGGACCGCGTCGTCCCACACAGGAGATAATGGTACAGTCATCATTCCGAACAGAAACGACGGGACGGCCTGGACCAACCAGGTAGATCCTTCCAAATGACCATACAGCTGACCGAGCTTGCGCAGGTGAGCCGAGATGGTCCTCGTGCTCTGGAGGTTCAGAGGCGTCTCCTCGGTCTGCGTCATGATCGCTAGCACCGAGAGCTGATCAGGGGTAACGTCCAAGGATTGCAGCAACTGTAATGATACGAGGCGCAATCTGTGGGAGGGAGCAGCAAGGTTCCCTACCAGGGCCTTTACGAAGTGGTCTTCCTCGGGTTGAGGACTCTCACTGCCGTTACTGCTGTTTCCGTCAACTGGCACCTTGGGGCCAAGCGTCTGCTCGTAAAGATGTAGCGCCTCGAGGAACTCGGCGAATCTCGCAAACCTCGGCGCAGCGGCCCTGAGGAGAGGCCGAAGACTGCTATCCAGGGAGCCCACAATCTTTGTCATTCGCAAGTACGCACGGAAGCCGCGGGTTAGGATGAAGATGACCTCCTCGGTGGCTTCTGAGGTCGACGGGCGCAGTGCGAGTTTGAGCTTTTTGAGGAGAAGCTCAGCTATCCTGGCGTTGGTGGAGGGGTGCACTGAGGTGCACTCCAGGATCTCCAGCAGAGAGGAGTACATAGGAAGGCATTTGTCTCGCCAGGTCTTGGGATCCTTATCGTAGGTGCCTCGTTCGGGGAATGGCGTGATTTCCAGGCGTTCAAACTTGCTTACTATCTGGTCCTGCCAGGACTGGGGAAGCGGGAAGGCCTCTTTGTCGCCAACGCTGGGCAAGCCGCCATTCGCGACCATACGGGGGAGGAGTATGCAGATGACCTGCTCGTTGTCGTCGTCCGACCAGTGCGCGACGACAAACCTTTGGAAGTGCTTCTGGAACAAGGTGCGGAAGCGGCCCGAGTCGAGCTCCGCAAAATAGGCACAAAACGGTATGTACCAGCGCATCAAGGGCTCCCGGGTCATGGCGTTCATCAACTGCGAAATGTGAGGGATTAGGGCATCCATGGCGGCCTGGTTCCACACAACGGCAGTGTTGACCAGAATGTGTTGCCATATCTGTGAGGCATCGTATTGCGAGACTTTGTCTGCTGATTTGGAAAGCGAGTCGATAACCTTCGAAAAGGCTTGGATGAAGGCGGGCCATGCGCTGATTCTGTTGCCTCTCCGAACGCCGGCAGCAACTCCAAATATTCTCGTGAGGACAGACAACCGCCAAGGATTCTCCGTTGAAGACGGGTCTGAAACCCACGCAGTAGCCTCCGCAACAATCGCATCGGCCATGGTATCAAAGGTCTCTGGAGTAGAATGGTGGATAATGCTCGTGAGCACGCCGCAGCACAGATCTATCCAGATGGCCGCCCCTCCCGGGACCAGCTCGTCGTCCGGAACACAGCGCAGCAGGCAGGTAAAGATATCCGGACCGGTCGAGTGCACAGTGTTCCCTGAGCTCTTGATTGCCTCTGCGAACATGGTCATCAGGCCGTGGTAATAGAGCGAATGCTGCTTCGTGCCGACAGTGCTCTTCAGATCATCCCGGGCGTGCTGCACAATCTGCGGCAGAGCCTTCTCCTTGTTCGCCGGCGCCGCTGCCTTCTTGATCAGGAAGCTCAGCGCCTCCGCGGCGAACCTCGCGATGTGGCCGGGCTGCCGCTCCTTGCCCAGCAGCGGCGCTAGGGCATCATATGTCGGTCGCAGGTCCGGAACGAGCAGGCGTGCAAGGTACTTGAACAGAAAAGCCAGAGCGGCAAAGGTCCACTCAATCACCTCGACGGGTTGCGGTTTGCTCGCGATGGTCGTGATGAGCTCGAGCGCCCGCGGGTAGTGCTTCTCGAAGCGCACGCCAAGGTCGTGAGCAAAAGCTGTCAGTAGGTCGAGCAGCGCCTCCAGCGATTCCTTCTCTTCGCGGCTGATGTATGTGGCGAGTATATCCATGATCTTGTCCTCGAAATGGAGGATTTGCGGCAGGCTTTCGCAGAGGGGCAGGATCTCCCTCCGGAACGAGGTGAAGTCCCTCGATATATTGAGGTCCGTCCATTTCTCCAGCCCGTTTCCGAGGTAGGAAGTCGCAGTGTCGAGAGTCTCGGCATCGAGGTCATGTCGGCGCACCCTGCGCAGAGGGTCGAGCGAGTGGAGCTTCGAAACCTTGGCTGAGAAGGACTCCCAGCGATGGTTCTTTTGGTGTGGTGTTGTCTTTTTGTTTCTGGTGGATTTGACAATCCGCCCTGCAGAAGCGGACGGCATCTTGACGGGACTCGAGGCGTTTGCGCACTCGAATTGTGTCTAGTGTACAACAGCCGCTGTGCTCGGTGGGATGAAGCTTCTGCCGTGCATCAACTCGAAATTTTTTGGCGGTCAGAGCAGCCCGATAAGTGATAAACTGATAACGATAACTCACAACTCCAGACACTACGAAGTGTGTGCAAACTTGACTTGCTGAAGTGGGGCCGCTTTCCCTCAAAGCTATCATTTTCAATTGACGATCAATCAGTGTAAAGTCATAAAACAGTTGCACATATAATCTTCTTTGAGCCCATGCATGCAAAGGATTGAGAGCTAGCCTTTTATCCCGCGTCTATGGCCTGCCTCGGCGCCACTATCCCGATTCTCATCTTCCGTTTTGCCGCAAGCTCTCAGCAAAGCAGCCCCCAACTCCGTGATGATGATGTGTAAATGAGGAGCCATATATACAAGTATACCAATACACACGTCCCAGGCACCCGAAAAGAGCAGATATATTCTCGTGAGATAGACCCCTCCCTTTATGCCGTGAAGTCCCACTCCTTGAACGCCTCCCTGAAAGCAGCCACGTCGGCCGTCTCCTCTTCCTCGTCCTGCACGCAGTTCTGCCAGACCGTCCTCTCCTCGAGGCGCAGCAGCTTGGCCATCACCTTGCGTCCGTACTGCAGATCGAAGTGGACGTTCTCGTCGAGCCGCATCAGCAGGCACTTGCCGATGATCTTGCCCTCCTCGGAGTCGGTGTCCTCGTCGGCCCAGATCCACACCCGGAAGTAGTCGCCCTCCACCTCGTCGCTGCTGCCAAACTCCTTGGCCTCGAGCTTCGGCAGCTTGAGGTTCTCCGCCTCGACGCGGAAGGCCGCCTCCACGAGGCCCTTGGCTACCATATCCGCCGGGACAGGGATGAACTGCCAATGTGTGTGGATGTTGCGTGCCCGACTGATCTCCCACGTCACGGCACCCAGCTTCCGCTTCGTCCGAGAGGACGTCATGGCCTGCAAAGCCTCGCGGAAGCGCGTCATCTCTTTGAATGTCCGGGCGGCCATCTCGGCGCCATCCACGCCTTCCTCTGTCATCGATGCCGCGGATATCGTAGGGGCATGTGTGAGAGGCACCATGATGAGGTGGCCCGGGAAGTCGAGGCCTTTGTCCCTGAATGTTATCGGGGTAGGAAGAGGGCCCTTGGCCGTCGCAACATATACGTCATCTCCAATACTGCAGACCATATGCGTGGGCAGGTTTGGATTCGACAGGCAGAAGAAGCACCTATCGGGGCCCGGCGGCGGCGATCGATCTCTTCTCTTCTTCCTCCGGTTGTAGCGAGAGCTGTCGTCGTGCCCATTTGCAAACCTAGAGTAGGAACCGCCATCTGCTGCAGGGCGTTTCTTCGGCGCACTGGAGTCGACGAAGGGCGCAGCAGTGGCGCCGGGCGGGATAGATGTGACTTCTTCCTTCGTAAGAGAGAATGCGTACATCGCCTTGGCCTTCGCAGCGTTACCGAAAGTAGCCAGCGACAAGAACCTTGTCAGCGCCACGCTTGAGTCGGAGTCATCCTTGTTCTTATGAAAGAAAGGCTCTCGCTCGTAGAAGAAGTCGCCCGGAGAGGGCGAGAAGTGATATCGAGGCTTCAGGGCCAACACCAGGTCGGAGATCGCGTCGCTAGTAGGTATGCTGCTCGTATCTGCTGAGAGCGTCACGCTCGAGCCTTTCCACACTGACGAGGGCCAAACGGTTGTCAGCAGGATATCGGCAGAATTCGCGCCTCGCAACGCCTTGGCATCATCCGCCGTGTGAAAAGGCAGATGCTGCTCTTTTGATTGACCTCCCACAATCGTCGGGTCTAATCGCCCGCCCAGTGTGACAATTCGAACACCCTCCGAGGTCTTGGTAATGCTACGCTTGCCCAAGAAGTGCAGGTTCTCGCAAATCTCCTCATCTTTCTCGATCTTGGCCACAATCCGATCAGGCAGCGCTTTCGTCCCGACCGTGAAGTAGGTAGAGACTGGAACTGATATACGTCCGTCGAGGAGCTGCGAGACAGTCTCGTCGTCGTCGTCGGCAAAGAGGTCACCTGTAACGATAGCAAAGGCGAACTGATTCTTGGCGTGCAGAGCTGCGAGCTTGCTGAAGGCCGTCTGTAGCTGGCCATTGACATTGCCTAGCACAAAACTTGAGGTAAAGGTCAGCTCTGGCCAAATGGAAAGCCCAAAGATCGATCAGTGAGGGCTCACATTTTGGGCGCCATGATGGGGAAATCGAGACGAGTCGCGCGCCTGCAAAACGCAGAGGTTGGCGACAGGTGCAGCTATCTTGCCCAGTAGTCAGGCCGTCGCGAAGTCTTATGGGCCACAGATCTGGATGGATCTCATTCAATTGAAGATTCCGTGCCAGGTCCAGAGTCAAGTAGTGTAAGAGCAGCCCTCACAGGCTGGTGAGATGAAATAAGCTTGATGGGACTTTGCGACGAGAATCGCGAATCGTGAAATCGTGAACATGAAGATTCAGTGGAGCCCACCACCTACCAAATCCTAATCTAATCGCCAAAATGACAAGGTCTTATCTTATCAGCAGCCCAAAAACCCGCCGAGGCAGTTGCCCCACACACCGGCCCCGACCTCCGGACTCGACCCGGACTCCAAACCCAAATCGGAAAGCTCACATGCCACAGCGATTTTAACAACGGGGCGGCGGGCAAGCGACCGTCTCGTCTCGGTCTCCCATAATTTCGAGCAGGCTCGGGGAGGCAATCCCAGAAGGGAGCTTCCAGCCCACTAGGTAGTTTATCTCTCTCAGCCCGCTCATCCCCCAGCTGGAATGCTCTATTTCCCGAGCAGAAACGGTATTTAGGGGTCCTGCCGCTGAGGCTTTGCCACCGCAAACCTAATCGACACCGTGAGGCATGTGCCTAATGGGGCTCTTTTCAAAAAGACTGACGCCGTCTACCTACTCTGCGGTCGAATGTCCGACTGCGGCCATTCCTTGGTTCTCCTAGTGAGCCAGTAACACTCCCACGTATCCCCCAAGGTTGCCGGGACGAGAATAGACCAAGCCAGAGTAATCGACCGGACCGAGTCTTGTCTCGTAATTTAGCACTTACCACACCAAGGAGCAGATCACCTCACGGCCAGGTCCAGGCCAACTCTAGAGAATTTGCTCTTTATTCCAGACTGTGACTACAAGCCATAGTAAAACCACGATTCCGGTCTCGCCCAACTACCAAATTCCCTTCCAAGAGAAGGGATACCAAGTTGGAGATCGAGACCCTAGATACAGTGTGGTTCAGAGTAAGGTTCGGTATTGTACAGACGAAGGCCCCTCAAGATGAAAAAAACCGCCCATGTGTGACAATCTTTCTTCTCCTCTCCCTTCTCCTCGTTCTGATAGTTTGCCCCCCGTCTGAATCCCGGGACGCTGGTGATGATGATGATTAAGGCCTGCTGCCGGTACAACACTTTCCTCTCTCTGTAATGTTACGGTGGGCCTTCCGTCTCGGTCCAGTCTTTCTGGTGCCGTCAAAAGAGTATTCTACAAGAAAAAAGAGCGGCTCAAATTGAGCGCAAAGGCGGCTCCAGGCGACTATTTCACACCTAGGTTTCCGCAATGAGCAACCATCGGATATCGTCATAGTTGTGTCGTTGAATCGTAAGAAAAAAGTTCGGGAAAGGAAAGAAGGTATGATGCCGAGTTGATCCGATATGCGGACCGAACTCTTCGTGTATCGCGTCGATCTGTTATCATTTCGTACATAAAAGTAAAGTCGGGAGGATGATCTCCGCAGAGTTTGTGTGGTATGTCGGTGCCGCGAGAGGGAGGCGTCCAATGAAGGAGTCCGTCTCGTCGGCGAGGTGAGGTCCATCGTATCGCCATGATTGTTGGCGAGTGGACGAGGAATATGTCTGGGTATTGACACCCTGATCGTGGCTGAGAGCCTGGTGGTGGGTGTGCTATTACGCACACTAGAGCAAGAACAGTGCGGTATGGATATTTCCGACTGCGAGCTGGTGGTGGCAGGTAAAGGTGACTACGAGGTCCAGGGATGATGGAGCCTATTCGAGAGTCGAGGTAGGGTGGGCGGTAGGTAGAGATGAACATGATGCTGAAGCCACCAAGCACATGCTGCTGTGCAGAACAAAGTAAAGGAGGATATGGAAAGCAAGGAAAACATGGCTGATGCAACCAAAACAATCGAACGCCTCTCAGATGCCAGATCCAAGAGCGAGCTCGGCGACAGTGCCAAGGGCGATGCGATGATATGCCAATGAGTCTAATGCCGGGATGTGTATGAATGCCGAAACAAGGTCCGCAAGATGCAAATACCCGCTGCAAAGTAAGGCAGACAATCAAATATGGCGGCTGAAGCACGCTGCGTGATGCAAAGACCTGGTAGATGCAAAGCAAATGCATATGCATGCTGAGTCAAACAGGTGAAGATGTAGTTGGGAGAGTGTGGGAAGATCCGGAACGCCGACCGCGATGAACCTTGAGATGACTCGGATATGAACAACTTTTCTCGACTCCCCACGGTACGGCGAGTACGTCTATCGGTCGCGCTGAAATCGGAGATTTCGCAGCAACAAAACGTTACGCCAGAACCATGTCGGAGTCAGCCCACAAGGAATCAGTAGGAAGCCATCCGCCTAGCATGGCAACGTTCACTGCCAAGAATGGGCGAAGCTCCAACCATCATGGAGATATCCTCGCGCGTCTGGCCCCGGCCGGGAGCGGTCGGGGAGTCGTTCATGTAGCGGTCGGTCTGTCCACAGGCGAATGTGGCAGCACGGCTGAGCCCCTTCCGGTTCTGACGGAGACGGCCCATCTCACGCTCGCAGGTGAATGCATGTTCGGCTGCATCCATCTCGACATAAGCCTGGGGCTCGCACCTGGACGCGTGCTCCGCGAAGAACCCACTGTATCCCCCCTCTAGGATGTAGACGTCGGGATAGGTCAGCCTCGGGTAGCATTCAGCGTTGGCAGCACGATCCTGGGCACGGATGTGACGGGCCATGAGGGGTGCTCGGTGAGCCGAGTACTCGCAGTGGAAAATTAGCAGAGTCCGTCCTTCCATGGGCGTTCGGAAGAGGTGAGAAGTGAGAAGGTCTTTGTCGTTGTAGTTGATAGCGCTGCCAATGTGCCCTCCCTCGTACTCGTACTCGAAACGGCAGTCGATGACTAGCTTGCTATCAAAGTGTTCGTTGTACTTGCCGTCGAGCACTTCCAGCAGAGTCGACCTGTCGATGCGGGGAATGCTGTCGGTAGGATCGTCCGGTAGGAAATGAGGCAGGACAGGCTCGCGGGGCTCCTCGATATCCATGACTGCAGCAAGGATCGGGGGCGAGGACTCGTCCTTCTTGGGCTTGATCATGTCGACGGGGTTCTCAAACATGCTCAACGAGCGGCGGTACTGCTTACGCGGCCGTGCAAAGGGGTTGGACGGCCGCCTCGCATGATTCGATACGGGAGAGCCATTGCGGCTAGCCGAGGCACTGCTTAAGCTGGCAAAGTTGGGACGGGGCCGAACTGCGCCGGGAGCATTGAGGCTTGGGCTGTTTGCTGTCTGTGGTCGCCTCTCCTGCGGAGGAGAATCCTCGAAGCACTCGCCCAGTGAGAGGTTGCTGGGAGGCGCGAGGCGCGACTCGCCACCGAACTTGAAGAACGGCAGCTGGCTGTCCGGCTGCAGACGCGCGCTCATACCTCCGGTAGAGTAGCCCTTGGCACGAGTCAAGGAAGGCCGTCTGAGAACGGGTTTTCTACGCCTAGGAATCTGTTAGACTGAACAGTTGTTGGCTAGACGGGTAGGAGACAACTTACTCCACAACTGCCGGCTTCAGGAGTTCGGATGACGAGTGTTGCGGCAGAGGAGATTCCAGCATCATCTCGTCGTCGGCGGGCGATTGGAGAGGAGTTGGAGACTGAATCTCAATCTGTGCGACATAAGGAGCCTTGTGCGGCAGCGGCGACATGTCCATGATCTCGTCCAGCATGCCTGGAGAGGAGGTAGGTGGCAGAGGAGGGGTGGTCGCGTAGTCTACCATGGATCAGTACCCCTTGTCCAAATATGTCGGTGCCAACACGTATGCATACCTCTCCCTTCCGCCGCAGCCATCACATTTGCCGTGAACAAGGAACGCCGAGGAGTCGGGAAAGAAGGGCTGGCTTGTCAGCTTAACAAATCCTGACAGAAAACAGACGCGACTTGCACCAACCTAGCGTCTTCTATCCTAAAGTTTTGAGACAGGTCTGCGGCCAGACTTCCTGCAGGGGAGGAGCCGTGTACGGGCTTGATATTGAAGTAGTCGGGGTTAGACCTGAACTGTGGCCGGAAGTTGAAAAGTCCCGTTTCTCTGGGCTGGATCTGTGGCTTGGGGCAGAAGATGTCCCGCTGTCCGAAGAGGGACGTGGGCCGGTGCATGGCGGCCAGAGGTGAAGAGGTCTCCATATTGGTGAATTGTTCAATTCCTCGCAAGGGGCGAGGAAGAACTATGGAGAAGGAATGGGTGAAGGTGGGAGGAGGTTGGTTGGGTCGAGCTCGAGATGCCTTGCATAGAGGTCTGTTCGAGTCTCTGGCAGCAAACGGACTGGGCGAGGCGATCGGCAGTGACCTGGGTCGTCGATATACAAAGGTCACAGCAAGTGAATGCTGCAACTAGTTCGAGGGTGAATTGTTGTCAAGTCCGCCGTGCAATTGCAGAGAAAGTGTGCCGTTCTGCTGTCGTACGCAAAGTATGCAGGAAGCTGTACGACGAGTCGAGGCGGGGACGGTGGTTGCTACGGGCGGTGGTGCCTGTGGGGTGGGTTGGCGAGTAGCGGACTTTAAGAAGACCAAAAGAGCGAAGACATTGAGGTCTTGAATTCTTTACACAAACGAAAAAAAGGAAAAACTGTCTGTTCGCGGAGATCAATGCTGCTGCTCTTCTGCCTGCTTCCGGCTCGGCTGTCGAAAAGGGTTCTTGCGTCGAGGTTCCGGCAAGGACTATCAAACGCCGCCAGGGGAGCGGGTGTAAGACGTTGTGCTGTGCTGTCGGGCGGGAAAGCTGGACGGCGGCAGACAGGCTCTGGGGTTCCTGGCGTTTGGTACCAAAGATATACAAGTGCTCTGCGCAGACTTGTCCCAGAGGGAGAATACGAGAGAGAGTACACTTTGTCCTGGGCCCCGACGAAGCACGAAAGGCAGTCAATAGTACCAATCGAAGGTCGACGAGCGGGTGAGGAAAGGGAAGAGAAGGACGACGAAGATGGGGATGTGCAATTAAAATCGATTTCGTCGCCCTGGTGGAGAGCACAGAGCAGCAGCGCTTCCCAGCAGCCAGGTTGTCAGGGGAGATGTTTCCAACCAGCGGCAGCACCAGCAGGTTCGGTCACAGTTGGAGTGGGTGGAGAGAGAGGTCCTTGACAAGGCCCAGCGAGTCCCTAGCAGGGTGGGGGAGCTTTTTCTTTTCGTCGGTGGAGTTTGAGGTGGTGTTCTTTTTCTCGCTCCCCCTGCCCTGCTAAAAGCTGGCCTAGCTTCCCTCTTCTCTCAGTCGCCCTCGGCCGGGCGAATGCGCCAAAGGGCTTGGAACCACCAAAACCGAGCCAACCAAGCTTACACGCCAGCCAGCCGACGGCGCACCCCTGTCCGTCGTTAGCGGTGCATCCAGGCTTTTGCTAGGTTCCCTGGGGAGGTGTGGTGGATGCATCTGAACCGCGTGCTACAGCAACTGCTCTAGCGGGATTAGCTGCTCGTCTAAGCGCTACAAGTCAGCCCAACCACGGCCGACGGCCGCCATTGTCGCTATCCACACTTGCATCATTTGACAGGGCCCGATCAGAACTATCGCAGCAGATCAAGATTTCCCAGTTCTCGCTGTACGTCAACGACGCAGCTCTGTAACAAGCTTGCTACTGAGCATGTATGGAATCTGTAGGTACGCCGGAAATGTGCGTAACGTGCGAGTGCCGGACCGGCTGCAATTCGGTGCATTAGCTAGCTGGCAAGGCTCCCGTGTTCTGCTGAAACAGGCAAGCTTCAATTGCTATTACTGCGATGGAGAGACACTGCGGATCGAGGCCCCTTCCGCCGTAGCGGCCCAGAGGTGGGATCGGCCTGTGAGTTCTGAGACCACGACCCAGTTGAGCTGCTTGAACTCACGCTGCTAACCCAAGAGGGCAACCGCCTGCGTGGTTGCTGGGTTGAAGCTAGAAGCGGCTTTCCGATAATGGCTGAGACATTCAGTATACTCGGCCCATCGAGATGCCTTCCTTCTGTGTGCTCGAAGTGCCGTGCAGTCGTGCTCCTCCTGCCTTACTGTGCCGAGGATGGTCTTCTGCTCGCGCGCCACAGTGCACATTCGACAGCGGCCGAGTCAGCGCTGGCATTCCATGACGGCAGGGGCTTGGACTTCGGAGCCTTTGCAACTGGCGACATTTATTCACTTAGTCTCCATTGCTGCAACCCTCGAAAACCCCAAGGCTACTACTTGATACATCATTTCGCCCCTGGAATTTGGGTCCAGCAAGGAAATGAGTGAGATCCTTAGGGGCGATTGCCAGCCTTAGTCCGAGCCTCGAGATATCGGAGCCTCCTTTCTGTTCTTCAATTCGAGGCGAAGTTGTCTGCTGACTGTCGTCAGCACGGAACTGCCAAGCTCGGTGTTTGAAGGTACGAGGTAGGTCAACAGTCAACAAATGGCTTGTGTCAGATTCTCGATACCCTTGCAGCTACCTAGCGACCAAGCCTCCAGCTCTTTGGGTGTTTCACAAGGGAGCAGACCAGCGCCGAGTATCACCAGAAGCGGGCCAAGGCTCTGCTCTGCATCAGACTTGATAGCCTACCACGGTCCAGTCATCTCGCTGGACCCTTGATTCGATGCCCAGGCGTGAATTGAACCTCGATTCAGTCAAGTACATCAAATAAATTAAAAATGAACCATTCTTCAAGTGCTTAGGTGGTCCTCCTTCGATTCAGGGAACATGCCTACCGGCGCAACGGTCAAGGGAAAGTCCCAAGATCAAATTAAGCCGAATGCCTCCTTCCTCGCGCCATCCCGCGTCCGAGATTACAGACAGCGCTCCCTCGCACGCCACAGCGCTTTCAGTGAAGGTTTAGCGCCGCGATATGGCCCCGAAAGCCCTGGGTTTGGCGTCAGGCAGATCTCTGATCAGCGCCATACCCGCGCTGAGGAATGTGCGTAATTGCGTTCAATCTTCTCTAGGGCCCCATTGCACCTGTTCGCGGCGAAATGCATTCATCACGGTTCAACTCTAATCTTCCCCACCAGCATTTTCCAGATCAGGAACAGGTTTGGTAAGTTTGTGTGTACTTTAACTACCCGAACCAAACTACGCTACTGTATGGAGATTGGAGAAGGTATCCGTGGGACGTACTCGTACGGAAACAGAGCGAGGAAGAAATAGGACCCTTCAAATGGATGAAGCCGCTCTATCACCAGACCAGGTGGCTCTGGCAATGGAGCTGAGTCCCGCCCCGAGTCTCCATTGCCCCATCTCGCATCCCGCAGGGCTACAGGGGCAGATGTTTCAACACACTCACATATTCGTATGTGCTGGCTGTCCGAGAGCCGGCAGGACGCATTGTGTTTACCCCAGATCTAATGAGGCCCGTCAGATGGCCATCGACAGTTGCCTCATTCATCAGACCTCGAAACAGCCCATGGCCACGCCTCGGTTTCACCACTATCTCGCGACAGAGAGAAGGAGGCCCAGAACCTTTGGGAGATCCGTCGGCGAGCTAGAGGCGACAACTGCCCATCGTCACTGCGTCAGAACATTCCTCTCTGTCCTTTAGACCCCGGTCGGCTTGATAAGGCATCACCCCGGCAGCTAAGGTCCAGGGTAGCTCCACCACTTTGTCCCTGTGGCTTTTCTTCCCTTCTCTGCTCCCCTGCCTCTTGCCAGAGTGGGCGCGTCAACTGGGCAATGAAATGGGATGCCGTCTCTCATTGGGCCGTGTCCGACATTCCAGCTTGGTTGCCAACGGAGAGCGTCTTGAGGACCTACGAACTCTCATTGGATCGCTGTTAATCCCCGGATGAAAAAAAGTTAGACGAGCGTGGCACTGGAATGCAGAGAAGCACGGCGGTAACTGTCTCGGGTTTCCCTACCGTTGCTTGACCTTCAAAGACATCCACAGTGTCATTCGCGATTCATTTCGATATGAACGTGACGAGAAGATCTTGGCCTTGTAATGCCATGGCATTCGCTCGCTTCAAGGTTGGAGGAGAGTAATACCTCGAGTTGTCGGCGTGCTTATTGCACGGCCATTCACGCCTCAGCGATACAGAACAGCCTGCATGAGACTGCATCAATAAATAAGCCCAGTGGAGGAAAACTGCTGATGGTCACGGAGGTATCAGACGTGTGCCGTTCTACCTATCTACCAGCCAGTGCACGAGCACGTACGGAGTACGAAGCATGTCTGGCTTTTTCGAAATAAACAAGCCCAATCCCCAACTCTGCTGCCAACATGTCATGCAAACATACGAGTCGCATGGTCTCTTCTTGCATGCGCACGTTACAGAATCCGGCCAGCGTCCCAGTCTTCTGATCATCCCACACGCTACGGAGAATTTTTGAGTCTGCTAACACCAAGGGTGTCATACAATATCGCAGCTCGCTCCTTCACTCACATGCACATGGCCCGGAAGCGGGTTGTCTTGGTGTGCACACCACATCAAAGCTTAACCCTCGTCCAGAAGCCTATTTTTTTCGTGTCAAGAGCTCTGGATTCCCCAAACAGACATGGCACTTGGGCCTGACAATGGCGATTTACCCGATTAGGGAGGGCTGTCCATCTTCGATCCCTCATCGGCGTCGAGATCCAGCGGGCCTGGCAGACGTCATTTTGGTGTTTTTCTAGGCCAAAAGAGGGTCCCCCAAACGCGTATTTTTCGCGGAGGTGCTCCAGCCATATCGTCATTCCGCGCAAATCATCATTCAACCTTGACTCCGGATGCCCTGATTTTGATCCAAAATCTTGATATCGAGATCCATCTCCAACACGAGATCTCCTGGTCATGCACGCTGCGCTCGTGGCGGTGAGATCTCTTCTTCCGACGGCGAAGCAGATCTCACTAAGACCAGCTTCACTGACAAGGAACCAGCTTGCCGTAAACAGATGTTTGTTTACTCCGGACTCACCGTGAGCCTGCAGGCGGATCTCACCCCTTGCTTCACCCCTCATCGCTCTATCCCGGGTCCAGACGGGCGAAGCGCCCATGAAGCGCCCAAACTATCGAAGATCCCGTCTTTAGCTTGGGATTTTCAGCAGCTCTCATGCACCTCACCGCCACCCCTCTCCGCGCTTCTCTGACCCCGCAAGCATTAATCACATCCTTTTTGGTCAGAAATCTGACAGCGAAACACGCATTCACCTGCAAAAAGAGATTGTCAGAGCCGGGCATGGGTCAGAACTCTGGCCCCCTCTGGTCTCTCGGCCATCCAATAGACGGGACCAAAGCATGGGTCCCCGTGAGCGATCAAAATGAAAAGAGGAGCCGCTTCAGCTCAGCGCCAACGCAGACCCTTCGCCGCATCCGGTAGGGGTGCGTGGGTTTTCACCACTTTTCCTCACCCTCCGAGCCCGAAAGCGTCTTCCTTCTTGGGGCGGAGCAGCATCACACGCAGCACAAGGCGCACTTCAAAGACAAGCCCACCCCCGCTTCCCTCGAGGGTTTCGCATGTCTTGGCCCTTGCAACGCAACCCCTCCTTGCTTCTCCTCCTCCTTCCCATTGGACTGGCCGGTGAGACTTGTCTGCACGGTCCTGCGTGAGAATGTTTGAGATGTCCCCGGGATGTTGCGCAGAGTAAGCTCTTTGTCAAGGTCTGTTCCGCGTTCCTTTCCTTGGGGCTGCGTGCGAGACCCGTTCGTTACCTACCGATCTGCCGGTCATTCTTTTCGACAGTACCAGACTATCCGGTTTCTGACCATTGCGCATTGACGCTACCCCTCCTACTGAAGCTCTGATGCCATCCGTAATTCATGGGATGGGATGGAGCGTTGGCAGGATAGGAAAGAGGGGGATGTGAAGCTGAGGCACAGGCTTTTCAAGTAAACAAATGACGTTACGCGAACGCGACACTACTTTGGCAAAGTCAACAAAGGGCCGACCAATCCCTGTCCCGAGGTGCAGATCCTTTCGCGCAGTCAGCTGACCTGGCTTGTGAGAGTCCTCCAAGGGAGCGAGACTCGGCTCGAGAAGGACTCGGCAGATGCGGCCAGCTGGCCGAGTAATGCCCGGTTTTTCTTTCATTCTTGCAGGGGTGTCCTGCCAAATCAGGAAATTGCATCTAAGCACACTAACACCAATTTCTTGATTCTTGAAAGTCATGGCCAGGAAACTGGAAGTTTCGTGTCTGGAGCAAGCCTCTTTCATCATATATTCCAGCCGCTCGATCTCGATAACGCGAATATCGTCGATCTTATAAATTCCGCAGTCAAGAAGTCGGACAAACCAGGCTTGGGCAAGGTACCCGACTGTGCACAGATAGCCTCAGCTCAGTGTCTGCTGGAATTGATCGACACGAGCTTGATATCCAGGCACTCCCGACAAAGAATGCACTTCAGCTAGCCCGGGCCCCGGCCCTCGCAGACGAGTTGACACTCCTGCCACCGCGACCAGCTGCTGAAGAATTCAACGGTCTCGCCGAATCTGAGATGGCAAAAGATCAGCTAGGTAACTCTAGTACGAAAGGGTTTTCTTTCCATCCAACATTCTCGAACGTCCTGCTGGCACGTGGCAAATGGCTGTCAGGTCAGTCCACAATATGGAGCACACATCCACTTACCTCGTAATGCTCTATAATATCTATCCACCTGAGGGTCTTCTCCCAGGAAAAAAGCTTCTGCTCGCCAGTTTGTAGGTATGTAATTAAAGAAATAAGTGGGCAGCTTCTGTCTTCCGCCAGCTGCGCTGGATCAGACATACATAAGGCGTATGGCTTCTCGGAGTGCCATGTAGAACCTAGCCAGCCACCCAGGTATATGGTCTACGTTGACCTAGTACAGATACAGAGGATTGACATTGACATTATTAGTGGATGCTCAGCAGAGGGTCTCGTTACAATCAGTTGACAGAGACTAGTTTGGTCGGGCAACCGATGGTTTGATCTATGTGTGATATCTGACCTTCATTACATGACACACCTAGACTCAGTATTGAATGACCCAATATCCTTATCTCAACAAGAACTAGATCACAAGAGAGTATCAGCAGGAAGATCTCTCAATATTGGAAAAGAATATTTGATCCTTGACCCAAGCATGACACAGTGAAGCCATCTTGTCGCTTTGATGAGCCAACATTGGATATACACACCTTCAGGATATAATTCGCAGATGCAATCACATCACTGAGCAATGTCTAAATATGTGATGCTTTTGTCTACCCACGTATGTCGTCTCGGGTCTCCCACATTTTCCAGAGTAACCCATCTGTCCGTCAGCAATAATGTCAGTTGACTATAGTATATATCAGAACACAGTAGAACTATCCAGCAAGTGATTTCGAGTTCAGGAGCTGCATTCTTCACTGCATGTACTAACAACTGTCAGAATTAGGGAAAGAGATGGTTGTTCCCTAGTATCGGGCCAGGCTTTGATAGCTCGTACTTACACGTGTGTGTCTTCCAGTGATATCGAGCTGTAAATGCATGTTTTTCTGTCCCCATCAAAGGTTTGGAAAGGCCAGCATGAAGTAAAAGACTCACTACTCGTTGTGATTAACTACCTCTCACTGTGAGAAGGGATGCTGTAGTGAATGTTTTTATCATTAATAGACAAGACGAGCTTGCTTGTTGAAGCTTAGAAGAGTTCTTGTGCAAACGCTTCAGTCTGACTTATCGCATTCTAAAATACAGAGCTTCAAGCGGACTATTGTAGATCCCTCTACGATAATAATTGTGTCCTTGTTGCTGGGAATCTCTCTTTGGAACAAGGCATTGTATACATTGTGACTCTTCAACTATGTCTAAGTACCAGTGTAACTCGATTTCAACCTGACAGGTTGCCCAAAGAATGAAAACATCATTGAATAGACTGCAATGGATCAAAACTGGTTTGAAGGGACTGCAGATATAGATCCTGACATAGTTTCTCGACTTTCGGGTGTCGACTCTCCATTCATTGCGAGCAGGCTATCTCTTCCTCAACAATACTCCATCTTTCTCCTATCAAAGTGTAAAAGCCTCAAGCACACGTCACTTTCACAAAGACTATGAATAACTAAACCCTCGACAAAGCAGACCTTTTGCACATAGAAAAGGCTTTCGATGTGTGCAGTTGCAAACAGCATATCTCACATTGAACGTATTTTATAAATCTATCTACAAGCTCTGGGTATCTTAGTTCAGTTCAGGCCAAACCCCCCTACGACGCCTTCACCGTCGAACTAGCCGCCTGGCACCAGTTGATCCAGTCCGTGAAGAAGGAAGCCCGCACCCCGAGCCCCTCGAGCACCCACCGGTCCTGCGTCTCGGCGTACACCTCGCGGATGACGCGGTAGTTCTCGCGGTCGACGGCGAAAAGCGTGGCCGCGACGGCTAGGCTGGCCGCCGAGACGGCCTGGGCGAACGCGCGGCTCTCGCCCGGGTCATTGGCGGCCAGGTGGATCGCCCTGAGCTGCGCGACGGCGGCGTCGACGTCGAGCTCGTCGTCCGCGGCGGCGGCGGCGACGGCGTCGTTCTTCTTGGCCTTCTTGAGCAGCTTCTGCGCCTCGTTGATGATCTTGACCGCCTTGTTGGACAAGGGCCATTCCTTGGTCGTCTGGATGAGCTGCAGGAGGGGCACAAAGATCGTGAAGACGAGCCCGTTGCGGACGGGCGCCTCCTTCTTGACGTACACCTCGAGGAGATCCAGGACGCGGTGCTTGAACCCGATGACCTGCTTCTTGGCCTCTTCGCGGTCCTTTTTCTTGGTCGTCTTGGACTTGAGCAGCTTGAAGTGTCCAGACAGCTGCTCGTCAAGAGCGAGCATCTCGGAGTCACTCATGTCGACATCATCGTCGGACGACTCTGCTTCGTGATCCTTGTCCAAGGTGTGAGACACATTGAATGTCTTCATCAGCAAAGCTTCCAGATCGTCACCCTTCTTCGAAGCAGTGCCGTCATCAGTTTCCTCGCCATCCTCGTCATCCTCGTCATCAGACTCGCTTTCATCTTTGGACTCGGCATCATCTTCATCTTCATCATCAGAATCTTCCTCGCTTTCTCCATCTGGGGTTGAGGCCTCGTCATCGTCATCCTCGACATCCTCCATGCTTTCGTCCTCGTCCTCATCCTCCATCTCACCCTCGCCAGCATTGAAGATCGAATCCAACCCCCTTTGGCTCTCGCTCGCGGCAAGGATGTCCGTCAGAAGCTCGAGCGCCTTCTGGCTCATCAAGGGGCTGAAGGACTCAAAGACTTGGATCGAGGCGTTCCTGGTCAGAGTCGACGAGCCAGCTAGTATTGCAAGGAGCACTTCCACTAGAATTTCGGAAATATCCAAGCCATCGACTTTGTCCTTGCCATGAAGCTTCTCATAACATTCCTTGGTATCTCCAAGAACCTCGATAGCATCAGAACCTGGATCGTTGTAGAGCTGCAGGATAGCGACTGCATGCAGCACAGCGAGACCCTGGTCGGGGCCGCTGGCAGCAGAGTCGCCTCCTTTTTTGACCAACTTGCGGAGTCTCTTAGAGGCATCGACCACTTCAGACTTGATCTCGTCAGCCATCGCGATTACGTCGGAGTCAATTGACAGAATGGTGCTGCAGAGGGCAGGGAAGTCTGCAGGTCTTTTAAGGAGGTGTCCAACGGCTGACATGAGCTTCGTGCGGCAAGCTTCCTGTATGGCCGGAGAGGGGGCTGCGCCTTTCTTGCCGGGCTTCGGGTATGCCAGGTTGGCAAGTTCCTGTAAAGCCAGGCCTCCAGCGGATGGAGCGTCGGCGGCATCATCATCGGCTGCCAGACCAGTCTTGCTGACAAGCCTCGCGAGATAGTCGGCATAGGTCTGCGTTCGCTTCTGCACGTCATCTTCCTCCTTGCCAGCATGCAAAACGCACTGCTTCAGGACCTTAATGACATCACTGGCGTTGGCCGCGTTGGCGTGCTTGAGCAGCTTCTCCACGGGCTTGGCCCCATCGCCTCCCGCCTCGACACGCTCGTCAAAGTTGTAGATACCGTGCTCTCCGAGTAGGCCCCGTAAGGTCGGTGCGAGGAGGACAGGGTGCGCCTCAACAGTCTTATCCAGAGATTTGAGAACCTGTATAGCCATGCGATGCAGTCTCGTACCCGCATTGGTAGTCTGATTCGTTATACATGTCATGAAGTTCTTGCTAAAGAGGTCCTGCAGCATTTCTGACTGCCAAGCGGCCTCTCTGTAGAACTTCTGAAAAATCTTGAAGCCAGTGATCTTCTGAAAGTCAGAGGCGTTCTTGGAAAAGTAGCTCTCTGTTGATGTGTTAGCCAAAGCTCGTTTCAGTGGTACGGAAGTACATGAAACGTACGATCGATAACCCTATCCCAAAACATTTTGAATTCGTCCTGAGTACCAGGTTTCCCGGACGTTGCAGCTTTCACAAAATGATTCAGAAGCAGGTCCCATGTGAACGCCAGTTGATTTGCTGCACTTCCTGCGACCCCTGATGCGGCGGACTTGTCGGCACCCTCGCCCTCAGTCTGGCCGCTCCCCTTGAGAACTGCCGCGACCTCTTGCAGAGATTTGGATGAAAAGGGGTCTGTCCACGGCTTGGGAAGCTTCAGGTCGGGGAAGCGATCTGCCGCGATTAGCCATATTCCCAGTCCTTCTGGTGTCTTGGCCAATCCTGCTTCCGTGATCTCAGCCAGTGTCCTATGCACCTCCTCCTTTTTCATCTGCGGTATGGCTTGGGCTATGACGAAGCCAGTCTGCGGTCGGAGCCAGACTTTCTTCTTGGTAGCCTTGAGGAGCAGTTCGAGGACGGTGTGCCATCGTTTGGGTTTGTCAAACAGAATGCCAGCTTGAACAAAGCTTTGGAGGCCAAAGAGCTGGCCCCAGTAGTGGTCTCGTTCTTCTTGTCCTGGGATGTTTCCTGTTGGATGTGTCTTCTGCACCAGCAATTCGAGGACGGTAACGAAGTCAAGCCCGGGGTATTTGGAGGTCGCCAGAGCCTTGTCGCCATGGAGTTGACTCATGATCTCGGTTAGCGCGTAGCTGAAGCCGACACGCGCAGCATCGTTGCCACTAGCCAGGCCGCGGAAGAGGCGACGCTCGAGATGGCGCCTCAGAACGGCTTCGGGCACACCTTCACCACCCAACAGCCCTCCGATGATGGCCGCAGCAGCCCCAATGCGGTCCTCAACATCTTCGCTGCCGAGAAGCTTGTAGAGCAGCCTTTCCCTATCATGATCTTCTCTCGACAAGTTCTCGGGAAAGGGAGTGGTGTCGTTGAAGAGTTTCTGCTTCTCGGCCTTGGAGACAGCGTGTTCGTTCTTGGTGTTTTCGACTTTGGACTTCTTTGGTATTGGGAGACTCCCGGTGAGGGTATCCCTCACGGCGCGCTTTCGTTTCGAACCCATTGCTTTCAAGCAATTGGAGGGATTCCGACGTCAAGACAGAAACAGATGCAGGCGTGCGTAGGCAGTTTGCTGAACCCCACTGCTACCTTCAGTACCAGCTCCAGACTTTTTTTTTGTTGGAGCTGCGGGTTTTGCCATGTCTCACCGCCGCTGCGATAAGGCATGTTGGACGATAAGGTCAGGGTAGCGCACCCAGCTGTGCCCCATGTACCAGCCTAGGTATGCCCCTCCCTTGCTCGATTGTGCTAAAGATCGAGTGTTGACAGCATCCTTGATGCGACAATAGCAGCCTTGAAATGGCGAACCTTTGCACACTAGTTCACCTATCTGGATCTAATGACAGTCCAACACCCACTCTCTCCGCTCTTTTGACTTTGATCCTTTGCTGCTTTTGGCCATGACGAGCATCTCGGACTCGGCCACTGCCTTGTTTGGTGTTGCGAGCACTCGACTACTCGGCCTTAAAGAGTCCCGACATCAATACTTGTATAGACAGAACTGGACTGGAATCGCGGGGAGCAGAGTCAAAATGCTAAGACAGGTCTCATAACATCTGGGTACGATGCCACCAATCTGGGAACGACAGCACAACTGGTCGCGGCCCACAAAGGGCAAAGCGATCGTTGCTCTCCCTGCGAGATTGTCAACTCAGTTGCAGGCCAGGCCGAGCCCACTCCTCCTGGCGTCCATCCCTTGCTTACATTCCTGGAGCGCAATCTGCGAGTGCACAATTTGCCTCACGCAACGGTCAATAATGCCCAAAAGAAAGGAAACTATCGCGTACCTTGCATTCATTTCATCGCACTAGGAAATGCCGGGTGGCGCCAGAACCCACGATTGCTTGTCTGACTGGCCGGCAAAGCGTCCTTCGGTCTTGCTAGCACTGGGATCTGTCATGGTGCTCAGGAATCTGGGCTCCATTTAGTCTGCGTGAAGGGGACGCGACGGCGCGCGGCACCATCCAACAAATGTCTCTCCCTCAGCTCAACTCACGCCTTTTTGGTGTTTGAACAAGGAACTGCCTCCCACGATCGGCATGCTCAGACAGCGGCACACCCACGAGGTAAGGCACTTGAGACTACTTGTCATGGAACGTACAATGAACCGGTGGGTTCTATTTCTGTCGCGAGCAATGCCAGTCCCTTTCATGTAACTTTTGGCGAACCTAGACACTCTTCATATCATTCTACGCTTGGCTTCCTCCTCTCTGACTTGTTTCTTTCTCTTGATCACCATACATTCATTTATTGATTTCACATTTGCATTGCGTGTGTTTGTATCGGCCCAGGGGCCAGGATTCTCTCCTCTCGTTTCCATGCTACTGTCTACCGCTGGCAGAATCAAAGCCTCATTTACAAAGCCATTGAGATGATGGCCTTACATGCCCGCAGTCGTCGGTGCTCGAGCCTGGCGCTCATTGTCATATTCGTTACCGTGGTGGTCTATCTTGTGAAATCTGCGGCCCTTGTGCCTCGGGCAGAACAGACTCATTACGCAAGATCGCCAGTCAACAAGACGTCTATCAACCCGATGCAGCCGCCCGAAGATGTCGTCGGCTTCTGGCGGGAGCTCGTTCGCACGATGAAGCAGCACGAGCCGGTGATGCCCGCCATCGAAATCCAGGGCGGGCAGCCAGCCGAGTATGAAATGGTTTTCAAGGGGACCAAGACCCAACGAGCCAACAGGGTCACCGTGGCGGGTAACAATCTCGTCCGCTTGGAGATCACACACACGCAGTTTGTCAATAGGGTCAAACAGCTATCGAGACAGATGCCCTTCGCCCGAGGTGCCAAAGGCATAGTCATGACGGCCACAGGTGACCAAGTGGGACAGGCCATCACGTCAATATTGATGCTCCGACGAACAGGCTCCCAGCTGCCCGTTCAGCTGTTTCTCTTCTCGGAGGAGGATTTTAAGAAGAACGAGGCCATCTGCCAGGGCGTCTTTCCCGCTCTCAAGACAGAGTGCTGGGTCATGGATAAGATTCTCGAGTCGTCGCCGGAAGAGATCGACCTGGAGCATTACCAGCTCAGGATATTCGCGATCCTCTTTTCCACCTTCCAAGAAGTGCTGTTCCTGGCTCATGATACCTGGCCCGTCCACAACCCCGACCGTCTCTTTGGGACTCAACCGTACAAGCTGCACGGCATGGTCACCTGGCCCGATAACTGGCTCTCGACTACCGCACGCGAATTCTATGACATTGCCGCCGTCCCCGTCCCGGACGTCTTGGAGAGGCGCAGCGCCGACCCGAGCATCGTCATGTGCAACAAAGCCAGCCACGCGCGCAGCATCATGCTCGCGGCGTACTACAACGTCTTCGGCCCCCGCATCTACTACCCCCTGCTGCAGCAGGGCGCCGCCACGGTCATCGACAAGGCCGAGCACTCGGACAGGGACACGCTGACCAACGCCGCCATCGCCATGGAAGAGAAGTTCTACGACGTCAAGACCAACGTCGCGCAGGGGGGTAGGCGCCTCAACGGCGAGTACCTCGCCGTCATGAACAAGCAGGCCGACCCGTGGGAGGACTACCGGCTGTTCGGCGACGGCAAGAGCGGCGCCGCCAAGGAGGCGCGCAAGGACCTGCGGAACCTCGGCGCCGACGGGCGCGAGATGCGCGCGCGCACGCTGTTCATCCGCCACGATGGCGTCAAGCTCGACGTCAAGCGGCCCCTGCGGGCGCTGTCGGCGCTGTTCGACGTCGACCAGCAGGACGGGCGGCACGCGCGCCTGTGGGGCCCCGAGAGCGAGCTGAACCTCGAGGCCGGGTTCGACGTGGAGAAGGGCCTGTGGGAGGAGTTTATCGATGCCGACTGCGCGTCGACGTTCCTGTCGCACGAGTGCGAGCAGCTGGAGAGGTACCTGGTGGATGTGTTCTATACCGTTTAAGGGAGAAGGGGGGAGGCCCCTCTAGAAGTAGATCTGAGAAGCGTTTCGCGTCTTCATGTAGTAAATTTGATACCCATGCTTACTATGTCTTGTCGTTACACGTCCAATGCTGCTGTCGATCGAGGTGCCAGTGATGAGCATGTACAGTGCGGGCAGACTCACAACATGTACACAATAACCAAGACATTCGCATACAAATATGTCCCAAGCACAGTCCAGAGTGCAATTAATATCTATGGGTCCTGTTCTTTTGCTAGTCGTGAGCCCAAAACCCTTCAGGTGTTGATACAAAGTTACATGTCCTCTCCCGCCCGCCTCGCTCGCTTCAACCCCTGCCCCCTCTCTTCGTAAAACGAGCTTTTACTCCTCCATCTTGTCCTCGTCCTCGTCCTTCTTCTCGTCCTCGTCGTCCTCGTCGCCCTCGAGCGCCTTCTTCGCTAACCGCTCGGCCTCCTCGCGCATGGCCTTGGGCACCTCCTCGTGGCGGCCCTTGGTGGGGCCGTCGGCGCTGCTGATCCACGTCATCTCGAGCTCAAACTCCTTGTCCTTGTTGTCGTCGTGCGCGACGTAGATGATGCGCGCCGCCTCCTTGACGCCCTCCTCGAGGCTCAGGCCGCCGCCGCTCTCCCCTCCGGACAGGTCGAGCTTCTCGAGCTCGGCCTTGGCCGCCTGCCGGCCCTTGCCGGTGGCGGCGCCGTAGTAGCCCCAGTACATGCCCGAGGGCTCGACCATGTAGAGGAAGGGACCGCCGTGCTTCTTGCCCTCGACGCGGCCGCCGGCGCCGACCTTGGGGCCCGAGCCGACCTCGCCGTCGACGGGGAGCTCGTGCTCCGAGTCGAAGCCGCCGATGATGGCGGTGATGCCGAAGGGGCGGACGGACTGGTAGAGGGTGTAGGCCTGGAGGTAGCCGCCCATGCGGGAGGCGAGCTCGGCGGTGCCGATGGGCGTCTTGAAGGTGTCGCGCCAGGCGCGGGCCTCGTCGCGGGCGCGGTCGACGAAGTGGCGGCCGTCGGGGACCATGCCGGAGTAGACCTGCACGGAGGACGGGAGAGGGTTAGCTTGTCTGGGGGAGAATAATGATAGGTGAACATCTTGAAGAGAGAGGGAGGATGGGGGTTGCATGATGGGAGATGTGATACACATTCCTCCCCATCTCTGACGATAGCTGCGTGATTATGATGGAGGAGGGCTGGGACTGTCCACGTACCACACCCAGATGCCGATCGACGGTGGCGATCCGCTTGTTTGCGCCAGGCTTTAGCAGCTTGGATGTGATGACCTTCTCCACGGCGAGGACAACACCGTCCTTGCACCTGATGCCGACCGAGGTGCCGCCATTCTCGACCGCCTTGACTGCGTACTCGACCTGGAAGTTGCGTCCGTCGGGGGAGAAGATGGAGTTGGCGAGATCGTAGCCCGTGCCTATCGACGTCTGCGTGTTTGGAGATTCGAGAGGTAAGCTCGTGCCTTCATTTACGGGCAAGGCGAAGGCGAGGGCGAGAGGGGGGAACGGGCAGGTAGCTTACCATGGTGATTTAATCTTTGTCTCTGGAGATCTCCTGAAGAAACGGGTGCAGAAGAACGGGTTCGTGTGGGGATGAGGGTGAGGGTAGGGTGGTCCGTTTCTCGAGGGATCTTTTTTGGGGGAGGTGGTGAGGATTGCTCGAGTGTCGTCGTTGAGCTCGAGCTTCAGGCAACATGAAGCTGCGCGTTGCAGCTAGGTACCTGGGCCTGAGCGTGTGTGGCGTTGATTGGCTCACCTCAGCAGTGGGACACGAGCCACAATTAGCGCCACACGTCTATTTCCTCAAGGGATCACTTTTGTCTGGTGTTCATGCGAAAGTGATTTTTCCACAATTCTGTGGATAATTTTTATTGAATGAATGCTATTGGGTTTTGAGTAAAATGTGCTGTTCTTTGGTCTGCTTAACTGATCATATCAAAATGAAAGTGGTTCTTCACACACCTTTTCTAGAGCTCTGCTTATCAACCTGAGCAGCTATCACGCCAAAATGCAGCCAGAGTAAGTGAAACAATTAGGATTTTCATAGTACCTCCCATGCCTGTTCTATGGTGCAGAAGTGCATGGGAGCGAGACTTTTAGAAATGAGAACAGGAGGTTGTGTGCATCTTGCAAACACTTATCTGGACAATGACCGGCCATCTTGGTCAAGGCCTTCTTGAGCATCGAAATCTATGGCTCTTGAATTCATGTTGCTACATTCTCAATTACAATGAACATGACATAGGGAATTTGAGGTGACGGTGATGGATTAAACTTCTACAGGAAACAAGGCCATCTGATTCTCGTGGTACTGTTGTTTGGCATGCCCAAGCTGCACAAATAGCACAGAAGATGAGAACATGTCTGGCCAAGATAGAGAACAGACCTGTTCCATTGCCTCTTTTCAACTAGCATTCTATATGTGAGTTGTTCTGACCTCAGGAGGACTGCCCTCAGCTCTGGCATCGGACTCAAGGTTGGGGGTCACGTGATATCGAAAACGGGTAGAGCTGCAAGGGAACTTGGAGGCTTGGTGCCTGGGGCAACCAATGAGTGATGGCATGCATTTCCATGTTCTTACGAATGGCTAATGGCTAATAGCTAATAGCTTTAATACCACAGAGCAGGCAGCTGTAGCTGATGGTGCTCAATGAAATTGTCGGTAATTCGAGGTCATCTAATGCCGGGTGCATGTGGATGGATCGCTGGAGATGACCTTCGGTCCACTGGAGAAGAGGCTCTGTGCTTTGCTGGCTGGGGAACAGGTCAATGAGTATGGTGCAAATTAACGTTAAATCCAGCTCCGAGTCCTCCAAGGGCCGGATAATCTCGGCAGCCGGGGTGTTTGCTGTGCGTCAGTCGGTGCAGGCGCCCAAATTTGTTGATGGGTCGCTCGGGAAGTCTTGGGTGAAAAATTGCATCCGGGCTGTGATTGGCACAGGGCAGCTCCCGGGCCCCACTGGCTGGCAGCCCCCGTTCTCCCCTTCTGTCCCAGAGTCCAAACCGGCTGGTCTCCTCCCAAAAAGTCTCGGTTTTGCGTCTGCTCTCTTTCTAAACTTCATCAGCTCTGCCTCCCCCAATCTCCCCTCCACACAATTGCAATTGAATTGCAATTGCTCTTCCTGCTTTCCTCAGGCATATAGGATCTCCTTCAATATGTTCAGGAACGCCCTCCGCCAGTCCTCCCGCGCCGTCGGCGCCATCTCTGCCACCGGCAGGGTCGCGGCAGTAAGTCTCCTCATCCTGTCGACCGGTCGCCCCCGACCTCCATCGATTCCATCCTCCGACCGGCCTCAATCCATCGCAAGGGACCTCGACCAAGCTTCATTGAGCTGTTGCATGCGTTTTGGGCTGGCCGGGCGAGCTTTTTGAGCTCGGGAGAGCTGTCGAGACGTCGCTGCGTGCTGCCACCAGGCACTTTTTTTCGGGTTTCGGCTAACCTGGTACTTCCCTTCCCCTAGGCTCGAAATGCCGCACCCGCAGCTATCAACGCTGCCGCCATCCAGACTCGATCCTACGCCGCCGACGCAAAGGCCTCCCCGACCGAGGTTTCTTCCATCCTCGAGCAGCGCATCCGTGGTGTGCAGGAGGAGGCTGGCCTCGCCGAGACCGGTCGCGTTCTGTCTGTCGGGTATGTCTGAATAGCCCCGGTTCCGCCGAGCACTTTTCCCCGTGCGCCCGTACACCAGCAACATCATCACCACAATGCAAACACAACACCTCAATGCCCTCTTTGCGCATCATCGCACGTCAATTGGAAGCACCGGGCGCACATTTCGAAATCGAATTGGGGAAATTTTCATTTACTAACGTCGGCATCACAGTGATGGTATCGCCCGTGTTCACGGTATGGCCAACGTCCAGGCCGAGGAGCTTGTCGAGTATGTATCCCCAATGCCATGGTATCCAGAAGGATCGTTGCCTTGCTAACACCATCCAAAGGTTCGCCTCTGGCGTCAAGGGCATGTGCATGAACCTCGAGGCCGGCCAGGTCGGTGTTGTGCTTTTCGGTTCCGATCGTCTCGTCAAGGAGGGTGAGACCGTCAAGCGTACCGGCGAGATTGTAAGACCTTGGACCCTTTGCATCTATCGCCTCAGGTCACTCACTGACATGTCCCCCAGGTCGATGTCCCCGTCGGCCCCGAGCTGCTCGGCCGTGTCGTCGACGCCCTCGGTAACCCCATCGATGGCAAGGGCCCCATCAACGCCAAGGAGAAGCGCCGTGCCCAGCTCAAGGCTCCCGGCATTCTGCCCCGTCAGTCCGTCAACCAGCCCGTGCAGACCGGTCTCAAGTCCGTCGACGCCATGGTTCCCATCGGCCGTGGTCAGCGTGAGTTGATTATCGGTGACCGTCAGACTGGTAAGACTGCCGTCGCTCTCGACGCCATGCTTAACCAGAAGCGGTGGAACAACGGCAGCGACGAGACCAAGAAGCTGTACTGTGTCTACGTTGCCGTCGGCCAGAAGCGATCCACCGTCGCTCAGCTCGTCAAGACCCTGGAGGAGAACGACGCCATGAAGTACTCCATTGTCGTCGCCGCCACTGCCTCCGAGGCCGCTCCTCTGCAGTACATTGCTCCCTTCACTGGTGGTAAGTAGCAACCGTCCCCCTCCGCTCCTTCCCTGCCCGCGGTTGTCTGCCGCCGCCGCCTCTGCTACTGTTGCTGCCGCTGCCGCTGCCGCTGCCGCCGCCGCCGGGCCCCTTCGGCCAAACTCCTTTGCCCCCTATACCTCTACGCCTCCACAGAACCAACCCAACTCACGCTAACCTCTTCTTTCTTGCACAAAGCCTCGATTGGGGAGTGGTTCCGTGATAATGGAAAGCACTCTCTGGTGATCTACGACGATCTGTCCAAGCAGGCCGTTGCCTATCGTCAGATGTCTCTGCTGCTGCGTCGTCCCCCCGGACGTGAGGCTTACCCCGGTGATGTCTTCTACCTGCACTCTCGTCTGCTCGAGCGTGCCGCCAAGATGAACAAGACCCACGGTGGGGGTTCCATGACTGCCCTGCCCGTCATCGAGACCCAGGGCGGTGATGTGTCCGCCTACATTCCCACCAACGTCATTTCCATCACCGACGGCCAGATCTTCCTGGAGGCTGAGCTGTTCTACAAGGGTATCCGACCTGCCATCAACGTCGGTCTGTCCGTCTCGCGTGTCGGTTCCGCCGCCCAGCTCAAGGCCATGAAGCAGGTCGCTGGTTCTCTGAAGCTCTTCTTGGCCCAGTACCGTGAGGTCGCCGCCTTCGCCCAGTTCGGTTCCGATCTGGATGCCGCCACCAAGCAGACCCTGTCCCGTGGTGAGCGTGTAAGTGCTTCCTGATGCTGGCCCCTCTTTTGTTTCGATTTACGATTTGATGCTAATCATGGTGTCTCGCTACAGTTGACCGAGCTTCTCAAGCAGAAGCAGTACTCGCCCATGGCCGTCAACGAGATGGTTCCCCTTATCTTCGCCGGTGTCAACGGCTACCTGGACTCGGTCCCCGTCAGCAAGATCCTCCAGTGGGAGGCTGACTTCCTGGCCCACCTCCGCACCAACGAGTCTGAGCTGATCGCCACCATTGAGAAGGAGGGCTCGCTCAGCAAGGAGCTCGAGCAGAAGCTGCGTGACGTCGTCCAGAGCTTCACCAAGAGCTTCACTGCTTAATTTATGAGTACATAAAAGCCTGGGGGGAGCGTACGATGATGAGAGAAGATGGTGTTTATACCGCTCGGTTCTTGTTCTAGTTAGAGGAGGGAGGCCGTTGTAGGCTGGGTGCTGAGGGACTGTGGGATGGAGATTAAGAGAGGCATCCGAATTCTCCAGTCGCACCGCTGTAAAATAGAGTCTATAACTCAACCAAGCACTCGATTCCTTTTGTCTGTGAATTAGAGCACTGTTTTTAATATTGATTCCTCTAGCGTGGTCGAATCTATTTTGATTTCTTAGGCAATGGGTTATCCCACTGCCTAGATCCAATCCGAAATGGGCAGACGTCTAATCCCGAGAAGGTTGTTTATCCCACCACCTCAACTGGGAATGTTGTTTTCTTCTTCTTCTTCTTCTAAACATTGTAAGATTTTGTATGTAAAGATTACTGCTCAATCTATGCCTCGAATAGTCGTGGCAGACTGGCGGGATAAGAGCTCCGAACGCAGCTGGTGACATTGCGGAGCTGGTGACATCATGCACCTACGTCTTTCTCATCATTCGCATTCGGGGTCCTTTTCAGTTTCACTGGACTAGAAGTGTTTAGATATATCTATCAGTCAAACGCCGAGATCTTTACAATTCAAAGACTGAAAGTGCTTCAGAATTGTGCCTGTTTTTCAATCTCGCCGCCGCAATCCTTGAGCCCAAATGCCGGCTGGCCGTAACCAATTGCCTGATACTCGCCTGACACAGCATCAACCCCACCAAACGACGACCTCTCATCACTCACCTTGACATATCAAACCCTCACAGACAACCATAACTCTTCTGGCTGTAGCAGAGGATGTCAGACTCTTCCACACCCGAGATGTCGGCAGCTACAAAGGAGATCCTCGCCCGCGTGCGGCAAATGGTGCCGCCGATGCTGGACAAGTTCCACAAGGGTACGTCTAGCTTTCGGAGCTTGGAGATTGGAGGACTATGATGTTGTTCCCCGCCACACGCACGATGATATGGGCTCGAGCCTCCTCTACCTCGAGAGAATAATTAGTATCTTTGCTGACTTTACGTGTTATCTCGGAACCAGGTCAATTGGGCCGCGTCGCCGTCATCGGCGGCAGTGAGGACTACACCGGCGCGCCGTACTTTTCGGCCATGGCCAGCGCCCGCCTGGGATGCGATATGGTATGCAGCCCCTTGCTTCTGCAGAGAACTCATGCCAATACCCTCTAGTCCCACGTCATCTGCACCCCCGGCGCCGCGGCCGTGATCAAGACCTACTCGCCCAACCTCATGGTCCACCCGCTCATGCGCCAGTCGCCCCCGGCCGCCTCGGACGACCTGCCGCTCTCCGAGACGGACCCGGCCCAGATCTCGCGGCGCATCATAGACATGCTGCCCCGGCTGCACGTCCTCGTCATCGGGCCCGGGCTGGGCCGCGACCCGCTCATGCAGGACACGGTGGCGCGGGTGGTCGCCGCGGCGCGCGAGAGGCGGGTGCCCGTCGTGCTCGACGCCGACGCGCTGCTCGTGGTGCAGCGGGACCCGGGCCTGGTGCGCGGGTACGCGCTCGCCGTGCTGACGCCCAACGTCGTCGAGTTCGGGCGGCTGTGCGGCGCGCTCGGCGTCGAGGGCGGCAAGGTCGGGCAGCAGGCGGCTTCCGCTGCCGACGCAGGCGGTGACGGCGGACGGAGGGAGGAGACGGCGCGCGTCGAGGCCCTGGCGCGGGAGCTCGGCGGCGTGACGATCGTGCAGAAGGGCGGGTGCGACTACGTCTCGGACGGCCGGACGACGATGGCGTCGGACCTCGAGGGCGGGCGCAAGCGCAGCGGCGGGCAGGGGGACACGCTGACGGGCTCGATCGCCACGTTCCTCGCCTGGCGCAAGGCGTACCTCGACGGGCTGTGGGAGCACGGCGGGAAACTGGACGAGGGCGAGATGGTTGGGCTCGCGGCTTTTGGGGGCAGTGCTGTCACGAGGGTGAGCCCTTTTTTTTTTTTTTCAATTTACCTTTTTTTCCTGTTGCGATGGGGATTTCCCGACAAGTACTAGGGATGGGAGGGAAGCATGGCATTTTTACACGGGCTGACAGTCTACTTGCTATTTTGCCAACTCTTTTAGGAATGCTCCCGCCTGGCTTTTAAGAAAAAGGGCCGCAGTCTGCAGGCGAGCGATCTTACGGACGAGGTGCACACGGCGTTTTTGAACCTCTTTGGCGAGGAGGATGGGGATGGCTCTGGGTCGAAACTCTGAGTTGGAGTGATGTGATGGGTTGGAAGACAAGACTCGGGCTGTATAGCGGTCTTCTGTGAGAGATAGGTTTATTGCTATGTGCCGGGATCCCTTGGGCTTGGTTGATTAGACACAAGGCATCAAAGTCTACGGCTGACCGGTTTTGTCGAGGCTTTCAAGATGTGGCTGGACGGGATGGGCGTCTCTACGCCATGGGCGAGCCGTTGCGGTCTATTCTGCAACGGCGGGCGTTTGGTAGTGAGTCGCGGGAGGGCATCGTTATGAAATTGAGGGTTGCTGTGTATGCAGATACCCGCCGGTTAGCGTGCGGTTCAAACGGGCTTCCTCTAAGGGCGGGAAATGAACAACGGTTTTTTGCTCTGAGCCGAGAGGGAGGAAGCCGTGCTGCATGAGGCCCATGGGCAGGGATGCAAACGGGTGTAAGTGAGCCAGGGGGAAGCAAGGGGTTGGGAGGTTAGGGCCTCGAAGTGCAGTGCATGTACTTGTATTTGTGGAGGGTTGCTAGGGAGCTAAGTCCCGGACGACTTGTAGGATTTACAAGGCTTGAGTGCGAGTCGAGCTCCGTGCTTTGCGAGAAGATCTATTGAGCTCGAGATTCTAACCAAAAACCTCACGATGTAGAGGCTGGAAGAGCTTAACTCATCGTCGCCTCCTCATGAAGCCTCGACTTTGAGTCCTGAGATACTGCATATGTCTAGACGACTGGGATTTGCGAACTGAGTTCTAACCTGGAGTGTCTGTCTATTGCTTCTTCGAAAACCACTGCTTACAGGTTCTGTAGCTGTTACTTTGCGCATGCATCTCAACCCTAGATGAACTTGACGATGCCACGATGAGCAGCCACGATTTGCACACGTTGATCGCGCCGTTGGAAAAGAAGAAATGAATTGAGACAAAGGGCAGACACACACAGACACACAGACACACACATCAGAAAAGAAAGGGCGCAGTTATTGCAGCCTGTAGAGCTGGTTAGACGCACCAGGCTCCATACCTACCTACGCTACTGCGTGAGCGGCACGGGAAGGAGGCTGCATCGAGGTGTGAGACGGGAGAGGGGCGAGCCAAATCTCATACACACACACACACACACACACGGCTGGGCTGTCGAAAAGACGTTGAGGGTTACACGATAAGATCTAGGCTCTAGCCTGGGCAACTGCCGACTAGTGGCGGCGCCTGTGCCGTTCTTGTTAGAGAGTGAGTACGTATATCGAGACAAAAAAAAACGAAGATGATTGAGCAATGTATGGCAGTAGTATCCTAGGGCTTTTCTGGAAATAGTCAAGTGATGGAAGGACAAGGCTGGAAGAATTGGTGGCTCCAGAACACAGGAAGCACAAGACTTTATTACTTGAACGACACATTAAAGCAAGCCATTGCGTTTTTTTTCTTACATGCAGGGAAGAATACTCGACTGGCCTTTGCTTTCGGAGAATGTGCGACTGCAGCACATACAATCCCAGGCGGAAATTTGTCCTCATGGCTGCAACCATGACACAAGCTTCGTCCTCGGGGAAAAATGACCTTCTAACCGGCTCAAAGCGGAGAACACAGACACAAGCTTGGGGAAAATGCTCATTAAAGTGAGAAGAGACCAGGCCGATTTCTGAATGTGACGACCGAGACGGAAGAGCGTGAGAAGTAGGTGCGAAGAGGTCAGAGGCCAGGATGTGGAGAGGGAGGCGATGCCGTGTCTCGGGCGCACCCGCCGCTCCCGTGCCGCGCCAGCCTGCGTCTCGAGATGAAGAGGGTGCAGTCCGGGGAAGCATGAGCTTGCCGCCTGCACAGACGACACACACACATACACACACACACACACGCCTCTCTCCGGACCCCTGCCAGCAAGCATGCTCTTCGCATTGCTCTAGCGGTTCCTGTCCACGGATGAATTCAAACCTTCTGAAATAGGATGAACCTTAAAGCAACCATGATCGAGATTCGCGAGGCCAAGAGTGCTCCGGGCAATCTTGCAAAACTCACAACCCGTATTATGAGACAGGCGACACGTTGCACCAGCGTGCACGTACAAAGGAATATGAAGCATTTCTCGAGGGTGCAGTCGTCAAGGGTTGCAGGATCTGGCGAATGCATGTCCGTGCCTGAGGTGTGCGCCGTGGCGGCCGTCTGTCCTGTAGTACACTGGTCTGGGACTTGCATGGCGTCTGTCGTGGCTTCGGCAGTTGGAACAGATGCACTGGCCATGAGACCACGGCGCCATCGTAAGCGAAAGAGCAGCTTACCTGGAACCAAAGGCTGTCTATCAGTGGCCACCGTGCCCTGCGTAGCTGCAAGCTGCAAGCCCAAGGTGCTAGAGAGAAGCCGTGTACCCTGTCACAAACGCTCTGAAAGAATGGGAGCTCGAACAAACTCTAAGGACGTTCCTGGTGTCAGTGACTCCGTTGCAGGTAACCGGCCGTGATGTTCCTAGATACTCTACCTGGAGAGGCCAGTCATCGACTCGTACGCGTCCAACATGTGCGCGACGTCAGATTCGGACGACGGATCTCTCGGAGAGAACGCAATGACAAGAGCATTGCAATATCCTCCGAGGTCCGACTCTCACATGGCAAAAGGCCGAGCCTGTCACAACGTAGGAAGAGACGAACATAGGCGAGACTCGGCAGCTTGAAACACGCCGATGCAGTCGAGCACCACGGGATCACAGTATTCTCGAAGACTTCGGGCAAGGCCCCAAATCAAGGACTTTGTGATCGCAATAAGCGCGGGATCAATAAGGAGATGATGGATGGAACTAACGGACATGCCATAGCTCAGCACATCAAACAGTCACGAATGGAAGTCCGCACGCCTTGCTCATAGCCAGTGGTCACTAATCCACAGCAGCAACTGAAGTCTTCGCCTGGTGTGAAGTTGGCACTCGCTCGCTTCCCGTATCACCTCATTGGTCAATGACCAAAGCTCCAAGACAGAGGCTGCTGGATCTGTCGATGTTCCAAACATTGCGTGTAACATTGCAGCAACACTGTCTTGCCTGGAGCGTCATGACATGGCAAGATCTGATGCGCGGTGGCATCTTCCAAGGAAACAAAACAGCTATTCATGAATTAGAAAGCCATTCTTGCTGCTTCCGCCAGACTCAGCCCACTTGGCTACTGTCCTGGTACAACATATCAAGAGCAGACCAACTGGGCCAGTGACGAGCAATTCGCACTATGTTTGTGGAGGCTCTGGTAGGATCATGTCTGTCCTTTCTTTCCTACTATCCTAGATTAGGCCGGTCCCGTGCAAGAAGTAAGGACTGGGGAGTGAAGCCGAAGTCACAGCTTGTGGCATCAGCATAAGGCGACGAGGAAGACATGAGAGCGATACTACCTTGAGCGACACTACCTTGAGAATCAAGGCCACTTACCTAGGCCACTGCGATTCGGGGCCATTGCAGTTGTCCTGAACATGGGGCAAAATTGGCAGAAGGGGTGGCGCAATGAATGCAGCCATTGGTGGCCAAGCTTTGGCTTTGCCCACAAAACCTCAGCGCAAAGGGGTTCGGTTCTGTCACTCAACGGTGACCGGTGGTAGGAAAGCGCTCCCTGGAGTGGTAGTCGCACGATCAGAACTGGGAGCCCAGGGTCACGTCGCGAGTGTCCTCCACCCATCCTTGAGCAGCCGATGATCATGAGATTCGGCTTGGGCCAGGATCTGAGAGAGCCGATATAAGCAATAGAAAATGAAAAGTGATATGTCGAGCAGGCCCAGCGGAATGGTCAAGCTGGGTTGCTGCAGGAGGAAGGATCTGCTCAGGGCAGGCACCGAGAGCATGGGCTCATGTTTGGACTGGCAGTTCTCTCGGAACCCCAACCTGGCTAGGTGCATTAGGGACAGCGCCATTCGGGATAGCAGTCAAGCACCGGGATCCTGTCACTGACGGAAGAGGCAATCGGGTCAAATGTGGCGGAGGGCAATAGGTGATGGGACCCGCAAAGCCCGCCGTCGGAAACCGTTGTTGGCCAGTGCCATTCCTCTGAGCATTTTCTTGGTGACAGACTAATGGGAACCATCTGAACGGTAAAGTCGATTTGACCGGTTCTTCCGCCTGGCTGTGCATGATGACGGGAGGAGATAGGCGCAGGCCTAGCTCCCAGCCATCTCAATAAAACGGTGTACTTTTTGTCTATCACGGCAGAGAAACGCGTGCGTCGTGCACGGGTGATTCTGCTGAATACTGATGCACGACTAGTGCCACGTTCGTCCAGAGTCGGGGGTTCTGCAGGTTGCCGTCGCTGAGACTGAAGGAGCTGAAATGTACAACGCGAATCCTCGAGCAACCGAAGGAGGAGGGACTGACACAGTGACGAGTCTCTGTATCTGGTCTTTTCACTTCGTCCCCCGGGCCGAAAAACAGTCTCCTGGAAAAAAAGAGAGAACTGCCCTGGTTCCTACGTGGTGGGTAGGTCTAAACAGCAACGGCTATTGGCCATCGGCAATGTCAAGGTAAGCAAAGCGGGTTTCGTACGAAGAAGCCTTGTCATTTCTCAGAAATCAACTGCATTGCTAAAAAGCAATAATTTTAGTGACCAGAGTTGGCCCTTGTGTAGGTAGGTTTGTCCACTAACTTCGACCGGAGCAGCGGACACCAGCCCGATTGTCAGGCTAGTAACCCACTAAGGGTGAGCTGTGTGGTGGGAAAGTCCCACCCAACGGGCGCTTCCTTAGCATCCGCGAGCACCGGTGGCTGTAGTCGAGACGAATACAACGCTCGAGTCGAGGAGGTGCGGTACGTACCAAGGCAAGTGTTTTTCTGTTCCCGAGGACTCTGCTTCCTCTACAAAGAAGAAGGCAGAGTGACCGGGTTCGGACAGAGGGATTTGAGACGACATGCTCTGCCCGAGTCTCTCCCGAGATTGTCTTGGCGAACATAACGGTCACTGACGTGATGCGCCACTTACTCGACGAGCTTCCTCCGTTATCTTGAGGTTCCGTCGTTCGCCCTTACGAGATGACTAAGGAGTTGCAGAGGTTGTGTGTTTGGCTTCGTCGTCATTCATCCCCAAGGTTCAGCGACTTGGAGGAGGGCGTTTGTTACTAGCTGAGAAGAAGTTAGCATATCGTAAAGATCGGCGCAACGGTCTGCAGGGCCAACCCTCCTTGGTGGGCGAGCCGAAGCCGTCGGGTACACGCACACACGCATGAACACACAATGCGATCTGTGGCCTCCAACAAGCCCTCTGTCCTTTGCCCCAGGTTTGCTCAGGCAGATCGGGTGGTGTGGGGCAGCGCAGCCAGGGTGAGGGAGCCTCATGCAAGGGAACGGGGAAAGACTAGGGGTCTCGAGCGAGTCAGCGTCGAGGACAACAGCCCAAGAGAACTCTGGACAGACCTCCTTGCTTTTTCTTGCGCGCTGTTTTCCTCTTCTTGACCCATAACATAGTTACGTATCTTTGTTCTCTCTTCCTTTGCGCGCTGTTTACCCTGGTCGGCTCGGCGAATCGAGGAGAAGCTCTGTTGGCAAGAGAGGGGTTCAATCAACCCCAGATCCGCGAAGGGTAGCCCAACTCATGGGAGTTCTTGTCTCTTGTCTCTGCTCACACACAGAGAAGGGTGTGTGTGTGTGTGTGTGTGTGTTTGTGCGGACGAGAAGAAAAATGAGTGTAAGAAGTGGATGCCTGACCTGCATTTGTTTCCTTTGAGCCTCAGGGCCAGCGCAGATGCACTGCAGCAGAGATGCAGGCAAGAGCGGGACGCGCAAAAGGAGGGTTGAACCTTGGATCAGATCCAATGCCAATGCAGGCAGTCGCCCAAAGAAGCAATACCGATACGGCATGGCCTCCCCTCTTTGGCCAGAAATCCACTTACACACAACGCAAGGGCAAATTGACAAGAGACAACGGTACGAGGAAGCCACAGCCCGGGGGCCGAACCAAGACAACATTGAGGGCTGCGTCTAAAATAATCCCTGACCACCGTTTTGCAGTCCGCTCCAAAGCAAAGCCCGCCAGTTCTGAACTTGCACGACCACGTCAAGTACCTAGGTACCAACAGTCGAGTGGGTTGGACCGCCACTTCCACAAAGTACTGTACCGGGCATCTATCTATCTGTCTATCTATCTGTCTATCTATCTGTCTATCTATCTGTTTGGACTCGATTCGACTAAAGGGCAGCGCGAACTAGGAAGCTCCCTTGTGGGAGAGCTAAGGGCTACTACGGTTGTCGGACCCCTCCGCTCCCATCTCACCACAAGCCCCGAAGCAGCCATCCGCACAAGATGCCGTCACTGGTAGGGCCCAAGTCGTCGCTCTTTTCGTCCGGTTTCTCTTGCAGATGACCCTGGTGCACAAGTTGAGAACAGGATCCGGATGCAGCCCCGCTTCGTCAAGTGTCGAGACTGGGATGGCGAGATATTGCCGCAAGGAGACTTTGACTTTGTGTTGGCATCCGTCTCGCTCCTCATATGACAGAACAGTTGATTAGAAAGGTTGGATCCCAGCACGCGTGTAAAGATACAAAGTATGTATCTAGGTACCCATCCATCTCTCCTCTCCCTTCTGCATTTGCATGATCAAAACAGGGTGTACAGTGTGTCCGTGGTGGGTAAGGCGTGGCGAGTCCAGACACCTAGCGTCAGCTCCATCCCACATACGAAGCGGATGCAGCTTAGATCTTGGTAACATCGCAAGCTCCCTCCTCAGTCCCTTTTCAGAAGAAGATCGCCGGCCTCACATCTGTCAGGCCCGCTTTGTTTGGGACCGGTCCATCTGGCGGCCCCCTTGCCCCCAGTCGCAGATCTGTCGCTCACCCGAGCTGCGGAACCTCCCCCCATCCCGTGAAGTTTATATCATGCTACGTCGTTCCCCATTCCAGTGCCCCTCCGATTCTACGAGACCCTTGCAATTCGAACAAGCTTGATCTCCTTCTCACGCCGCACTGCAGGACAGGTCTCGGGAAGTGTTTCTGACTCTATTCTTGCTTCTGGTCATCCGTCGCATCATACCGTCACAAGAGCTCCACTTCACTCACTGACCTCACCTCACCTCGACATTCACCACCACATCACCACGGCATCGCCTGCTCATTACTCCGAGGCGGCCCACGTCCCTGGTCGTACACACGCGCAGTCACAGACATATCGCTACCCGTTGTGCGATGCTTTGTTCGACTGCAGCTCCGTGAACCACCCGTCGCCGAATTAAATGCTTTTTTGTGTTCCTGTCGCTCCAGTCCACTCTGTGCCTCACGCGCGCATGTTTATGAGACAGGGCACCGCACCCCCTCGTCGAATCCTCGCAAAGTCCAGACGACCAAAAAGCAAAGACAATCTTGAGGTGGTTGTGATTCACTTCTGCACTTGGCTCTCAGCCACACTAGAAAACTAGACCAGTCCTCTTCACCCAACACGCTCAACTCCTCGTGGTTGTCAACTCACTTGAGACACACCACACGCCCGAGATCGCTTATCTGTAAGTACGAACCTGCTATATCAATCCCGCGGATTTCTTGTCAACCTTCTCGGGCTTGGATCTGCGGCACCGTGCTGACAAAGATGCCGCCAATTGCAGAGGTCCCTTCATCGCTGGCTACAGCCATGGCTAGCGGTTTCGACAGGCTGGAGAAGCTCTTCTCCAAGAAGAAGCATGCCTCCACCCAAGCCGCTCCGCAACATCAGCATACGCTGTACAGATCGGCTAGCGTCATCGGCCAGGATGCCTATCTCGAGCCGTCTCCGCCTCTGTTCCCTCAACCCTCGTTCATACGTCCGAAGATGTCCAAGATGGTGGCAAGACAGGAACAACGCCCCTCTTCACTCTCTGCCAAACGATCAAGAATCGGCCTGAACTCTGAGGCCTCAGTGCGCCTGTCGTACATTAGCAGGACTCACACCAGCTCTGAGAGCATTGCTACTGCCACTTACAAGCCTGTTGTTCCGACTCGAACCTCATCTCTTCTAAGCAGGAGCGATCACTCCTTGCAATCCATTGACAGCAAATTACTGCAGTCAGGAGAAGCCGTCCCAAGGGCACCAAAGACAAGGCCCTCAAAGAGAGCACCTCCACGTCTTCAGCTGCATCTGGAGGAGTGGCAAAATCTCCAACCCAGTTTCCTTGGGCAGACTGGCATGGACACGCCGCCGCTATCGGATCAAGATGAGAGCAACCGCTACAAAGCGCAGACTACGCAACGTAGAATATCAAAGCCCTTGCCGCAACTGCCTTTGAACAACATCACCCCGGATTTGTCGCCAAAGCTGACACCCGTCCAAGACGACGAGGTCAGCTGCTCGTCCGAGCCAGAGCCTCAGCCTCTACTTCGTCGCGACTCAACAGAGACGACCATTAGAGTGCCGCTTCCGCATATCGCGACTGCACTTAGGCAGTCAGTCGTGTCAACAAAATCAAGAGAATCCTCCGAGTCTATGTTGACGGAGCCGGACTTCAGCGACTTCCTGGGTCTGAGTGACGATGACCTGGCAGAGGCTCAGCCGCAGACACCGGAGCCTCTGCTCAGATGCTCGACTCCAACCGACAGAGGCTCTGGGTCAGTCCGGAGTACACTGTCTCCACGAAGGCTCAGGGCATGCGCCCCTCCATCCACTCCTCCGTCCGTACAGGCTCCCGAACCCCCGGTATCGCCCAATTCGCTGCTTGGTGCGCCTCTGAAGCTCCTGCAGAGCCCGTTCGCCACCTCCTTCGCCAGCCAGGCGGCCACCGCAGCCGCATTTGAGATTGCACGCATCGCCTCCCGCCACCAGTTCGACCTCGTCTACATCGTCAACCTCTGGCCCAAGCGCATGGCCTGCTTCCAAGAAGCCTCGCCCTGGGGCATCTACTCTGCAGCCCAGCAGTCCTCAGCGAGCCCGGACTCGACCCCGCGGCAGACGCTCGCCTTCGACGTGCACAACAAGGCCCTGGACAACCGGGGCAGCTACGCGCACATGACGGCCAAGTCGCCGCTGCGGGGCCGCATCCTCGCCGCCTACGGCCTGGCCAGCGTCAAGAAGGCGCCCTTCCGCCTCTCGGGCTCCATCCACGCCAAGATTCTCAACAACGACGGCTGGGTCGAGTGCGACGAGCCCGACGCCGACGCGCACCAGTTCGCCCGCGGCTACGGCTGCGCCTTCTACACCAGCCACGCCCCGGTCACCGAGCCCGCCGCGTACGACGCGGACGCCGACACCGAGGGCGACGTGTCGTCGGCCCAGAAGCAGAAGCAGCAGCAGTCCACCGCCAGCAGCAGCAGCGGCAAGAGGGCCAGCAGAATCAGGCAGCAGAAGCAGCAGCAGCAGCAGAGGAAGTCGCAGCAGGAGCTCAAGAACCGCGGCATCGCCTTCGTCGCGTACCGCCGGCAGAGGGCCGACGGCGCCGACTTGGGCTGCGACCGGGCTACGCTGGCGGCTCTGTACCGCGACGCCGAGGCCCTGATCGAGATGATCCTCGACTTCCACACCATTCAGCGGCGGAGGCAGCGGCTGCAGGAGGAGCAGCGGAAGCAGAAGCTGAGCGTGTCGTCCACGCAGAGCTGCCGGAACCCGCTCGACTTCCTTGATGACGTGAGCGCTGGAGCCGAGGGTCCTTGAAGGGCAGGGATCCTTTTTCCAGTCTAACTGTGCGCGTTCTTTACACAATGTCATTAGCACTGGGAGCCAATGGGTTCCACGCATTTGATCTCGACTACGGCCTTTCTGATTTCGGCTTTTCTTTTTCTGGCTTTTCTTTTTCTTTCGCTTGGCATCTTCGTTCTATACCCGACGACGACGAATTTTTTTTTTTTTTTTTGTCATTTCTTTATGCGCACTTTCATGGGAATATGCCAAGGCATGGGCCTTTTTTTTCGTTCTTCTTGATGGGCTTTCTTTAACGTGGGAATGAGTTGATGGGAATCGTCGATATCTTGCGATGACTTGCGTCCTGGGCCGTCTGGGAACATGCAATGGCCAACCACGCGAGGTACATTAGCTAGGACTACGTATATAGCGTAGATATGATGAATGAGAGAAAAAGCGTTGAGATATTATAATCCCATTGAGACCTCTCTATATTTGACTGTCCAAAAGAATGCACGAGCGAGTATCCAACACAAGCCATCTAAAAGAATGGCAGCATCACTGAGGGCGGTGGCTGAGGCCACTGGTATTGGCACGTCTGCCTCGAAGTCTTGGGATTGTAATATGAACATCCGATGAATCATTACGGTTGACGAGGTAGTACTCGAACTGTGAGGGAGGGATATTGAATAAATCGTTGATGATATCAGAGATGGTGGCGACGGTATGTGCATGTCTGACGGGGCATCAAAGTGCGAAAAGTGCAGAGCACTCGGTTCTTCAATTCATATCTACACATTTAGAACGTCAGATTGCCTGGCCGTATGTGTTGAAACGGAGGGCGTGTAAATCGGCGTTTGAGACCTAAAATATTACACGCGAGTCTTTCAACAAACTAGTACTATATTATAGACATCGCCTTCAGAAGCTGACAATAGTGTCATTGGCCTATCTCTGCTTGACTGCCGCTCCAGTCAAGCTTCTGCCTTTCCCCTAGCCTCAAACCTCTCAAAGAATGTTGCCAGGCGATGATGGACATAAAGAACTACAGGTAAATCCCCATGCATTCGTAAGAGTAAACTATTCTGAACTTCGGCCCTCCCGTGGTCGCATGAGACTTCGAATCAACCGGATCGTCCCAGGCGACTCTGCCCAAGCTGGGTAGCCCCCTACCAACCCTATTTGGGCTTCCTCGAGAGAACCTCGTGTCTTTTCCGGCGGTAGTGGCTCGAAAAGGACTAAAGGACCACCCTGAAAGATCATCTCCAGATAGTATGTGTTCCGCTCCTCGAGGGCGTAACACAAATCCTGCAGGTGCCCCTTCGCTTTCCTGATGAATGCAGATATCTGTCTCGGTGTGCATTTGAGGAGGACGCCGCGGCAAGCATAGGAACTTCCAAGGGCATGCCCACGGACCATGTCGATATGCTCCTGCGGCATGCGGCCTCGGAGGACTCTGGTGGCGTTCTGGAGGGCGATCAGGTTCACGACCAAGCGAGCCTTGACTATTGCCAAGAGCAGGACGAATCTCAAGTCGGGCCCGCCACAAGCTCTGCACAAGGTTCGCCTGGGAGGGTCTTCAAGAACAACAGCGTTCTTGGCTTCAAGCATTGACGACCTGGGATCTTCCCAGTTATAGCCGGGGATGTCGCCTGTCGTGATCCACCACTTCACAAAGTCGTATGCTTCTTGATCCCTCCCCAAGCGCAGGTACAGGAACGACAAGTCGAATCGGACGCCCGAATAGTCCCCAGGGCCCAGGCGTAATATATCCTCCATATGGCTCACAGCGAGGGAAAGGCTTTCCCTGTGGCCGCCGACGCCTCCAAAGTGCATAAAGAGCATCTGCGCGAACGCATGGCGGCTAATAAGATAGGGGAAGGTCTCCTCGTAACGGTCGAATTCGCCGGTCCATTCTTCCCAGAGCCTGTCTCCGATCTCTATGCGAAGGGCGGCCTCCTCCAAGTCTGCGGTGGCGCGCGTGCTTTCGACCGAGCAGCACGATTCCCTGTGTTTGGCACGGTCGGATCTCTGGTGCGCTCTGCTGCAGTAGTAGACGACCTGGCAGCCGGTGCAGCGCTTCAGTTTTTCCTTGCTCTGACAGACCTCGCAGGCTCGCGGTAGTAGCACGGATTGATCCCACTTCATAGTGTCGGTTCAATGTTGGGTCCCAGACCGCCGAGCTGGCTGAATAAGCCCTTGAAGCAAGAATGAGCACCCGGAGAAAGGGGTGAGAGCGCGAAGGATAGTCACGTCGCCAAAACCAATACGCGTCGGGCATGCTGGCAAGGGACCCTGGACACCATGACGCAGTTTGTGCCGGGGGCACAAAGCCTCACTCAACTGAACGCGATGTCGATTTCGACTAAACGTAGGCCAATCACAATCTAAGGTCATGTTTCAGGGGCCTTTTCTTTCAATGTCTCTGTCCTCGCGCACTTGATCGGAACAAGTGAATGATGCAGTAGACCGAAGTCCACTTCAGTCAACAGTGTACTTGGCCGAGAGATGCATGTGTTGAACTTGAAGATCATCGCTCGTGATCGTTACCCACGGGCCACAGCGTCGTTGTGCTAGACCCGGGCAAGCTGTAAGCGAGGATCTAGTTCTATCGAGTAAATGCTGGTTGAAAATGATGCTGTGGTTGAAAATGATGCTGCTTTGCCTCGTTGGGAACCAGAACTGCCTCGCGAGAACCACCATAGAAAAGATGCATTTGTGAAGGATCAAGAGTTACATCCAAGGTCTTTCCGGATTGCTACATTGACTACATCTTCTTGGGCACACTATCGCAACAGTTCCAGACGTCTCAATTCTTAACCGTGCTCTGGCCTTGCCCTTCCTAGCCCCCCGAACTCCCCTGATCCAGACGTCTCTCCGTGGATCCGGCAGCGAGGATGCTTGTTTAGCTATAGCCTCGAGTCCATCTCAGGTCACCGAGACCTAGTTGTCTGTGCATTATTGCTGTATACCAAATTGGGTTTCGGGGGGTCTACTGGCGAGGGTGCTGTGGAAAGTTAGAACAATTTGAACAACGTTGCAGAAAGTGTTTGCAATGTCACAGGTTGTCAAAGCTGGTTTGCAGGTGTTATCAAGCAGGTTTAGATAAGTGAGCAATCGCTTGATTCTGTACCAGTCACTACACGCAGGTTCAGAGCTAAATCGACTTTGGTTTGCCTGTTTTCAAGGTTGTCAGATTTGCCTCACTTTCGCGTCAAACGACATTTATATAAACAAGGCCGAAGGAACAGAAACAAATCAACTCTCTCAGTTCTCATTCATTCTCCTCGGATCTTTTTATCACTCACAATGCATCAACCTTGGGTCGAATTCTGAGCTCCTTTAACAGACAAATTTGTACCCTACCCACAAGGCATTGGGTTACATATACAGCACGTTCATTGTTCGAGAATTTGGTTGAGAACTAGACTTGGAAGAAATCATTTCATTGAAAAGATTCCTCTCAAGGCCATTTCTTTCAGCTCGACACTCGAAAAGGACTCACAATCACACAATATCATCCTCAAATCCCTTGACAACACAACTTGTATCAAGATTTCGCATTTCCGTGCCAGTCACCATCAAGGACATGGATCACGTCGAAGACCGCTTCACTCATCTCCAAGTCCGAGATGGAGAGCAATCCCTCACATATATCTCAGTTCCTTTTCAGAACAGCCCCAGTCTGGTCACTTATCTGAGGCCCTTCGCGCCCGCAGACCATGACGACGATTGGAGCACCGCTCCCATTGCCGTCCTCTGGCATCCCTTCCTCGATGCGCAGGAAGCGATCTGCCCCGTCGTCCCGGCGGCCCGAGGCAGCCGTGACAGCGAGGTCAACGGCCAGGCCACCAGAAACCTGCGCCTCCGCGGCCGCCTAGACCGCACCCGCGATCTCGTCTACGTCACCGGAGTCTCGCGTCTGCAGATCCGCCTCCGCCTCCTGGCCGGCCCGCTCGCGTCCCCGCCCATCCGCTCCGTCGTCTTTGCGCGCACCACCCCGCCGCTGAGCGGCATCACAGACGAGGCCAACCCCATCCGCATGCGCGGCTTCGCGTACCGCGCCGGCCAAGAAGACCAGCCTCTTGACTGGCGCTCCCTGGTCCGCAACGGAGCAGACGGCCCGGCCGAGGCGGCTGATCGGACTTCTCGGCGCCTCGCGGTGATCAACCGGCTCACCTCTCTGATCGCCCGTCTGCATGGCCGCGGAGTGCTCTTTGCCAGCTCGGACCTGCTAGACAGCGTCGTCGTCGCTCCCGCCGCCAACGAGCCGCAGCCGGAGCTCCGGCTGTCCAACTTCGGCCTCGCCAGGGCCATCCCAGAAGAGCGCGCCCTGTCCCTTCCCCAGCCGATGCGTCCGGCCACCCCCCCTGCGCCCCCTCCGTCCCCTCCGCCCCCGGGAGAACCGGAAGCGCCACCACCATGGAACGTCAATAACCTCATCTACAATACTTATCTTTTCGAGGACCCTCCTGTCTCGCAGTCCCCACCCTCCGGACAGGACAGCTCGAACCCCATTGCAGGAACGAGCGCCAACCCCGTCATCTCGCACGAGCCCGCCGGCCCGGACGCCTGGTCCAGCGCCGCACACGCCCACGACACGGAGGCCGCCGCCCGCCAAGCCACAGAGGACTTCTTCTTCTTTGGCCCCAACCGCGCTCCCGCCGGTCCGCCCGCCGCCGGCCCATCCCGTCGTCCCGACCCCCCTCTGCCGGAAGGAATCTACGACGACAGCGACGAAGAGGAGCACGACGCGGCCGGTACCGCACGCGTGATCATCCCCTTTGACTACGATCCCGAAGCTGTACAGCCCATGGACCCCACAGCGCTATTCTATTGCTACCGTCTGATGTACGGGAGGAGCGGGCCGCTGGACGAAGAAGAACAGCAACAACTGCAACGGCAGCTGCAGGAGCATGAACAAGAGCTGCAAGAGAGGGCGCAGGAGCGTGAACAACGGCTGCAAGGGATACAACAGGAACCGCAGCAGCAGCAGCCGCAACCGCAGCAGCAGCAGCAGCACGAGCACGAGCACGAGCAGGAACAGCAGCAGTCGCCCGAAGAGCGGCCTCTCCTCCCCCGAGCCACTGCGTCAGACGACCTCTTCGGCCTCGGCCTCGCCATCGCCACGCTCCACCACGGCCGGGACTTGGCTGCTCTGTACTGGGACCGCGTCCGGCGCAGCATGGACATCTCCAGCAGCCGGGACGGCCGGCGCCGCGGCAATGAGGATCCCGGCCAGCAATTCGCCGATACACTGCGCGAGGCTGGCGTCAACGAGATCGACGATGACGACGCCCGGGAGCTTGTTACCCAGCTCCTCCGGGGCGAGTTGGAGAAGCCATTGGGAACGCCGCTGGAAGAAAAGAATGAGGAGTGAGATCGTGCTGGCATGTGTTTTTTTGATTTTTTTTGTCTGGCAAGTGAGTTTTGCTTCGGGCTGGGAGAGAAGTTCACCCATTTGTTGACTACAAAAATGTCTCCTTTCTGTCTGTTCTGCGTTGTTTTAATCATGACAAGCACCCACAGTTGATCTCTGCGTAGTGTGGACGATACCATAGCAATATCCATAGTTCTTAAGTCTGAAACGTAATGACTATCGAAACGATCTCTGTTTCTTTTCCACAACCCAACGGGATCCTTAACCTTGTTAGAGACGTACGTACGCGCCCTGAAAAATACAATCTAACCCAATTGAACCAGCGCCCGGAAAACTTAGACAAAACAGCCTCGTGTGTGTGTGGCCATAGACCGACACATCAAGACTTCTTGGTAATGCGGCAGACGAGATCCGAGCCATCAACAGAGTCTCCCTCCTTGACCGCCAGCTGTGAGACCAGACCGTTGTGCGGGGCCGAGATGACCATTTCCTACGAAGTTTGGTTAGCAAGAATGGACTAGGTAATTTCGAATTGAAAGGCAAGAAACTTACCATCTTCATGGCGCTGAGAACAGCAAGAGGGTCACCCTTCTTGACCTCGGTGCCGTCATGGACACGGAGCTCAACCAGGACACCGGCCATGGGAGCACCGACCTGGCTGGAGTCGAGCGGGTCGGCCTTGGGCCGGCTGACGCTCTCGACGGCGGCGTGCTTATCGTCGACGGCGACCTGCCGGACCTCGCCGTTCATCTCGTAGAACACCTCGCGCTGACCAGTGTTCTCCGACAGAGGGCCGATGGCAAGCATCTTGAGGATGAGGACCTTGCCCCTCTCGAGCTCGACATGGAACTCCTCACCAATCTCCGGCTTGGACAGGAAGTAGCGAGTGGGAAGGACGGAAAGATCACCGTACTTCTGGATGAACTTTTTGTAGTCCTCGAAGACCTTGGGGTACATGATGTACGAGGCAACATCGCACTCAGTGATAGGGCCGCCGAACTTCTGGATCAACTCCTTGCGGGCAGCAGCAAAGTCAACAGGCTCGAGAGACAGACCCGGGCGCTCATTCAGCTTCCTGCGGCCACGGAGAGCATTGGTGCGCAGCGGCTCGGGGAAACCACCGTACGGCTGGCCCATCATGCCCTCGAAGAACTCGAGGACGGAGCCAGGGAAGTCAAGCTCGCCAGCGCGGGCCTTGACGTCCTCGGCAGACAGCTTGTTGGAGACCATGAACTGAGCCAGGTCACCGACGACCTTGGATGTGGGAGTGACCTTGACGATGTCACCAAGCAGGTCGTTGGCGTGCTCGTAAGCCTTCTTGGTGTCGGCCCACTGGGAGCCGAGGCCGAGCTGAGAAGCCTGGAACATCATGTTGGTGAGCTGACCACCAGGAATCTCGTGCTCGTACACCTCAGGATCCGGTCCAGTGAGGTGAGCCTCGAAGGGCGAGTACATCAGGCGCAGCTGAGCCCAGTAGGTGTCAAGGGCACGGACGTGATGGACGTTCAGACCAGGGTCCAGGTCGGAGCCCTCCAGAGAAGCCATGATGGCGTTGATGCTGGGCTGCGAGGTCATACCAGACATGCTGTCGGTGGCAGCATCAACGGCGTCAGCTCCGGCCTGGGCACAAGCAACCATAGAGGCGACACCGGTACCAGCCGAGTCGTGGGTGTGGACGTGGATGGGGAGGTCAGGGTACTTCTCACGGATGGAGCCGATGAGCAGCTTAGCGGCGTGGGGCTTGAGGACACCAGCCATGTCCTTGATGCCCAGGACGTGAATCTTGAGAGCCACGAGCTTGTCGACAAGACCAAGGTAGTACTTGAGGTTGTACTTCTTGGTAGGGTTCAGCATGTCACCGGAGTAGCACACGGTACCCTCGGCGACACCACCGGCCTTGTGGACGGCGTTGATACCAACCTCGAGCTGGTTGATGTCATTCAGAGCGTCAAAGACACGGAAGATATCAACACCGTTGTCCTTGGCCTGCTTGACAAAGTGGTCAATGGCATTGTCGGGGAGCGAGGCGTAAGCAACACCGTTGGCACCACGCAGCAGCATCTGGAAGGGGATGTTGGGGATAGCCTTGCGCATCTTACGGAGGCGGTCCCAGGGGTCCTCGTAGAGGAACCGATAGGCGACATCGAAAGTGGCACCTCCCCAGCACTCCAAACTGTACAGGTTGGAGAGGGCGTGGCTGGTCTCCTTGGCAATGTTGAGGAAGTCAACAGTCCTGACTCTGGTAGCCAGCAGAGACTGGTGAGCATCTCTCCAAGTCGTGTCCATCAACAGACAGCCCTTGTAGTTCCTGACAGCCTTGGCGAAGGCAGCGGGACCTTGCTCGACGATAATTTGCCTCCATCCCTTGGTACAAGGCTGGGTGACGTCGAGCTTGTTGCCAGATTGGTCCAGGAGCTCGGGAAGAATGATGTCTCCCTTGAACTTGGGCTCTCCGACTTGGCCCTTGATGCTGCTGCCGTTGACGGCGAGGTCGCCGAGGTAGGCCAGGAGCTTCTGCGCGCGGTTCTGGCTGCCAATCAGGTTGAACAGCTCGGGGGTATCATCAATGAACGTGGTCCAGCAAGAACCAGAAATGAACACATCGTTGGTAAGGAGAGACGCCAGGAAAGGAATGTTGGTCTTGACACCACGGACACGGAACTCGACGAGGGCGCGGAGAACCTTGCGGCGGGCGATCTCGTATGTGCTTCCATGGCACGTACACTTGACCAGCATGCTATCGTAATAAGGTGTGATAACAGCGCCGGCAAAGCCGTTACCACCGTCGAGACGGACACCGTTGCCACCGGCAGACCGGTAGACCTCGATTCTGCCGGTGTCAGGCTGGAAACCCTTGGCAGGGTCCTCGGTGGTGATTCTGCACTGGATGGCGAATCCACGAGTGCTGATTCTGTCCTGAGTGAGACCGAGCTGTTGAAGGCTGGCGCCAGCAGCAATCTGCAACTGGGCGGCGACAATGTCGATGCCGGTGATCTCCTCGGTGATGGTGTGCTCGACCTGGATACGCGGGTTGATCTCGATGAAGTAGTAGCGGTTCTGCTGGTCGACGAGGAACTCGGCGGTACCGGCGTTGCGGTAGTTGACGGACTTGGCGAGCCTGACAGCGTCATTGAGAATGGCGTCGCGGGTCTCGGCAGGCAGATCCTTGGCTGGGGCAATCTCGACGACCTTTTGGTGTCGCCGCTGGACTGAGCAGTCACGCTCGTACAGGTGGACAATGTTGCCGTGGTTATCGCCGAGCAGCTGGACCTCGATGTGCTTGGGCTTGTCGAGGAAGCGCTCGACAAAGACGGTGCCGTTGCCAAAGGCAGACTTGGCCTCGGAGGTAGCTCGCTCAAAGGACTCCTTCAGGGAAGCTTGTTCGCGGACGACTCGCATACCGCGGCCACCACCACCGTAGGCGGCTTTGATGATGATGGGGAAGCCATACTCGTCGGTGAAGGCCTTGACCTCCTCGAAGGTCTCGACCGCACCCTCGGTACCGGGAACGACGGGGACCTTGGCTGCGATGGCCAGCTTTCGGGCGGAAACCTTGTCGCCAAGAGCGTCGATGACATCGGGAGAGGGACCAACGAACTGTACACAATGTCTGATTAGTGCTGTTCGGACAGACAGACAAGTGTGCTGCTGTGGTTCACTTACAACCAGGCCGGCCTTCTCAACGTTGCGCGCAAACTCGGCATTCTCGGACAAGAAACCGTAGCCTGCAAATCCGTCAATATGACCGATTGAGCCAATCGAGCGGGACCAACTTACCAGGGTGGATCATCTGGGCGCCGTGCTCGAGGGCAATCTTGATGATCTCGTCTCCAGCCAGATAGGCGCCGACCGGGGTGTACTGGCCGCGCTTGCCAATGACGTATGCCTCGTCGGCCTCTGTTCACCAAGGTCAGCACCCAAAATAACCTCGACAAACATCGCCAGACTCTTCACATACTCTGCCTGTGCATAGAGAGGCGGTCCTCATGACTACACAATTAGTATTATTTCTCGCATATCGGTGGTTCGGATCCAGTCATTACCTGAAGACTGCGATGGTGTGGAGCGACAGCTCGTGGGCCTACCGAGGCATTGTCAGTACCGAGCTTGCAACATGCATGCGGCCAGAAAAGCAATGGGCTAACAACAGGGAACCTACAGTTCGGAAGATCTATAACAGACAAATACCATAAGCAAGTTGTCTCCTATACATAACACACCATCGTCTTGGTCATTCGGTGGGGTGGACATACACGGATGGCTTGAGAGAGCAGATGTTAGCATTCGACCGAGTCAAGCGACAGGTGATCATGATGGAGCACTTACGGATTTCACCACGGTTGGCAACTAGGTAGATAAGGCCGTGTTAGCTACTTGCGCATGCCAATTGGACAACAGGAAGCGCATAGGATCTGTCCCAGGCCTCGGACAAGGATCGCGATGTGTTGGTTGACTCACCGAGAAGCTTCTTGTGCTGCATGATGGTCGAGTTGGCGCGGATGCGGTGGACCGTCTTGTGCTGCTCGGTGCCATCCTCGATGACCTCCTCGTAGAGGCGGTTGCCCGCGGATTCCCGCAGCTCAGCCAGCTTGGACGCCATTGTTGACCTGGATGTTGTTCAGGACAAGAAGTGCGTGTGTAGGGATGACTTCGAGGGGAGGGGATGTGAAGAAATAAGAGAAGGGACGAGGGTACAAGAGACGAGACTCCCGGTCTGGTCGCTTGAATCACACTCGCCCGCCCGCTCTGGCTGGCCTGGTCAGAGAGGGAGGGGCGGTTATCTCTAGTGGGGTTTATCGGCTGAAAGCTACAAGCTCGGCGAGCTGTGAAGCTAACGATTTAGGTAGTCTAGTTCGATCTAAAGAGTGTTGGAAGAGACTGGGGTCAGCCAGGAATGTGACCCATTGGTTGAGGACAGAGGGAACTCTGATACTGAATGAAGCAGATCTTCTTTCAAATCACAGCCAGTTAAGTCTTCCGCTGAACTCTTATCACTGACCCAAGGACAGAGGGATGGCATCTGTCTGACACAAAAGAACATATCATGTACCCTGATCCGCATGCAAAAGAGCGGCAATGACGGGATTTTTTTCTGCAAGCGCATGAACTGAACCACCAGGTGATGACATGGATCGTCAGAGCTCCGTCCCCTCGGTAGCAGTGGGACAGAGCAAAAAGTCCAGGGCGACCAGGGTATCCGTTGGGATGCCGCGCTCCTCCAAAGGAAAAGGTACTTCCCTCCGAAGTATCTCCCGGGAAACGACTCGTCTCCCTCTGAATCAATGGCATTGTTCTTCAACCTGCAGGCCTTTGACCGCAAAGTCTTTCAGTCTCGTTATGTTCAGGGGCCCTCTGAGCAAGAGCGTTTGATCAATCGAGTCTACCCAACATCGCCGTTCTACTCATTGGAGTGTTTTGGGTGTTTACTTTGATACCTACCTAGGTACCTATCTCTGACCAAGCTGTACGAAAACAATAGCTTTGTCCAACGTGACATCAAACAGTTACTCCGTTTGATTGAATCTCGTGTGCCCGTCTCCTCTCCGCTCTCCATTGGAGCGTCTATGACTCTACGGACATTGTGCGTTTTTTTCTGGTAATGAACCTCCACAGCCCTATCGCCAATTGGACTCGTACCAAGTCTTGGAGGCGATCCAGAGGAGCCCAGATCCATCTCTGCCATCTGCCCGCCGCCAATTGCGCCATAAAAAAAAACTATGCATCCTTCACCTTAGAACCTCACCCCACCGGCTGGAGGTCAGCACCCCTGTCGCAAGTCTTTTCTTGGGGGTGGGATGACGATGGGATGCAAAGTGGGAGTACACATCACACATCGCCCCTTGGTCCCTCGTTCTTCTTGCCTGCTGGGCGAGATGGCTCTCGCTTCCCAAGATCTGACACACATCCCCATATAATGGAAAAGCGCGCGGGCGACTGCCTCTACTGTTGGTCCAAAGACGGCCAACCAGAGCCCGGGAATTGCGCTCTTTTATATCTGTTTTACACACAGCTCTCATCCAGCCTGACTAAAACCTTTTCTCTTTGATATCTCTCGAGTCATCAATCACGCGGTATTTTTTTTCCCTTTTTCATTTTCCATTACTACAGAACCACAAATACCCGGCGGTAGGTAGACACACACATCAATGAACAAAATAAAGGTAACCCTGAGGGCGAAAAAAAAAAGGGTACCTTTCATGTACTTTGCTCGCAAGTATCTCGGCATCAGTCTGTGTCATGGTATGTCGCTCCGCCCCATGTGACCGAGCATCTTCCCACGGACAACGTCTTCACGGTCGACCCGAGAGCGGAGTTGCAGTGGCTATTACGGAGGCAGCTGTCCCTGTTTTGCATTATCGTGCAACTGTGCCGAGGGTAAAAACGGCCAAGGAAGGGTAAATCTGGGGAGAAATCTTAGTCAGTCTAGCGCCGTCTGAAGCTGGGACGTTTTTGAGGCTGCGAAAGAGGATCTGGCAGGCGTGTGCGGGACCCGAGCCCATCGGGTGGGCGGCGGCTGTTGTGGTTCCTGGATGCAGTCACAACTCGAAATGCTCTCCTAGCTCGGTACAATGGACGACGAGCATCTGGTTTTTGATTCCTACCTAATCCGTGGCCTGTTCTGCCAAGGCCGAGGGCACTCGATTGTAACGACATTCATAGAACATTACATGTTTTCTTCTCTGTTGTCTTAGTCCCTTCCATCATATTTCCTTAACCCTTCTTCCGAACTCATCATCTCACTCCTTCACAGCTGCACGTCCTCTCCGTCTATCCGACCACTCCCCGTCACAGCGGGGTAACAAGGTACCTATGCGACGGATCTAAGTATCTCGAGCTGGAGAACGCGCGCCTCGCCATGTGAAGACATCAAACCTAGCAGGACTCAGACGTTGTTCGACCCAGCTTTGCCGTGGCTAGCCCCTGTCCCACCCCGGATAATTGCCGTGGGAAATGGCACTTCCACCACAGGGCGACGCGATAGTTCCCGTAGACTGCCCTCGACGCATCCACTCTGGGGTAAAAGCGGACACTTGCTGTGTTCCCTTGTTCTGTTCACCTTTTTGTTTTCGCCTCTTTTTCAGATCCGGGGAAGGGGAGGCAAGATGCAGGGGACATGTCCATCGTTGCCGGGTGGGTACGGGAGCGAAAATACACGCTTGTCTACCGCCCAGTACCGACGTAGAGATCACACTCACCAGGAACAGAGCCGTCTGTTACCGATGCTGACCGTCGGCCATCGAACAGTGATACCCTCGGCATGTTACCCCAGACTGAGTGGTCAAGACTGTTGTCGGTCTGAGGCTGACTTTGGCTGAGGTCCCTGCGATGGCCCCAACGTGCCTTCGGTTCAAAGATCGTATATTCGATTTCGGCCTTCCTACGACGATATGCTGGCCATGTCCTCTTGGCCAATCCTTATCTCCCAATTCTTCACATCCTGAAATATCCTGCTAGATTGGCAAACTGTCAAGTATCAAGGAGTCATGGCCATCGGGTCCAATTCAAACAAGTCCATCCCGAATCCCGAAAGACACCAGCGTCTCATACCAGGGATGGAGGGATGCATATGCGGAGTATTACAGTCTCGGATCCGATGTATAACGCTCGCAAGCCCCTAGCCGCTCAAACCGAAAACGGGTATGCTTGATACGTTGGTGTCGTCCGGTACTTGCATCCGACACCTCTTCTCTCTCCGCCGTCACGCGGTACCTCCATCCGAGGTCTCTTCTCACACTACCTCTCCACATCTCATCATTCAATGATGCCAGCCTGCTTCATACAGCTTCAGCCTCTCCATTGGCTGGGTCCACTTGCCCTTTTGAGAAATATGCATCTCCCATATGCACAATCCCATGCTGCCAAAGGTACATCTCGGAAGGGTGACTAAAATGTGTGCTCTCGTCAGTCGAGGCCCGGAATAAGTCGCCGAGACCCGGGAACTCCCATCAACCGAACTGCTGAGCTCAATGGCAACGAAGACAGCGAAGCTTCCCCGGAATTGGATCATGTAACGAAAACAAGACGTCTATTGACCCTTTTAAAACCTGGGCTAGTGTATGGTCCTTCCAGGAAACCCCTAATAATGAATGGTCCTGGCCGTAGTGTAGGATAATGTACAGCTCCGAGTAAATCTTCGCCCGAGAACAATGCCATGTCCTGACCAAAGCAAACATGACCTCGGAAGCGTTCCGCACTCCTTAGTCTTTTCTGTCGTCGTCTCTCGTTCATTCCATGACTGCTTCCCTCTCACACGGGAAGAGAAGCGCCAGAGAGGTAGGTTTCCCCACGGCTTGGCACTTATTTGCTGACGGCAGCCTCAACCTTGGCCTCGACCTTCTTGGCCGTGTCCTTCGCAGCCTCGACAGCACCCTGGACGCCGGAAGCCTCAGCCGCCTCCTTGCCTCCCCACTTGTTGTACTGCATCCATCGGTACATCTGGGTCAGCTGGGCACCCTCGTTGACAAAGTGGCAACCGAACAGGAGGAAGTTGCGGGGCGTGACGGCCAGGGAGTAGCGCATGAAGGTCGCGGAGTAGATGCAGAGAGCAAAGGTCATCTTTCCGGAGATCCTATTGAAAAGAAACGATATCAGCAAAAGAAGTCCTTATCCGTGAGGCTATGGTACGGGGGAGGCGTTTGACTCACAGGTCGGGGCTCTTCTGCGTGTCCATGACGGCGGCGACCGGGATGCCGAAGTTGGAGACGGGACCCCAGAAGTCTATGCAGCCAATGTGTTAGCTATGTCCCGGGTAATTGTGAAGCATATCGCAGCCTTGCGACTTTGAAAGACAGAATATAAATTCCCCCACCGGACTCGGACTTAGGCTCATCGGAGGATCCGGGAAACGTTGAACAAGTAGCAGGCAGAGGACATTGAGACCCAGACAATCAATCCCATGGAAACTCTTCTCAGCCTTGCTATCCATATCCATTGATACAACGCTACCATGGTAACTCGACGATATAATCCCCGAAGTGCTCAATCGAGGCCCGGAGTCCGAAAGCGGAAGCTAGGTTGGGGAAGGGGCAACATCGGGGAAAACCTACGCGTTGAGCAGATGTAATCCGTCACCGGGTTCGAGCGAATCTTCGCATTAGCTGCCTTGATGAGTGCGGCCATCTTGAACACTTGCGCTGCGAGCTGGTGACGAGGCGAGGCGGGAATGGGTGAGGGATTCGTGCTGAGGTCCAGTCGTTGAGCTGCGCTGGGAGAAAATTACCTACCAACGATTCCGGCGATAGATAGCACGGACCACCCCAAACCGCTTCTTCCCCCGAAGCATACCGTCGTGAACGCATCACGTGATCATTGGGAGTGCCTCCTGCAATGGCGGCTCTTGGATTAACAACCCATCCAGGATCAGTCTTACAGCGAATAAAGAGATTCTTTCAGGCATTGCATCATGGATGTTTCAATGTCATCAAGTAAAGACACTGAAGGGACATTTTGTGCGCCATGAATTGATTCATTCCTCGCAATGCCGAGCCGTTCTCAAAAGCAGACAGAGTAGTCTATCAGTTACATCTACCGTGAATGAATAATGAAGACATCTAACCCCAATGATGTCGAGGAACTGCACCCTGAACGCCTGGTGAAACTTTTGGCCACCAATCCTAAAAACTTATGAAAAATCCTGCCCGCATCAGCGACGAGGTGGCGGGTTGAAGCCGCCAGGAGGTCCGCCCTGAGGGAAGCCTTGAGGAGGGAAGGGAGGGTTGCCGGGGAATCCTGCGGGCGGGAAGCCACCAGGGAACCCAGGAGGAGGGGCTGTTGGTAATGTTAGCGAGACGGTCCAGAGATCCCAGGGGACAAGAAAGACGTACGACCACCACGACCGCCAAAACCACCTGGAGGGGCTCCGGGGAATCCAGGAAATGGCGGGGGAGCGCCACCGCCAACGCCAGCAGCAGGGCCCTGTATCAAGGTCAGCACTATACGCAACAGCATAGTTAGTACGCGAGGGCGGTTCTTACGGCCAAAGAGATGGGTGCCGCAGCACCACGTCCCGCAGGCCGAGCCACACCAGGGCCGGCTTGGAGGGTAGACGCGATACCACCACCACTCGTCTTGCCAAGTCGCGCGCTGGGGTCTGCCGGGGGCGGCGATTCGACAGACAGTGACACGATATGAGCACCCCGCACGATCGTCAATCCCAGCGTCCGCTTCTCTTCCTGCTCGATCGTCTGGCTAGCAGCACCCTCCTTGCCAGGAACCGCAGGCTTGGCCTGCTTCCGCTTGATGCGTCGGAACTCCTCGGTGTCGGCAAGAACGATATTCATGTGCTATCGAGAAAGAGTCAGTTTTGCGATATCTTCAGGTACGCCATCAGGAAGAGGTTGCATACCTTGTCGAATGCCAGCATCTGACCGGTCATTTGTCGCCCATCGTTGAGGGTGACTCGCATCCGGTAATTGATCTAGAGAACCTGGTCAGACTACCTCCTTGAAGCTAGAATCTCAGAGCCGCGCGACACGGGATAAAACGTACGTAACCGGCCTGTTGTGGAGGAAATGTTAGCTGATGAAGCTTTGGTGAAAGGGAGGTGCCTGGAGCTTTGGCAGGGAAACGTACCATCTTGCCCTGTTTGTTCGACATTTTGAGAATGGATTGCTACCGCAGTAGCTAGTTCCAGTTTCAAAAAATTGTGTAGTTGCGTCAACGTCGGCCTGACTTGAACGCGCGGTCTCTGCTCACTTCTTATGCCAGAAGCCTGAGAGTCCAGTAGAGGTATGTTATGCTAGGCGGGGAAATTTTTGGAGACGCGGCTGAAGCTCGGAACCATATCAAAGGGAGAAGGCTGAACCTCGCGGTTGTTCTCAAAGCTTGGACCACTTTTCCAGCTGAAAGCGGTCTAGCGCCAAACCTGTCGCCAACCCAAGTTCTCAGGCAGTAGGGTTGACTGGCGAGCCCCAGCACGCACCAGCACCCACACAATTTTTTTTATTCCTCCCAAGCGGGCCCAGTCAAATTCCGTGAACTTTTCCAACACCACGACCAAACCTCCTTCTCCTCAAGACCATCATCACCGGTTACTAACCAAACAGCCGTCATCATGGTACGCACACCTGATACCTCACTGCGATCGCTGTGATTGCAATTGCTAACATGCAATCTCTACAGTCTGAGAAGGCCCAGAACCCCATGCGGGAGCTCCGCATCCAGAAGCTCGTCCTGAACATCTCCGTCGGCGAGTCTGGTGACAGGCTGACCCGTGCCGCCAAGGTGCTCGAGCAGCTGTCCGGTCAAACCCCCGTCTACAGTATGTTTTTGTCCCTCTCGATCCGTCAGAATTCAATCTCTCGAGAATGCTGACCAAGAACCCCCCTCTCCTCAGGCAAGGCCCGCTACACCGTCCGTACCTTCGGTATCCGCCGTAACGAAAAGATCTCTGTCCACGTCACCGTCCGCGGCCCCAAGGCCGAGGAGATCCTCGAGCGTGGCCTCAAGGTCAAGGAGTACGAGCTCCGCCGCCGCAACTTCTCCGAGACCGGCAACTTCGGCTTCGGTATCAGCGAGCACATCGATCTGGGCATCAAGTACGACCCCGGTATCGGTATCTACGGCATGGACTTCTACTGCTGCATGACCCGCCCCGGTGAGCGCGTCACCCGCCGCCGCCGCTGCAAGAGCACCATCGGCTCCTCCCACCGCATCAAGCGCGATGAGACCGTCCGGTGGTTCAAGCAGCGCTTCGATGGCATCGTCCGATAAATGCATTCCCCCCTTTGCTAGGGAGGAGGGCATGACGGGCGAAAAGGCGGCCAGGGGTGGAAGGAAAGCATTGCATTTTCGGTCTTAATGAACATGGCATGGTTTTACGGAGTGGAGCTCAGGTCACAAAGAATTTGGGCAATTGGGAAAAGTGTACATTTCGTGCATCTCGGGGCGACTTTGGTCCCCCATCTAGCTTGACAGAAATTCCATCAGTCAAGCTACGGCCTTAGAGACCGACCGGCGCCATGCCGGCTTTCATCCTTGCATATCTGGAAATCATGCTTCCTCGTAATGATGGATGTTGACTGTAGTAGTAGATGAGGGCTGGCCCTGAACTATCAGGACTGCCCAAGCTATGTCATCACAATTCGAGTACTACCTCATCATCACTGCTCAAGGTGCACTGGTAAAGGCTCTGATGGAATTACTGGTACAATCATGGCGTCTATCATGAGGCATAGGTGAACAGAAACACCATGGCGGGTTGAAGGGACGTACTCCGTATGTCACATCTCACATCAACAGAGTCACACCTCGCATCTGTAACGCCGCTTCAGACATTGTAAGCGAGAACTTGTTCCACGTTCGGCAGTCACGAAGGCAAACTCGATGGTAGTATTATTTTGTTGAAAGACTCGCGTGTATTCCAGGTCTTAAGCGCCGATTTACACACCCTCCGTTTCAACACATACGGCCAGGTAATCCGACGTTCTAAATATGTAGACATGAATTAAAGAACTGAGTGCTCTGTACTTCTCGCACTTTGATGCCCCGTCAGACATGCATACACCGTCGCCTCCATCTCTGATATCATTAACGATTTATTCAATATCCCTCCCTGGACTAGCCGCTCCATTCAAGACCGCTCGTCCTTGGTCTCCATCAAATCATTCGGCAGCAGCGCCGTGCTCACCACACAGCCCAGCATAACACCCCCAGCCAGATGCAGCACACTATTTCTTCATCCTCGGCAGTCTAAATGCCTTCAAGGTACCGCGAACATGGCACGAATCTCCTGCTCCAAATCGCTGTCCATGAGCAAAGGGGTTGTTGCAGGCTGTCCAACTCCGCTTGATTCTCCCTTTCCATTCCGTAGCGTTGCGTGGTCAGGCCGACTCTTGTTTTGATGCCCCTTTGTCACCATTATCAACGCATAGCCCGTCAGCACGGCGAAAATCGGATACGCGATCCCAAAAATCACCAAAGTAGGATCGTTGATCGTAAGTGGAGACCGTGCGTTCGTAAAACCGACTGGTACGATGCAAATTGTGAAAAGAGTGTGGACGGCGATGACACGCATGGTCGCGTCGGTCATGCCTGGGTCGGAGTCGGCAAACGGACAGAGAACGGCAGGTATTCGAAGTGTGCGTTGGATCGCGCGGCCCCAGCGAATGATCCGAGCGCCGTGCGGCTTGATGAGAAGCACATCGAACAGGACGATGATGGAGGCGAGGAAGCAGCGGCCGATGCACTCGAAACAGATTTGGGCACAGCATTCACCGAATGCGTCCGACATCTTGAAGACTCTTTGAGGAGAAGAAGATGGAAGTAGTGGATGGGAGAATAGAGACGGAAGCCTGCGGCAGGTAGTAAGAACAAAACTTTGTGATGATCCAGGTAGAAACTGGCTTGGGATTCGTCGAGTTCCTAAGGTGATATATAGGAGGAGATGAGGTATTGAACCAGCCAGTAGCCTAGCAAGTTATGTAAGTAGGTAGCCAGTTCAGAACTTTGGTACCGAATGCAGCACCTTGGTCGGGATTTGGCTGGGTCGATCCAGCCATGGAAGACGCGAATCTTCTCAATTCCTTCTTTGCGTCGATACCCAGGCACCTACCTGTCTGCTCAGTCAATCCATTGCTTCGTGTCCGAGCCCCTTGCCTTCGATGCTGCGAGAGGTGCCCATATCAAGTGAAGATCAACTTACTGTCCGAGGTTGATATCTTAACTTACATTATCTCTAATACTTAGATAAGAAATAAACAGTTGAATAGATACATCTAGTATTATTATAGAGATAGATAAGATTTTATTTCTATTTGGTGCATTATTCAAGTCTTTTGTAATATTGAACCCTACATCGATGTCTTCCTTCAACCTTCGATCCAAGCATGGCCAACCAAGTGGGCGTCTGAATAGTTGACGGAAGTTCATCAGGAGCTACCTCAATCTTAACAATCAATATCCTTGTTACATCCTTGCCCTAGAACTCGGAAGGGCTATACCACTACCTAAGTCTGATTGGCTCGATGGATAGTCAAGTACTTCTGTTAGCAGTCCGTCAACTAATTTGACCATCACTTGCCAACCCACATCAGTTCAGGAATATTCGGAAGGAGGATGGTTCAATGAAGTCTCAGAACTTCCACATGCAATACTTCAATATCTTTTCGACGGTGGTTGGTCCACGGATTGTTGCGGTGCTAGGCTAGGCATCAACCTATCTCACAGCCACGATCTCATGCAGACTGCCTGGCCCCCAAATGGCCGCAGCAAACCCCACCCGACAAGGGTGTCGGAGGACTCAATAACTTTGGGGAATCCGTCAGCAGCGTCAAATTTTTGGTGACATCTTCGTCCTTGACAAAAGACTCGATGCCCGCTTTCGTATACAAGCCTCTAGCTGCCGAAGGGACCAAGATCCGGCTCCTGGAGCTGTTGCCTGGCAGAGGACGGATACAATGTCGCATGGCGCCAGCAGACCTCGAGAACCTCTCACAGCCGTACGAGTCGCTATCGTACTGCTGGGGGGATCAGACGAAGCAGATAGCCATCACCCTCAACGGTGATGACTTCGAGATTGGAGCAAATCTCCGAGCGGCGCTGAAGCGCCTGCGCTTCCGGAACAAGTGCCGTGTCCTCTGGGTCGACGCTATCTGCATCAACCAAGCCAGTGTAAAAGAGAAGAACACGCAAATCCCGCTGATGAGGTACATATATCAGCGGTCGAGCAGGACTATAGTCTGGCTGGGCGAGCACGACCGCAAGACCGCGAGGGCCGTCCGGATAATCAACTTCCTCGGGGAGTGGGAAAAGGAGCACCCGGAGCTCGAGGCTACTGACTATGCCCGATGGAAGGCTCTGCGCCGGGAGAGCTTCGGGAAGAAACCGAGCCCTGTAGGGCTTTTATCCCTTGCCTGGGCACAGTTGGAACGGCTTCGTGCGATCCGGGGGATATACTCCGTCTTTGAGCGGCAGTGGTTCAAGCGTGTTTGGATCATCCAGGAGCTGGCAGTCTCTGGCGAGGTTGTGCTCGTCTGCGGATCTTACATGATCAGATGGGATGTCGTTGACAGAGCCTATGCCATCTCGAGCAACCGGTGGGACGAAGACGACTACCTGGCCAACCTCATCGAGCAGCGACGGCGCTATCAGTTATCCGCTCCTGCGACGCTGGCCGACAAGATCCTAGCGGCATACTCGGCCGAGGCGACAAATGTGAAAGACCGGATCTATTCAGTGGTCGGTCTGGTTCCTGAGGCCACGGCTGGGATGATTCCAATCAATGTCGACTATGACGGCGATGTTGCGGAGCTGTTCAGAGATACCACGAGGAAATGCCTGGAAGCGACTGGCGATGCGAGCATTCTTTCGATTTGCTTCGGGGATAGTGAGGATCGCCCGGTCGGCACGCCCTCTTGGGTCATGAGGTTTATCCGGAATGGGAGGGAGACGGTAAACCACGGCCTATTTGCTTGGTCTGTCTCTACAGATGCCCAGTTTACCGCCAGTCAGGATTCGTCATGCAGGCCACTGTTTGCTGGACGCGACCTCTTGGAATTATCAGGCTACGTACTCGACACGGTGACCACTGTGGGGCCGGTGTTTATTGTCACCCTGCACATAGGAGTCCCGAGGACGCCCAAGGAGTGGGTGATGGAAATAGAGACATATCTGCGATGGCGGGCGGTGGCCGAGGTGGACTCTGGCCATGGTTATCTGACTACATCGGAGTCGATGTTGAATGCTTTCCGACACACGATATGTCCCGATCTCAGGGCAACAAGCCCCGATCTCACGGACGAGCAGCACCACGATCTATTTGCAAGAGTAGACAACTTCCTGATGACACACTTCAACCCGCTGATGAGGAGGACAGAGGATGGGGAGATGAGACTCGATGTTTTCAAAGCCGTCACCGCCGTCGTCAAGCTGCGTCTCAAGGTCCTGATGGGAGATACGACGATGGGTGACGAAGCGCTCGACTTTACAAATGCTTTGATCATGGTCGGGTGGAGGCGTATTGCCCGAGGCAAGGCCGGATACCTCGGCCTGGTACCACAGGAGACAAGACAAGGCGATCAGATTGTGTTACTAGCTGGCTCTGACTCGCCCTTTATCCTGAGGCCGGTAGGCTCAAGATGGCGATTGGTTGGAGATGCGTATGTGCATGGAATTATGAAGGGAGAGGCATGGAAGGAAGAGAGATGTGAACCAATATGGATTGAATAATAATACGTAGTCACGAAGCAGATATGTATCCTTAAAATAGACACCACAGCAAAGAACGAGTAAGTTATGGTTCATCTGAGAAGTAGTCTAAGACGGTAGATGAAGCAGATTGTGAGTCTTTGGTCGCCTGTCGGAAGAGATGTTGATCAAATTCATGTTGAATATGTCAGTGAGAGTTTGCTATCCTAGCAACTTAGACACTAGGAACAGGAACAGTCATTGCTGCCGGACCTTTGGCCCTTCTCGAGTGCTAGTCATCAAAGGGCACAGGTTGTATCACTGATAGGTCCACTAACCTCTGTAAACTACCCCAAACTTTTGAATTACGAGTGAGTTCATGATGGCATTGTCTGACTTGCGCTGATCAGTAGACAAAGCAGCAAACCAACCACCTCCTCAACCGCGCCCTTCCCAATAAGAGAAGCATAACACAATCATCTTTATGGAACACGTGTACTCAAAGACTGGCTGTTTTCAAGACAACCTCAAAGATGTCAGCTCTAAGACTACTTTAACCCCAAGACGACCCCGATGGGTCGAAATTCAGGGCTATCCTAGTCTGGGGATGGAAGGGTCATACAAGGTCTGGCCGTTATGTGATGGTCGATCAAGGAAATTCTGTACAGAGCCGAACGTTGAGTTCAGAGTTCAGGCTCATGGCAAATCACTTCTAGTCTCCCAGTCCCAGCAGGCATATATAGATCTCTGTACCATTTCCCTGCCGAATTGTGTTATGGACACGCTCGAAAGGGCAATTAGGATGGTATTACACAATAGATATGACTGAGTGGACGTATGTGTGGTTGAGGTTAATGTTGACGATATCCATGCAGTTCTTTTTGAGATACTTATTGGGCTCAAGGCGATGGTGCATATCCCCAAGTAATTCAACATGAACACCTTTGCAGCCGGAGGTGTACCCACTGCTGAGGCTCCTGCCGAGGAGGTGATCAATTCCCAAGACAACCCCGAGATTCAACAGCCTGGATAGATCTCTACACTTGGAGGGTAGGGTTTAGAGAAAGAACATCATGTCTATGGACCGATCAAATTCTGGTGAAGTATCGAGCGTGACTCCCCCCTGTGGTAGTGAGAGGTGGTATGTCACATATGGACATAAGGCCATTATCACTACCCGCCACGGTTAGCATACCGTCTAGCGCAATGCCGTACCTCAAAGGAAAGGGCATCGCGGCACCTTTGGTGAGACGGACCCAATCAGTGACACGTGGGAGGCATCTGGTGACAACACCAGAACCAGCAGCGTGTTCACAGCTGGCTGTGAATAGCTGGTCGGTGTTTGCTGTTTGCTTTCCTGTGGAATAAGTATTTAACAGGGTCGTTGCCCCATCGAGAATACCCAAGAGGTGTTCTCAATAACGAATGCGTGTTCACCAGAAACAGCAGAGACCATTCCAACATCCAACCAATATTCAAAGCAAAGCTCACTTCTCACAGCCACGACATGGCTTACCGGGGCACTCAACGATTCTTCGCCGGGATCCCGCCCCTACCTGATATCCCGAACCCGATGGCCGGCCGCTCCCGTCGGCAGACCAGCCTGCACAATGATGGCTTCACCATACCAAAGGCTGAGGATGTGGGGCTGGATGAACGCGACTCGAGGATCATACTAGATCCGCAGCATATCCGATTTGCGTACGAGCTGCTCAAAACAACGATTTCGACCCGGTCGGTCCGCGTGGTGCCACTTGGTAATACTGCCAAAGCAGTTTGGCCGAGCCAGATCCCCTGGAGCGAGGTAGCACTTGTGGAGATCCAGGTGAACACCAATCATCGGCACTTGCACGACCAAATAAAGAAAGAGGATCGGTGAGTTGAGAGGAGGCTCCCACCTTCACTCCGCCATGGATATTGGCTAACTCGGTCGCGGCAGCATCTTCGGCGACGGTACAGAAATCGGCGCAGAGCTCTGGGTCCTGACTTCGAATGACCCTTCGCAGGGTCCGTTGAGCCGTGTGCCGGCAAGAATCTGGTTTGGTGGCAATATGGAATGGCTCGAGCAATGGGGCTGGACTTTTAACCACGATTTGCCGGCTCCGGCGACGGACACTCCTTGAATCTTCCCTTGGCCAACTTTTGTGACATTCCTGTGCTGCAGTTTTGACACGGCGACTTTGGAACTCGAAGAAATATTTGTATTTCCTTGATGGACAGGGCTGCGTCCCATAGCACTCTCATTCAAGTCCAAGAGCCTTACTGCAAATAGGGCTAGCTTTTGAATTATGGTGGCAGCTTTGCATTGTTGTCCACAGATACATGAATACCCCATTTAAGTTCGTTTCTATGCTTATCTACAGGGCATATGTCATCGTACGTGAAGCAACATGGTCTCCAGTAAACCGCGCATTTGCGGAAGCCCCATCAACGTATGTTATGAATTTGATCGACCCAAAGCCTGTGCGTAGTAGCAGCATTCTCTACAAACACAATATCCCAGTGTCTATCAAGGCTATATACCTTCCAAAACCTTACTTTTTTCTCGTTTGTGGCGCCATCTCGGGCCCCATCGAATTTCGCCATAGATGCAAAGCAGGAGCAAGCTGCTGAGTGCCCCCAACAAAGTGTAAGTCCAACCGTAGCCCAGCCTCTGTGTTGCTTTGTCAATGAGCGATACGAGCAGAGCGGCTAGAGAGCAGCGGACTAGGTTAGTCTATTCCTTGTCAGCAGGCCCCCTCGCGTATCTGATCAGTGACTAAAAGGGGCTTACGCAAGCAATGACTCCTGAGCTCTGCTCCTTGATAATGTCTATCATTAGAGTCATGGTGGAATTAAGTATCGCGATAGAAGTGTATCCCACTATTCAAATCAGTTTCAAAGGCTTTCAGATATCTCAAGTTGACTTACTGATCACTTGCAGGACTAACGGAGCGGCGATCGAAGCCTTTGCTTGTATGCTCCAACCCCATCCAATGAGGCTGGCGACGAATCCTACCAACAGGATTGGAGACATGCGGAGTCGTGCATACTCGATAGGGAAATGAATGTCGTTTTCGCCATCCAACTCCTCGCCCATACTAGATGGGTCGGCATTGAGTCGTTTCTGTTTAATATGCGCATATTCGCGATCTAAGAGTTTGCCCGTGACTGTAGAGCCCACAATCATTCCTAGACCCGTTGACAGATAGCATATTCCCAGCATTGTCTGTGACAGAAACGGGTATGTGACTGCAAACGATGAAGAGATGGTCGAAGTGACGGTGTAGTTGACGGCATAGACAATCCCAGTATATGCCAGTGTCAACGCGATGTCAGGATAAAGCAGGAGACGGAACGGGTTTGCACTGCCCTTCTTATTCGGTTTCCTTTTCTCGCCCCCCATTGTATCCCCCAAAGTCGACTTGGTTCTCCGCCCGATGAGAGGAGTAAGTGGCTTCCACAACAGACCAGGGGGATCTTGACTCCCATTGCCAACCAAGGCTCTCATCGTCTCCGGGAGAAGGAATAGGATCATGGCAAAACACGCAATGGAGAAAATTGCCAGGAACCAGAATATGGCCCTCCATCCGAGACGTTCCGAGATGACACCGCCCAGTGCTGGTCCAATGCAAGGTGCCAGCATGGGTCCGAGGTTGAACATCCCGAAGAACCCTCCTCGCTCGTCAACAGTCGCGATATCACCGATGAGGCCGGCTCCCAATGCGATCATGCTGGCGCAACCTCCGGCTTGTACGGCCCGAAGCAAGAGCAGGAGCCAGAAAGCAGATGTTGGGCACAGAGCCAAGCCTACGCTCGAGCCGACAAGGATCAAGAGGCAGACGAGGAATAAGGGCCTCCGCCCATAGCGGTCGGAGAGCGGCCCCCAGAGCATCGGTGAACATCCTTGCATGGCCAGGTAGATTGTGACTGTCAAGTTGATGTCCTCGATGGATCTGTCAAAGACCGTTGCCAGGGTAGGGATCGCTGGAAAGTAGATGTTTGCAGGCAGAGGGCTAAACAAACCCGCGGTGGCTACCATGCTGACGAGTGTCCATTTTTCGAAGCGGTTGTAGATGCTGTAGGGTGGTGGTGTTGATGGGAGACCGGGCTCCGTCGTCGACTCGACCAGACCGCCTGCCGCTCCGTTCACAGCAACAGGAGTCTTCTCATCTTTCATGTCTTGCATCGCGTTGAAGACATGCGACTCCTTCATATTTGGGGCCGCTGTTGGATTTCTTCCAGTCACGCATGCTTCGCAAACATTACAGTAGGTTCAGCTTTTGGCTCTAAAGTTCTTCAGGCAAGTGTTGCCAGCTTAGTCCATCTCCAAGATGCGATATCCAATGACTTTGTGACCTACAGTTGCGAAGTCGGCCATGCAGGGATTGTTTTGTCAACCTTTCATGCCCTAACACCCACTCCGTGACTCGTCATGCCCGCTTTCGACGGGAATAATATGCCGGCTGGTGTGGGCCGGCCTTATCTCCAGCATAGCGTAGAAGCCCATTGCCGGACGTTGATTGATAACATAATGTCATGATAAGACACTTGCCGGGACGAACAGAGTCTCCGGCAGGATAGATAAGACTCGGTCTGCTTGATCAAAAGAATATGCCGGGGCACGAGCGACTTGTAAGTGATCACCAGCTCGTGTGAAGAATGGACCAGGCTTCAACAGTATCTTGCTCGCCGCTGCCGGCAAAAGCTCCAGCTCGGACGTTCAAGCGCGTGTCCAAGGCTTGTCGGCGTTGCAGGCGGCTCAGGACGAAGTGTGTCAACCAGGGCGGCATTCCACCCTGTGAGCCGTGCCGCCAGGCTAACCTAGAGCCTGAATGCTGCTTTCCAGCTCGTGGTGATCCGGGTGCGGATCGTGCATTTCGGCAGCGCAGGTTCCACGCGCCTCCTCCGCAGCAGTCAATCGAAACCAGCACAACCATTGCCACATCCCCACCAAGCGTGCAGACCCCTTTCGCCCACCCTCGAAGACAGTCCGGATCCATCACGGTGCCGGGTGCTTTGTTCGCCCCCAGCCCGGTGTCTGCGCAACTGGCGCTCTCACCAGTCACCCCGCTGCCATGCCCACTAGGATGGGAATCCCTCCCGCCTTACGACGAAGTGGTGGAGGGTGTCCAGTGCCTGGCAACATCCTTCTTCCAGCTTGGATTTCTGGCCAAGACACTCTTCTTCGAGAGACTAAGGAAGGACCGGGATTCTGTTAGCATCTTCCTTCTTTGCAGCATTTTGAGTGTCTCGGCTCGATTCACACCTTCTTTGGTCAAGAGGTATCATGGAGGCACCAATGCAACGCGAGCTTTCCTGGACATGGCGTCCTGCTTCGCCCCGACGCAAATGTTCACCTCGACCCTCGATTCTATCCAAGGCTTTTTCCTGATGAGCATCGCCGAGTGGGGAAACGGGGATCAGAACAGAAGCCTGGTCTACATGGGCATAGCCATCCGTCTCGCCGGCATCCTCCGCATGCATCGAGAAGAGACATATCGCCTACCAGAGAAGGCTACGAGCGAGGAGATTGTCTACTCCGAAGTAGCCCGGCGGACGTTCTGGATGCTGGAGACCTTTGAAAACCTTCACTCCGGCTCAGACTCGCCCATCGCCTTTTCCTATGACGACATTACTGCACTCCTGCCCTGCGACGAGAGGGACTTCGCCTTCGGCGTCCGGCCTCAGCAGCGAGCTGCGCTGTTAGGAACACCTCCGGCAACTCACGATCCAAAGCTGACAAAGCTACCCACGAGGTCGCTCTTTGCAACACTCTTGCAGACGCATAGTCTCTGGGGCCAAGTCGCGCGACTGGTCAGCGCGGAGGCCATGCAGTTCGGAGACGGTGTCGAGTCAAGGATAAGTGTCGATGACTACGGCAACTTATCTCAAGCTCTGATGAATTTTGAGAGTGATCTTCCCCAGCAACACTGCTGGTCGGACTGGAACTTGCGTGGGTTCAAAGTGGAGGGTTTAGACCTCGCATACCTCTCTGTCGTGATGGTGCTGCGCCTGAGCAACATTATACTTAGGCGCAACTACCTACACTTCATCCTAAGTTCGCGACGTGACACAGACTCCACGTCCTCCTCTTCAGAGCAGTCGATAGCAACAGAGGCGTGGTCACCTGTCGCTGACCAACTCTTTGACAACATGCTCATGCTCCACGAACAAATCAATGCGTTCTTTGAGCACAGAAGTCCCGATCAAGGCTACCCCGCACTCATAGTGTTCTGCATCTATGTCTGCGGATCGTTGGCAGTCCATCTACATCGACAGCCGCAACTATGTCCTCGGGCTGCACCACAGGCAGTCGAGATTCTCAGAACTTCGATGGGAGGACTCGTGAATCTACAAGCTGCCTGGCCTTTTGCGAGGAGATGGTATCTGGCGTTGTCTCAAGCAAGCGAACACATACTCTTGGAGGATTCGGCCAACCGTCTTACCGAGCAGTCGATCAACGACGCGGGTTCAGGCACACGCATGGAAGCCTCGATTGGTCCAGCGCTTCCAATGGAAGTTCAGTTCAACGACCCGTTGCCCACTGAGTCTATGTTTGAAGCTTTTGATATGTATTCGTGGGACGCGGTCGTACCCGTTGGCGGAGCATGGGGCGGATGAGTGCATACAAACCTCTGCTCTGTGAGGCCTCATGGCCTTCGTTTCACTGCACACAAGCTTTCGCAATTAATGCAATGGATTGTTTTAAGTGCTCTACCCCAAGTGCTACGACTTGTGCCCTGCCCATCCTTTCGATATGTTTATGATCGCCTCCTCTTCTGATACAACATCGGCATATTTTGAATCCAGGTCGAACAAGTTGGCTTTCTGAATTTCAGGCGTACGGTCTCCACATGCTGAAGCCACGACCTAGATACAAAAGGTGAGCTACAATGGCCAAGAATGATTGTCCTCGTCTCACATACCATCGGCCTGAAGCCATGCTGCATCGCGTCCAACGTGGTCGCCCTCACACAGCCGGACGTGCTCACACCGCAGATGACTAGAGTATCCACGTTCATGACCTAACATGAGAACCATTAGTTAACCGTCGCAGGTTGGTTTCTTAGGTTCACCGATATCGTTACCTGAAGTGTAGAAGCAAGGGTCGTGCCAAAGAATGCACTAGCATACTTCTTGACCACGACTGCGTCTCCGTCGGCGGGTTCCAGCCCTTCGAGACACGCAGCCAGACCTCTCGTGTCGCCCTTCTTCCACACGTCCAGGACCTTGGCCTTGTGCCAGAAGAGACCTGCGTCCGCCATGTCTGGCTGCGTGTACTCGACCTGGCTCCAGACCACCGGGATCTTGGCCGCTCGCGCTGCCTTGACCAGCTTGCGCATCGAGTCTGGCGCTTGTTCGGCATCTGGGTTTCCCAACAGAGAGAGCGGCGACGACGCGTCCCAGTACGCCTTGCAGACGTCGATGATGAGCAGGGCAGGGCGTTTGCCCCAGCCCATGCGGTTGGCGAAGCCGGACCGGGCGTACGACTCGGAGGATGCGTGTTGGACAGACATGACGGGAAGAGTTTGTTTGCGGAGCACCCTTCCGTCTGGTGTTAATCGTGCAACAAGCTGTACGGCTTCGCTAATGATGCATCAAATCGTTAGATAGTGTCTGTTCTTATCGAGTGACAAGTGCCACGATCACCACCAATCTTGTTCCCCCACACCAGATAGCCGGCCGGCAATCTAGGCATCCCCACACTGCCGGCAAGGGTCATGTAGTTCTGGGATGGCTCTGAGTCACCCACTGCCCAGACCTCGCACGCCTCGACGAAAGCATTCATGAGTCAAAGGTCCGGCACACGATGGAATGCAGGAAGAAGTTTCGAGGGAAATGGCCAGGCAAAGAAGTGTCTACAGTCTAGACTTTCGAAGCTTGACTGAACCAACTTGCTCCTGAAACTCCCACGCGCTTCTTGATCTCGACTTACACTAGAAAGCCATGGCTGATCCCTCTCGTCCCGTACACCAGCCCATCCAGCCCCATGTCCGGCCCCTGCTAGACCCGGAGTACGTCGCCTTCCACGACAAGTACTTCCAGTACCTCGTCCCGGACGACACCAAGCCCTGGGACGGCTCCGCCCGGCTCAAGAACCCGCACCTGCCGGCCACGGAGAGCGAGCCCGTCCCCGTAGGCAACGTCCGCGACATCAAGGTCAACGACAACTACACGGTCCGCGTCTTCACCCCGGACGGGCCCAAGCCGGCGGCAGGCTGGCCCGTCTTCCTCTGGTTCCACGGCGGCGGCTGGGCCGTGGGCGACCTCGCGGCCAACAACGACGTGTGCGCGCTCGTCTGCCAGCGGGCCCGCTGCGTCGTCGTCTCGGTCGCGTACCGCCTCGCGCCCGAGCACCCCTACCCGGCGGCCTTTGAGGACGCCGTCGACGCGCTCCGCTGGGTCCGCAGCGAGGCCGGCTCCGCGGCGCTGGGCGGGACGGACCCCGGCCGCGTCGCCGTGGGCGGCACGTCCGCGGGCGGGCAGCTGGCGGCGTCGCTGTCGATCGCCGCGGCCTGCGGAGAGATCGAACCGCCGGCCAGGCTGGCGTTCCAGCTGCTCGTCGTACCCGTCGTCGACAGCACGGCGACGGTGGAGACGGCGTGGGCGGCGAACCGGGACGCGCCGTGGCTGACGCCGGCGCGCATGACGTGGTACCGCCGGATGTACCTGCCCGACGAGGGCCGGGCGCGGGAGTGGCAGGTCTCGCCCAACTTTGCCTCCCGGGAGCTGCTGGCGGGCAGCCCGCGCACCTGGATCGCGGTGGCGGAGCAGGACATCCTGGCGCCCGAGGCGGAGGGGTACGCTGCGCAGCTGGCCGAGGCGTGGGCAGAACGGGGCGTCGAGGACGTCGAGGTCGTGACCAAGATCTACCAGGGATCGTGCCACCCGATGCTGACACTGAACGGTATGTCAAAAGCGCCCCCACTGAGATTTTACAATGGAGAGACTGACTTGACTTGGTGAGATAGGTGTGCTCTCAAAGGGCCAAGAGTTGCTACAGGATACGGCTAACCAGGCCGCTAAATGGTTCTCGGAATGACGACTCTATTCAATAGCGGGTAGCAAATGTCTATTTATGGTTGACCTTTTTGATTTCGAAGTGTGGTATTGATTAGAAAGGAAACCTCTCCAAATGCCATGGTGGTCTGGGCCGAAAATATGTGCAAAAGGAATTTAACCTCCATCACCAAGCATAGTGAAGAAGTGAGTTGTAGTATGCTCGAGCATCACGATCTAAGTCTATTGCAACGTCTAGGTATCAAGTAAATCATAATAGATGATCGCCTTCCAGAAGCTGCCTCGCCCGCTCCGACCTCGGCACGATGACACAACCAAAGCTATCCGGAACATTACTAAGTCCATTGGTGAAAGCCACGCGCGGCTTAACCTCGTTCCCTTCCTCGTCTACCGGACACTTGAGATCCATAGTAGCCAGCATAGTCGCAATCAAAATGTAAACACCCGAGAGCGCAAGGTACTGCCCCGGGCAGACTCTCCTGCCGAAGCCAAAAGGCCCGTCGGGCAGGGGCTCGCCTCTGCCGCCCTCGGCAACGGGGAGGTACCGCTCGGGCGCAAAGTCGTCGGGAGACTTGTAGTACCGCTCGTCCCTCGACATGGCCCAGGCGTTGGCATAGACCACCGAGCCGGCGGGGATGCGGTAGCCCTTGTACGTGTCCTCGGCCACCGACGCGTGAGGGACGCCCAGAGGCGAGAGAGGCGCCCAGCGGGTCGTCTCCTGGATCACGTACTCGAGCCACTTGAGCTGCGGCCTGTCGTCGAAAGTGGGGAGCCGGAGCACGTCGCCGTTCTCGTCCACTCCAATAGCCGCGAGGATCTCGGCGCGGGCTCTCTCTTGGACGTCGGGGTGGAGGACCAGGTTCAGGATGCAGACCATGATGGTGGACCAGGTGGTGTTGCCCCCCGCGATCGAGATGGCACCGGCCGCGCCCTTGATGTCCTCGACGGTGGCCTCATTCGCCTTGCCGCTCGCTTCGTTTGCCAGATAGCGTCCAAAGTGGGTATGCATGAACGAGGGCTGCATGTCCTTTTCCGCCCTGATCGATGGCTCGACGGCATCCCATGGTGCATCGTGGAGACTTTGGATAGATGGCTTGGTGCGGCGGGCGTGGACGAGAGGGCTGAGCAGGCTGCTAACCCGAGCAAGGGCGGAGGGTAGATGTCGCAGTGGGGGAAAGAAGTCTATGACAGTCGCGGCAGGGACACCGCCCTCGCCAGTTGCCTCCTCGACATCGATGGCCATCTTGACATAAGGGTCGTCCTTCTCCTGGATCTTGATCCCGAATCCAATACGGAGCACGACTGCCGTGGAATATTGCCGAAGAAGCACCTCCCAGTTCTGAGGTTCGTGCATGATGGACTTGATAGCCCGCTGAGCTTCTTCAGCCTGGATGGGGCGGTAGGCTTTGCAGGCAGTCTGCGTGAAGGACTGCTGAAGCATCTTGCGATGCAGCCTAAAGCGCGGGGACCACCGCAGGAAGGTGAGTGTAACTCCCCATCCCATAACCTCGAAGAGGACGAATCGCGGCCGGTCTCCGTAGTTGGCTCCGCGCTTGTCAAGGAGATCGCGGGCCGCCTCGATGCTGTTCAGAACGATGATGTCCCGTCCGAGCACGGAGAAGTGAAGGACGTCAGAGCCATAGTCCTTGCCCCACTGCGTATAGGCAAACTCTGGGTGATCGGCGGGCACAACGCGCAGGTGACCTAGGAATGGTTCCGCAGGAGGTCCAGGAGGAAGAGGGAGCTTGCCGCGGTTCTGGAACTGCTTGTACAGCACAGAGAGAATCGCGGCGGCAACGGCAAAGAGGAGCACTTGTGTGCTCGACAGGTTGAACAACATCATGTTCAGCAATATCGGTGAGAGCCGCTCGCTTGTGCGGTCGCTGTCTACCGATCAGGGGGCGATGGGGTGCAACCAAGGCGGCAGCGGATGTCTCGCGTCAAGGCGGCTATATAAAACTTTTCCTTAGTCGGTGATGCCTCTGGTTCAGGTGAAGATGACACAGCCCGCGATGAGCTGTCCAGTGGCAGGCCATTGGTTATACGTGACGCGCTCCGGCAGGTCTCTGTACGCCGTGATTGGCAGATGTGGCTGCCAGTGATGTGTGCCGTATTGCTCATCCCATATCAGCCCCGACTGGCGATGCAGGTGGAACCAAGGAGGTCGAATTGCGGGGATGGGTTTGCCGGCAGAGATAAGAATCGCGCGGTCACTGATTACGTGCTATTCTCACCCGGCTGGCAAAGCGTTGAATCTCCACCCGGCCGGCAAGAGAGAAAGCCTATGATAATCGTACTATGCTAGTCAGCAGCAGCCAGTCACCTAGTCCGGATTCGCCGCTCTCCGCTATGATGGCAACACCACTTGCCGGGGTCAGAGGCTTGTTCTCTTCGCAACATACGTACATCTTCAATTCTTAATTCACCCCGTTTATCTTGGCCCTGCGCTGATGCTGAGCATGTTTGTGTCTCGGGCAGGAGGACTATGAATCACAAGACACAGTTGATCACCACAAAACATACTTGAATTCATAGAGTTCAGATGGGCTTCGCCGCCGAGGAGCCAGCCGGTGCGCCCCCAGCCGGAGCTACGGCCCAGGGGCAGACGACGCCGACAGCGACCGATCCGTATTCCTACCAAGTCGGGTTCGGCAACAGGTTCGCAACAGAGGCCATCGCCGGTGTCTTACCGCGGGGGTGCAATACTCCGCAGCGATGCAAATACGATTTGATTTCAGAGCAGATCAACGGCACGCCCTTCGTGTCGCCCCGGGCATCTCTGCTGAACGCTTGGTTCTACAGGATACAGCCTTCAGTGGTTCATAAGCCGTTTCAAAGGCTAGACGAGAACCCAGATCTCGAGGCAGTGTTCACTCCGCCCAACCCAAATGTCGTCTTCACACCGCAGGACCTGGGGTGGGACAAGTTCCCTTTACCAGAAGATGGAGCCTCGGTCGACTTTATTTCTGGACTGAGGACTATCGCTGGTCATGGCGACCCATCGCTGAAGGAGGGCATCGCTGTACATGTCTACACAGCAAATGCGCCCATGATAAAAAGAGCCTTCTGCAACAACGATGGAGACATGCTCGTCCTGCCCCAAGAAGGTCGGTTAGACATCCAGACCGAATTTGGCCGCCTCATGGTGCGACCTGGAGAACTCGTCGTCATCCAAGCGGGAATGAAGTTCACAGTCACGCTGCCGGATGGTGTCGGACAAGGCTACATCCAGGAGGTCTACGGCAGCCACTACGAGCTGCCCGAGCTAGGTCCAGTGGGTTCCAACGGCATGGCCTTGCCTCGGGACTTTGAGACGCCCGTGGCCAGCTTCGATGTCGACATGTCCAAGTGGCAGATTGTGGTCAAGCTGATCGGGCAGCTCTTTAGCTATGAGCAGAGCCACACGCCCTTCGACGTCGTCGCGTGGCACGGCAACTACGCGCCTTACAAGTACGCCCTCGAAAATTTTGTCAACTCGGCAACGGTGGATCGCGACCAGAGCGACCCGTCCATCTACTGCGTCCTGACGGCCAAGTCCAAGAGGCCCGGCGTGTCCACGTCCGACTTTCTCGTGTTCACGCCCAAATGGAGCGTCACGCGCAACACCTTTAGGCCGCCCTACTACCACCGCAACGTGTCGACAGAGCTCATGGGCATGATCTGTGGCAAATGGAGCGGATCGGCCACGCATCTTGAGCCCGGAGGCCTGACCTACGAGCCGAGCTACATGCCTCACGGCGAGAGCTACGAGAGGTGGAAGTCGGCCACGAGTGAAGACCTGCAGCCGCAGCGCGTGGGAGACGGGGTCATGGCGTTCATGATGCACATCTCTGGGCATGTGTCGTTGACAAAATATGCCCTGGAGAGGTGTAGTAATCTGCAGCCGATCCAAGAGGATTTGTGGGATGACTTCCAGCCTGGGTTTTTGAAGCATCTGAGTGGTGGCGCGGTCAATGGGGACGCCAAACCTCATGTCAACGGAGAGTCGAAAGAGGGCTAAACTAGCAGATTGTGAAACGGATGTGGGTGTGAATTTCATTCAAACATAGCATTGAATCCATATCTATCAGAACTTGCAGAACAAGTTTCTCGCTAGGTCCATATGAGAAGTGCAAGCTACATTGTCCAAGGATCGTGAGCAGGTTGATACGCGTGTCGCAATCATCACATACTTGCATGTAAGTGACTACTTTCAACAGCCACGGATCAGCTGCTATCATTGACCCTTTGCCCGGACTGTTCCTTTCCCAAGATGTACAGCCGGCCATTGCAGGAGACATCGAGCCAGTACAAGGCAACGGACCTAGATAGTGGGATAATCCATTGCAGAGAAACGCTTCGAGTCCGACAAGCTCGGGTTCGAACCCCAAACGCTACCTCTACAAGACCTAGACTCTGATCGTTTATCAGTAGGAGTTGTAAATTCCAGTTGCCTGACCAAATTGGTCTTATCAGGCCCCGGGTTGCAAATGTGGACCGCAGTCTAGATGTTATCCACTTTCCGGCAACTCCCCCAAGGGCCGGCTAAGAATCCCCAAGATAATGTCTAATCTCTTCTCGATAAGTGGTCGAGAGATAGTCAGCTTGGCAGAATCTCCAATCTGCCATCTGGGGAACACCCTTGAAAGGGGCCCGGGGGTTATAACCAGACCTTTGCAGCTCCCAGAGCCTCCTGTCAACTCCTGAGACCCGTCTTGCCGCATCCTCCAAAACACCCGTTTTGTTTTACTGAATTACGACGTGCTACCGACCACAAGAATGGGTTACCAGGAAAAGGGCTCCCCGAGCCCGCCGGCCACCGCCATCGATGTCGATGTGGCTGAGTCGCAAGACTTTCGTCGAGGCCGAGTAAGCTCATGGCTTTCCAAGGCCACATCATGGGGCGTCGAAGTCCGCGGTATTACACCCGTCCCTCTAGAAGAGCGAGTTGACAAGCGTTTCATCAACGTCTTCTTTGTTTGGTTTACCATGAGCACCAACCTTCTTCCGTAAGTTTCCCCTTCTGTGATATGTCACTTAGATCACCATTTTCATCAAGTTAGAAGTAACTAACACAGAGTCTGCCAACCCACAGGATCATCACCGGCATGGTCGGCACTATGGTTTTCGGACTCAACCTCATGCCCTGCTCGCTCTTGATTCTTTTTTTCAGCATGGCTTGCACCGTTCCAGCAGCCTACTTTAGTACATTCGGTTCCCGGACTGGTTTACGCCAAATGATACAGGCAAGGTTTACCTTTGGGTACGGCGCCGAATCCTCCATCTCCAGATACTTATCGGGCAGCCAGTCTAACATGGCCACTCCAGATACTACCTCAGCTCCATTATTGTCGCCCTTAACCTCTGCACTATCGCCGGCTTTGGTATTATCGACTGTGTCCTCGGCGGCACGACGCTCTCTGCTGTGTCTAGCGGCAGGATCGATGCCACCGCCGGCATCATCATCATAGCCCTTATCTCCATGGTCGTCTGTTTTGGCGGCTACCGCGTGCTGCACCAGTACGAGCGCTACTCGTGGATCTTTGCCCTCGTTGCCATTGTCATCGCCACTGGCGTTGGGGGCAAGGAGCTCGCCAACCAGGTCGAGCAGCCCGCCGCCTCGGCCGCCACCATCATCAGCTTCGGCGGCGTCATCGCCGGCTTCCTGATCCCCTGGGCCGCCATGGCGGGCGACTTCAGCGTCTACTGCGACCCCTCGGCCTCGACCTGGCGCATCTTCAGCTACACCTACGCGGGGCTCTTCTTCCCCACAGTCCCGCTCATGGTCCTCGGCGCGGCCGTCGGCGGCGCCGCGCCCAACGTCGAGAGCTGGTACGCCGGGTACGGGTCCTTCAGCGTCGGTGGCGTCCTGCAGGCCATGCTCCTGCCCGCCGGCGGCTTCGGCCGGTTCGTCGCCGTCCTGCTCGCGCTGTCCGTCATCGGCAACCTCTCGGCCGCCATGTACTCCATCTCGCTCAACTTCCAGCTCCTGCTGCCCTTCTTCGTCCGCGTGCCCCGCATGGCCTTCTCGGTCGTCTACACGGTCGTCGCCATCCCCGTCGCCATCACGGCCGCCAAGTCCTTCTTCGCCAGCCTCGAGAACTTCATCTACCTCATCGCCTACTGGTCCGCAGCTTTCGTCGCCGTCGTCGCCGTGGAGCACTTTGTCTTCCGCCGGGCCGACTGCTCGAGGTATGTGGCCGACTACTGGGACCAGCCGAGCAAGCTGCCCACTGGCATTGCTGCGATTGGCGCCATGGGCCTGTCCTTTGGGCTGGCGGTGCCGTGCATGTCGCAGGTGTGGTACACGGGCCCGTTGGCCCGGACGACGGGAGATATCGGGTTCGAAGTGGCTTTGGTGCTTGCGGGGTTGCTCTATGTCCCTCTTCGGTGGATTGAGTTGAAGTTTCGCCCTGTTTGAAAAATAGGGTGTGTTTCCTCTTTAAGTAGCTTTCGTTAACAATTCAGAAGGGCGTTGGTTCAGACAGAATATAGCAGACTGTTTCCTCATACGTATTCTCGATGTGATTGGGAGTGACAAAATCGTCTGTCTTCTGTAATATACCTATTTTACTTCATTCAACGAGCCAATGCCTTTCTGTCTCTGTACAAGACAAAGGAGCAAAGAATCTTCTATATCCTCGTTTTTTAAATACCCTGTCCTGCACAGAAACTACCTTACTGACCATGGTTTAGAACCAAGTCAAAGATGTCAAAGTTCCTCCATTCTCGAGACTTGATCAGCTGCGCTTGGTCAACAGCAGGGGTAGACATCAGTAGAGGAATATGTTGCTCCGAGAAGCCGCCGTGGGATCTAAGGCGATGGCCCTTGAGGTTCCCAAAGTCATGCTCTTCCTTCCTGGCCCCGACCACGGCGTTGCCCTTGGATATGACAACGAAATCACCCTCGCGGTCCAGCGGCATCTCGCACACTGCGGCCGCCTCCTCCTTGGCCAGTGCCACCTCAACGTGCTCGAGACCCCGACTGAACTCGAGCATCGCGTCCACCAGATCCTTGTGGTCATCCATGACGTGGACACGAACGAACCCTCCAAGCGCGCCGTGGTGCTTGACAAAGGGGTCGGTGATGGGGCAAATGACGCGCGCACAACCCTGACCGAACTTGCTCTCCAGCTCATCCTGCAGGAACAAGACGTTGGCGTTCCCGTCCGCGTCGCACTTATCGCTCATGCCGTGGTCGCCCGTCAGAGCCACGACGGCGCCGAGGTCAACGAGCTGCTTGACGCGGGCATCAACCGCGGCCATGAACTCGTCTGCTTCCGGCTCCCCGGGGGCATGCTTGTGCTGCACGTAGTCAGAGAGCGTCAGGTAGAATAGGTCAGCACGGTCCTCCCGCAGGAGCTTTATGCCGGCGTCGAGGACGCAGATGGAGAGGTCCCCGGAGTACTGGCTGGGGCGGGACTGCCTGCCCAGCCACTTCAGGGTATCATCGTCCGCGGACTGGCTTGAGAAGCAGGTGCTCGTCTCCGACAGGCCGCGCTGCAGGATGCGCCTCAGTTTGTCCTTGGCGGTGACGGCGGCAACGCGGACGCCGCGGTTGGCCATCTCGGCTAGGATCGTCGAGCCCCTGACGAGCGAGTCGTCAACGACCATGATTTCCTCTCCGGTCTCGCGGTCGAGAAAATAGTTTCCAGCAACTCCGTGCACAGAGGTGGGCTGCCCGGTGATGATGGAGAGGTTGTTCGGGTTCGTGAAGGAGGGCATGGCGCATTTTGCCGTGGTATGAAAGCCTGTGCTCACAAACTGGGAGAGGGTGGGAAGAATGCCATCGGCAATGCCTTGTGCGAGATACGATGGATCAAAGCCATCGACGCAAATGACTACCGTGGGCCTAGTCGGGAGTTTGTAGGTCTTGTTGTGCAGCGTGATCGACTCCCCTTGGGCGACTAGACGAGACTATTTATAAGCCCAATGGCAACTTTGTGTTCTGTGGTGGGTGAAAGGCCCTATAAATCTTACTTTTATTTGCTTTGATTCCCACTTGAGGAATGGATTTCTCCTGGAGAGGATGTCTTTCTATCTGAACAGACATGGTGGGCGCTGTTTTGCTATATAAATGATAGCGGAAACGTCAATGAAGAAAAATTAATCATAACCTTTTATTATCGAAACCCATTGGTGAGCAATTGAAATTTATAGAAGTCTCTTATAGAATGAGCTGCACAAGATTTCAAGAATCAGGGACGATTCGGTTGGAAGTCCGATGAGTGGTCGAGGTTCGCGTGAGGACCGGTTGTCAGCGACCACTGCAGAATATATCGTGGTGTTAATACTCGCTTGGTCCACTGACCCTTGTGCAGCTAACTACATTTCTTACATCACTTGAAGCCGTAACAAGTCGGCCCGTTGGCCAATATGATCGACTAGATCCAATGTCAAGAAGTTGTCCTTGCAGATTGATAAGGCGACATCTTCCGGTCGAACCTCTTCTTGTTATTCAAACTTGACGGTCTTTTCTCTCTTACATACCTACTCTTATTGTAATAGAGCTTTGTCGGCTCAACACTTTAGTTCTGCAGCTGGTGATGGTTCCCGCAAGTTATGTCCAGATGTACTGGGCTGACCTAACCCTTTTGGGGTAAAAGAGAGGAAGCTAAAACTCGGTGGGAAGACCGATATTGACCCCTCGGAGCACCACCCGCATTCATTTTCACTCCCATTTCATGTTTCTTGTTATGTGTTGAACTTGTCATTGATGACTTGCTGGCACCAAGACGGACCTGACAGAGACATGCTCGACGGCGACATCGCTTGCCCTAACTTCTCTAGGTAATCAGACTAGAGTTGGCTCTCGGTCACAAGCCACAAGTTGTGTATCGAAGATGGTTAAGCGCCGCGACAATAATGCAGTACCGGAACCAATTCGCGCACTACGGGACACCTTTGGGGACCCGAAACCCCCTGATATCAGCCGCAAAATAACTGCCTGCGTTGCTTGCCGCAAACAGAAGGTGTGTGCCAAGGCTGTATCGGGTTCTGATGGGTGTATTAAGACGTACGTTAACATGGAACCTTACCAGATCAAATGTCACATGCGAGAGAGTAAACCACCATGTACCAGATGTAAGAAAAGGGGATTGCCATGCACTGTCAACCGTAGCCTGCAGATGGTGCTGGAGAGTGATTCGCTGTAGGTACTACCTTTTGCAACTGGCTGGAAGACTCTTTTACCACGGCAAGTCTTGACTTCTAAATCACTAATTTGACAACCTTCCTGTTTCAGATGGAAGCATAGAATGGAGCGCAAATTACAGAAGTTTCAAAACGCACTCCATAAGGTTGCTCAACAGGCATTGTCTACGGAAGATGTCCAGCAACTTGATTTGGACACGGATGACGACGACGAAGTCGGCCCACTAGCAGTTGGCCAGGCATGCACCGTAACACTCCCTGAGAACGATCTACCAGATGCTCCTCCCTCATCTAGCAACCCTGCAAGTCACTGCGAGGTAGTGATGGACCTTGAATCTGGACCCAGTGCTATTCCAGGTTTCTTCATCTCACAAACACCGCCTGGGCAACCGAGACGCAGCAGAGGAGATATGATTGACCGTGGTATAGTCCACCTCGAAGATGCAAGGAGGTACTTTGAGTACTATCGAGATAGGCTCGACCATTTTCCTTACAGAATCCTGGGCAACCACAGCGAGTCGACCCTGGAGGATGTACGAGCAGCATCGCCATTCTTAATGGCCGCTGCTTGCACAGTCGGCGCTCTCCACATTACAGGTAGTGAGTTCGACGCGTTGTACAACGACTTTGTCACGCTGAGTGCGAAGTACAACTTCTCGAAACGCAACACTCTTGACGACGTCCGTGCTCTCTGTATCGGCGCCTTTTGGTTAGGAGACATCTCGTGGATGCTTGTTGGCACGGCAGTGCGTATCGCGACCGAGATCGGTCTTCACAAGAGCATGGGGAAGGCGCTACAAGGCGATAAGTCACACTACTTTCGTGCACGGCTGTATCTCCTTGTCTATGCATGCGATCACCACTTCTCTGTTGCGTTTGGTCGACCTCCCTTGACCAGGGAATGCGCCATGATCAAGAGTGCCAGAACGTTTCTTGAGTGCGAGCACGCCATCGAGGATGATGCCCGACTAGTCAGCCAGGTTCTGCGATGGAGCCTTTGTTCCAATATCTTCGACGCCTTTGGGGTCGACGTGGACAAGCCTCTTGCAGACACGGAAGTACCCCAACTCAGACGGTTCAGCATCGCCCTCGATACTCTTCGAGCCGAGTGGGCTGAACGCTTCAAGCCGAATGCTCACGTCGGAAACTATCCCCGCAAGGGCGTGGCGCTCCAGTACCACTTTGCGAAACTCTACCTCTGCTCCCATGCGTTTCGGGGCGTCGGCGCCGAGGGCATGGCGTCGCGGGCCCCGGACATCGCGATGGAATTGACCGAGTTTGCAAACTCGGCCATCCTGTCAGCCCTCGCGATCCTGAAGAACGTCGTAGCGGACCCAGAAACGCAGTCGCACCTCAACGGCCTGCCGATATACTTTGACACCATGATCGGCTTCGCAGTCGTGTTTCTCGTCAAGGTGTCGACCAAGTTCTCTGCAACCGTGCGGCCAAATACCGAAGAGATCAAGGAGCTCCTGACATCACTCGTGCCCATACTTCACAAGGTGGCCTCTTCCATGCATCAGCAGCACCTCCTTGTCAGCATCAGCAATAATATAGAAAAACTAGTGCAGCGGTTCTGCGCAGACAATGCCGGTCCGGCGCCGTCCTCGCCGCCTCGGGTTAGGTCCACCGAGCATCAATTTTCCCAACAAGCATCGCCGTATCTGCAGGTTACCCATACGCAAAGTGTTTGGGATACAGCCTGGGATGCACATTCAGGAATTGATCCGCTATTCATGGGAGAATATGACTTCTTGATGAATCAGAATATGGACTTTGACCTGGATGATGGTTCGGGGATGAAATTCGTATAGTGGACCAGGAAGGGCAGCTTCTCGTTGATTTTCGGGCTTGGTTCGCAAGTGTTGCTTTTGTCTCCAGTATGATCAGGAAAGATGGGTTGAACATATGTAGAGTGAAAAATAGAGCCTCAGCCAAAGGCAACCCCGGAGCTTGATGCAGCAGGAAGCTATTTTAGGTAGTCCGTTGGACTGGGCATTGGCACAGTGTGTATGTCAATCGCAAACACCAACATCCTGATACGCTTTCGGCAGTGCAGTAATTCGCTTGCTCTATGATCAGGCTCGAAGTTGTTGCGCGTAAGGTGAGACAATTCTCACAAGAAGCACAACCTCTGCCCGAAGTACCTTCCTCAACAAGAATCAGAATTTCTAACCATCAAAACCTCAACCTCGTTTCATCGACGTTATTCAATACCCACATCATTGGCCTTCCCGCTCCAATCTTGATCACAGAAACGAAAGACCGAACATTCGAGATGTGCAGAACAGCCTACTACCGTCACCAAGACTGTGGCTGCCGCTGGATGCGCATCACGCGCCCCTGCGGCCCTGGGCAAGGCTTCCGCACTTGCCCCATGTTCTTCAACAACAACGATACTACGAGTACCACCACCACTCACGCATGCAACAGCACTCCCATCGCTGGCGCAGGTCCGACTTCACAGGCTCTCGTGCTCTATAGGCCGCGAAATGCAGAGCCAGGACCTCAGATGGTGACGAGCCATACGGTGGTTGTGAGAGAGAACAACGACAGCGCGAGAGCCACGCTGCAGCCCCCGATGTATCGCGCTCGAGAGACGGCGTGTCCTGTACACGATCTACTAGGCTTTTACGACCGAAACCAGGTGCGGATGGTAGTCCGCTTGCGCAACGGATTGCGATGGGGAACGGGACCGAACAGAGAGGACTATGGGGTCGAGTTTTGGTGCTGTGTTATGTGAGACATTGGGATATGGTGGTGGCATTCTCGACGACGAAGGAACAGGAGGGGGGGAAGACTGCTTCGTTACTGAAAGACTGTAAAGCGACGCTGCTTTACCGCGTTTCTTAGTTGCCGGTTCTTTCTCGAACTGCGTCCTTGCTACTAGTGAGGTACTGCTCGTGCAGCCGTTCAACCTTCTTCTTCAATGCCTCGCAATCTTGTCTGAGCTTGGCTTCTCTTGAGCTTTCCGTTGTCTTGAGGCAGTCCCTGCAGGCGCTATCTAGGCGGAGTGTACGGAAGGGATGGCTGCTCATAATGTTGCAACCCGTATCGGCATGGGCTTTCTCGCAGTAGGCTTCTATAGAAAGCCACGTCTCATGGCCGCACAGAGCGAAGAGAAGCAATTGATAGATACACATTCTGAGTTTGAGACGATAGAATGACCAACGAATCAAACTATTCCGTGTTGATAATAGTAGAGGAATATCTGAGCAACAGGAGTTCTTTGACTCAGTCGCGAGTAGCCTTGTATGCCTGCTTTTATAGTTCGGAATGAACAGCCCCAGTCCGTGAAGGGAGTACCATGGCTTTGTAGCAGGCTGATTGTCCCGGGCCTTTGACGAACAAAGACCAGTCATGTAGTCAACAGATCGGTAGAGAACATTGAATCGAGTGCTTTTTCCGGTCGGAAGTCGGTCTCTCGGCATGCTGCACAAAGTAGTGAGACATATGACCGAGCAGTGCAGTGCAACCTTGCAGAGAGGATCAGCATTCTTCTCGAGAAAGTAGCCCATCACGCTCAAAAAGCTCCGCAAGCTCCTCAAAGTCTCTCGCCCACGGTATTATCTTGTCACCAGCCCACTTTCCCTCTCCGGCATGCGGCGTCTCGAACCCCATCCTCCGAAGAGTCTTGAGTAGCTTGCTGTCCTCATCGTCGGCCATGACCACGCCCCGAGCAGCAAGGAGACACTCCAGATCCGTCGTCGAGTCACCTACGTACACCTTGACTTCGTCCTCTTCCTCTGCTGCCCCTTCTTCCGCTCTCGCCTCGGCAACCACGAGCCCCATCGCCGTGAGCTTGTCCTCGCTGGTAGCCAGCGTCTGCCCAGCCGTATGCCGGCCGCACACCCACTCCGGGCCCTTGACCATCCCGTCGTCCGTGATGTCGTTCGCAACGACCCTGATGGCGCTGCCATCCTCCTCCCCGACAGCATGGCAAATCACCCCGCCCACAAACTCGGCGGACCAGCTCACCGACAGCACCGACACCCTCCCCCTCGCACTCCGCCGCACCCGCCCGACGAACTCCCCGAACCCCCTGCGCACCTCGACCCTGCCCCCGCGGGCGCACGCCGCCCCGGACCGCCGCAGGTTCCCCGGCGCGGCCAGCCCGCCGCCGAAGAACCCGGCCCTGCCCACGCGGTCGACGGACGCGTCGTCGAGGTCGCGCAGCCCGCGCTGGAAGGCGACCTCGTGTGCGACCTCGGTGCGCGCGTGGTCCGGCCGGTCCGCGGCCTCGCAGTAGGCCGCGTAGTCGGCGACGTAGCGCGCCAGGACGTCGTCCCAGGCGGCCTGGAGGTCGACCCCGCGCGCGTCGCGCTGGTGCTCGATACCCAGGGCCGCGATGGTGGCGATGGTGTCGCGGCGGGTGACCGTGCCGTCAAAGTCGAGGATTACGTGCATAGCTTTTGCTTTTCCCTTGCTGTGTTGTCAGATTCTCTACTCGAGGAGGAGGTGATGTCATGTTCGAATTGGTGTGAGTTTGAAAACCAAGATGAGTCGGGTAATGGAAATGTGGGGAGGGCCCGGAGTCCGTTGCCGGTATCACATCAAATCGTCTCTTTACAGCACTCGCTCCGGCGCCATTACTTTCGTTTGCCTCTGATTGTAAGGCCTTCTCATTTTGAGGGTATCATTAATATATTTTCTCAGGACAAACCACTCTTTAACGCCGTCTATCGTATAACATAAGCTCCCCGTTAGAAAAGCTTTGAAAACATCAGAACCTAGGTCCGCCCCTAAATGTACCTCAGGAAGGCATGACATCCTCCATCTTGATGTCGGCATCCTCATCCTCACCATCGTCCGCGTCGGCATCAACTGTTGAGACTGGCGCCACGGTCTGATCGGCCTTGGAATCGTTCCTGCGGTGCTCCGGCTTCAGTTGCCAGTGATTCGCAAAGGGGCCGCTCCGATGCAGATCTGCAACCTTTTCGAGAGTCTGGCGTAGGTAAATCTCGGGCTGTGGGATCCTCTGCCGCAGGGCCTTGAGCGAGTAGTAGTTGAATTCTGTGAATGCCCTGAAAATCTCGTCGAACAGCTCGTTCTCGGGCATACGAGCCGTCTTGAGCTCGGTCTTCTTGACCTTGGGCTGCAAGGGAGCAGTTTTCTATTCAAATTAGTAGGGGGAACATGGAGATGCAGGTTGAGGAAGGTGCTTACGATGAAGTTGAAGCTGCTCTCGTGGTTCGTGATGGATCCAGGCATGATTCGAGATCCCGACTTGAGCTCGCCAAACTCAACAGATTTCTTGGGCTTCATAGCCTCGATAGCTCGCGTGTTCAGGATGAATTCGGATTCCGGGTTCTTGACGGGAGCGCAGTTCATCTCGTGCTTAATCCGGCCCGCGATGGCGGTTTTTTCTGTACCATGTCAGCGATCTACCTCGGCATCTGTGATATGACGATACCATCTTACTAGGGATAGCCTTGCGGAAGTACTCCTGTCTTCGTCCTCTCCGGCGGCCGTGGCTATGGTTCTCCTCGGGCTTGTTGTCCCGCTGGCTCTGCCGCAGCAGATGCGCCGGAATTCCATTCGCCGCAGCCTCTGCTCGCACCTTGTTTCGCGCCTTGTAACCCGGCAGGTCCCGTTCGTTGAAGACAAAGGTGCTCTTGACAGTGGACGGCTGCGTATCAAGCTCGTACTCTTTCGGGATGCCCTGGTGGTTGCCTAAGTCGTTCCGGAGCAGCAGTCTCATCCGAGGCTGATTGTGAACAAGTGTTAGTATTGTGCAAGGTCATATACACCCAATGACAGGCTGAGGAGATAGTCAGCATACCTTTGAAGTATCCGGGTTGCCATCCTTGCCAGTGTCGAACCAGTGTCGGATCGTGCCGATCTGAATCTCTGCATCGTCATCAAGCTTGTCCCAAGCCTCCCATACATACTGGGGCACGCGCGCAAGGTACATGGTGCCATGCGGATCGTTGGGCAGGGTATTGTCGTAGAACTCGAGATCACCGGCATCCTCGTAGATGTCTTCCTCCATGGGAGCTGGCATGGGCGAGTTGCCCTCCGCATCGGGCGAGGCCTTGATCTGAACCGCGTCGGCCATGGTTGCTGTTTGGCAGTTCCCTTGGTATCGCGCAGAGTGGTTTGCTATCTTTGTCGCCGATTTTCCTTCGCTATGTCACGCCCTGCCCTTAAATGCAATGGGGAAGACCGAGAACATGGGAAAACAACGATCCTGTCGTCAAAGAAACTCTCCGACGTGACAAAGAAGTGACAGTGACACTGCCTATGTTCAAGCACAGTTGAGTGGGCGGTAGTGGGCGCTTCCAAGCTGGAGGTGTGGATCGCGACTTAGGCGCCATTACATAATCCAGAGGCGAAAGAACGCTATGGGCACATTTTAGGTACGTCACAGCCAAACAATCACGCCTAACTACCTAACCGCACGCGTCGTCTAGCTTTTTGCTTCACTTTTGATTTTCTTGCTTCCAAGAATCCAAAACAACACAAAAGTCGACCTGGAACCCATCTTCCTTCTTCCCCTTCGCGCGCCCTCGACAACTCGCTTCCTTCGCGACCGTGAATTCTTGCGACCTTCATTACTAACCCATCCCTAAGCGTATTGACCAAGTGTGCAAAGATGTCTGCAGAAGAGCAGGAAATGCTGGCCAAGATCAGCCAACTTGCTGGTATGTCGCCGCCGTTTTGCCCCTCAAGGCCTCCCTCTAATCGCTCTCCCCATGCAGGCCAGATCAACCGCCGAAAGAACCAGCAAGCAGGTTTCGCACCTTCAGCCCCCCAGCACCACCCAACCCAACACCGTACGGTTTCCGCACCTAACCGCTTAATGAACTTCAACATTAACAACCGTCAAGAAGCAAGCCGACACCGTGGGGGCGGCCACTTCCAACCTCGAGGTTATCGGGTTGGCAAGCCAGCTCCTCACCGCCACCGAACCCTCGTCCTCAACGGCGCGACCCAGCCCAAATCGGATGTTGAGTCCGGCGCCGCGTCTGATGCTTCGACGTCATCCTGGGTGACCAAGAGTGATCGTCACCTCCAGCTTATCAACTCCAACGTGTACGAAAAAGAGAGCCAGGCGCGCCTCAAGGCGATAGAACACACGCGGGCGCAGAAGCGGCAGCAGACTGATGATCGAGAGCGAGCCAAGATCCTGTCGCATTTCAAGACCACGGCCACAGCAAGCGCCCCTCGTGTGCCCAGTGACGCTGTGACGAAACCCTACGAAGTCGTCGTTGACGGCATTCGCTTCTACGTTGTCAAGAATGGCAGCAAGCTCGTCAGAGTCCCTGGTTTGTCTCCGCCGCATGTGCCCTTCATGAACAAGTCTCACCATGACCAAGGAGACAATAACGCGCTTAGTGCAACCCCCAAGATGGCCACTGTCGGCGGTGTCAAGTTTTACCGCAGCAAAAATGGCAACCTGTACCGCCACGGAATCGTCAAGGCACAGCGGTATGTGACTTCCAGCCCGGCCTGTGCAGCACTGACGAGCTGGCCCTTTCCTAGTCAATCCGGTGTCGTCAAGAAGGTCGAAGAACCTTGCAAACTCTTCTCAACAACTGGTAGCTCCCTCATCCCAACTCCAATATTTGAATCTACAGTTCGGCGCTTCAGTTTCAGAAGCACGGCAAGCCGAATCTTACTAACTGCAGCCCTCGTTTCTACAGGTTCCTGCCTCAAAGGCCCCAAGTGTCGATACGTCCACGATCCCGCCAAGGTCGCCGTCTGCAAGGATTTCCTGGCCAAGGGCGAATGTCCCAATGGCGATGCGTGCGATTTATCGCACGACCTTACCCCCGAGCGCACCCCAGCGTGTTTGCATTTCGCCAAAGGCCACTGCACAAACTCCAATTGCCGTTATACTCATGCCACTAATGTCTCCTCCGCTGCCCCCGTCTGCCGCCCTTTTGGTATCTACGGCTACTGCGACAAGGGCGCCGCCTGCACCGAGCGCCACGTGTTTGAGTGTCCCGACTTTAGCAATACCGGTGTCTGTAAGACAAAAGGCTGCAAGCTCCTTCACCGGGAGAGGGCAAGCGTCCTCCGGAAGAACGCGCGCGAGAGCGGCGACCAGGAGATGGCGGATGTGTCGAGTGACGACGACGGAGAGTCTGTCGACAGCAACGACGTCGACTCGGACGAGGTTGAGGAGTTCATTGGCGAGGACGATGGTCCCGACCTCGACTTTGCGACGCAAAAGGACTTTATCGAGCTCTAGACGCTCGACTCTGGTTTTTGTTGTCTGCTACTGACCACAGCCTTGTTCTACCCTTTTTTTTTCTTGCCTACGTCCCGAACGATACCCACGGTCTCAAGGACCGTTTTCTTGCTACGTTGATCAGCATGTCACCCAAGTACTTCTCGTAATAGTACCTCGGTGACCATTTCCCGTACATGGTATTTGATATACTTTCAAAGGCTGGATACAACCAGCTGCATGATCAAAGCGCCGAAAAAATGGCCACGATCAGGCATGGAATATAATTTGGGGGGTTTCATATTCTTCATGAGGAAGAACAGGAGGAGAGTACAATTAGGGCTCCATAGAGAGGAAAAGAGAGAGAGACAAAATAAAGAGTATCAGAAGCATGAAATGACTAAACTATGTGCCTTTGTTCGTATACAATTTTGAAGGAACGCCGCGAGTGCTGCTGAATTGTCTGACAACCGTATCTGGAATCGGATGGGTCGCCGGAGACTCAAAAGCCAAGAGTCATGATGATCTGTCGAATGGGTAGCTAGTCAAACCATGTCTCATTGGGAGAATGATGCATCACATTTTCAAGAAACAAGAACAGCGATCTACCGGGGCGACGCGGAGAATGCCATGCCAACAAGCCCGCCTCTCTAAGTGCGAGACACACCAGACGGAGCAGATCACACAAGTCTGCCTGCTACGATTGCGCTACCTTTGTTTCTCAATCGATAAGCCCCAAAAGGGCCCAACATGGAAAAGCTGGGATCAGCGGGCCATGACTATTTAGCGGGAATGGGAAAGCCCACGCACGGGTGGGTTTTCCAGCTTTTGGGGGGGGGAGAAGGGAGGGAGGACTTTAAGTGCTTGCAGTAGCGCGGGTTTCACTCGCTAAACAGGGACCGGATTCGTGGGCATGGATGGGCGTGAACATAATGAAGAGCTTTCGAGACGCCAGTCCGATTGGAAGGGTGGGCAGAGGGGGTTGAGTTACGGTCAAGTCTGCATTTTGTCGAATCAAGTTGATGCGACCGCCGCATGGTCAGATCAGGTACGCCGCCTTGAGGCATACACGCCAGGACCAAAAAAAAATGAGACTTGGTTTCCCATTTCTTCTGTTTTTAGGCTCGGTCCTAGCTATTATCATTCCTCCAAGAGAGAGAGAGAGAGAGAGAGAGAGAGAGAGCGCGTGGTGAGGATTAAGCCGTGAAGCGGCATGAATAAGGCAGGGTTTGCTTAACTCAGGCATGCTGGAGCCGAGCGAAGGGAGGGAAAACGGAAAGGAAGAAAGAAAGAAAGAGGCCTCTCGTCTTGATCGACCTGGCCGCGGGTCCTGGGAGGGGACAGAAGCAAGGAAAAGACCCCAGTAATGTAAGGACGTACGTATGGAGTTTGTGTGTGGTCAGGCGGTCTGTGAGTGAGGATGTTAAAAGGTCGCCCAGGGTCCAGCTGGGAGGAGGAAAGGAAAGGATTGGAACGGGTCACGGCAGAACGAGGCGCAAGGCCTTCCTTTCTTTCGCGGAGGAGAAGCAAGGCGGTTGAAACACGAGACCTGCACGGGGAAACGGACAATTGTATAAATTTCGCACATATCACCCTGGATTCCTTCTGGCAGAGAACCGGGGGTGGGAGTGTACGCTCGCACTCATCTGGTCCATAACGACAACAGTGACATGGTAAGGTAATTTGTTTCCCTGTGAAAGACCTGGCTGCGGCGCATATGGGGACGGAAAGGGGGCACGCCTCTTTCTTCTGCCAACGCATGCTAATATGAAACCAACAGCTCGCGAAAAAGCTCCAGGTGGCGGGAGAAACAGGGAGAAAGAAAAGAAAAGACCAGGAATAGAAAGACACTGTGCAGGACACACGCAGACGAGGCACCACGGGCGCACAGCTTCTCACGAAAACAAGAAAGAAGCAAATATCTGACACTGGCTGAGACGCCCGCCGCCGTCCGTCGCCTCCCGCCACTGTCGCCGATTTGATGCGCCCTGCCGAGGCACCCAGGCGGCGGCCGTCACGGCGAGAAGAGGAGAAGGGATGGCCGCGCGTGCCAGTCGGTGACACATCTTCACAAGCACAGGCATGTACGCAACAAAAGGAAAGACGAATGCAGCGAACTCGTCATTTCCGTTGGGTCCACGGTCGTCTGCCGTGGAACTGACGAAAAAGAAATGTCCATATTGGAATTATTGAATGGAGCGGGACGCCGAATGCGACCTATCACTTGTAAAGCAAAGGACGGGACTGGATCGGTGGGATCCAGACTCGTCTCGTAGCCTTCAGTTGATCTGTAAAACGAACATGAATGCCACAGTATCCATGGCAAAGGAATCCTGAAAACAGGCCGGAATCGAGTAAACTCGAATTTCTTTGCACCTGGTTGGCCTATTAGTTTTGCGTAATCCTGATCGAAAAGTGAGAGCATGTGCATAATGTGCGTTTAGTCTGCGTTCAGATGAAGACCTAGGGGCCAAGACTCTCTTCGATCCTATGCCGTTTGGTCAAACATGGGATTTACGACAGGGTATCATCATCCCTGCTGCAGGTAGGGAATGGTGAAAAGGCCCGCGCAGCGCAGAGAGACGGTGGGTGGCCCAGAAAGGACCATGTAGGTCCGCCCTTGCACACACCCATTGGCAACAGCGGCCGTCGCATGTACTGTGGAATGCGGTGGGAACGGTGGGAACGCAGACATCCTCCGACGCATATTGCCGTCCATATGACCGGGCGGAGCCAAGTGAGGGGGCCACTCAGGGCGTGGCGGTCTGCTCAAGCCCTGGGCGATGCGCATTGGCCGCCAGCGTAGGCTGCTGTTGTGCCTTTGGGGGTGTGTGAGTGTTGTTGTTTTGGCATGCTTTGCCTGCTTGCTCGTCACCACCGACAGGCTACCACCCAGGTTCCTCATGTGGGCGGGTTGGTGGTGGCTGCTTGAGTTTACTAGGTTTGCTGCAGTAGGGTGGCCAGGCCAAGCCTCTCCGGCTTACATGACCACACGGGTTCCGTAACGAGAACAGACATCTGAGGTGAGAGGAGCAGAGCGTTGTACGCGACGAGCTGGTGACGGCGAGACGCAACCCTCCTCTTGCTCCATATTATATGCACCGCGGCGCACATGCGGTCGGCAATAAACCTTTCACAGGTTCACGGAGGTGGGTGATTGTAACTGTCTCGAGCTCAGCTCACGAGGATCACAAAACGCCATTGGTGAAATGGAACTGTGCTAAGCGTATCTGAGGAGGGGTGCGCGCTGGCAAACCCTGTTAGTCTCAGACTGGGCGGTCCTACTCCGACCTGGACTGAATCATACCTTCTGAGTGAAGCAGGCGTGTTAGTGAAATGGTTCAGCGGCAGCTGAAGTTCGTAAGTAGTCATTCAACCCAGAGTTTCCAACTTAGACGGGCGGGGAATCTTGATTAGCTCCTGGCCCATTGTTCTCTTGGAGTAAGCGTACCTGGATGATGCAATGGATTTCAGAACGCATATCATACCTCCTCTCTGAAGCTCTGGGACACCCAGCCATCCCCGAGGAGCCGCGCACACGAAGGCGTACCCGCCTTACTGAGGGGAGACAAAAGGGCATACAGTCAGCCAATCTCGTCACACGCAGCAACCCATCGCCCACCGAGTTTGGAACTCTTCGCTGGCTAGGCTCATCCAGAGGGGGGGCGAGAAGTCCAGCGGGAGACCGGCAAGGGACGTCTTCTGGCTCGCTCGGTGTCTCTCTCGGTTCCCTTGCTTCTGGATCAACAGCATGCAAACCTTGCAGGCGCAGGTCTCGCTTCCAACCAGGGAGCAATGCAGTGCATCACGATGGCAAGCGGACACAGCTGGCCTCGACAGAAACCTATGTTACCGCCGCCCCTTGTGGTGAGGCCGTAACTTGGCTCGAAACCAACGCGCGAAGGTGAAGTAAACCCCAAGGCCGACTGCCTTGGCTCTTCCACGGTTCCATGGCCGGGACGAGAAAAATAAACCGTAGAAAGTGCGCAAAACAACGAGATGAATGATTGCTATAGTTTAAAAGCAGAGGCAAGCTGCTTTAGTGTAGATACCGACGTAACATGTTCTGTCTCGCTTTGCTTCTTGTTCCCATTGCTGCTTCCCTTTTGGCAGTTCTGTCGTGATTGTGCCTTCTGTTGGCCAAACGTTGGGTTGCTTCTCGCTTTCCATTTTTGGTACACTGCCCGCCTGCAGTGCTCCTCCCTCAATCAACCTACAGAGACGAAGACTTGACAGAAGCATATTTGCTGTGACCCGAGAGCGATGGCGTGGAGGCAGCAAATCAGCAGCAAAGCTCCCCATCTCTCGGAAAGGCACAAAACCGAGCGCAAGCTCCACGACATCACCACGTCGCCCCTCCAAGCCGTTTGTGGGTTTACGAACATTGACCGTCATCGCCCAGGGTGGACGGTATCGCGCCGGCCACCGGTTCTCGGCACGCCGCCGCCGCCTGAGTGCGTCCTGCGACTGCCTTGTGGTTGACCACTGACCGTCTGGATCAGCCATCAGCCGTGCCCATTGCACTATTGCACTACATTGCAGCACATTGTCGCTTTATGACTCGTCTCGATCCCGGTCCAAGCGAACCTTTGCCTGTCCCGGAGTTGAACCACCGTAAGCAGGCACTTGACTCGCCCACCTTTAACTTCTGCTACATCCGAAGTGGTCTTGGGTCGGCAATACAAGTGAGGGGGTTACAAGGTTTAGGCTGGCTCTTGGTCGCCGCCGCCCAGGCGCCGAGGAAGTGTTTGAAAGACGGGGCTTTGGGGATCCGGGAGGCACTCAAGCTGTGCAAAGCGAGGGTCCCGGTGTTTTGAAAAAGTGCACGACGGCAAAAAAGTCTCATCTGGTGGCTCTGGGGGGTCCTGTCTCGCTCTGCTGCTCTGTGCTGCCCTGCCCTGGCTTGCGTTGCAGGAACCTGCCGTGAGTGACCAAAACGGAGCATACAAAGCAAAGAAACGGCCCAACAGGTCTCCGGCAAGAGTGAAGCGCTGGAGCATCAAACGAGCGCCCAGGTAGTTGATCCGTGTGCTGGCTTATTATGGGTCTGGGTGATAACTGACCAGATGCAGCAAGCAGCCTGGTCCTGCCCACGCAACGCACATACACGCACGCACGCACGCGCAAGCCGACTTGCCACGAACAGGCTTTCGCAGGTGAGAGGACGAGGTATCCTCCAGCCATACAAAACGCCACCACCTTGGCCCTGGGCGGAAACCGACTCTAGCGACGCAGGTGACGAGCCCGACCTGGCTGGCCAAGCCGACCAAATCGCAGCCAGCCAGCATCTTTGTGCTGCGCATGGGTGCGCCAGCAGGCGGGGGTCAGAATAGTTGACTCAAGTTGATCAGGAGATACCTCAATGTTAACAGTGCATGTCCTTGGTCTGGGATTCGGAAGGGCACCCCATTACCTAAAACCAAATGGGTTTGATGGAGAGTCAAGAACTTCTGTTAGCAGCACCGTCATCTAATCTGGCCATCACTTGGCCGGCTGGAGAGTTTCCTTGAACGGAGTTTGGTCGTTTCGGGAGAGCCAGCAGGGTGTGCCGCTATCGAACCGCACCACCATCCATTAATAGCGCCAGAGCGTTCGTCGTTGGCCCCATCTCAAAGTCGTCATACAGCGATAACGACGACGAAGGTTGCGGGCTTAAATTCAATCCCCTGGTCAGGTATCCTCTCTTCCAAAGAGGCCATCCCGCTTGCTGAGCCCGGTAGGCGAGTACCCAGCAGGGATTGTGCTTCTTTTAACCCCGAGCACTTTTGGGCAGACAAGAGTCTACCTACAGGGGGCTACACCCCGGCCGTCATTCTGGGCCACTGAAGCTCCACGTTCCGAAACCCCTCCATCCATCCATCTGACCTGACTTACTACGGCGTATGTGCCTAGTCTAACTAATACGGACGGATCCAGAGAGGGTGCTACAGCCTAGGATTGCCCGCTCCTCCTGCTGGTCCGTTGCTTGCGGCTGGTGGTCGTAGTAAGTAGCCCTGTTGCATGGGCTTGCTGGTGCTGCTGCATGCCCATGAGACCGCTCCTTCGACCATTCCTCTGCCTTCTCCTCACATTTCCTCACCTTCTCCCGACTCTGTTTCTCAAATTCCTCCCTCTCTTTTTTTTTACCCAAAGCGCAACGCGCCTTACCTCAACCTCCCGAGAGAGCGAAGCCTACGAGATACCACACCCGTCTGTACTTTCGATCGTCTCTACCTCTACACCTAGACACACACGCGGATACCTACACACCCAATCGGACTTACAGATACCAGGCGGGAGCACTACCGCCTGGGCAGACAAACGCGGACCACACGCTCTCCAGGACCAGCGAGCTCGCCTCTATGATCCTGGAAGGCAGGGAAACTAGACAACGAACAGCACATTTGGAGAGTCTTGGGTCACCGCAATTGCGACATGGAGGGAATGAACTATGCCGCTTATAATCGGCAACCCGAGTCTTCCACCCCGCCGTCGTCGCGGCCACCCCAGATCACCGCAGGCTGCCCATATCTCCAGGAGCAGCAGCATATGACATTCGGAAGCCTTCACAATCCACATGCCGCCTCGCACTACACCCCTCCTCGTCATATTTACGACCCCGTGCATAATGCAGGCGCTTCATGGACGTCGGCGGCACCTCCGCCGTATCATCCGGCGTGGTCCACATTGCCGTTGCCGAATGGACGCCAGGCCGTTGGAGACCTGAACTTTGGCCCTACAAATCAAGCAATCCCGGGCCCGCAGCGACCTTATCCCATGGCACCTGCACCCTATGGCTCGTTCACCCGGGATTGGGGACAGGATTATCCAGCGTTCACCCCGAGATCAAGAGCCAGTCACCCTTCGCAGCCCACCTCATTTGGCTCGCCAAATTCTCTCCCTCTGTCAAACAACCAAACGAGGGAAGACACGTCCCAAGCGACTAGCATGAACTCCGGCCACCTTCCAGCTACTTCTTGGACAGCCAGTTCGTCTGCACCGCCAGCCGCCGTGTCATCCATCCGCTCGACTGCGTCGCCACACGCTGATGGTGGTTCAGCCTCGCCTGATGACAGTGATTCAAGTGAAACGTCTTCAGCAGGTCGCATGCATTCACCGCCCATAGCGAACGGAAGCAATCCTGCCATGGAAACCTCTGTATCAAACAATGGACCGGTGACTCCCGAAGCCCTGCCTCAGCCTAGAGGCACTCAGACATCTGCTCAGCCTGGTCAGTTGTCTCATTATCCATCTTTGATACCCCTCTGTAATTTAGAACTGAACTGACTGTCCGGCAAATTGAAAAAGGGTTCTCTAATCCACCACCAACTGGCCCAAGTCGCGATCGGAGACCTGCCGTGGAATTCAGGGGACTCCGCGGCGCTCGTTTCAGTATGTCACGTCTCCACGGGGACGTGGCTGACGAGGCTCTTCGGAACAGCTTGGAAGTGCAACATCGCTTCTTTGATGGATTTTATTCGTCAGACGGGGCGACTGGGCTGAGAGGAGTCGAGTTGACGGAAGACCGCATCAGGCAACATCAGCTGGCTAGAGGAGGCCTGACGGCTCGGCAGATCGCATCACCTTCTGCTATTGCCTCACTAGAGATCGTTGATGTCAGTACTTTAGACGAGAACGAGCGGAGTAAGTGCTTGCCCTTTGGCGCGCGATGTAGTGCATGCCCCCATTATTGTCTCTAACATCGACTTGTACTAGCTTGCATAATATGCTACAACGACTTCGGTACAGCAACTCCCGAAGGTGTCACTGAGGCTCCTCTACGGCTTCCTAAATGCAAACATGTATTTGGAGACCGCTGCATCAAGAAGTGGTTCGAGGAGTCAGATAGTTGTCCGTACTGCCGCCACAAGCTGCCTTCTATTCAGGTATTCCGACCAAACAAGAGCAGGTAAGCTCGCCAACCTGCGACTATTGCGCAAGTCAGACATGCTGACTCAAGATTCACTGTAGCACTGGACATGCGGTGGTCACGCAAATGAGCTCCGCGCAACATGAGCTCCTGAACCGAATTATGAGCACGGCTAGGAGAGAGGACAGAGAGGACATAGCTCTTGCTGAGGCCCGTCTGCACCACAACGGGCGGAGGTCGCCTCCTGACGAACTCGGAAATTCGCGGAGGCGCCTCCGTGCCAGACATTCCAGTTTCCGAGGCTCCCCTCCCCTGCCAGCGATGGGCGTGAGGCCCAACTCATTTGCAGGCTCCAGTTCTGCATCAACTGCCTCTTCCACGCAGCACAGTCCGGGACGCGATAGGCACGGCCCCTACCATGCGCAGAGCATGGCATGGATCCCGCCTTTCCATGGCCAACTTGGAGCTCATCGGCGCCTAGGCGCTTACGGCCAGAGCAACCCGTCACCTCGGAATACGGACCCCTATGGCGAACGACCTGGCATGCCTACCATGCCGGACAGCTACTTCCATACCTATTCGTTACCAGGCGATATGGGGAGGCCAGGACCGGTACCGCCTATGATGGCTACACAGTCGCACGAGAGAGCAGCTGTTCCTCCCGCACTCCCGCCCGTGATACCCCCATTGAACATCGGTCAGCAGCAGCCTCAGGGCAACCAGATGATGCACAACTCGCCTCCGAGACAGAGCCAGCCACCGAGCTTCCACCAGCCGGCAAGCTACCCCACCTCAATGACGCGATCGACAGTTGCACCCATACCCGGACTGGACTTTGGACCTAACGATAACCTCGCTCCTGTTCCCCAATCGGTACCTGGCGGACATAATTGGCATATGTAATGCCAGGGGTTCGCAAAAGGGGGTCACGAGTGACGGCGAGGCACATGCGAGTCTGGGAGAAGCTGGCGGACAGTCGGCTGAATGGCTTGCTTCAGTGCCGTTGACCCAGAACATCCTCGACTTTTATAACGATGACAGCACGAAACCGTCCCACTGTCCTCCGACTCTCACGATACCACCCTCCATTTTTATGATGACAAGGACGGTCTTTTCTTCTTCTTTTTACGACTTGCATGGCTTTCAATAGATCTCGGATTCATCATCACCTCATCACAACACATGATATTCTCTAATGCACAAAGTACAAGGCGTTGCATTGACTCGGATTTTCCAGCCGATTTCTTTTCTCCTCCTTTTCAGAAGACACATTCGTCTCACACCACAGCACCACCACCGCACAACGCCATATTCAGGCCGGCTTTCCATCAGGCGTTCTCAAGGGCACACGGCAGCAAGGGCAAACGGCACACGAAAGGCTTCTTCTCTTTTTCTTTCCCGACTATCACGACCATCACAACTCGGTTCGCACTGCTTGCGAAAGATCATCTGCGGTGAGGACTGTGGGCACGCATTCTCTGGGGAAAGGGGCTCGGTAGCGGAGGGAGTAGCGGAGGAGTAGTAGCCTATGAGGAAATACACTCCTGATCGAGAAGGAAAGGCTAGCGGAAGATTAGCAGATACAAAGGAATAAACATTAGCAGAATGTTTCCTTGAGAGCGGTGTGCGCCTTGCTGGATGTGTGAAATGATCGCCTTCTCGCCTTTGATGGGTCGATGATATCTCGGGACTGTGTGTGGAATTTCATCCCATGCGATACGGCGATCTGGAAAGGACAGCCTTATGTCCTCCTCTGGAATATAATATAAAACGGAAAACACATCTCCAGCTTGGAAAACAGTTGTAGTTTCGCAATGTGTGTATATGTAGCTGTGTGTCAACTCTCCTCTCTATTCCTGTTTTTGACAAAACAATGTTTAATGTTTACAAAACACACGAGGTCCTTCGTGTCCCCCTTCAGTCCAACCAGCTTCCCGAACTACGTACGAAACCAAATCTACATCTTTATAACCTCGGCTTGTCCGCACTGCTGCCGCCCGTGTTCTCAGCCGCCTGCACCAGCTCCCACGCGTACTCGGCCAGCGCGGCGCGCGCGTCGCCGTACCGCCGCGCCTGCTCGCTGCTGGCCTGGCGGGCGGCGACGCGGGCGGCGATGCCCTGGCAGATGGCGGCCTGGCGGAAGATGTTGAAGGCCTGGGCCCAGCGCAGCTCGCGCGCCATGTCGGGCCAGCGGTCCGGGTCCGACGCGGTGCCCCACCCGGCCGTGCGGCAGTACAGGGCCGCGACCTCGTCGGCGTCGGGCAGGCCCGGGGTGGCGCCGGGCTTGAAGCCCGGGTGGGCGTTGTGGATCGTGCTGCCCATGTGGGCTGTGAAGTAAGGGGTTATGTGGTTGGAGAGGTCGGAGAGGGGGTGGCCTATGGTGGACATCTCCCAGCTGTTTGTTTTTGGACGTCAGTGTATGTCAGTCTCGGGGGGGGGGATAGATAGATGTATGTACGTGGGACAAAACGACGAGATGTCGGGGGAGGAATGGATGGAAAGAAAGAAAGAAAAAAAACGTACTCTAGGATGCCGATGACGCGGGGCTCGGTCTTGTGGAAGACGAGGTTGTCGATCTTGTAGTCGCCGTGGATGAGCGTGCCGCGGTCGCGCGGCTGCTTGGCGGCGTCGGAGAAGAAGGCCATCATCTCCTGGAAGTGCGGCAGGTCGCCCACGGGCTCGCCCGTCTCGACGTCGCGGGTCGCGCTCTGCGCCGCGCAGATGGTCTTCCACGTGTTGACCTGGCGGGCGTAGAAGCCGCTCGGCCGGCCAAAGGTCTCGAGCCCGACGGCGCGGGGGTCGACGCGGTGCAGCTTGGCCAGCGTGCGGACCGAGTCGGCCCACATGTCGGCGCGCTCGCGCGGGGAGACGCCCGGGATCGCGGCGTCCTCGATGATGCGGCCGTCGAGGAACTCCATGACGTAGAAGGGCGTGCCGATGACGGCGTCGTCCTCGCACAGGCAAAAGGTGCGCGGGACGGCGACGTCGGTGCCCGCGAGCGCGGCGAGGATGCGGTACTCGCGCTCGACCTTGTGGGCCGTCTTGGAGACGAGCTTCCCTGGCGGCTTCTTGCGCAGGACGTAGCGGGTGCCCGTCGGCGAGGTGAGCTGGTAGGTCGGGTTGGACTGGCCGAAGCCGAACTGGAGGTGGGGGGCAGAGGGAGGTTAGTATTTTTGTCGCGGAGACAGGGTATGAGGCTGGGATGGGATGGGAGAAAGGGCTGGGGTCCTGCCACCTACCTGCTTGATATCGAGGGGCGTCTTGATCTCCGGGACGTTCTTGTTCAGGTACGCCTCGAGCGACTTGACGTCGATGGGGTGCCGCACGCGCCCCGCCATGGCGATGATGCTGTATTCGCTGTTTGAAACAGAATGTTGTATGGACTGCTCGAAATGCTCGATGCGTATGCAGGGAAGCGTTTGACAGACAGCTACACCGGCAGAAGAGTCGTCGTCTTCTTCGGGCTCGGGCCCGTCCTAACTGGGCTGAGAAGCCGCGGCACGGAGAGGGTGATGTGTATGGTACGTATGTAGCTTGCTTATCCCAGCTTTCCCCGCTCACAAGATGCACGCAACGGCAGCACGAGCGACAGCTAGCTATCCCGAGTCAGATATCTCGAGTCAATGATGATATCGACCCAGCTGTCGTTTTCAATTGCGTTCGATCTCCAGTTACAAGGCGGGACTGGCAGCCCTTTTGTACGGACCGGGGCTAATTCCCCCCAGGAGTGAGTGTCGCCGGCGTACCGAAGCGGACGCTGACGGCTTAGAGCCAGAGCGTGCCGAGGTTGCTGGAGGAAGACCGCCTGTAGTGGACCCGCTCTTTTCTAGCATCTTGGCGACGTTTTCGCTGACGGAAATCCAGACCCGACCCCAGCTTTCTTCCCAGGGCGCGGCAAAAGGTCAATCAAATTATTGGGGTAGACGACTCTGTGTGGGGAAACTCCTCTCCTCTGTACGGAGGACTGAGTGCCTCGCTATTGGCTTTGCATCTCGACCGCTGGTAATCACATACAACTACAGCCATATCGGGGCTCCAGCAGTATCGAGAGGATGATTTGTTTTATTGTGTTGAGTTTTGCCGCGACCAGCGATACGATACACTGGATTCCTCGTCCGTGGAACCCTTCCCTTTTCGCCCCGTGATCCTTGACCGATGACCAACATCACCAAACCATGTGCCTCCCTCCCGAGCAATAAGAAGAGAATATGGCCACGAGAAAGAAAAAAAAAGGACTCCCAACTCCCAAGCCGTGATGTAACTAGTGTGGAGTGACAAATCCATATAATACAAAAACGCCCTCCGTCATGCGAATGAATCCTCGTTCAATAACCCATCCATGCTCTCTAATCGTCCTCGATATCGTCATCACTAAGGACGAGTTTGTGCACTTGCAGCCCGCCGGGGATCGTATCTTCGTCCTCGGCCGAGAGATCTTTCGATTTCGACTTGATAGCCCCCACCCTCTTCTTGCGCGGGCTCGATTCTTCGGTCGGCTTGTCCGTCGCCCACGCCTCCCCGGGCACCGGACCAGCAGCCTCGTCGCCCTCGTCAGACGAGTCCTCCGTCGCCGGCGGGCCAATGCCCTGGAAGGAGACCACTTTATCGAGGTCCCGCATGCCCATGGACTGGAACGAGATCTTCTTCCGCCGCGCTATCTGCGCCATATAAGGCAGGCGTTCCAGGACCATCTCCTTCCGTGCCGAACTGCCCAAGGAGATCAAAATGGGGGCGGCGGAGTCTGCAGCCTCGGGCTTTTCTTGGACGGGCCCGGGCCCACCGATGCCGGGCTTCCTGGCATCATTGCGGTCGTCACCTGTTTTGTTCTTTCTGAAGAGCGACGCACCGCTCGTGAGATCTTGAATCGTAGTCTGCGTCGCGCTCTGCATGAGCTCTCCGTTCAGCATCTTGGAAGACCATACGTCGATCAGGCTCTCCAGCTCCTCCTTGGTCCGCCAAAGCTTGATGCTCGTCGGGTAAAACATCTTGAACTGGTCCCCTCCTCGGGCCGAGCCGGTAGACTGGCGCTTGACGGGGGAAGGAAGAGAAAACAGCAAACCGCGGACTGCCGTCTGGAATGCCATCTCATCTTGCCTGAGCACGTGGCTGCCAGAATCTCGCCCAAAGTTAGGACCGAAGCCCTTGCCGCCAAAGAAGATATCCCATGACGGACAGAGCAGGTCGCTCTCGGAGAGGTACTCGATACAGCCGTTGATGTAGTCCAGCGAGGATTGTGGGTCTCTAGGTCCAGTTCGCTCGCATGACAAGGCGTAATTCTCGTGAAGGGCAGATATAAAAGTATGCGTGTCAGTCCCCGTCTCGTCGATCAAGGTGTCCACTGCCACCTGCGACCTCTTTGGTCGCGATAGATGCGATATATAATCCGGAAGCGTCTCTGCCAGGGCCTCTTCGGAGCCAGCAGGATAAGGGAGTTCGTCACGCTTGTTGTACACCACCTTGCCCACGGCATGGAAGATGCCCAGGCTCGCCTCTCGCTGAGACACGAGCTCCAGACTCTCCCGCTCGCCTTTAGTTAACGCAGCATCTTTGGGGCCTTTCTTGCCTTTCGTGAATGCGACCTTTGCACCCCAATCTGCCTCATCGTCACCCTTGACGCAGAGGAATTCGAGTGAAGATACGGCATTTCTGATATCGCCAATCTCGCCCAGTCTCCTAAGGACCTGCGGGCCAGGTGTACGTCTCCGGCCAGACTTGCGTGCTTCCTTCAGCACAACCAGCTCTAGAGCCTTCGCCAGCAAGGTCGGAGCGATGGCGTTGAATTCTATAACGGTCGTCCCCGCGTGCCTCAGTATGTCAGGGCCCAAGAGCCGATGCGCCGTAAAGCTATCCGCCGAGGCTGAGGTAGTAGTCAGGAGCGTTTCCGAGATGATCATCACCACGGGTGTGATAGCCTCGGCAGGCCGCTGGCGGACGAAGGCTGCAAGAGAGGGCGTATTGAGTGCAAGATATTGCAAGATCGTTTTTCGGAAAGACGTGAGGCCACTCGACGATCTCATAAAAGTGTTTGGAAATTCTTCGATGGTGATGATCTTTGGCTTGGCGGGGTCGTGAGCACTGTCATCATGAGTTGACGAGCCGTTTGATGTGCTGCCATTTGCATAGTCCGGGTCGGTGTCGAAGTCCAGCTGTCCAAACTTCCCTCCCCTGCCCATAAACTCTTCGAACTGAGCCGAAGCGGACGCATATCCTTGCGTGGCACCCAGTGAGCCAGCGGGATTCCTCCACTCCAGGATCTCGCAGCCCATGTCCTTGGCCAGCAGCTGCACCGTCGTAGTCTTTCCGGTTCCCGCAGCACCCTTCAGCACAAGCAGTCTCTGCCGCATCCTCCCACCCATGACATCCTCCAGCCATTTCCGCACGTCAGCAACCTTCTTCTTGTGCACGGCGAGCTCGTCTAGGTTGGCGGGCCCGAATCGTTCCGACCAGGGTCGCAGGTCTTCGTCTTGCGGGGCCGACGTCGTCGGGGTCCGCCCCGGCGGTTTGAGGAACCGTTGGCTCGACGCCGGGAGTCCAGACGACGAAGAAGACAGCGAGGTGGTCCCGAGCTGGGTGCCGTTAGACCGCTTCTGTGCGTTCTTGCCTACGAAGCTCGAGGCCGAAGCTTTGGACACGCCAACGTCATCTTCCTCGGAGATGGGATCGCTGATGATGTCGTCCAGGGCCGGTGCCTCGGCAGCCTTCTTGCCGTTCGTCTTGCCCTCCGCCAGCGCCTTCTGGGCCTGCTTGGAGAACAAGGCCAGCAAATCGCCAGACTTGCCCTTCTCGTCTAACTTGCCACCCCTCTTCTTCTCCGGGCTGGTGCTCGGGCTCTTGGTCGAGTTCCTGCTGGCAGCGAGACGCGCTGGGAACTTGGAGACGCCGGGGCCATTGGCAGCGGCGGCGGCTTTGCCAGCGACGGTCGAGCGGGTGGACTTGCGGACGGGGCTCGGGGAGACATTGACGTCGCTCGAGTTGTTGTTGTTGTGACTGGCGGCGCCCTTGGGGTCTGGGGACGACAGGAAAAAGTTCTTTAGGCTGTTCTTGCGCGTCTGGTGGGCCTCGTACTCCTCGTCGTCCGAATCGACGACGTTCCTCTTGCGGCGCTTGGCAGGCGGCGCCATGGCGTCGTGGTTCCTGGATCAGGGGACGGCATCGGCTTCAGGCGAGCGGCGTGGAGCGCGTGTCATGCTTTTTCTCGAGGGCCTGTTTGTCTCGGGGCGAGCATTGAAACATGTGTCGTCTGGATTTTGGCAAATTGGCTTCGAGATTGAGGGAACAACAGAAGGAAAGCACGTCTTGAAAGGGACAAGCTGCAGGCACCACCCACCCTTTGGCTGTCTTATCCTTCAGCTGGAGGAGACCAGCCTTGCAGGTGGAGCCAGGTGAGATTGGCAGGGATCGCACAGGCCACCCCACCAAGATTGAGCACTGAGCAACCAAACGCTACCGCCGGGGACCGCCGCCGCTATCCTTCGATTTAGCAGACATGGATGCATCAATACAAACAAGAAGCTCGTCAGTTGGATTGAGATCATGAGGTTATTCAGTCCAGTCAATTTGCCATAGTTCCTTTAATCAAACGCTAGAGAAACACCCGTGAATCGTACAATCTCACAGCCTCCGATGATGCCCTGTCAATCTCCCATGATAAGATGCAAATGAATAACCAACCCGTTGCTGCGCTCTCGAATCCCATCAATCACCCTCCAAAGACCCAGCCCTCGAAATCGTCCACAAACCGCACCGCAGCAGCCAGATACTGCTCGTGCACATCCCCCCACGTCAGCGCCGCCTCCCTCATCGCCCTCACGGCCTTGACAAAGTGCGCGTCCGTGGCCCAGGGCCCCCTGAGCGCCTTGTCCTCGACGTAGCTCCACCCTTTGCCCTTGAGGTCCGCGGGCACGTTGTCCGGGTCGATGCGCGGCCGCAGGTTGGCGACGTAGACGGCCAGCGCCAGCAGCCACCACTCGCGCACGACGTTGGCGTGGAAGCGGGCGGGGATGTAGGGCAGCAGGATGCGGATGGCGTGGCTCGTTGTGAGCAGGTGCACTGTGAAGAAGTTGTAGGCGTGCGTGCCGTTGGTCACCGTCGCCACGAGCAGCCGCACCGCCGCCTCCTGCGACTCCTCGAACTGCCTGGTCGGGTCCGCGAGCTCCCAGGCGTTCCAGTACTCGAGCAGCAGGGCCTCGTGCTTCTTGAAGATGGTGTCGATGTTGCCGAAGCCGGGCCGCTTGAACAGCCCGTCGAAGCGCTCGTCCGCCGCAAGCTTGTTGAGCAGCTCCGTCGGCGACGTCATCTTGAAGGACGACGGCTTGGTGTATGACGGGTCGTCAATGTACTTGTGCAGAAAGTCATACTGCACGGATGACAGGGCCAGGGCCTCGATCGCCACCTCGCGGTTATCAATCTCAAACGCGTAGCCGAGATGAATGAGAGGATGGCCAACTGGATCAGATTAGCAAAACAGAATTGAGACAGGGCGGCACCATGCGCTACTTACGTCCTCCAATCAGCCCATTGACCAAGGGGTTCTTGCCGTTGAACATGAACTCCTCGACCAGCTTCTTCCAGTCGTAGCTGAACCTCAGCGCCAGCTGGTCCTCGTAAAAGTCGATGTAGGCCCGCTGGTAGTGCTTGTCGCCCAGGTAGTCGCGCCAGTCGCTCAGCAGGATCTCGTTGGGCGACTCCTTCCAGGGCTCCAGCTCCGAGGCCTCGACATCGTAGATGTGGTGCAGATGGGCGGCGTCGGCGCCGAGCAGGTAGGCCGAGGACAGGATATGGGCCATGTGGTTGTCAAAGCTCAAGTTGTGGTAGACGATGGAGTGGTTGGCGTGGTTGGCGCGCAGCAGGTGCTTCAGCGTCCTCGGGCGCTTCTCGGGCGCCGTCTCAATGTTATGCACCTCGACCGGCTTGATGTTGATGGCGGCCGGCGCCATGGTGGTGAACATGCGGTTCACCACCGGCACGTATGACAGTAGTCGACTCATGTTTTGCTGAGGCCCCGTCTATTGTCACTGCTTTGCTATCAGGATCGAGACATGCCCATTACAAGTCATATGAGAAGAAATGAAATGAAATGAGGGGTCAATAAGAGGAGGTGCGGATGAAGTATCAAATAGGTGTGTTTGAGTTTTTGCGCGATGGCAGGTAGGATCACTAACACAGAGAGGCAAAAGCTCATGGCTTGCACCTATCAGATTCTCACCCCATCCGTTGAGAGGCCCCCATGATGTCCCCTGCGGAGAGCCTGCGGTTGGGTGACGTCGGCTGGTGGTCGGTTTTAGTGGCCACAGCGCGGAGCGGTCAATTGGCGCCCACCGTAACTCCGTCTCGCCGACCTCCAGGGCTGCTAGAAGTGCTGACAATTTGAGTTAGCTGAGCTGGTCAGAGCCCTTTTCCGACCTAACCCAGGGTCGGTCGTCCGATCCACCGTTTCGCCCGCCCCTGTGCACGTTTGCTGTGGACCCCCCCACCACCAGGCCTCAACTGACATCAGAGCTGCCGACCCCACTATCGACTACAGACGACATAGGTTTCACAAAAACTCGACACTCCTTTTGCTACGAGGCCGTGGAGAAGATCACGAGCCAGTTCTAATCTACAACTCCTGAGAGCTATTCAGCCCTTCAACCACCTTCCTTAACTCCCCAGGATACAGCCCACAATGGCTCCCAAGGCCATCATCGCCCCCTCCATCCTGTCTGCCGACTTTGGCAACCTCGGCGCCGAATGCTCCAAGACGATGGACCAGGGCGCCGACTGGCTGCACGTTGATATCATGTAAGTCCCCTCCTCCCAAAAGCCAAACCGCGGTCTCTCTTTCTCGCTCTGTGCCACCGTCTCCCCGAGCCAACCTACTAACACGCACGCCCACCACCAAAACAGGGACGGCCACTTCGTCCCCAACATCACCTTCGGCGCCCCCGTCGTCGCCAAGATCCGGCCCCACGTCGACGCGCCCACGGCCTCCTTCGGCCGCGGCACCTTCGACTGCCACATGATGATCGCCGAGCCCAAGCGCTGGGTCAACGAGTTCAAGGCCGCGGGCTGCAACCTCTACTGCTTCCACTACGAGGCCGCCTTCTCCACGGCCGCCGAGACCCCCTCCGCCGCCTCGGAGCTGCGCACGAGCCCGCGCGAGCTCGTCCGCTACGTCCACGACCAGGGGCTCCTCGCCGGCGTCGCCATCAAGCCCGCCACGCCCGCCGACGTCCTCTACGAGCTGCTCGACAGCGCCGACCCCAAGGAGCGGCCCGACATGGTGCTCGTCATGACGGTCGAGCCCGGCTTCGGCGGCCAAAAGTTCATGGCCAGCGAGCTGCCCAAGGTGCAGGCCCTGCGCGCGCGGTACCCGGACATCAACATCGAGGTCGACGGCGGCCTGGGCCCCGGCACCATCGACCAGGCGGCCGACGCCGGCGCCAACGTCATCGTGGCCGGCAGCGCTGTGTTTGGGGCCAAGGACCCGAGCGAGGTCATCGCTCGGTTGAGGGAGGCGGTGGATGGGAAGAACGGCAAGCTATAGACAGTATAAAAAAGTCATGTACGGTTTTACGACTGAATGAAGCGTAGCGGGCTGTACGGACTTTTGAAGATAGACCATAAGCCAGTGCTAAAAAAAAAAGAATAGATATTATAAAATCTCTCCCTTGCCGATGTGATTCCAGAGCAGACCAATTGATCAGCAGGTTTCTAGAAGGGATCTACTCAGGAGATTTATCTCTTGTAGGATCAGCCTCAATGGAGGGGGGAAGCAGTTCTCTGTACCAAAGTATCACCACCATCACTGCTTTACCAACTTGAGGATACTGAGAGGCGATCTCTATCATACAGCAATATGAAAAAAAAGGTGCAAAAAGCTCACAGACTCACACGGAGGGGAGTCTGCTACGAAAATCCCACTTGAGATTTTCTATAAATCCCACTTGGGATTGTCTACTGCCGCACAGGATCTCACTGCCGGTTTTTTCGTCGAAACGTATGCCGTCATCGGGGATCGAACCTCGAACCTCCTCAGGCTGTCTTGTCGACAATCTCGCCATCTTTCCGTTTGACCACATCGGTCTTTTCCTCCCCGACAACCAACTGCGCTAACCTCACCTATAAGGGCTTTGGGGTCCTGGCGTCCCTCCTGCTCCTGGGCGCAGGATCCCCCATCCAGCTGATGGCACCCGTCCACGACGACGGGGAGGTCGACAATGACTCCCGGGCTTTGGTTCCCCGCCTAGCCTGGTTGCAGTGCTGAGGGGATGTGAGGGCATCGCGACTCTCCCTCGGGTCCCCCTGCCCACCTGACCCCCTGACCCCCTGAACCCCCGAGATCAAGACCACCACACCACCCACCAACGACCTCACTTGAGGATGCCTCCTTTTCGCACAGACTCGCGATATTTCACCCAACCAATCACTTTTTCATATCGAAATACAATCTCACCACGCGAACAGGTGTCTTTGGTCGGCAATGAAAAATCATTATCATCAATTCTCACCCTATCAAGCCCTACCTACCCCCTTTAATCCGAGTCGCTATCCTCGCTCGGCGAGAAGCCCCTGAATTCCTCCTCCTCCGAGCTCTCGACGATGTCCGCGTTCGGGTCGTCCTCCTCGTCATCCTCATTGTCTCGATCCTCAATCTCGAACGTCGCCGAGACATCCCACCGGTCGCCCTTGGCCTTGCGGCTGACATACTTGACGAAGCGCAGCGCGCCGCTGTCGCGCATCACGATGGTCATCTTGTTCCACGCCGCGGCCTGGAAGAAGAGGATGTTGTCGTCGTCGCTGCTCGACTTGTAGATGGCAGCATCCTCGTTACCGTCTTCGTCGCCAGCCATGTACACCTCGTGCCCGCCGACTTCCTCCGGCTCCTCTTCCTCCTCCTTCTCCTTGGCAACAGCCTTGCCCTTACCCTTGGCCTTTCCGTTGGCCTTGCCATTGGTGCCGTTCTGCTTTCCTTTGCCCTTTTTGCTCGTCTGCTCTTCCTCCTCGTCCTCCCCGTCTTCGTCGTCGTCATCGTCCTGCCCATCACCCCAGCCAGAGGTTGGCGTGAAGCCGAGGTTGAGCTCCAGGCGGGGCTTGCCGTCGTGGCCAGTGGCCAGCGTGTAGTCGAGGCCGCGTCGGAAACGGCGCGCCGCGATGTCGTGGGACTCGATCTCGGTATTCGTCGCCATCTTGAGCCAGGTGCGGAACTGCCTGCTGGGCAGCAGGACGTCCACCAGCTCCTTGACGGGCGAGTCGTCCTTCGCGTCGCCCTGCTGCATGTAGAGGAAGCGGTGCTTGTGCGGAGGCCGAGACACCTTCCAGGACGTCTTCTTCTCGATCTTTGCGCTGTCTTCGGGCAGCTTCTTGGCTTCTTGCTCGGCGACATACTTTCGCAGTCTCTCCGCAAAGTTCTTGTTCAGGATATCGGGGATGGTGATGCTCGAGTTCTCTTCAAAGTGTTCGGCCATGCCGGCCATGGTGTCGGGTGTGAGATAGGTAGGGGCGATATACTTAAGCAGGAATTCGAGGTCGGCTTCATCAAAGTCCTCGCCGTCGCCATTCCGTTCCTTCTCATCCACAGGCACGACCTTGGCCCGGGGCAGGTCGTGCTGATCAGGGTTGCCCTGCAGCTGCATCAGGCCGCTGTTCTTGGCCTGTGCCTCCTCCGCGCCCTCAACGTATCCGTCCTCCCCTATTTGCGGGATGTGGAACCATCCGCTGATGGCCATGCGGATCCGGCCGCCGTTCTTCTCGAGCTCCTTCTTGGTCTCGGCGTGATAGACCTCCTCCACGTCGTGGAAACTCTCTCCGGGCTGGACGGCGAAGAAGCTCAGCTGGTTCCACGCGGGCGGGATGACCTTGACGACATCGGGCGACACAATCTTGGCGACCTCGCCGTCCTTGCCCTTGCGGTCGCTCACGGGGAACAGGCGCAGGGCTCCGCCCCACTCGCTCTGCCAGGGGATGTCCGGATCGACCAGGTAGAGGATGTAGCTGACTTTGCGGCTTCCGATGACGTCGTCGTGGCACAGGAGATAGCAGCCGGGCGTGTAGATGTTGATGGCCATGTCCGTCTTGCGACCGCTCAGGGGACCGCAGCCGGTGATGTGGGAGACATAGTCTCGGAAGGACTGAGAGTAGATGGCGTCTCGGAGAGCCAGGAGAGAAGGCAGCTTGGCCAGAGCCTCGTCGTCGAGGCCGTCGAGGTTGGCTAGGTCGCCGGACTGGTGGATCTTGTAGATGTCGGTCTCCTTGGGGGTGAAGGAGACATTGTCGCGGATCTCGTTGCGGACGGACCGCAGCAGCTTGTCGTCGACCAGGCCATGGATGACGCTGTGCTTGTAGGGGCTAGATTCGGCGTACTCGGTGGTGTAGCCCTCGAGGACGTCCTTGTCGAAGAGTCCCTTCCGGAACCGCTTCTTTGCCTCGTCGTCGGACAGAGCTATGGTGGGGCCGTTAGCATTGGCTTTCACGATAAGGAACGCTGAAGAATCACAGGTCTGGACATACTGTTCTTGGAACGCTTCTTGGTAGGCTTGGAGCCGTCGACTTTGTGCTCAGCCTTGCGCTTCATCGTGCCTGCCCAATTGGTGCCTCTCGAGCTTTCCAGCTGGTCTGGGAGGGAGAAATGGCAGGGACGAAAAAGCTTTTTCGGAAATGGGCTGATTCCCTTCAACAATTATCTTTCCTCAGACGAGAATTTTGTGCCGCCTTGGATACCCCTGCAGTGGTGGAGTCGACCACTCACCGCCCGTCTCCACACACCTCCAGGGCTGTCCGTCGGGGGCTGTCAGACTCGTTCAATGCATTCGATGAAGTCCAGCCAGCCAACAGTTGACACTGCATGATAGGACAAGCGCCGGACCATATGTAGGGCAAAAGGGGGTCCAACAGCAGTCTCAATGCCTGGCACACGATCCTACTGGCGACTCCTCTTTACGATCATCTGTGGCTTTATGCGAATTGGCGCCGACGCCAGTGCTTTTCGACCTTTTCCATGCTGCTGAACCTTTCAGCTGGCGCCGCATTGAGATGGTGATAAAAATACACTGCCTTCAAGCGCTTGCTTAGAAGCAGCCTCGTTGAATTCATGTCAGGGCGGTAGTAACGGGATTTCTAGTACATCTTGCAGCTAATCAAACAATATTCGGCATTGGTCCGAAAGCAGCTGTTGACACAGACGCCCTCGTCATCACCGCATTCGTCATATTGCAGCTGTTGGTGTAAGTTTGGGAGCGATGTCCCGCCTTGGCAATCCTTCAACCGTGAATCAGAGCGCTGGCTACGGCCAGTTCAAGGTGTAGTAGACATGGCCTCTTATCATTTCTCTACCGACATCCTCAATATCTCCCACGGCATAGGATACCGAGCGGTATTGCCGCTCTTGGGCATTCCCCCGCTCTTTCATTCCCAATATGGCTGGATATATTATCAATGCAGCGAGGGGTAGCTTTGGGAGAAGGATGGCCGGCAGCTTGCTTAAAAGCTCGCCGACATCCGGCTCGAGAGCAGCTCCAAGCTTCCTTTCTGTATCACTGAGGATTTCTGGATCAAGACCAAGATGCTTATTCTCATCCCGGGCGTAACAGGCAATCTAGGTCAGCATCTCTGTCGGGCTGCTCTGCAGCAGGGGCACCAGGTCCGAGGTCTCGGTCGCAGCCCCGACAAGCTGGACCCGGCTCTCAAGTCCCAGCTAGAGTCCTGGGTGGACACGACTGGCATCGAAGACGCTGCCTCGTACGACAGAGCCTGCGCCGGAGTCGACGCCATCATCGTGGCCTGGCCCGCATACGCACGCTTCGTCGTCGACGGGCAGATCCTCCTGCTGCGCGCCGCCGAGAGGGCCGGCGTCAAGCGCTTCCACGCCGCCAGCTGGAACCTCGACTGGGAGCACCTACCCTTGCACGAGATCGAGACCTATGACGCCATGATCTTCTTCGCAGACCACGCCTTGATGACCAGCCCGATCAAGCTGTGCCACACGTTCACCGGCGTGCTCGGCAAGACGCTGTTCGGCGTGCCCGGCGCGGGCATCTTGGAAGGCAACTCGGCGTTCTGGGTCCGGGAGGGCAGTGTCGCGGACAACAGGCGCACGATCAAGGTCATCGGCTCCGGGGACGTCGAACTCAACTTCACCCCCGAGGCAGACGCGGCAGAGTTCACAGTCGCCCTGATGGCGAGTGAGTATGCCGAGAAGGGAGGCTACTTCCGTTTCTGCTCCGACTCCTTCACGCCGCTGCAACTGGGCGAGGCGTACAAGCGGGTGTACCCGGACGCCGAAGTCCTCATTGAGAAAGTCATGGAGCTGGACGAGTGCGAGGCCGTGATGAGGCAGACACGCAAGGAGGCGCGCGAGGCTGGACAGCTTCAGGAGAGGCTCATTGAATACCTGGGCTTGGCATACGGCTACTACATTGCATCGGGCAAGTTGAACATCAACCCCGTGGATGCAGACAAGTTCCCGGGGTGCAAGCGTACGAGCGTTGAGGAGTACATCCGAGGCAACGACTATGTGTGAATAGCTCCCCGTTTACGTTCCTAGACAAGATTGTCAGCTACCAAGTAATTGTTACACTGCATCATCATCCTTGTCGTCCGTCCATTTTACCGCCAAAGCGTGTTTTGGCTTCCATCTCCGCCGTGCCGACATCAATTAGGGGACGGCATGCCAAGACCCGAAACGGCAGCTCGGGCTCGTCACGGGCTTTCCGATGCCGAACATGAAAAACGTCATCGAAAGACGGGCTAAGCCAACATCGTCTCCCAAAGATGTATCGAAAAGACGCCGCGCTGTCGATCTGATACCTGTGCGGGGTGCAAGCAAGACTGTAGTGGATGGTGGAGAATGCGACTGGTAGGGTCGTGGATCGGCATCGATGCTTCTGCCCTTTGTGCCAGGGCGAGAACAAGACATAGAAGGGTACTCAGACCGGCAATGATGTGCAACAGATGGATAGGTCCTACAGGTACTTCTAGAAGCTAGCACTGGGGCCACGCAGCGTACGCAGCGTGGCAGCTCAGGTCTTGGAAGGAGGCGCAATGGCCCAGCCTTGACGCAGCCTGCAGTAGTGCCGTAGCACCACCAAACGCCTGAAATCAATCAGCGGCCGTCAGCACCTTGGCACCCCAAGACACACACTACACAGTACCTACCTTACCTACATGTGAGAGGATGTGAGAGAGAGCCCTGTCCAAATGGGTCAATCGGATTCGACTCGGCACTATCGGGAACCCGCCCTTCTGCGTGGATCCATCCATCGAGTTTGTGGTGATCAGCGCTTCCCTGCTTTTGGGGTTATTCACTCCATTCCATTCTACAAGTACCGTACGTCCAAGTAGTTACATGTTGACCAACCTCATCAAACCCATCAGTCGCCATCGCCAGTCAGGTCGAGTCTGACATCTGCTTATCCTCAACTGTCGCGTCCCTGCTTTGCCCTTCTTATGTACGACGGCACTACTGCATGATTGTGGCATCCCGCCTGTCCGCCTGCCCGCCCTCCCTCCCTCCAAGCCATCCTGCTGTGCGCCCATCGCGACTCCATAATTAGTGCTATCGTCGAATCCAGCTCACGCTCACCCGACGACTCGCCTCCCCCGGAAATAACTAAAGCAGCCCACCAGCCAGCCATCCGCCCATTGTCTTGTGCCATCGACTCCACCACCTTCTTTCCGTCCAACTTTAACTTTACCCAGCGAACGACTCTCCCTTCTTCTGCCAAATCCTGTCAATTGTCACCAAAACTTTGGCCTTGACAACTTCTGCTTGCTACTGCGACTCTCTTCCTACCCATCAATCGACTTTTATCCGTCACTTTTTGCCGAATAGGACTCACAATCATCCAGCCTACTGTGTTCCGGTTGTGTGCGCGATTGAACCCCTCCAAATCACACGACTGTCGATTCTAGCGACGTCATAGCCGCCACAAGATGCCAATTCGCAATCCCTTCGCCAGACGGCCTGGTGGACCGGTCGTCAATGATGAGAACTTGCGCCCGGAATTCGCCGCCGACGGATCGAGGACGGCCCTGCCCGGTTTCGAGAGGGTCGACACGGTCGGCTCAAAGGCATCGTCGGCCGTGAGTGTTCGCAGTGGGAAGAGCCAGGACAACGGAGAGTACAAGATGAGCGGTATGGCCTGCCAAGCCCCCTCCTCCCCCGCCATCTGCCCATTGGCGACGACAATGACATGGTTTCCCTGTCGCCGTCTCCCGCTCGTGGTCTGTGCAGGGCATGTAATTGACAGGGCATTCTTACAGTTGTCAACGACAGTGGTGTCTATCTTCCGGTAAGTTCACCACGGGAATCGGCGTCTGCTTTGTCCCTCAGTCCCCCTAACCAGTCCGCGAATAGCCTTCGCCCACCGAGCGAGACTCCTCATGGGGCAGGCGGTACCTCTCGCGCAATTCTACCGACACGCGCAGCAGCACCGCTGGCGACATTGAGCCCTTCTCCATCTCGCGCGAGTCCTTTGACTCGTACAGAAGATCATTCGTAAGTGAAGGCCGCGCGCCTTCGGCGATGCTGGACCTGTAATCGCTAATGCGAGAGACGCGGCGCGACCAGGATATCTCCGCCAAGTCACCCGTCGTCATCCACGACCCCGTACCGCGCCAAAGCCTGGACTCGCGCTTCCCGCGCTTCCCTCGGTCCTCGCTCCAGGAGCGGCGATTCGACCGCGACCTGCCGCCGACCGATGAGCACTTTGAAGACGTCGGGCTCAACGACGAGAAGCACCCGCAGCCGAAGAAGCGGGGCTTCTTCTCCAAGTTTGGCGGTGAACACAACGCCGGCAACCAAGAGCAGACCACGAGCTCTCCCTCGCCGGGCATGTCGAGGTTCCTGATGACCGGTCGCAAGCGGGGCCAGAGCGGCCAGGGTGCCGAGCTGGGCCAGATCGAGCGCCCCACGACGGCGGCATCAACCGAGGCACAGGAGGTGCAGTCATGATTTACAAAAATTACAGAGATGAGACAAGTTGGGAGTTAGGTGTATCCATACCATGTGGGCCGGGCAGGAAAGACGTATACACGGGAGCTTTGTGTGTTGTATTTGGGGTAATACCATACACATTCGCTACAGCATCCTCATTTAGAGCTAGACACAACGGCCCTGCTGATCGCTAGGCAGGCCAAGGAGTTTCTGGGGTGTTTGGTTATCTTATTTTTGGGGCGTTGAAGGACAAGTTGCTTTTCATCAGGGATCAGAGAGCAGATCTTACCGGGCTATATGGCCGTCTAGGTAATGGTAATGAGAAGCAACAAGTGGCAGACTTGACACTTGATATTCATTCACAGACTTGACCCATCTTGGACCACGATCTTGTGTCTCTTTTTCTCACAAACCCTAGCTTGACTTGCGGCGATGAAACAGCCAATGATCGCTATGCACAATTCGATCAGCCACGGCTCGTTCATCCAACTATTTGTTCAATTGTTTTACGCCGGAATGTTTACATCGGGCGGCACACCGGTGCCGATAGCGGACTCGACACGCACGGGTGGCCCGATGCCCCAATGACGACCGAAGCAATTTTTGGCATTGCGCCATACAGTTATCCACCTGTCTTGCCCCACGTAGATACGCCCTTTTGACAGCATCGAGACCTCGTAGCAGGAACCGCCTCGGGTGTAGGGAAATTTCTTCAATATTTCTCCTTTCACTCGGTAGAGGTCCCTCTGACTTGCGGATATCTGTTTGCGGCATCACCAGCCTTTAGCCTCCTAGACGCAGAGTGATTTGACAGGGACTGATCCCCCTTCCGTGCTTTTTTGCATACCCCGATGGCGGACAACACTAAGAAGGAGGCCGCGGCCGGACCTCCCAGCGGCGGAGGCATCAACGCCACGGCCCTGGCGGCGCTCGGAGGTGACGGCCCGGACCGGCTTGCAAAGGCCTTTGAGCACGAGCTGTCGCTGTCGTCGCGCACCGTTCACGCCGACGACTATATCAACACGCACCGGGCCGTGGCGCCGCCGCTGCACGTCTCGGCGACGTATAGGTACGGAAGCGAGCCGGATGAGCTCAGGTATATGGAAAACATTGATGTAAGTCGATTCCGGTATGGCCTCGCTCTCATCCTTGGTGTTTGGATGCTTCAGGCAATCACGGAGAGGAGGCCCATGTGTGAAAGGGAAAAAACTACATTCCCATAAGATGAGATATCTATAGTTTCATACTAACAAGACTATATAATGTAGCCCAACAACCCTTACGACTCGCACATCTACTCCCGGGACTCGGCGCCCAACACCACCCGCCTCGAGGCCATCCTGACCTCCGTCCTCAACGGGCCCGCCATCACCTACGGGTCGGGCCTCGCCGCCTTCCACGCCCTCATCGTCTTCCTGAACCCCAAGCGCGTCGCCATCGGCAAGGTCGGCTACCACGGCTGCAACGGCGTGCTGCGCCTCGTCGCCAAGCTCACGGGGCTCGAGCAGCTCGACCTCGACAGCGAGGCCGACCTCGCCCGCCTGCAGCCGGGCGACCTCGTGCACGTCGAGACGCCGGTCAACCCGACGGGCGAGGCGCGCGACCTCGACCGCTTCGTGCGCCTCGCCCGGGAGAGAGGGTGCTACGTCTCGGTCGACGCGACGTTCGCGCCGCCGCCGCTGCAGGACCCGCTCCGCCACGGCGCCGACGTCGTCATGCACTCGGGCACCAAGTACATCGGCGGCCACTCGGACATGCTCTGCGGCGTGCTGGCCGTGAACCCGCGGCGCGACGCCGCCGAGGGCTGGCTGCGCCGCCTGCGCGACGAGCGCATGATGCTGGGCAGCGTCATGGGCAGCCTCGAGGGGTGGCTCGGCGTGCGCAGCCTGCGCACGCTGGAGCTGCGCGTCGAGCGGCAGAGCGCGAGCGCGGGCAGGCTCGTGGCCTGGCTGGCCGGCGAGAGCAAGCCCGGCAGCTCCGGCAACGCGTTCTCGGCCGCGGCGCGCGTCGTGCAGCGGGTCTCGCACGCGAGCCTGCAGCCCGAGGCCGCGGACCGGGACTCGTGGCTCCGGAAGCAGATGCCGCGCGGCTTCGGCCCCGTGTTCTGCATCTGGCTGCGCGACGAGCGGGACGCGCGCCGGCTGCCGAGCCGGCTGCGCCTGTTCCACCACGCCACGAGCCTCGGCGGCGTCGAGAGCCTGATCGAGTGGCGCGCCATGACCGACAGCCGGTCCGACCGGAACCTGCTGCGCGTGAGCGTCGGCGTCGAGGGCTGGGAGGACCTCAAGGCGGATCTGGAGCAGGGGTTCGAGGCGCTGCTTCGGGAGGACGGGGCTTGAGTGGACGTGATTTGTGTAAGCGTGATTGTGTACGGGAGGTTGTCTCGGGAGGCTTGGGAGTCTGTGGGCATAGTCTGGAGGGGAAAACTTGGATAGCTAGGTTGCATATCATCTATGAGTTACCAGAGGGTTATGGCGGCTGCAGGATGATCTATGCCGCAATGGCTTGTCGGGACAGACTCGAAGAAGTGATTATGTTCTATACTCTTGGCCATTTGACGATGTTGTGAAGCGGCTTGCTCACGCTTCCTGCACCATACAAGCTACTCTTGCCTTCTTCCAGCCTTACTTGCCTTTCTAGACCTTTCCATAAAGTTTCGACGAAACCGTATTTCTCTGTAAGTTGTTTGGCGTTGTCGCTACCTCAGTCCTGTTGCGCGACAGCCAGATGTCAGACTCGACGTGACTGGCGACTAATAGTCGACATGTACTAATGATATTCACTATCTCAACTGCTAGTGGCCACCTCCTTAATATGTATATATATGTATATACACGGAGTCAACGACCTTTAGACCAAATATGTTCCAGCTGGAAAGTTCAGATGCGGGTCTGATTGTAATTCCCAACTAGACCAAAATAAGGCTAACTAGATCCTTGAAGGGCGCGTGGCCTAATGGTAAGGCGTCAGATTTCGGCTCTGAAGATTGTGTGTTCGAATCGCATCGCGCTCGTTTTTTTTTGCCCTTGATCTATTTTGTTTTCTTTCTCTTCTCTTCCCCCTTTATATTCCGCTTACCCTTTCCATTGAATTCCTTTGTCCCTTGCGCACCCCAAGGCCTCGAACACCTCCCGCAGACCGGCAAAGAAGGAAAAATCCAGGATGATACAACAGTGCTGCTTCTTGGCACAGGAAAGGTTCAGTGGAAGTCGAGGAATTAAAGCGCCGACGAGTGTTAAGATCATATACGAGCTAAATAAAACTATGTATCTTATCTAGACAGCTCATGCCGACATACGGGCCTGATTATATAGTGAGATTAGGGTCGACCAGTATTGAGTAACAATTATTCTCGAATACACCTCCCTGCTTCCCGTTGACTCCCTTGCAGTTGCAGGAGTCCGCGGGCACGGACAGGTAATGCTCGCATAGGTTCCTGTTGAATATGAAGCTGCACTTGTCCTTGATCGCGAAAGATATTGTGATTGTAACTGTCCCGACACCTCCGTTGTACGGAAAAGGAAAATCAATCGAGCGGCTGTACCCAGGGCCCATGATGTCCTTCTCAATGTCGTTACAAAAGCTGTGCGCCGCGCTCTGCATCCGGACGTCCTCGGTAGTCTCTCCCTTTCCGAAGCACTGCACCTTGTTACTCAACGGGTCACCCTGCTCGTAGGGCGAGGGCGCAGGCGAGGTGGGCTTGGTGGTCGACGTCGACGTGGTAGAGGTGGAGGTCGAGGTCGAGGAGGATGACTGGCGAACGTTTGGGCATACTACCAGGAGGTCCCAAAAGTTCTCTATATCGTCGTCATCACCGTCTGGCTTATTGTTGGTGATGTTGCCCCAGAACCATGGCTGTTGGACACAGGCAGGGTCGTTGAAGCTGAGGAATCCGCATTCCTTCGTCACGGGCCCATCAGAAGAGCCAAACACGGGCTGAACTGCCCGTTTGGGCCAGCTTCCGGAGGGGGGTGCGGGCGCATCGGGGCCCATGGATGCCGGGGGCGTGGGAAAGGGAACCGTGGCGGATGTTGTCGTCCGTCGTCCGTCTACGCCTCCAATGTAGACTACTGCAGGCCAGTATGGCGTCGTGGCGGGAATAGGCCAGAATGCTGCAGCGTCACGTTTGTTGTTCCCGCCACCCTGTTTCAGTGTTACCACGTCGAACACCCACTCCGTAATGGTCAGCGGCGCTTGTGTGATTGTGCTTGTCCAGGTACCTTGGCTGACGGTGATCAGAGGATAGTTGACGGTACTGGTTGCGCCCTTCCATGGTGGTAGCTTGACATTGCAAGGAGGAGAGCATGTGAACTGAGGCTGTTCCATATCCCAGATCGCGGGATCAACCCAGACATAATCCATAAAATTATTGGTGCCGTTGCTGCTGACGTCAAAAATACTTATCTGCGACCAGTCCGGATGCACCTTGACGTTGAGATTATCGGCGGCCGGGATGCCTTTGCCATCCATGACAGCCATATATTTAGCACCGATGGTGACAAGATTCTGGAAACGAATGTTGGCATGGTTGTTTTTCAGAAGCACTAGTGCCTTTTGACATAGTTGTGTGTCGATGCAGGTCTGAGCATAAGTCGAGAACCACTGAATGATGGTCAGCTATAGTGCGCTTGCTCACCATTCTGCATATTGCGAGAAGAGTTTATGCAGAGACACTCTGTCGGGAGTGTCTCGGCTGCCACTTACAGAATAAAGTCCCGCACTCGAAACAAAAATGTTCTCGGAGCCCGTCATTATCACAGCCCAGGATTCATCGCAGCCGCTGAACTCATCTCCGGCGGTGCATGAATAATTGGGATCACCAGGGAAGATGCCCACGACGGAAGTGAAAGGAGCTGGCGGCGGCGGAGTCGGCTGGAAGTAGGGCGATTCGCTTTGTATCATGCCAGCATAAATGTTTGCTGCCGAGTGAAAGTTGTACTGATAAAACACAGCGTGCTCGGATGCAGTACCGTAGAGCCTTTGATCTTGGAGTTAGTCTTGCCTGTGATTGCGGAGTAAGACAGAGTGTGTATGTTACCAGGTCGGCTTTGTACTCTCGATCAAGAAACCACGAGCAATGTAAATTGAAGTTTGTACCATAGTGTTGTTCTCGTCAACCAGATCAGGGTCACTAGGGGTTGTCAAATCAGACCGTCGTTCGGCTTCTGTCAGTAAGAGGCAGGTAGAGCTCAACTTACTCAATCATGTGATCGGCTCCCCAAAGCCACATGTTTTCAAAGTAGCCTGACGCCGACGTCGTGAGGTGCATCATCAGACTAGCAGCAGAACATGCTGAGTTGATACCACTGGTGACGGGGGGGCATTCAGCAGGTGTTAGCTCTGTTCCTGTGGCGCCTCCTACCCGGACATGGCAGTCCCAAAGCCCAGCAGAGCCCGGTGAAGCAGCTTGGATATTCCACTCGATAAGTACCAGGCCAGCTGTAGGCCCACGATTCGTGAAAATAAGATCCTGCATCTCTATGTTGCCAACCTGCCCGGCATTTCCAACCTTAACCAAGACCTTAGGCTTGCTATGGCATACAGTCAGCTCTAACAAAGTAAATGGCAAATAGAGAAGAAAGGACTTAGTCCCTCTATTCAACAGTAGATATCATAGGAATCGCGTACCTGGCGTCTGAAAAATAGGAGCCCGAGGCAACTAATTGTGACCATGTCTCTCCCACAATCTTAGCGCCTGGAGGAACAGTGATGGTTGAGGTAAGAATGTACGACCCGGCGTCGACAAAGAGGATCTTGCCTAGACTTGCATATAGCGCAGCTTGAAATGCTGCTGTGTCATCAGTAGACCCGTCACCTGTGCACCCGAGGTCCTTGGTGTGCACAAACGCAGAAACGGCTTGATCCTCGTACTGCGGCTTGGCTCGCTCAAAATAGTTTCCCTGGGCATCTAGAAGAGTCGAGTGTCTCCGATAGTTGCCAATCTTGCCGCCCTTGGAGAAAGTACGAGCATTCGCTGCTCCTTCGTAAACAGGCCCAACAGCCCACGCATCGATCAGGGCTGTCGAGGCTAGAAGCGTGGCACCGGTGGTGTCGGCCACAGCCACGGAAACTCCCGACATAGCGATGTTCTCGAGAGCAATCCCTGTACTAATGCTTCCCGGGGTCGCTGATATGGGATTTACAACAATAGCAGTACCAACATTTGTGAATGACGAGTCCAGGATTGAGACAGAGCCGACTGTGGGGAAGCAAGAAGTTAGCAGTGCACTGTCGAGTTGTAACCCGACGCCGCAAGAAATAAGAAGAGCTTGGCGGCAGCTCCCGGTATATCTTGAACAGTATACCAGACCAGAGATTGTCCAAAGAACACAATGTCGACACAGGGAAATAACAGTCAGGGAGCACACTTACTGTTGCCGACACCGTTGTCACCAACGAGCTGAAACCCCGTCTTGACGTTGTTCATCGTGATTGACTTCCACACCCATCCCCAGTCCCAGATGACCTGGACTCCGACTGTGCAGCCATTGAATTTGAGACGCTGCGCCGTGAACTGCTGACTGCCCCCTTTGAGCCCAATCCCACCCCCGGTAAATGTGACATCGGAAATGCTGCCCCCACTGCCATTCTCCGCGAACATGCCGATTTGTGACGAGCCGGCTGCTGCTATCAACTCGACATTCTGAAGACTCGTGGCTTGCGCAACTTGGTAGTGCAGACAAGTGACCAGTTTGCCTTGGGAAATCTTGCGGATGTCTATGACCAAGTTTCGAATTTGACGATAGAAGTTGGCGGTATTGACATAGTATCTAGAACATTGGAAGAGTCAGATTCACTCATTCTATACTGCAGTACCTAATTATTGGGACAAAATGAAGGTCATTGGATCTCAAGGATTAACGTACTCAGGGTCGCCGCCATCGATGCCCTTGCCCTTGGCACCAGTATACTCGTCCGTGGATAGTACCCCTAAACCAACAAAACTTGGGGCAGCCACGAGTGTTGGTCGATTGTTGGCATCACCAATGACTTGTGTTCCGAAAGGTAACGCAATGGTCGAGGATACCAGGTAGTTTCCAGGTGGGAAATATACGATGGCGTTCTTTGTTGTGGACCCGTTGCATCCTTTGCCGCATCGTGTGCTATTTGTTCCCATGGCCTTGTTTATGGCTTTTGTATCATCCTGTTCCCCGACGATGTATTGATCAGCACCAGCATAAGTGAAAAGGCGGGGCTCATGAGTAAGTTATGGAATTCTCCTCCACTGGACTGGACTCACCGTTATACCGTCACCGACGGCTCCGTAGTCAAGCACATTCCTGAAGATCACCTTTGACTCGATCAGCTGATGAACTCTCTCGCAAAGCGCCAGGCAGGACAACTCACATAGTTAGGGTCATTTCCCCAAGGCACAGTCCCTTTGCGAGCAAGACTGTTGTATCATTTCCTGGTCAGTGGCGCATCCTTTGATTGGGCAGACGGATACTTCATTGAGCAAGACTTACTCTTGCATCCAATATGTTCCCTTGCTTGCTGCTGGCGCACGCCTTGTGACATTCCGCCATCCGTTCATCGCATCTGCCTCGGCTACGAGAGCTGCCGCTGCAGCGATTTCGTCGGTGATGACTAGAAGTGGCGGAATACCCTGGTCGGTTGGTGCGGCAGAATCTGGGACGCTGCCTCCACCAACTATCGTCCCGGGCTTCAGGCCATACTTGTTTCGTAGCGGCTCCGCAACACGAGCCTTGTTCAATCTCGACGTCTCGGAGAGGGCTTTCTTCACAACTTCCCGTGCGGCCTGCAGATCTTTGGCCGTTGCTCTTTTCAGCAGAGGCGTAACGGCGGACTCGAGTACGCTGCGCGGCTCTGGGACGATGTCCTCGGGTAGACTTCTGGCCAGCGTCGTGTTCAGAGCCCGTCTCGCTTCCTCCTCTTCCATCGAATCCTCCAGGTCCCAGCGGTAGGGCTGTTCCATACGCGGCATGGGCATCGTCTTACCCGTCAAGCTCGATTCGCTGACCTGGAGGTTTTCAAAATCAGGTCCATCCTCGCTTGAGACCGAATGAAACTCGAGGATCTCATGATCAAACAAAGACCTCGAAGATAGTGCTGGTAAAGAACGGGCTTACATATGTCAAATTTGCGTACACCGGAGAGTCGAAGCCCTTGCCCGCTTTGACGAGACCTTTGAGCTCTGCGATCGTGAGAGACTTGCTAGCCCGGGTAGAATTAGCTCCGGTTGAGCGTTTTGCCTGGGTTATCTCGTCCTCGTCCTCCAGCTGATCCGCATTCCCGATATCAAGCATCGTATACACGGTGGCAGCTATTCCATCTGGGCCATTGTCGGTTGGGACGAAGTGAAAATGAATGATTGATTGGTCTTCCCTAAATTCCTGGTTGCTAGTGGCTTCTGCTGCTGCCTGGAGCTGATCACGCAACCTTGCGTGGGAGTGTCCTTGCCCTGTCCGCCCTATGGGTCAGTTCATAGACTCTTCAATATTGAATAGAATAACGTGTTGGGACATGGCCTACAATTCTGTTCTGCTTTGACTGGAACGTTATTCTGTCCATCAGTCGCGCAGCTAATGCCGGCACATCGTGTGTTGGACGGGGAGTTCATAACTGCGCCGCTCCCACCTTCAACCCTAATTCACTGATACATTAGCCTAACTATCTCAAGATTTCTCAAGATTGGAGATCAAGAGTCAAAGCACCAAGAACAAGGATATTAATCCTGGGACCCAGTTCATGGACAGTTCTCAAACTCTAAAGGTATACGCACCAGGTGGCCGGCGGGAATTCATCACACGAGTAACGGATGTTGGAGTACTGGAGGGGGAGGCCAGTGATGGGATCATATCGATTCAACAGGTTCCCAACCTGTGATAACGGCTCAGTCAAGGTCGTATACCACGGGCCGTCGTGTCGCATAGGCAACTGCTGGTTGGGTTCCGGGCAGGGGTGGGTAGTTTTCCAGGCTGGCGGACATGATGCAGCGCGGCGCCAGAACTGTCGACTAGCAGGCACCCCCCATTCACGGTCACCTGTGTTGAAGTCATAACCGTATACATCATTGGAAACACCGCTCAAGGGGTGCATGTTCTGCCCTCGTGGAGTCGCCGCAAAATTGGCCGCATTTGTGCAGATTTCTCGCATGTAGTAACAATTGTAATTGAGGTATACTGTCCGAGGCCATATATCGATAACTTCCCATGCAGGAATACCTGGGACAGACCGACTTTTAAGTATACTGTCAGCAATGCCTTTTGATAGATGGTGGTAAGAAACAAGGAAACTGGGTGACCTACTAGAAGAAATGGCCAGGATTGGTGGTATCCGGCAAGTAATCTTGCAGGTATTGAGCATCGGCGACCCGAGAGCAGAAGAGAAACAACAGCGGCGCCAAAAGCGCAAAAAGTTGCAAGACTGCCATCTCGTCGAATTAGCAGAGTCTGTGACGAGAGGGAGCAGGTCTAGAAGAGGCAGTGAGTCTCACACAGCCAACATTGAATACGACTTGGGAGAGCAATGTCAAAGTGGGCATATATATTGATCCAATGTGTTGTGCAAGCAGCAGGTAATCCTGTACCCCGTGAACCGGCCGAGGTTCTTCGATACGAACGTCGAGACGGACGAGGTTCGGAAAGCGCGCATGCGAGGCATGGTGTGAATTGCCCTGTTCACCTCATCCTTGCCCCGTGTCTCTTCAACTGTGTCTGATTCACAGTGCAACTCGGCTTGTACCTGATAGGTAGACCCAGAAACTTCAACTCGTTGAATACACCTCATCCTTGCCCGACTCGAATCGAGACCGCGAGAATGATCTGATTTGTGCTGGGGACACATGTCTGTTGGTCCGCTAGTCTTGGAGGTGAAATTAAGCCATGGCGGAACAATACCGCAGAGACACGATCTAGATCCGGATTGATATGACAAGAGTTCAGGGTTTGGCGGGCCGGCCCCTCCGGCAACTCAAGCTTTCCTAACCCGGGGCAAATCCGGCCCGTTTTGAATAGCTAGTTGAAAAAAGTCCCTAGTCAGCCACAACGGTCCCAACCAACGACCAACAGCACGAGCTGAAAGCGGCGTGCGCCTGGAAGAAGAAGGTTACATTTTCGTTCGTTTAGTATCGGAGATTCGCCTGCATCTAAGTGCGGACTGTCGCCACGGACCAGGTTAGACTTGTAGAGTTTGTGTTCCACGATCTATGCTTCCTCTCCCATCTTAATCTTTTGATGCCCACATGAGCGGGACTATTCGGAACTCATTCCCCCCTCTGGTACAGTAAGCGCCCAACCCGCCACATCTACGGAGTACGTAGCACGGATAGAATCGTGACGGACTTCAATCGAGGCATTCTTACCCGAAGCTGAGCTTTGCTGCAGGTCCTGGAAATAATGATCCATGCAGATACGATTGTCCACTTGGTTCTCATGCAGGGGCAGCCCGATCACATCTAGCCTCTTATTTTCGCTCCACTTTACAAGTACATAGCACGCAGGCACAGCGCGTGATTATCAAGGGACTAATTTCACAATGTCGTTCTCAGGACTAGTCCCATAGCCTTCTTTCTTCTGAAGTTTTGTTGGTCCTGGTACGTCTTTCGAGCCAAAGTCCACGACCAATTTCCCGAGGGGACGAATTGTCCCGTACGTGGGCAGTCAGGACAGTCATGCTCTTCCCTGGATTATTCCCTTTAATTGATTGACGAGCATTCTCGGGGTATTTTCCTCTGTCCTTGCTGTCCATTCCTCTCGAGTTTCTCCTCGCTCAGATATTCAGACCTCTAGCTTCTGTTCCTCAATAACAGCCATGAAACCCAACCAGGGAAGAGCTTGGTCGCGGCACCCCGTGCTCTGTGTCATGGTTCTCTGTCTTACAGGCCTGGCTCATGCCAAAGATGAATGCGCACCTGTTACGTGGACATCTGGGGCATTCGAAAGACGGTCTGTTTCTGATACTGCTACCTCGTCTTTCACAGGCAGTGGAAGTACAGGCGCTTCCAGTTCCCTTGTCGCGGCACCTACCTCCAACTATTCCATACCGGTGGTTACTATCAGCCCTCTCATCAAAGGTGCAGATGTTAAAGTTGGTGAGGTCAACTGTCGATACACCGCCAATACACGAAACATGGACATAAACTACTACACCTGTACTGCCTTGGCTATTCGACACCGCATCACCATTGAAGCGTTCTTCATCTTGAACCCAGGACTGCATCGCGACTGTGGGAACATTCAGGCGGATACGGACTATTGCGTGCGAGGCTGTAAGAAGGCCCTTCCTCATCATGCGTAAGCACCTGTCTAGTGACGACTGGGAACTGATCAATGGCCTCTGCTCTGGGTGAACAGTTATCGAGCCTCTCAGGGCTGAAGACGGCAAGTGCGGCCCCCCAAACAACAATGCCACTTGTCTCGGTACGCCAAATCAGTGCTGCAACGCAAACACTTGGACCTGTGGCAGCTCCGCGTGAGAACCCCCCTCCCCCTGGTATCAGCGACTGTTCGGTCAGGTTTAATTATGGTATACTAACGCCAGAGTCCCTGGCCAGCGAAGACTGTGCAGACGGAACCTGCTACGAAGGCGCATGTGCAGGAGACTCTGTGTTTACGACGAACGGTGACTGCGGCAGGGACCACGGCTACAAGCAATGTGCTGGGGTCTGGGGTGACTGCTGCAACGCAGAGGGGAAGTGCGGCACCGGCCCGTCCTTTTGCGCCTACGGCGTCTGCCAACTTGGAAACTGCACAGTTCCCCAAGCTCCTCCGCCTTCATGGCTGAATGGAAACACGACAGATGGCACCTGCGGTGGACCGAGCTTCTACACTTGTAGTGTGGTATTCGGAAACTGCTGCAACAAGAATGGCAAGTGCGGCTCCTTGCCGTCAGACTGTGGAGAAGGCTGGTAAGTCTTTTCCCCTATTCTCTTAACTCGCCTTCCTTCTATAGACCGTACACTAACTTGTGGACTTCTGTTCCATAGTCAACCTCAATTCGGGAAATGCTCCTCTATACCAAGCTCGTCTAGGCCCTCATCTTCATCCACCAAAAGGACAGTGAGCAGCCCTATGACCACCACGAGCCCAACCTCTACGTCGAAACCAAGCACTCCCACAGCTACTACCACGTCTGCGAACCCTACCGAAACTTCCATCCCAGGCGAGGACGCTTTACCTCCGTGCGGGAAGACCTGCTTCAATAACATGCTGGCCCAACACTCCGCCCTCGGATGTGCCGCCCTTGATGCATACTGTCTTTGCAACAACGTTGACTTCAGCAATGGCATTCGCGACTGCTCAAATGGAGCTTGCGGGTCCGCTGTCGGCAGTACAGTCATCGCCTTCGGGAGCGCATATTGCTCTACCGCCTTTGCCAGCCATACTGCCACAGCCACCGGCATAGCTGCTCTGCCCTCTTGCGGCCAGACCTGCTTTAACAACATGGTGGCACAGTACTCGGCCCTGGGCTGCGCCAGTCCTGATGATTCCTACTGTCTATGCAACAATGTGAACTTCAGCAACGGCCTTCGTGATTGCTCGAATGGGGCTTGTGGCTCAGCCGTCGGCAGCAGTGCGATATCCTATGGCAGCGCGTATTGCTCTACCGCATTCGCCACCCACACTGCCACAGCCACCGGCATAGCTGCTCTGCCCTCTTGCGGGCAGACCTGCTTTAACAACATGGTGGCTCAATACTCTGTTCTTGGGTGCGCTAGTCCCGAGCCAGCTTGTCTCTGTCGGAACGTCAACTTCGGCTACGGCCTCAGAGATTGCTCGAACGGCGCTTGTGGCACGGCTCTTGCGCCGACAGTCATTGAGTATGGGAGTTCGTATTGTGCGTCTGCGACAGCGGCTCACTAGTCTATTGAAGCGGCCAGCGGGAGAAGACAATCCTATTTACTGGGCTCTACATAGCAACTTGCCTCCAGGCTGAGCGAATATCACCATGGCCGTGGAGACAACTTGGTACTTTGTACATGGTAGTTAAACTTTGCAGAATTGAGATCATGAAATTCCGGCATTGCTTTACGGTATTCACATCTAGACATAAGCCTGTGCATTATCTTTCGTAATCTGTAGAGCTTCACTCTTTGGCCTGGTTCCTCCGTCCCCTCTCCTCCCTCTCCGCACGTATCCTAGCCAGGAATCTGTCTCTTGAGGCTTGTGCAGCCGGTGGAAGTGGCGGACCACCACCGTGCTTTCGAAGCCAGCTTATCTTCTCTACCATCCTGTGTTTTGGCCCCTCACCCACCATCAATTCGGTTGGCGGTGCAGCTGGGGGCATAGGTCTCATCTGCGCAAGCGAATCAGCGCTCACTATGTCGGCATGCATGCTCATGAGCCAAGGATGAACAGCTAAAGAGTGTCATTAGAAAAGCCCTCAGTCCATCAAACACAACCATGGACTTACCGCCGACGTAATCGCGTATCGTGACAAAGCCTCCATTGCCTGCAGATGAAGTCACCACCAACTTTATCCCCCGCTTTCTTAGAGGTCTATCTTCGCCACAGCACTTGACAAGAAACTCAGTGTCCGAGTCCGCTTCCCAGTTGCCGTCCTCATCGGGTTCGTCGGCAAAGGGCCGGTCCTCGTCGCTCAAATCTCCGTACGTGACGTACTTCGGGTCACTGTCGGGCTTGCATGCGTGATTTTCATGCCATCGCAACCACTCACCCTCCCATTCATCAAGCTCCCGGACTGAAGCTTCAACGGAAGAGACCTTGGGTTCTGTCAGGGACAGTTGAGAGATCTCGTGCCACGTGCCGCCACTTCCAGTATCGGGTCGAAAGAATGGTTCGATGTCGTCCGCACTGCGAGGGGTCTTCATGACGGATATCGCGGCGGGGAAGACGCCGTCAAGGGGCCAGAATAGACGCTTGGCTGCAGTGGACAAGAACACGGGAACCCTGTCTCTACGAAGCTCCTCGTACGAGCGGTAGGGAGGCTCTTCCAGCGGGTGAGAGGTTGCCATTGTTGTTTTTGGGAACGGGCGATGCGCAGATGTTGGCCGGAAACCTTGTGTCCTGGTGTGGTGTGGGAGATGAGTTTGCGAGGAGAAGGGCCGATGGCCAGGTTTTATGCGCGGAGATACACCAAATCAAATCAACCCATCACGTGCACCTATCGCCACTCTCAGTCAGTTTATTCGTGCAATCAAGTGGTCTAGATACCGACTACCTATTTCAAAGTCTCTAAATAACTTAGAGAATACATTATATACAAGTAACACTCGCATCTTGAGGCCCGATGCTGCCCCTAACAAACATCGTATTTAAGAGCTGGGTGGAGGCCTAAGATTTAGAACCCTGTGGCGTTCCTCTGCAGATCTGTTCACACTACGTACCCGGGGCTTCAACACAGGCCGATAGGACCCAAGGACCTTAGGGCCTTGGCTCGATCCAACTTTAAGGGAAGCTAGTTATGGGATATGGAGTTCAGGTCGCTGAGGTCGCCAATCCCTGGTCTCTTTAGTGTGCGATTACAGTGGGGTTCGAATTCACGACACCCCCTCGAGCCCCTCTCAGTATCTCAACACACGGCGAAAACAATCCACAGTCGTGTCCAATTCACCGTATGTAATAAAAGAGTCGAATCTAATTGGATTATAGCAGCAAGGGAGAGCCTCCCTCGGCCGCCGCGAGGGTAAATGCTCTTTGAGTAGCTCTCAGGGTCGTTGCTTGGGACTCACCAATCTTCTGACTGCGGCCCAAAACGCGGTGCCGGACTAAGCACATAAAGGCGGCTGGTGTGTGGCATCGTATGATCCGTTGAAGTCCTTTTAAGACGGCTTTAGAGAGGCTCAGAGAAGGTCTCCTATGAGAGGTTCTGCGTCGAGAATTGGGAGGAAATAGCTTTTTATATTGTTTTTTATAATCCACTCTAGAGACTTGAGTGCAATCCAGTTTACAGCACACGATGCTTTCAACCACAAGTCATCGAAGCTCTTGAAGAGAGGTAGAAATCAAAGACAATAGAAACATAAGAGAAAAAGTCTAAGTTATCATAAGTCATATCTCATACTCATTAGAAAGCCAGCCTCGATGTCTTGAAAAGTGTCCATCTTCCAAGGCACGACTCCGATATGAAGTAGATGATTTTGTTCATGTCACACACGAAGGGAATCGAGTGAGTAAGTATGTGACGAGTGATCGTTTCAAGTTCAAGGCTGGGGCTCTTACGACGAGTGGAATGGTTCGTGGACTGCCACCAGGCCACGACTCCCAATACGGTACGTCGCGCCCCAGATGATGCCCAGGACACCCATCAGCAGGAAGCATAGCAGGAGAAACAACTTCAGTGCCGGCTCGCGGACCTCCCAATCACCTAGGCCACCCTGGTCTCTCTCAAACACCATGACATTGCTGCTGAACAGCGTCTGTGGTTCGTCACGATCATCAGTATTAAAAGTGTTGCTGTCTAACATGATGGGCTGCTAGTCGTGCGGGTGCGACTTACCGAAACAAACGTGCCTGGCAGGAATATCAGCGTGAAAAAGGTGATCACATGCATCGACGTGGTCTCGTGCTTCGTCTTGAGGGCGATGTGGTGCATGCTGTGAGTCAGTTGCTCCATCGTGCTACTGGAAGCCCGCGCGCACTCGGCAAAGTGCTGTCCCGCATGCGTGTTGCGGTGCTCGAGGATTGTGCCAAACTGATGGGTGGTGGGCCTTGGTTAGCGAATTAACGGAGGTCAAGTAGGCCGGGGAGAGAACGAACCATTGCAGCTTTCCTCTTCAACTTCTCCTCTAGAGCCTCGATTCTCTCCTGGTAGCCCTCGAGTTCCCCCAGCACAACATATATCTGCTCTACGAAGCCGGCTACCTCTGTTGCGAGCTCTTGATGTCGCTTTCCTAGTCGTTCGTACCTAGTGGCTAGTGCACGTACTATACGCAAATCCTCCCGCAGTGTCATGGCCGCCTCCCCGACGCTGTCCTGCAGCAGGTTCAACTCCTGCAGACTTCCAAAACCGAAGGAATCAGCCAGGTGTTCGTCATTATCATCGTCTCCCTTCTCCTCACACTCGGCCATCTGGCTGGTAGCAGCTCTTGATGCGCTGTTGTTGTTGGCAGTGTCGCGCCCGGTCAGCCAGCTGCCCACCTTGCGCACCGTCGCGACCGTCATCGTCGACGCCCGCGACAAGCCCGTCCCACCGCGGCTCGGCGGGCCCATCGATCTAGGCGTGTGACGAAGGCCATGAACAGGTGCACTGAGACTGGTCCGCAGCTGGGCCGCGTCCTCGGCGTCCAGCTCGCTGATCTCGAGGTCGTCGACGGCCGAGACCTGCTCGCGCGTCTTCTTGACCAGATAGTCGATGTACTGGGGCCAGGACTCCATGGCCCACTCGAGAACGAGCAGGTGGGCATCGAGAGCGGCGCGGAAGTAATCGGTGCCCTCCCCCTCAGGCTGTTGCCGTCCGTCTTCAAGTCTAGTGGCAGACACCAGTCGCTCGTGCAGGAGCGTAGTACCTTTGACGACGAGAAAGAGGGATGCACCTGCAGCAGTATCATAGGCGTGGAAGAACGTGGCGGCGCGGCGTTTCCATGGGTTAGGGTCACCGGGCCCGGCGTCTTTGTCCTCTTTTTTGAACTGCCGCTCGAATGCAGAGAGGTTAAAAGCATGCTGAGGCCGGCTCACAACGGCATCATCGATCCGGAGGCGGCCCGTCGGGGGCGACTCAACCCGCAGACGAAGATCGAACACAAAGTCCAGGATGGCAGGCATCACTTGGTGGTGCGTCAGGACGTAAGAGAGCTGGTCGTGCGAGCAGCAGAGGGGTCCCCTGGAGTTGATCGTCTCGATGAAACTTTGAGGCACACAGCAGAGTTAGGAAATACTACTAATCGGTCACGTCAAGGTGTGAGCAAGCGCACATGAATCTACATCTTGTTTGCGGTGATAGTACACCCAAGTGCTCTTTCAATTGGTCTAGAGTCTTTGCCCTGATCTCTGTAGTGCTCGAGAGTCAATTGATCGCGCCAAAGATCAAGGCCGGAAGACCGAGGAGGGTCGGCAAAACTCACCATTGTCACTATTCAATGGATCCCAGATCGATACCAACCAGCGATTCTTGTCCTTGACGAAGATTTCTGTCCTTTCCGCGACGAGACGTTCTCGATAACTCTGTAGTGCGGGACGCGACTTTTGCGTACGGAAAATGTTCGTGGGATATGCCTGGAAAATCTGTGCCTGTTCGGCGGTTTGACACGCGTTTTCATCGTGGGCCGGCATTGTCGCGGGTTCTTGCGTCTGCGGCGGGCACTCTCAGGTCATCTTTTGCCACCGAGGTCTTGTACGCCGGCAGGGTTAAGTCGCGGTGTGGCGAGAGAAGTTATATCAAGCAATTCCACACGCGGCTGTTTACGATTCGCGATTGAGAGAGAAAATCATTGTCAGGCTGAGACCGCCTCGGGTGCAAAGGCAGATCCCTTTTTTCAACGATTGGATTTGGAAGGACCCGAGAGCAGCCCTTGTCCTTACTGCATGCCGCCAATGCCTGAGAAGGGGGGTGGCCCAAAATCTGCCTTGTCATGTCGAAAATGTGCATTTGACAGCACGACAGAGAGCCGCAGCGGGCGGCGGCGGTGGCTGTGCAGCAAGGTGCCGGGAATCCATGTAGATTGAGATGAAATACCAGGTTATATCACATTGAAAGCACGACGTACGGACAGGGAGGCCTTGGCTAGCACGGGTCGTGCAAGCATTTACAGACTGGGCGCCAAAATGCAGATAAAAGGAAGAAGCCCGAGAAAGCAAAAACCCAACAAGACTTGACGCTGCCAGAGAATCAGACAAAAATTGGATCCCGTAGTTATCACCGAAAACGCGCCATGGAGACCCTAACCACAGTTCTAGGGGTACATACGGGACAGCAGAGGCCGTCGATCCGTATCTCGCAGTCAATTGTCCATCACTTCGTACCGCAATCCAAGAATCTGCGTGCGCTCCGCCTGCAAAGCAGTTAACAACATATCAGTAGCGGCCAGATTCGGGCGCATAAAACACGAAGGCGGAATAAGTGCGGCCATCGAGGCCCAAAACGAGACTTACATCGGTCAATCTTCGCGGAATAGTAAGGCGGTAATCGTTTCCCCGCCGCTGATTCCCCAAGCTTAGCATCATCTTCCTAGTTTTGCAGGCTAGACTGACCAGGCTGGTACTTGGCGGTGACGAACCTTGATCTTGATGTCGTTGCGGGCTGGAAACAAGCCTCTCAAGTAACCGGCTAGATCCGTAAGGAGGAGATTGTAGGCGACAACGTGGTCGTTGATCATGGCTAGACGTGTCCCACAAGACGTCGTTTTGATGGCGTCACGAGTCGGACTTCATTCTAATTGTGAGACTGTGCGATGGCGATCGCAGAGCGAGAGGGTTGTCGCGGTTGTTCGCCACTACAAATGATGGTCATGGGTAGATGTCCATAGGAATCCCGCGAGAGAACAGCAGCTTCCCCTCGTTCATGAAGAGAAGTTCGCGCACACGACAAGCCGCAGGCCCTCGGGCGTGTCGTTTCTGCTTGCTCTCAGGCTCTTCAGTGTGTTGAGAGCGGCGAGTGAACGGGGTCGCGGGTCCGGGCGGACAGTGTCAAAAACAAACGGGTAGGGGTTCTTTCGTAAGAGCCTCAATCAATTCCATCGTACCGGCGAAGGCATCTCATTCGAGTCTCCAGTCTTGGAAATCCATGCCCACCACACACGCACATCAGACAGAGATGCCGAACGTGGGGTGAGGTGGCTGTTTGGAACGCAAGCAGAAGAAGACTGTGCTGGGACGGCACGGCTCGCTCGAGTCCACAAAAGGCCCATCATCATGCAGGTGTGACCAATTGAATCGGCCAACCATCATGCTGACCACTAGGATCCAGAGATTAGTCCCAGGGAGGTGCATGGTGCAAGATACCGTGTTGGTCGCTAGTGGCTGAAGTCCGTCCGTGATGGGTGCGAACGAGATGCACCATGGTAGTGTGATTGGAGAGGCGCCTGCTGTGCACAACCTAGGTAGCATCCATGACGGTGGCGTCCTAAAGTCACCTTGACACTCAGAGAAAGCCTTCACCAACGGTATCATTGAAGCTCATGCCAGCTCCGGCAAAGATGGCCATGGTACATGCCGCCAACCTCTTGTCGTGATCTCCGCGCTCTTGATGATATATATCTTGTCCTCACAATCTCAAGGCTGGGTGAGGCTGGCATCACTACATCCCGGGTCGTGTCGGGAAGGTGATCTGCGAACTTCCGGGCTGACCACCATCATGGAGGGGCGCCTCAGACCTTTTTCTGCATATTGGGCCAGCTCGGCTTAGCGTGATGCACTGAGGGAGGGCGACAATCCAGCCCATGTCGGTATCGTAATCTGCCTCGCTTTCGACATCTTTTTTCGGAGCGGGTTGAAAATGCAGCAACAGAACCTTGCTGGACGCCCGGCCTCGGCCAGCTCACGCGTCTGCCTTGTCCGCTGACAAAGCACACGGGTTCAGGTTGGCTACCTCAGGAAGCTCCAGCCTGGTGGCTTGCCGTACGTAGCACTATATCTTTCCGCGAGCTACAAGGCTCTGGCCTGCACACTCTCACACTCTCTCCTCTTTCGGCGTTGCGTACCATCCTTTTGTTTGCAGCCTTACTGTACCCGTTTGGAGGCACCATGGAGAAGCTGAACATCTTCTCCAGGAACGGCTCCCGCGATGAGCCCCAGCGTAGAAACACGCTTCCAGACGAGACCAATGCGCAACCTGGCCACGACTTCCTTACCTTTGTCCGAGCTGCTCGAGAACGTTTCACCGGTCTAGATGGTCGTAACGAAGCGGCCAACTTTATCCCACGAAGCGAGCTCGAGGCCTACTGGAAGAATGGCATTATACGCGAGGTGTGCAAGGCTTACCGGCCGCCCCTGACGACGGCCCGAGATACAATCAAGACGCTCTACCTCAAGATCTTCAGCATTCTCATTTACATCGGCAAGGGTCATTACCTCACCGTCTTCACGGTCAACAACATTACAGATGCCCACCTGCCCTTCAGCGGGACGCCAGATGCGCTTAGGGCTCCTATGTATGACGAGCTGATGGACAGGATCAAAGAGCATCAGTGGGTGTTCTGCCCACTGGTTCTAAACTACGCAGGTCTGTCAGATTTGCAGCTGGAACCGTCACATATCCTGCCATTTCATGGAAAGGAGGAGCTAGCAAGGGGTGACTATTCAAAGATCTTCAAAGTCAAAGTCTATACTGCTTGTGACGAGCTGAGTGAAGTTGGTCTAGACCTTTTGCCTTAGCTTGAAGAGACAAGACTGATCTGTACTCAGGCATATTCAAACTCAGGGACTTCACGTCCTCGCAGGAATAGCCACGAGGGTGACGGTGACCGAACCTACGTAATCAAGAGCTATGCGACGGCAGCAGACGAGCAGACACGCAAACTGGCGCGCTGCGAGGTGAGAGCCCTGACAGCGCTGAGGGACAGCAAGAACAGACACATCATCGGGTATTACGGTTCCTTCACCCAAGCCGGACACCATCACCTCATCCTACAATTCGCAGACGGCGGAGATATGTCGCAGTTCTTTCGGACACAGCCCCGGCCAAAGACGCCATCCGATATCCAGCGGTTCTGGAAAAGCCTTTTCAATATCTTTCAGGGCTTGCACTGTGTGCACCATCAACTCATGATCGACCAGGACCACAGGGTCGAGTTCCAGGGGTGAGCCAGTTCATTCTGAGCCAATCTTCCATCGAGTCATTTGGTAACTCTTGGCGCATCTAGAATACACCAGGACCTCAAGCCAGACAACATTCTTCTAAGTAGAGCTATCAACGCATCAAGTCCTTTTGACTTCACCCCGATGCTGGCCGACTTTGGCCATAGCGACCTGCGGCCCATCAACCCAGACCAAGACGACGGATACAATATCGACCGGCACGGCAACCAAGTTTACAGTAAGTCCCCACGGCCATTCCCTGTAAGTGCGTCCCATGCTTACCTCAAGTCTGCTAGGCCCGCCAGAGAGCAGCCATCACGCAGGATATACCCGCGGAGTTCCGAACCACATCACGCCAGCCGCTGATATCTGGTCTGCCGGCTGCCTTCTCAGTGATGCGGCCAACTGGCTTGTCTTTGGACAAGACGGTTTCGATGAGTACGAAGAGGAGCGCTCCAGGGAGACGGCCACCATTGAGCGGTTTGAGGGCAACCACAGCAATTGCTTCCACGACACCATCGGGATATTGAACACCGTGAAGCTACGGCACGACCGGGTCCGCAAGGAGGGGTCGCCGGAGGATCTCATCACACCCAAGGTGCTAGATCTTGTCGAGAAACACATGCTGCTGGACAACTACAAGGAGAGATATGACGCCCACCAGCTCTATCAACACTGCATGGCTATTCTGCCCCAGGAGCCATCCAGCATCGGCGGTCCCGAGTCGCGCCCGCAGCCGACATCTCCTGGTGCCCAGCTGAGCAGCAAGGTCCAGGGCATGCTCAATGCGGCCCAGCCCCAGCTGGCGGAAGCAGCCGTCAGGATTTCGACTGTGACGAATGTCTTTCGTGGGCGGGGGAGGATCTCGAGGCACCTGAGCCTCGGAGCTGGCGCAGCTTCAGAGGAAGGGAGCGCTGAAGCCGGCCAGTCCCCGCCGCCCGAGCTCCCGCGCCGACCCGAGACCCTACACGCCGTGCACGGGTTCGTGTCCGACCCGGTCGTTCTGCCCGGCCGGCATGCCGGTCTCTCCTCGCCCATCTCCGAAACAAGCGCCACCCCCCTGAGCACCGATTACCTCTCGCCGCAGGGCCTGAGCCCAAGCCCTTCGCGCAACAGTTTCGTGGCAGATGACGACGAAAGTATCGGCCCCCCGCCCGGCGACGGACCCGAGGACCATCTCACGATAGAAGAGGGTCTGCGCTGGCACTGGCAGTGGAAGAACTACATGCCGTTCGACCACCGGGTCCACGAAATCGTGCGTCTACTACGGCATCACTTGCAAGGTCGCGAACACTTCTTCTTCATCGATGATTCGAAGTCAATGCGGGAGCACCACCAGACCATCGTAGACACCTTCAAGCTGTTAGCTTACATCGCTAAGCCTCTTGAGAGTAGCGGTAAGGGCAAGGCAGGTAAAGCACGCGAGAGAGGACGACCGGTGTCCCTGGCGTTTGCCTCACACGTCAGCAGTGGGCAGGTTCACGTCAGCTCAGACACGACCGAGCTCGTGACCCGGGTCGAGCAGTGCGAGTATAGGCAAATAGCGCGGCTGATGGAAGACAAGCTCTCGTGGGTGGTGGAGAACGTGCTGATCGGCAAATTACCAGAGCCCAAGCGGGAAGGGTTGCCGCCGGCGAAGCCACGTTCGAGCTTCTTTGGCAAGGCGGCCCCTCTGGCACCTGACAGCAAGATTAGCTTGGTTATCTTTACAGACGGGCGCTGGGGTGACGATGCAAATGGGGCGATGGGTGTGCAGAACCCGATCAACAAGCTCATTGCGCGGATCGTCGAGCTCGGCCTGCCACGGACGTACGTCATGATACAGTTTGTGCAGTTCGGCGATGACGAGGCCGGGACACGGCACTTGCGCTTCCTGGTAGAGAACGGCGAGAGACAGGGCCTGTGAGTCTACACCTGCACTGCGGTTTTGGTCGAAGCTAATCAGCCTGTTACTCAGAGATATCGTCGATACCCAGCCAGCCTCTGGCAACGTGCCCTCGATGCTCATCGGGAGCATAAGTCGTGGGTCGAAGGATGAGTCTCAACGGTCCAACTTGTCTGCGGCCTCAGACTTGGCATCGCAGTCCAACCATGCTTCGCAATCCGATACTTATTCGCACTTGGAGACTGGCAAAGACGAATGATTACATGATCGTGAAGGGTTATCCTCGAGAAGGACAGCGGCATGGCCACCGACTCACCTCCTCGCCCGATGAGCGAGGAGAGTGCAGGAACTGTTATCGAAGTTATTCTGAAGTAAATCAAGCGGTGGTCAGCATGGTTTGACGGAAGTTTATCAAAGGAATACCTCAATGCCAAGCTAATAGCTTTACTGAGCATCATGGGACGGGCGATGCTACTTCCTAGCGTTCATACATTCGAGGGATGGTGAAGTACTTCTGTTGTCAGCCTGCCAGAATCTGACCATGGCTTGCTAAGCAACAGGGGTGTGTGAAGGGAACGCAAGGGACATGCAGCAGATCATAACGGCGTAAACTCAAATTTGTATTCTACAACTGCCGCTCGTTCTATATACTATTAATCACGGCAGCACTCAGTCCACCAAGTATTAAAACTGCGGGATGCAACCCCTCCATCCGACCAAGACAGCCACTCCGCGGAGCACCCGTTTCCGCCGTCGATCCACCAGGCCCGGTCCCCGGCGCGCCCGGGGTAGATGTCGCCGTCGGTCTAGCGCCGGAAACCGTCGTGAGAGGGCCGACGTCGGCGGGCCCGCACGCGCCGCCAAAGGCGACCGTCCAGTTGAGGAAGAGAGCGCCGAACGGCGCGAACCCGCCGTTGTACCACTGACCCGGGCACTCTGAGGCAACCGAGTAGACCCTGGTGCTGTGGTTCGACCACCAGGACGACCCCTGGCTGGCAAAGGACGTGTACTCCGGCAGCAGCGTCGCCGGGATCGCCCTGCTGAAGCCACACCACGCGGGCGCCTCCGGGAAGGAGCACTTGAACTTGGCCTCGAAGTCCAGCGACAGGGTGCTGCAGTCCTCCGTCAGGGACTTGGCGTACGATTTGAACGCCGTGCCCAGGACGCCCGTCGGCCGCGGCACGTCGAACATGCTGGTCAGGTTGAGGTGCTCGCACTGCGAGGCGGTAGTTGTCACTGTCGGCGCTGCAGTCGGGAGGAGCTTGGAATAGGCGGCCGAATCGAAAGCGCCGACGGATGCCGCCAAGGCGAGCGCGCCAAGAGCAGCTGCAGATTTCATCGCGCCAAGCGCTGATGTTGATTTCATCGCGGCAAGGCTATGAGGGGATCGTGAGGGCTTCAGCTGCGCTTGGAGGGCTTCCTTCCTCCGGTGCGGTATCGGCAATGAACAGCCTCCAAGTCGCTTCTTCAGAAATATTGTAAATAATGCAAATGATTGAGTCACGAATGAGATGGGAAAAAGGGGGACGCGCTTTGAGATTTCCAAGGATTTGCAAGTTTTGGAGGTTCGTAAGCAAATGGACCCATTTCCATCCCTTTCGGGCAACGCAGCCGAGTCTTGGCAACGGTTACCGGCAAACTTGCCAAGGCGACAATGACGATTATTCCCGGAACAAGAATCACTTTGGCATATGTCAAAATCGAGATCTAAGCGAATCACAGCACTCGACGTTGTGTAGGTCGTAATATTTGACATGGGTTATTAAACGCGTATCCCATCCTCCTTCCCTGCTAGGCTTTGATCAACCAAATGGCACGGTCAGTTAGTTCCACAATAATCGAATTCAACAAACATGCAGATTGCAGGCTTCTTAAGAAGACATACATGTCTTTGGCAGTGTTTTCTCGAGGTTGTCGCTTCCCTTGCCTCATGACTCAAAAGATCGCGATCCTCATGAGAGTTTTGGTCACTGAAGGCTATATCTTTCCGGGTTCCCTGTCGAATGCTAGTTCCACTTCGTGTGAAAAGAGGAATGTGTTAATACGGCCTTGCAGACTTCTTATCCTTGAGTATTATTCTGGTTTCGTCAGACTCAAGGTTTACTTGCTCGGATTTCACGGAACCATTTCTTCCAATTTTCGGGTCATACTCATTAATGATGCACTTATTCACCTCCACATGTCCCACTGCCGAAGACCAGGGCGAACATGGCAACCAAATCACCACGATGATGGACCACGTGGTGACTCGCTAGAAGTCAAAGACAAAAAGATCTGGAAATACGAGCGTAATAGTGGCAGTTGAGATACGTATTAAGATGAATGCGTTGACTATGAAGATGTTACAGGGATAATATAAGCAGAGCAGAGAATTGGCCGACGTCTGAATGATCAGACTTCGATGATACCCGAGGATGTTCACACCAGTTTGACTGAACCCAAGCTTTCCCTTCAATACTTATATATGTTGAAGTTCAATTTTCCAAACAGGTATAGACTTGTATTAATGGACAGTACTGAACTAAGCTGGGCTCTTCAATCCGTCATTGTCAAAACACACGAGCGTTAAAGCCCTCAAATTTTTATTCTCAAAGCTTTAGCCCTTTTAGACGCTAGTTAAGCCACTCTAGCTAGAAGCCTCCTCGCAGTATAGTGATCCCACTAGCATCAACAAAGAGTTGGCTGAGCCCCCAAAAACCTTGATCATGACCTACCTTCAACATTACAGGACGCACTGCAATTATTCGTTCATGTGGCACGTCTCCCGTCACATGTACTCAATTGATCACAATAGTATGGTCTTACGTAATCTCAAGGGGAAATACTCGAGGGCTCAGAGGCAAGAGCCTTGAGATATTTCGGCGCCCTCACCGACCCAAACCAACCAAACATCCATGTTGGCGTTTCGCGGATTTATACTGAAACATCAGGCGGTCAGTGGATTCAATATTACCAATCACGGTGTTTACAAATGAAAACCACTACATTATTACGAAGTTCGCCCAATGGCTATGAAGCAGATGACCCAACAGCATATGCATGATCCAACAGCACCAGGCTGGCCAATAACACCACAAAGAACAGCAGCATCGAGTGACTCAGATGCAATTTTTCTGAAACTGCACAGTGGCCCTCACCGAAAGTCCAACACTCTTTAAAAAGCTGGGCCTCGTTCCTCATCAGACTCTATCGCCATGTAAGACCACCACTACTTTTGCGTGCGGCAACATGGCTTCTTCCAACCCCCCATACATCCGACGCAACACTGAAACATTGCTCGATGTTGCCTCTGATGTGATCTGTCTGCTCCGCTCCGCCGGCGAAACGGTCGGCGTGGCCGAGTCGCTAACGGCGGGTGGCGTCATGGCGGCACTCACTTCCGTCCCCGGCGCTAGCGCCGCCTTCCGTGGAGGTGTTGTCTCTTACGCCACCCCGTTGAAGCAGTTACTCCTCAACGTCGACAAAGATCTCATCGCCCGCGAGGGCGTGATTCACGCAGACGTCGCCTCGCAGATGGCCGTGGGCGCCAGGACAGCAACTTCCTTTGATGGCAGCCCGACCACATGGGGCCTCGGTACAACGGGAGTTGCGGGGCCAGACTTGCAAGACGGGAAACCCGTCGGCACGGTGTTTATCGGCATCGCCTCCCCGGACGGGAGTCAGGGCCTAGGTCCATTCATCTTCCCTGGGTCCAGAGACCGCGTGCGGGAAGCAACGGTCATTGAAGCTCTCTCGAGACTGCGAGATGCACTGGCGGAGAGAATTAATCACAAGGAAGAGCAGGAGAAGGGTGCCAACTCAGAGGCGAAAGGAACCATGTAAAGGTGTTTGTTTACCTTGGTCCTATAAATAGCATCGACGGCGCCTACAATTCGCACTGTCGTATGCAGTGCGTGCTCAACAGCCAATTGCAATAGTGGAACAACAGATTGGGCTAGCTTACATGTTTCTCTACAAACAGATGTTTTTTTGCTTCGATTCAGGTCCGTTTATCACAACCCCGCTCTGATATTCCCCTCCTCTCAGGTGCATCTCATTAATGCCTGCCCTTTCTCCTTCCAATGTCTAACATTGGGACCATGAACTCAAGCCAGGATCCACGTGAGCGCTCCCTACTACTTTCCAGCCTCCCGAATGAGATTCTCTCGGTTATCCTAGGCAATTTCTGCCTGCATTGTCGCGAGCCATTTCCAGTGCCAATGCTCTACTTTCAAGAGCATCAACAACAGACCCATCGGCCATCATGGTACTCATTAGATCTCCAGGCCTTGTATTCCGTGTGTTTGGTATCGAGACAGTTTCGAGATGTCGCCCAGTCCGTCCTTTACCACGAGTTCATCCCTGGATGTGGCGACTCTTGGGGATCACTGGACTACACGTGGAACCGGCGCCTTGCGAACTTCCTCCGCACGGTAGCGCTACGGCCCGAACTCGCCGCTTCGGTCCAGAGATTCTTTCTGAGCCATTACCTCTTGAACCTCGCCGACCTCGGGCATGAGGGTGTTGAAGCTGTCCTTGAGGAAGCGGCGCGAGCCCGGGGCATAGTGCTCTCTACCTTCCTTGAAGCGTACCGGCGTTCACTGCCACCGAGTGAGCGCGCACGATATCGGCCTTCGGGCGACGAGGTGGCCGGCTTGCTCATTGCGTGTCTTCCGAATCTCAAGACACTCTACCTTACCGTGAATGCGCCTCAAGAATCCATCCCTGCGGCTGCTCTCCGGGCCGCGGGCGTGTCACGGCTATCCTTACAAACTCTCGATGTTGCCTCGGGTACGACATGTGAGAATCTCGCTTCGCATTTAGGCGGTCTTCTAGAGCTATCATCTCCGACGTTGACTACTCTGGACATATCCTTATTTAGATCCGATAGAGGTGCCGAGCTGGGATTTGCCGATTGTTCCTTTCCTAATCTTCGACATGTGTCCGTCATCGACAGTAGGATAAGCGAGGCGCATCTTGAACTGCTCTTGTCATATCCTGTTGGTCTTCAGAGCTTCCTATACGACACTCGTAAGTGTATGAAGCTAGTGTGCTGCCACATATGGGAGTTCCATCGCCATGCAAGGCAATTTCTCAACTTGCACTCCACCGACTGACCTCTCTTTCCTTTCAGGTGAAAACGACCATTTGATCGAACCACCGAGCATCATCAAGTTTCTCAGTAGGCATAGTGAAACACTTGAAACCCTCCGTCTCGGCGTTCTAAATATCATGGTTCTGGAGGGCAGATTTCTGTCCCAGCCATTATCGAGCTTACAAATCTTTCCCAACCTTTCGGAAATCTCTCTCAACTCAATCTTCATATTCAATGACATCAACGAGATCCCAGAAGATGATACCATTCTAGTTCGACTTCTCCCATCGTCTGTTGTCACACTGTGGCTCTCAGACAGCGTCGGGCCTCCAGTGGTTGTACGCCTCACAAGAGCCCTCGACCGCCTCGCGCGGGCTACTTCGGAAGGCCATTTCCCCTGCCTAAGGAGGATCCTTTGTCACTTTAGCGAGGAGACTGAGGATACCGATGAGGGTAGCCTGGCTCAGCGATTCGCCAGTTTGGGGGTCTATCTTGGCTACAGCGTATGGCCATACACACGCTGACAAACCTAGGCACGGCCTAGCCCCTGGGTCAGACTTAGGTCATGTCAGACCCCTCCAACAGTCAGGGACCGAGGACCTGCCAATATATACCCCGCAGATCGTGTCAGCGCATGCGATCAGAGCCTGGCTCCAAGGGACTGAGGGCAAGGAAGGAATACCGTCAGGGTTTGCAAGGTTGGCTCTTGGAGGAGAATCAACGGCCGCGGTTAAGAATGCTCCATTGTCATCAGGAACCTTAGGCAGAAATGATGACTTCGGATGGATTATCTGTCCTGTTTGTTAGAGCAGCATGGTGCAATGATGGAGTTGTCGATCGCCAAGGAGGCACGGCTGTCGTGAGCACGGCCACCAACAAACACACCCATCATGGGGCCGCGAACTGCTGCATGGCCAATATCAAATTGCAGCGGCAAAATTCAGTTTAAGCGCCACAGATGTTTCAAGTCTCAGTAGCCTACCAATGATACAAACAGACCCGCCGACTTGCATAGCCAGTTCAGTCACATGAACACTCGGCCTGGTCTTGATAGTCATCAAGCCTCTAATTGTTCATTGCAACTAAACCAGTCTCTTATCACTACTCAAGGATCTCGTTGTGGAGTTTCAACCTGTTCAATGACCGTCTTCGAAAGGTGTCGAGCGAAAGGATATCGCCTTGTTTCGCCACCCCGAGGCCTGTACAACTTTCTGTGCTTTGAGAGACGGTTTCATGGTCCATGCTGGCTGTGGCGGTCACGGAAATATATGCTATGGAAACAGTGTATTCCTCATAGTGTTGACTCTGCGAGATAGTCGGTATTATGTAAGGAGGTGCTGAGGGGCCTCTATGGTCGTTGCGAAGAGATACATACCATATCCGAGTTGTCACGCAGGCCGAGTTTAACAATTGCTTTCTTGCTACATCGGGATAATTCTTTAAATTGGTTTCAGAACCTCTTCCTTTGGCTTCCGATTTTGACCCATAGGACAGAATGGCCAGGGTTTGAGGTTCCCTGGCCTGGAAGGCTATATGTCCTTCCTCAAACATCGTGGCGGTCGCCACCCTTTACGCTTTGGCAGCACCAAGTCTTGTGCTATATGGTATGTGCCCCTATTCCCACTGAGATACTCTGACAAGAGAGACTAAGTATCCGAAGCCCTGGTCCTCACCAGATGCACCTCCACTTTGACCCGCGTTTCCAACATCTTTCTCAACAGTATCAAGGCCCCCGAGGATTGAATATTCAGGTACGTTACTCCATGGCAAGAGCCTTGTAGGAAAAGGACGTGCTAACCCTTTCTGCAGCAGTATGTGCAGCACAGAACCAAGCCTTCACTTGCTCCCCGGTCCTCTATTCTACGACAGCGGCGGAGCTCGGCACAACGTTGGAGGGCCCCTCGAGGTTCAGACCACTCTTTCAAGTCGCGCTGGACATACAGACGAAACTGCTCCTTTGCACTGCACACTTGCCGGCTGCCCTTTTCCTGATCGGCGTGCTCGTCTCGCTCCTCGCCGCGGCTCTAGGGCGCAGCAAAGGATCACTCTCGAGCCAGGCCGCGATGTGGCAAAAGTATGGCCGGCTTGATACTTTCCCCGTCGGGCCAAGCCGTGCTCGCCGCCTCCGTTTCCGTCGCACAGGCAGGTACCAGCCTGGGGTATGCAACTCCTGCAGGACGGTGGTGCCATCGCCACATCCGCGCTGGGAAGACCCTGCAGAACCCTCAGTGGCTGGTCCTTGTCTTCTCAATCCTCTTTTTCCGTCGCTCTGGAGGTCCGTGATAGGAAGAGCGGCAAGCACAGGGGCCGCGGAACTTCCCGTAGATCACAGCGCAGGGCGCGATCCACTTCTACCTCGTGTCGTCGTCGTCGTCGCCGTCGGTTTAGATCTCCACTTGGACTTACGCATCGCCTGATCGACTGGCTAGTTAGTCCAATATTGGGGAAAAGGGATGTACACACCTTAAGAGGCTTGTCATATAACAGCACAGCAGGAATAACCCTGCAACCCCGCTCCATAGGAACGCAGAGCATGCGTGTGATATGATGTATATACTTCCGTTCGCTCGTACTTGTATGAAGCGAAGAACCATGCCAGAACTTGCATGAGGCCACAACGGCAAACCCGAAGGGAACGTCTCACCCACCTTGCTGGGAATCTCCCCTTTCTCCCTCAAATCTTTGCCGACACACAAACTCCTGTAGAAGTAGACAGTACCGCGATGTCTGTGCCACTGATGCAGTAGCTGTTCCAGTCGCACCCGCGTCGTGCATATGGAACTTCCCTAGACCATAAAAGACGCCACATATAGGGACATGGTCTATTGGGCTCTGGTGTGGTCACCCTGCCCTCCCCACGACGAGCGGCAGTTTCCCCTTTCGAGTGAACTGCCGGGCTAGCGGCGGTAGTACGGCGCGTTTCTTCCTGGTCGATTGAACGAACACGAGAGACACGGACGCCGATGGATGAGCGGCGCAGGATCGACGTCCACGATCGTGACCACCGCCCGGCCTAGACCATGGAGGCGTATAAGCAGGTGTTGTTGGTGCTTATCCGGGTTTATATCCGTCCTTGTAAGTACAGACAAGTCGACACTAAAATGCCAGACTAGCAAACGCCAGGTCTTCGTCCGCCCTAATGGCCTGACGCCACAATAGTCCGAGGTCGCCAATTACCTGCTTACAGTGGCGTCCACAGGAGCAGGAGCTCAGGGCATAGACGGGTCGGGCCTAGCCATTCTTGACATTGATAGACAGCTGAGGCCACACGCCAGCTCTCTAGCATCGCAATGGTCTCTGTTGGCTGGGGGGTTGTTGGAACTGGGCTGGGAAGCCCCATCGCCATGACCAGGAGCCCCCTAGCTTGGTTGGGCGTCAACGGCGTCAATCCCTCATCACACGTGCAGGAAATCGTACGTCCTTGCTCCCAACAGAGCAACCAAACACACCGCTCTCCGCGGCTTACAAAAACCCGCGGCCATCCTGTCGTTCAAAGAGGGGGGTAAGCACGAGCAACCTCCCCGAGAAGGTTCAGAGAAGTGTGTACAATGCCCAAATAGGTCATGTAAGTTGGATAAATCCACGGAATCACACACTCGTCACGATCGCTTCCCCCCGTCCGCGCGGCTTGCGCCTCCTCATTGTAGGAGGGAATATCCCTGCAGGCGCCGCCTACAGTCGGCTTTTTCCGTGAGGCAATTCGCGCAACCTTGCCTGCTTACAATCTAGCCAGAGCATGACAGATGTTGAATGGGGGGGGGTGAGGAACAGACTTCTTTTTGAGCACTGACCATGGTCCTGGCCTCGTCTTGGCGTGCAAGCCACTGATGAATCAGAAAGGGTTCGGGGACGTTAGACTACGTCAGAATAGGGAGATCAGACTGGGCCACCCCTGACTATACGCCCAGCGCTTGACTGGTTTGGGCCAGAGGAGCAACGAAAGCCTTGAAAAGAGAGTTTGCTCAGCTGCGAATAGTGTTGGCCCTGTGCTCAGACCCCTGTTAGGGCGCTCAGAGGCCGAAAAGCGTGGAAAGAAGAGCCAGACAAGACACAGATTGCTCTTCATGCGACGTTTCCCCACATCGTCTCCTGTGTAGTTCCCCAGCTTGTCGTTGTTGGCGCTAGACACAAGGATTCGAATTCTTGAGCCTCGAGCAAGGAAACGCCCTGCAGGTGGTCATGGGGCCAGCTCGCGAGAGATCATCTCTGGGGCCATTGAAGACGGTGTCTTCATGCGTAAGAAATTCGTAATCACGGCTTGTCGCAAAAAGAGAGTGTGGTCCTCGAAAGTGCACAAGAATAGAGTACTTTTGGGGTCTACCGCTGAGTCTTTGCCCCTCATTATTGCGATCTGTGAAGGGACTTACAGTACAAGGTTCACCAGGGTATTAAATGTTAGCTCGAGACTTTAACAGGGGATATCTCCACTTCAAACAAGGGTTTGAGAACATTGTTGACAAGGCTTTTGAATGGAAGATTCCAGGAGGCAGAAGTAACTACAAGTAGAAACTATTCCAATCTTGGATAGAGAACGGCCAGGTTCCTCACTGTGGAAAGGCATCGCCCCCGGTCACCAAAAACCAGTCAGAATTCAAGAAGGCCAGGGCCCTGGTCTTGTATTCGAGCTAACATTTAATACCCTGGTGAACCTTGTAGTTTGGCTTCCCCCCTCATTCCAAAATCCCGATTCGCGCACCCTGTCCATGCGACCCCAGAGCCAGAGCAGGGGTCCTCCCACCCTCTCCCCTGCATCCAAACGCTCTGGCATGCAAGAGGCCGTTCTTGGGAATGCCATGTTTCGAGTGAATAACAACGTGACTGTCGGCATCTTGTAACCTGGCAGGTTCTCACCGTTCGTCACATCACAAAAGGTTGGAGCCCTTGACTGACGTTGCATCGGACATTCAATGGCACGCACATGTTCTGTGCTCTTGGTCTCACCGTCAGTACGCGTGCCCGATAACGCTCCGTGTCCATATCCAGAGCTTGTTGAGGTTCTATCACCGACTATCTTGGGTTTTTGTGGCACAGAATCGATAGCGTGCGTGCGGTTGTTGATATGTCGGGCACCTCGCGTCGTGACCACGGATACCATACCCATCCAATAGAGAGACCGTGTTCCAGTGTGTGAACAAAACGTCCTGCTGCGGGAAGCAGATGCTGTGATGATCGCCGGCACCCGGGAATATTGACCATCCGTGCTTTCTTTCGTTGACGCAGATCCAACAATGAAGTGCTAGTCCGGAACAGATGATTTGTCAAATCCCCGAGCCGGTCCGCCCGAACCGTGAAACCCGAGATCCGTATGGGGTCGTTACTTTTGAACATTGAAAACCACTCGAACAGGCCTCAGTTGTTACACCCCGGTATCATCTCTGTGTGATGTATTGCGGCTTTTTCTAGTTCAGAATGAGTGTCGTGGCGCAAAGGAGAAAAAGATCACAAGTCTGGCGGTTAGTTCGGACCACTCGTAATCGTATTTATTAGCACCTCCTGTCTTGTCAAGGGTCAACCAGCCACTGTG